CTTTGAAGAGATGGTTCCCCCACAGTATCGCCGACATGCCTCCGTCTTCTCCGAGTCCGAGTCGCACCGCCTACCCGAACACAAACCCTGGGATCACGCCATTCCGATCTGATTCCTGGAGCTCCGGCCACCATGCGCACCAAGGTCTACCCCATGTCCCAGAACGAACAGGAAGAGCTGAACCGATTCCTCGACGAGAACCTCAAGAAGGGATACATCCGACCATCCAAGTCTCCCCTCTCTTCCCCGGTCTTCTTCGTCAAGAAGAAGGATGGCAAGCTCAGCTTCGTTCAGGACTACCGCAAGCTCAACGAGATCACCGTCAAGAACCGCTACCCCCTTCCCCTGGTCTCCGACATCGTCAACAGACTCCGTGGTGCCAAGTACTTCACGAAATTCGACGTCCGCTGGGGTTACAACACATATCCGGATCAAGGAAGGAGACGAGTGGAAGGCCGCGTTCGCCACCAACCAGGGTCTCTTCGAACCACTCGTTATGTTCTTCGGCCTCACCAACTCTCCGGCGACATTCCAGGCTCTCATGAACTCTATCTTCTCCGACCTCATCGCTGGAGGGAAGGTTGCAGTGTATCTCGACGACATTCTCATCTTTACGGCCACACTCGACGAGCACCGGCAAGTTGTACACGAAGTCCTGCATCGCCTTAAGAAGCACGATCTGTATCTCCGGCCAGAGAAGTGCGAGTTCGAACGTCAGGAGATCGAATACCTCGGGCTGATCATCCGCGAGGGCGAAGTCAGCATGGACCCCGCCAAGGTCGAAGCTGTCCGCAACTGGCCAGTCCCCCGCAACCTCCGCGCCGTTCGTGGTTTCCTCGGGTTCGCCAACTTCTACCGCCGTTTCATCAAGGACTTCGCCACCATCGCCCGACCGCTCAACGACCTCACCAAGAAGAACAGCCCCTGGCAATGGAACGATCCTCAACAGCAGGCCTTTGACACCCTCCGCAATGCCTTCACGTCCGCCCCCATTCTGACGCTCTGGGATCCTGACCGCCCCACTCGCATTGAAGTCGACGCCTCCGGCTTTGCCACTGGAGGAGCCCTTCTCCAGAAGCAGGATGACGGCCTCTGGCACCCCGTTGCATTCCGATCCGCCTCCATGCAGCCCGCCGAACGGAACTACGAGATCTACGACCGGGAGATGCTGGCCATTATCGAGGCTCTCAAGGACTGGCGCCACTTCCTGGAAGGACTCCCTGAACCCTTCGAGATCGTCACTGACCATTCCAACCCTCGAATACTGGCGCACCGCACAAGACCTCAGCCGTCGACAGGCTCGTTGGGCTCTCTACCTCTCCCGCTTCCGGTTCTCGCTCACCCACCGCCCTGGCAAGACAAACACCCAAGCCGACGCCCTCTCTCGTCTCGACGTCCACCAGGTCTCCGACGCCGAGGACAACAAACAACAGGTGGTACTCAAACCCGAGCTGTTTGCCAGGCTCGCCGCCTCGAGCATGGTCGTCAATCCCTTGGAGGACCGTATCCGACAGGCCAGCGCCCGAGAATCCCAGGTCCTGGATGGACTCGCCCAGCTCCGCAAGACAGGTCCCCGTTGTCTCACCTCTGGTCTCGCCGAATGGGAGGAGGATAACGGCCTTGTTTACTACAAGGGTCGAGTCTACGTTCCCCCAGACGACGAACTCCGACGCGACGTTCTCAAACAGTGCCACGACGATCCTACCTCTGGACATCCCGGCGTACATGGAACCCTCGAACGAGTTGAACGACAATACTGGTGGCCGACCGTGCGAGCCTTTGTCAAGAAGTACGTGGAAGGTTGCGACATCTGTGCCCGGAAGAAACACGCCCAGCACCCCCGCGCCTCGACTCAGCCCTTGGAGGTACCCGATGGCCCTTGGGAGACTGTTGGAGTCGACCTTATCACCCCAGCTTCCTGATGCCAATGGACATGATGCCATCATCGTCTTCGTCGACCACTACAGCAAGCTTCTCCATGCCCTCCCCTGCACCTCGGACATCACCACCGAAGGAGTCGCCGACATCTACTACCGAGAAGTCTTCCGCCTCCACGGCCTTCCACTCCGGTTCATCAGCGACCGCGGCCCCCCAGTTCGCCTCCAAAGTCATGCGCACCCTTCTCAGGCGTCTCGGCATCGAATCCAACCTGACCACCGCCTATCATCCTCAGGCCAACGGACAAACAGAACGGGCCAACCAAGAAGTCGAGAAGTACCTCCGCCTGTACGTCAGTCGCCGACAAGATGACTGGGATAAGCACCTTCCCATGGCCGAATTTGTGATCAACTCCCGAGTCCACTCCGCGCACAACCGATCCCCGTTCGAAGTCCTCTACGGTTACATCCCTCACTTCAACATTCCCGTCTGGTAAACGCACTGATCTTCGCCCTGTCGACGAGCGCATCCAACAACTGCAAGAGGTACGCAAGGACGCCGAAGCCGCCTTACGTCTCGAGAAAGCACAACAGAAGGACTTGTACGAATCCGGCAAACGAACAGCCCATCAGTTCAAGGTTGGTGACCACGTTTGGCTCAACGCTAAGGACATCCAGATCAAAGTCCCTACTCGGAAGCTTGGCGACCTCCAACTCGGCCCCCTACAAGATCACCGAACGCATCGGCGACCTCGATTACCGCCTTGAGCTCCCCCCTTCCCTCTCCCGCATTCACCCAGTGTTCCACGTCGACAAGCTCTCCCCCTGGAAAGGCAATGATGTCAACGGCATTCTGCCACCTCCGCCTGAGCCTGTTGAACTGGAGGGAGAACTTGAGTACGAGGTTCACGACATCTTGGACAGCCGCTGGAAGGGCCGAGGGAAGAACCGTAAGCTGGAATACCTGGTCAGTTGGAAGGGCTACGGGTCGACGGAGGATACTTGGGAACCTGGAGGAGAACTTGAAACACGCCCCCCGATGTCGTCAAAGACTTCCACCAGCGTCACCCTTCTGCACCACGTCGCATTGCAGCCACTGTCTTCGCCTCCCTCCCCTGGCAACCCCTCGAGAACTTCACCGACACACCGCCTACCGACTTCGACTGGGAGCTGGGACGCCGCCTACCAGGGATCATCGAGGACGATGAGGCTTAGAAGGGGGGTAATGTCGCGAACAGCGGGTACGAGCCCCTATTTTTCCCTATCTTATCTTATCGCTTTCATCGCCCTTATCACTTTCCTCTTTATTCTTATTCTTGCCTTTATTCTCGACACGGACACTTTCTCCCATGGAACACTGCCTCGTTATGCCCTCTGCCCTACATCTTATTGTTCTCTTCATTCTTGCACTGCCTCGTTACTCCGCCACTGTCTTCTTCATTTTTCGCGCAGCCTTCGCGCAGCCTCATGACTTCTTATTGTTCTTTTGCATTTCACCATTTGCTCGTCATCCTGACTCATTGCGGCTATGTAGACTGTAGAATAGGTATATAAGCTAGGTAGATTCCTCTGTATTTCCTCAGCTTGACCTCTTCGTCAATACACCGCTTCAGCACTCATCTGCATTCGTCGCTCATCGCTCTATCTCGCTCTCCGCTCTCATCCGCTCTGCTCTTCTGGTCTTTGGTTTGGTTTAGTGTTCGCTCTTCGCGACAGTCGGTGTCGGGATCTGGGAGCTTGAATGAACCGGCTTTGGCAGCGGGGGAGGTGTTTGCGGAGCGGTAAGCTTGGTACGGGGTTTCTGGAGATTCAGCGGCGGTGGGTTGCGTTTCAGAGGGCGGAGTCCTGGGGTTGTTGCAGGCGAATTCTTCTACTGCTTGCTGATTAACGGGGGACGGTGATTCGGCGTTTAACTTGAGGGAGTTGATATAGACCCAGTCGTGTACGGAAGGTTCGTGGTAACGGTTGGGGCAGGGCTGTTCGGAGCAGGCGGTCCAACGGTTGAGGCTCGGTAGATGGACGTCTAGGACAATGGGGTGACCATCGCTGACCCGAACGACGAAGTGCGGCTTAAACAGACAGGAGGTGTCTTCCGGTGCGGCGGAAATCTTGACGAAGTGCGGGGACCAGAGTTGCCAGGGAGGGACCTGATCGGCAGGTCAACCAGGAGCCAGAAATGCGGATGATGCAGGAGCAACGATCGGCGTTGCCGGTGCACAAAGGTAGCTTGACCTAATGTCGCGAAAAGCGAACACTAAACCAAACCAAAGACCAGAAGAGCGGAGCGGATGAGAGCGGAGAGCGAGATAAGAGCGATGAGCGACTAAGGCAGATGAATGCTGAAGCGGTGTATTGACGAAGAGGTCAAGCTGAGGAAATACAGAGGGATCTACCTTAGCTTATATACCTATTCTACAGTCTACATAGCCGCAATGAGTCAAGATGACGAACAGATGGTGAAATACAAGAGAACAATAAGGAGAGTCACAAGGCTGCGCGAAGGATGAAGAAGACAATAACGGAGTAACGAGGCAGTGCAAGAATGGAGAGAACAATAAGACGTAGGGCGAAGGGCATAACGAGGCAGTGTTCCATGGGGGAAAGTGTCCGTGTCGAGAATAGAGGTAAAATAAGAATGAAGAGAAGGTGATGAAAGCGATAAGATAAGATAAGGAAAAATAGGGGCTCATACCCGCTGTTCACGACACACAGAGTCTGCCTACGCGCTTCACAATGCTGCGAGTTACTGTTTACTCGAGTCCCTTTCCGTCCACTTTGGCTATTGATCCACGGTAGCCTGAGAAATCGGTCTCAATTTGGCTCGGGTGGCAGGTTCATAGCTGTGCGCATTGCGATGTGACTAGCGCCTATTTTCGCAGTTCCTACCATCCAGGCAAGCTTGCTTGAAGCGCCGTTTCCTGAATCAGGGAGAAGAGACATAATAGGTATGAAGCTCCACAATTTGAACCCGTATGTCTAAATAGTAAATTTGGACACACCAGGTACGTCGAAGAACGTCATTTCCCTAGGTTTCCATTTCTCTGGTGGAGCTGGGAGTTGAGAGTATTTATACGCGAGCCCATGTGCTCTTCCTCCTTCAGACACAATCCAAGCACCGCAGTCATGCCAGTTACCACTCGCTCCCAAGATACCACTCTGGACAAGCACGGTAAACCAATCCATATTGGCGAAACAGTTTCCAGCCGTGTTGGAAACATCGGTCGCCAGTATGGTACCGTGGAGGATATCGCTTCTACTCAAAGTGAAGTGGAGGAGGCTGGGGTAAAGAACCCGCCAAAGGTTCTGTATACTGATCAGCATGGTGAGTACTCCTTGGGGCTTAAGGATTGATTGTTGCTTAGACGGCGGGTTTGGTGTAGGACATGATGTGAACCATGAGCCTGAGGCTCTTGTCCACGGCGAGAGGCCGTCCTAATTTCTAAGGTTTTGATTATCTGTTCGAAGCTTTACTCTTATATTCCCTGTAATGATATATCTCTCGCATCCTGCTTAATAGGACAGTAATTGGTACCAGTGCTTATCTCGATTCTGACCGGCGGCTGCTTCGAATCCGTTTCGACCGTTCTAGCTCACCGCGGCTAAATCCAACATATCAGAGGTTTCTCTAGCCTTAAGTACTCGTATATATGTGGAAGTTGTATTTCAACAAACATTTGCTTACAGTAGTAAACCTCACCTCTTCCTCGGCCTCTTGAAGATCTGAGGGCATTAGGCGCCCATTTAAACACACACGGTCCGGTCTCCCCGGGTCCCAAACAGACTTGGTGTAGAGGGCCGTTGCAAGCACGGCAGCTACGAGCCTTTCAATGTTCATTATAATTGGTATCAGACCGGCGTCAGTACGATACGATGATGACACGAAGACCCAAGGTTGACTTTACCGTCGCCCAAACGTGGTCAATGCCATCATGTGGTTGTGTTTCCCCACATCCAGTGCCACCCTCTTCCACCTTGCAGTTCCACCAAAGTCCCTCCTATTACTTTGAGAGTCCGTCATATTCTAAGCAGATTGGAATCAATAATCCTAATATGCATCCATTTACCTACAGGAATCCGGATCAAAATTCAATGCCACGGTCAAACTGAAGTATACAGGATGGGGGACAAGGTCGGAGATCTCGGACAGGCAGGAATCATCACGAGCCAGGGATGGGCTGGTAGAGGCTGGGTAAGATGGAAATGGAGTCAGGACGCAGGTACACGGGCAGGCTATCGATTGCCCCCAGGATTGCCCCCAGGGATAAATCGGCGTGAGTAATCCCTGTGATCAATCCGGTCGCCGCGAGGGATGTATTAAGACCCCTCAACAGAATTATGTCGGGATAATTCCCCAACACAGACCTCAGTTTAGATCGGATCCATTTCCTGAGGGATACGCCTTATGAAGCAGGTGTCGGCCAGCTGCTCTTGCAACCATCGGGCATCTCGCTCAATTACAAAATACATTCGAATTTTGTTGGAATTCCGGCCCTCGTTTTCTTATTAATCTTGTTTGGTTGAAGAGAGGAGTCGAAGTCGAACGAAGTTTTCATTGGGAGAGCGCTTCCATCCTCCCACTCGATCACGATCGGCGGCGCATGGGTGACGGGTGACGGGCTCGTGCTTCCTGTTGTTGCAACTGCTCAGTTCTGAAAAGATATCTAGACACACCAATCTTTGCAGGCAACGCAAGCGGGGAAGCAACAGACAACAAGTCTGAGCACCCTAAATGTCAGGTAATGAACCAGAATTCGAGCGCTCAGACTTGACGCGTTGAGCTCCATTGTGGACGCGCGCATAGATAGAGTATGGGGGTGTCTAGGTCGTGTTAAGGAGAGAACATGAGCAGGTCCCCGACATCAAAGCCCAGTTCGGAGGCAAATGGGTTTGATGGGACTTCCGTTTTGGTCAACGATGGCAGAGCTGTACTTGGGCGCCTCACCCAGGTGGTCCGACGATCCAGTGGCTCAATTTCATTCTCTGATTCAACGAATAACACCTTTAACAACATCTCTGGGAAGTCTTAGCCACTAGAAGTGGAGAACGGGTAGCCTGGAGGAATTTCAAGCTGGACGCGGCAGCACTACTACTTTCCTGTTTCGGGAGTTGCCAGTCCTCAGCTGATGTTATCAATCGGCAGGCAAGGGCAATCACACAATTCCCTAATGGCTATAATACAAAGCTCGGCGCACGCTTGGCGAGGGGTCCCTACGACTCTGAAAAACCGATCTTTACTTACGTAAAGGCTCGGAACCCAATCAGCACCGTCACTGACGGCGCTTTCTCTCTTCCCCGTTCTTCTCGCCTTTACAAATCCGACCTTTTTTTATCGTGTTCTAGAGGGAAATGGAAACTTCCCAAACTCTATTCGCTCGCCTCAATACAGGGCAATTCACGCTTTCGACGTCACTCCGTACCTCGACCAGCACGCAAGACAAAGCCTGAGTTTTGGACTGAATCGAGAGGGTATTCAACAGTTCAACGAGGCAAAGAGCGATATGGAAGCACAGAACGCTAATTCCCTGGTCAAGACCATTGACTTTGGGGATTTCCTGGAAGGGAATGACTCCAAGCGTGTCGCCAGCGAAATCCTTGAATCGTTCAAGTCAATCGGGTTTGTTTGCCTCACGAACCATGGACTGCAGCAGGAGAAGGTGGACAAGATGTTTGAATGGGTACGCTGTGTGGTTTTTCTGGGTCCAATTCTCTGATAATCGAACAGCGAAATGTAGTCCAAACGTTTCTTTTCGCTTCCCATGGAGACGAAGCAGCTGGCGCCTCACCCGCCCTCTGGGACACACCATCGAGGTACCCGTGGTCTGTTCTTTTTCCAGTCACTTCGAGGATCTAAAACCCCTTCCAGGATATTCTGCGCCCGGGGTAGAACGTATCAGTCAACACGTATACGACGAAGCTGAGCTGGAAGCGCTGCGATTGAAAGGCCAAGATGTGAAGGAGAGCTTCGAGGCTGGTCGTGAAGACGATCCTCTTATGCCCAATATCTGGCTTCCAGATGGTGTCCTACCTGGATTCAAAGAGGCGTGCCTCGAGTTCTACTGGGTACGCGCCCCAGCTAACGTCCGCTACATTGTTGACTGACTATGGTCGTAGGCTTGCTACGAGCTCGAGAAGAGCATTCTGCGTGCCATGGCGGTGGCTTTTTCGCTCCCGGAGGACTACTTCATTCAATTCCACAAGGTGGCAGATAACCAAGTTCGACTCCTGCACTATCCTTCGTGAGCACGATTCGACTCGGATCTGGGCGTTGCGAACTGCTCAACCGCCGTTAGGATTCCGAATGCCCACCTAGCAAGCGAAGCGTTCTCGAGAATTGGAGCGCACTCGGATTTCGGCACCATTACAGTACGCGTGTTCCTTTATATCCTCGTACCTCTCCTGACGATAGAATGCAGCTCTTATTTCAAGACGAAGTGGGTGGACTAGAAGTCGAGGACCCTCATAACCCAAACACGTTCTTGGTACGCGAGCTACACTCTCCAACGAATACAGAACGGGACTCATGGTTTCAGCCCATTCCGGTCATACCTAACTCGGTCGTCGTCAATGCTGGAGACTTCATGGCGCGATGTGAGGAAGCCTACCCACGTGTGCCTTTCGAAGCTAATCTCACTTCTCGTTGATAGGGTCCAACGACGTTATTAAGAGCACTATCCACCGTGTTCGATCTCCCCCTGGATCAGACATCAATGGCGAAGCACCCGAGCGCTATTCGATCCCTTATGTGAGTGCCTTCACTATTTCCCCATCCCAGTGTCGAGGAGCTGACGCTATCGCCCTATAGTTCTGCTGCTGCGTATGTCGTCCCTTCAAGTTCCAATGTGCAGAATGCTGAGACCTGTCTCTTTTGGCTGTAGGATCTCGCCACTGTCGTCGACGCTGTCCCTGGAACCTGGGATGAAACCAACCCCAAGAAATACAAACCCATCTCGGTCCGTTTATCTGCGACCCCGACAGTAGCATATGAATTGACCAGTGCTCCTACAGGCGAAGGAATATATCTTGAAAAGACTTGCAGCTCTGTATTGATGATGATCATTCTCTCGAAGTGGATTCGATCTCGTTGTTCTTTGCAGCATGTCTGTCATGTCCAATGTATGCAGTGTGTTATTTGGGAGCCTCAAGTTTCCATGCCTTGCCAACTTTAATGCTCAAGTTACGTGACGAATTGCGCTATTAATCTGAAACGCTGCTTCTGGTGCAGTCCTATGACTTTATCGCATCCGCTCTACAGTACCCTCCGTCAGCACTCTGTCCGACGTCCTGATCGTTGTCAGTATGGTGTGAGGAAAGGTCCACGGACTGCTGAGCAGCCGCCGTACCTCGCCCCACCTTCCTTCTACTGCCAATACACCATCGCTGGACAGACGTAGCCGCTCTATCAATCTGGGTCTTCCACGTAGGTACGTACGTTTCCTTGAACCACGGGAGCTAATCAGCTCCCGTCAGCTCCGTCTAACCCGTGATAACCATATCAAACTCTACCACAGGCTATTTTCAGAGCAATGTGGCAACTTTACGAAATGTGTCTGGAGATGAAGGGTGCTTCGCTTCCCAAATGGAAGGTGCTCAACAGCGAAGATCGTTTCCTACTCCCACTCGGAGGCAGGCTGGAGCTATAAAGCTTTTGGACATCCTTCGTTAGATAAACCTCTGCAGTCTCTTGCGCCTTGACGCAATGTCGTCCACTGCCTCTGAATTGCCCTCTCAACATTCGAAGATCCTGTCCGAGCCGGTTGTTATACTGGGTACGGGCGCAGCGGGTCTCATCCACGCGCATGTCTTGCTGCAGGATGGGTTCACGGATGTTACGCTTATCTCGCGGGACGAGTCTGTTGGAGGGGTGTGGTCCAAAGAGAGGGTTTATCCTGGGTTGCATATCAATAAGTACGCCTCCTTTTCTCCCTTAGCTTCTCTGCAGTGGTAGCTTTACTTATCACGATCTAGTGTACACGGAGAGTACAGGTTCTCCCCACTCAAGATGCCTCCACCAGAGAACGCGGACAAGACGGGCGGGAGGCTGCGGGGCGAAGATATGTGCGAGTACATGGAACGCTTTGCGAACGGGTTTCTGGAGGGCAAGGCGAAGTTCGTCATGAGAACGGAGGTGCTAGACGTTAGAAGGATAGAGGGTCCGAGTCCAGAGGGGCATTCAAATTCTGACGGCTGGAATCCGTTGAACCCTTGGCCGTGGCATGTCAAAGTGAAGAATCTGGACTCGAACGTGGAGGAAACACTTCATTTCGCTCGAGTCGTACTCGCGACCGGTGTAAGTCCGTGTTGTGTCGCGATCTTCTTCTATGTCACGGTGTTATTGTGTTAACTTTAGAACTGAAATGACAGGGATGTAGTAACCCGAAGGTTCCTTCCGAGCTCTCGCCGGAGGCTGCTGACTCGGCTGGGTTTGAAGGCCTTGTCTTCCATGCCTCGGAGTTTGGTGCTCGGTTGGACGAAGTACTGTCTTTGGTGAAACCGACGGGGGACGAAGGATCAGTTCAGACTAAAGACGGCGAAGAGGACGGTGAGGGAGGGGTAGTCGTCATCGGAGGTGGAAAATCAGCGCAAGAGAGTAGGTCTTTCACCTTCCAACTCCCATCCTAAGCCAAGATTCTAAAGCAGAATACTCAATACTCCCACCTCTGACTCTAGTGTCTGCGCGAAGCTTGCGAACGAAGGAAGAAAGGTTACAATCATCTTTGAGACTACGGAGGGGTTTTTGGCGACTGTGAAGCCTATGGCAGAGTGGCAGCGGAAGAGCAGGTTCCTGAGCACTTTGATGGCGTATAGCACGCTTCGGACGCGATGGGAGAGGTTTCTGCACCGAACTTGGTTGGGGAGTAGGCTTACGCATTTTATTGTTGGTGATATCACTGAGACGTCGGTGCGTTTCTTTCCTAGCGTGATCGCCTATTGGTCGTTCCTGATCATAGTTTCTGACCATGTTTCTAGTTTAAGGCCTACAATATACCCCCAGATTCTCCGATGCGACGAACACATCCCTTTTTCTGGGGTGTAAGGTTGAGCGACGAAGGAGGTGTGCGAGCGAACAGCTACCATTCTTTGGTCAACGCTGGTCTGATACGTGTTTGTGCGCCTGCCCGTGCACTGGGGTACTCGAGCAACGGGAAACGCATCGGCGTTGCGTTGAGTAATGGGACGGTATTGCCAGCCAAAGTGGTCATTCTGGCTACTGGGTACCAGTCCTCGTGGTCGAAGATTTTCACTCGTACGTCTTCTCACTCTGACTCATCTGCCTGTCGAATTTTCAATGCTGATTTATTGGGTGTTGCGCAGCCGAGGTAGCTGAGGAGATAGGAATCGCACGACACGTCCCCACTCATGACTTCGTCGACGTTTGGAAGTATGAGTCCCTGAAGAATGGACCCGAAGCCCATAAAGATAGTTGGAAATGGACGACTTCGATTTATAGAGGGATCGTCCCTGCGCGTAACATAATGAAGCGCGACTTTGCGATTGCTGGTGCTTTGGTAGGTTGACCACTGATACCTCCTTTACCTGTCACCTGAACAGACTCGACGATGTGAATTGACTGACACCGTTAACATATATTTCTAGTTTACGGCCAACTTTGGCTATACGAACGAAGTGGCGGCTCATTGGGTCTCGTCCTATTTCCAAGGTGATAAAATGAAGATACCGGAAACGCCTGAAGAGGCCACGGCGATCTCGGAACGGCAAGCCAACTGGATGAGGATCCGGTATCCCCACATGCTTTCTTGGGTCAACGAGAGCTATAGCGGGTCTTTGGATTTTTGGACGTGCGTTGTTATTTAACTCGGATGGTATTTCGAAATTGACGCTGAGGATTGTTTCCTGACACAGATGGCCTCAGGCTGTGGACGAGATGTTGGAGGATATGTATTTGCCTTCGCAGAGGAGTGGAGGGAACTGGTTGACGTGGTTGTTTAGACCGATTGATTTGAAGGAGATTGAGAATTTGGCGGAGGAGAGGCGGATCGTTCGGATGGGTGGTGTGGTTTGATAATCGGGATGAACGAGCTTTGTGACCACAGTCTCGGTGCATGTTTGGGCTCACGTTTGCTATCCATCCTCTCCATCAACCCAGTGGGTACGCCGTCGTTTGTGTTCGTGGTTTGTGGGGGGTCGGTTCTGGAGACATAATATTGAATGCTTGGAGGCAGACACCCACATATCCTCCTCCATTACGAGCCCAGAATGAAACGAATTAGTTCAAGCAACTTCGCGCTTCCCAATTGAGAGAAGACGTATTGTTACTCGCGTGCAGTCATCAGTTGCTAACTGGTAAATCTCAGCCCAGCAACAGTAAAATGGAGAGAACAAATACTTAGATGCTCCACTGACCACTGCAGGTAGCGCCCACAGCTGCTGTACCGATGTTGACAAGGTGAGCGCTGACAATCAATCTCCCTCGCGTGCAGTCATCAGTTGCTAACTGGTAAATCTCAGCTCAGCAACACTAAAATGGAGAGAACAAATACAAGGCTGACCACTGCAGGTAACGCTCGCAGCTGTTGTATCGACGTTGACAAGGTGAGCGCTTACAATCAATCTCCATCCTCAACAAGACAATAGCAACAACTCCCTTGAAGTTGGTGCACCCCTCCTATATAAGAGATTGCAGGCCCTGTTGAAGGAGTAACTACACTTGCACTCAACTCCACAATACTCGCCTAGCACGACCTACCCACCAGAGTACTTTGTTAAATCTGCACCTCCCAGCACACACATCATGCCCGCCGCTTTTTCTCTTTTCGAGCTTCTCTACGGTATTCTCAGCCGCGACACCGTTGAAAACCAAAGAATGGCCGTCGAAGACCCAGACCCCGAGGCTGAAGCCACAGAGTGCGCCGAAAGGTCCGCTTCTGAGCCTGCAGAAACCGCCGGACGACCCACTGCTCCAGAAGCCCCAACGAGAGGATCCGACTCCCAGAATTTTGAGGAGTGGATAATCAGGAAAGATAACGCCTCTATCTCCTCCACCGCTACCGTCGAGCGTGGATGGGGCAACGGTCACGTATTTATGAGTGGCGATTCGCAAATATCCGGTAATGCCAGGGTCACTGCCGGACACTACGTTGCGGAATCGTTGGAAGAGGCGGAGAAGAGATGGGGAGAGGAAAAGAAGAGATCGGATCGTGAACTTGAAGCGTTGAGGGTAAAGCATAGGGCCAGGATGGCCGCGCTGGAGAAGGCTAGGAACCTCGAGTAGGGACGACCAATCTATCAGACTGATCATTTGAAATGTTGTCCGTTGGCGGTGGTTGGTGTGTGTTCCGTCTGATTTGGTTAACAGGTTGCGCAGGGCTGTCACCATCCCAGATTGCCAATTGCAATCTGCCACCCATTTTTCTCTCCTGCTAGTCTATCTCATCTCAAGTAAATCTTATTATCCATCTAATTTAAATAATGTGTCTGTAGATCTTTTAGATAGAAGCCATTGGCACTTTGACGCACCTTCCATCTACTTTTAAGCGCCCGTTGGCACCACGGTGATTCATAAGTATTGGTTATTCTCCAATATCCTGTTTGTGAATGATGTACCTGTCATAGGCTGTTAGGCGCAGACTTTCCAGGAGGAAGTGGTTGTTGAGTCAAAGATTGGGAGGGGAAAAGGCATAGGAAGAGGAGGGGACTCAGGGGAGAGCGTCAAATTCTGGATGACGTCACAGGTTCAAACCCGACAACGATCATCCGGAGAAATCGTGAATTAAAACTCCTCGGGTTGTCGGCTACTCTGGGATGGACATCGACTACCTACGGGCTGGCGACAGTCGCCCTTTGTCCCGACAACTTACTGGGCTGATGAGAGTTCTGGGAGTTCCTCTCTATTAGTCAGCCTGGGGGTTACGGTGCCCACGAGGCTGCTGGACCTTGGAAACACATACACACACACACACCATTTTGCGGGCATCTTTGTCCTTAACTTGCACGTCGAAACGACATTCAGAAACTGCTTGTTAGACTCTTCTCCACCAATACTCCCCTCTCTCGCTCTGCCTCCATAATAGAACGCACAAATTGAACAGCACTTGTAAGTTTTGCTCATCGGTGACGGTCTACAAAGCTAGTTGGTGGGCCATACCTCGATGTAGGCTAGCAGTAGCAGGTGTCCGTGAATTCTGGACAGGAGTCAGTTATGGCCTTTATCTTCTATCCGTCGACTCTCTCACGTCTGGACAGTCATACCAGGTGTCTGCGCACTTGTGGGACGCTCGATGTGTTAGCTGTGATGCACGATGCCGCTCAACGCTCAGATCTCAGAAGCCACGCTGTATCAGGTATATAACCATCCCTTCCTTCATCTCGTCTATGCGATCTGATGTACTTGGTTATATTATATGGTCACCGGTCAAGTCTCATGTTGGGCACGGCTACTCATGACCCCTATCCCGACTGGTATGAGACGATGACATGGACTCTACCGTAAATCTCCCTCTAGTCGGATCCATTTCGCAAAGCTCTCAATTTATCCCTGGCTTGCTCGTTTAACAACCTATACGCCTCTTCATCCTCCTTCAACCCAAACTCTCTGCAGAGCTCCATGCAAACTCTCGTCCTGGATAACCCAATTGCACTCGCGAAGAACTCCCTCGCTTTCGCTCCCTCATCCTCGTCCATCTCCATCGTCGAGGGATGATCCCGGTTGGTGTTGAAAACAACCGCATCAAATACCATTATCTCCTCTTTGGGTCCCGAGGCTGCTGCGGCTTCTGCGCCCCCGGGTGGGATGACGATCGGCTCCTTGGAGGCTCGCAAGAGCTGGAAAAATGGGCCCCTCAGCACGACCTCCTTCTCCTCCGGAAACGCCGAAACCGCACTAATATCCACTGCGCAGATGGTGGTCACAACGCTCGTCGGAAACCTCTCCCTGTATTCCCTCAGCGACTCCGCGTCGAGCGCGACTACGTGAATTCTGAACAGGACTCTATGTTGTACGACAGTGGGGGCGTCCTGAAGTGGCTCTTCCGCGGCTGCTGCTGTGAATTCGAGCGCTAGGTCGCGCGACGCTGAACACGACATGAACGCCAGTGGAATCGCCCAGTATCGTTCCTCGACCGGCTTTTCCATCAGGCGTAAAAAACTCTGGAAGTGCGAAGAGGTGACGTTCATTCCCCTGTACACCACCCCTGTAAACCCTTCTTCCCCGCCTCCGTCCGTCGACTCCTCCGAGCGGGGCGCGTTGATTTGCCGACTGAGAGTATAATTGAAGAGCTCGATCGTCAACAATTCGACAAGGAATACGGCAGCACGCAGCCGCTCCTCCGTTTCTTCCAATTCATCCGTTCTAAACGCGTTGTTCAGGACGGAGAAAATCTGATTATAGCCGTCCTTGTCCGTGTATAACTTGAGGAACCCATAGTCTTCTTCAACCTCATCCTCTCTCTCCCCTCGCCGAACTCTGTCTCCCCACTCCTTCCTCTTTCCACCACCAAACAACCCACCACCCTCCTCGAACCCAGGCGCATTCCGTAAAAACGCGGCCTCCAATTCATCCACGAAACCCCAGTATCCATGCTCCCACTCCCTCCGAATCTTCACGATCGCTTTCCGAATCTTCGCCATCCTCTCGTGAACGCCTCCACCTTGAAAGAACGATCTAACCTTTGTCCCACCAGGAAGGATAGAATCGTCATTGGTAACGGCGCCGAATCGGGAAAGGTTGGCGATAAGAGACCAATTATCGAACCGTGAGGATTGCGTAGCGGTTGAGCGCCGTCCTCCTCGTGTCGGGACTCCAGTAATATGCTGAATAGAAGGCTTTGCAGCGGGAGAAGTCCCTGCGAATGAATCCGCGTATGAAGCTCTGGACTGGTCGCCTCTGGTCATCTGGTAGTCCCAAGTCGTCAATCTAGATGATCGAGTGTGAGATGTCGCAACGAACGAAGGGAGGAAGCCATTCGCAAAGCTAAGTTAGAGATATATATTAGCAAGGCAGTGTGCGGAACCTCTTCTCTCATAATCATAAACCAGATAGAAGCCAGCTGTGCCGCAGCGTTCATTCAGTTGTCACCTGTCACACCCATGAGAACGAGAACACTGAGCATTTAGCTCGAACCGCTAAGCGCCCGTGACGATGCCGTGAATTCCGAGATTGTTCACACCTACGCAAGGAACAGCATTTGGTATTCATCTTAGCCATTCCCGTGTCCCTGGGTCCCAATACCGTACTTTGACCCTCAGCGCACCACAGCCCCCAAAACGTGTTCTCTCTCCTCTCGCGCCCTGGAATCGCAGAGGGACTAAGCAGACAGGTGTACAAGGCTGCACTGGCATCTAATTCGTGACTCTGCGCCCAACCGCAGCGCACTACGACCCTGGTGCCTGGAGAACAAGAACAAGGTATACCGTTAGATCCCTCAAGGCTATGATGTGCAACTAAAAAAAGACGTCCTATTGATCAGGTTGACCTATTTATCAGCCACTTGAAACCCGCCGCAACCCGCCCAATACCTCACTTTCCCTTCCTCCCTCCCACCCACCTGACCTTGAGTCCACAGGTACATACCTATCACTATTCGCTATTCGCTACATATACCCGTCCCAAACGGCTGTCGATCCACTGAAGGAATCCAACCCACCTATTCGGGTCCTCATCTCCGAGCTCTGACTAACCCAGGGGCCTAAGCACACGGGCAACCGGATCCGCGCGCTCGCTCGCGACGTCGACATAACACTGCATCATGGACGCCACGAGCCTGCTCCTCAACATCCTCTCCGTCGCGAGGGGCATCCACACCTGGCTGGACCAGCTCCAAGCGAAGAAAGACAAGACCCGACAGCTCCATTGGCGTGTTAAAACCCTCATCGACACTCTCTTCCCCCTCCTCGAATTCCACCACGCCAATATCCATCAAGTTCACCATAGTACCCACTCTGGCCAGGGATTCGAACGAAAGGGCCAAGAACTCCGAGTCTCCAACGCCGACTCGGGATTTTCGTTTTACGGTGCAGACTCGGACAACTTGAACCTGAAGAAGTCGCCATCTTCTTCTCCAAAGTCTCCACCACAGCCTTCACCACCTCTTTCACCTTCCAACCTCACCAACAACGAACTAACAGACCTCTTCCTCGAACTCGCCCAAATCCTCAGCGGAATCCGGACGCACCTCTCCGCCTACCGGGCGAGCTCCAAGCTCAAACTCACGACCCTCATGGACTTTGTCAACCCCGCAGTCCTGATTGGGAGGTTGGAAGACGACGAGAAGAGGTTGTCGAGGTGGATCGAGCTGTTTACGCTCAAATTGCATGTTATGAATAGTATTGGTGGGAGTCAGATGAGCCCTTCGTCACCGAATAACTCTGGTCGGACCTCTTGGTTGCATTGTGGAACTACGAAATACGACAAGAACTCGGATTCGGACTCGGATTCGGACGTGACTCTATTCGGGGGAGAGAGGACTACCATTGCCACTGGACGAGGTGGTAAACCCCGCCAAACATCAACGAATTCCACGACAAAACTCGATTCATCCGAATCCGACGTGGACATGTTCTGGGATATATGCGTAGGCCAAGACGTCAGTACCACTTCCTACTCTCTTATTCCATCGATAATCAGGATTGACTAACACCTTGATACCCCTTCCAGTTCCTCGTGACAAGCCCCGCAGAGTTCCTCACCGGTCTACGCTGCTGGATCCGACGCGACCTCGACGAATTTACGTGCGCCGCCCTGCTCATGGCGCTAGACCCAGACGGTCTTGGGCCAATCACTCGGAAGAGCGTTCTCGCGGAGGTAAGACATTTATCCTTGAAGGACTACGTCCTGCAGAGCAAGTGTCCAGGTAAGCCGAGGATCCCCCATTTCTGATACGAGCACACATGCTGACCCACTCCGACTCGCCCACTGCGACTTACAGACCCAATACGGACGTCATCTCCAATCCCATTCGACAACGACTCCGACGACACGGCTACGCTCGCAGACGACAACTCGGACGCCGAGACCGTGGTCGAAGGAATGGATCCAGACGACTTCGCCGAAGACACCATCCTCCAACCAACCCTCGTGTGGATCGACGACAGAATGTCGAACAACCAACAAGAAATCTCGTACGCCGAATCACTGGGTATACAAGTCATCACTCTCCCCTCCTCCTCCGTTGCGCGGTTCTGGATCGAGCAGAACGAACGTACGTCTCTCTCTCGTCTTGACTCTTGATTGGGTCGTTTTAACTTGAACGTTTTGGCCTGACGATGGTTACTGTATTCCCAACAGCATCCCTCCGAAAACTCGACTCCACCAACAACCTCAGCTTCATCACCGACAACGCACGCTGGGAAGGCCCAGCCCCTTCCGCTTCCCATTCCCCCGACCACCTCTTCCTCAACCTATCAGCCGGCGAATCCATTCTACGCTTCGCCCGTGCCAAACGCTTGCGCTGTCCAGTCCTGGTCTACTGCGGCGCAAGCATCGTCGTCACAGACTACGTCAAGCTGTACAACCGCGCGGCGTCAACCCAGAGCTCGGATGTTTGTAAGAGGTTTATTGAGTCGCTTGGACTCGGATGCAAGGGTCGGGTGGAAGGACGGCGTGGTGATGGTCGTGGTGAACTGGATTGGACGCAGTTTGCTGCGAGAAGGGGACAGGGAATCGGGATTTCCGTAAAGTAGGTTCAGGGCATGCTACACGGACATGTTTTTTTACCTCATTCGGTGTATCTGGGTTTTGGATCTCCTCGCTATGATTAGGGATAAGAATAGGGACAGGCTGTACTTCTATTTCAATACGATATCATTTTCTAGTAATGGCATATTAACCCCGTGCTTCAAGCCCGCTGTTCCAACCAAATCTTCTATTTCAGCCTACTGGTGATACCGAGCTACAGACAGCGGATTGGGATGTATACACGCTGAATCCACATCGAAAGGCGTAAGTACTCTTACCTTCAACACAATAGGGCCAAGACTGACCTTATTGAACCAGGTGCTGACCGGTTTTTCTCCTAACGCGATCGGGATCCGCGTCGTACGCAGCTCGACTCACGCCACGCCACGTCGTCTTGGATCCACCAAATCCTTTGAACGATCTATGCAGAGGTATAAGTAGATTCCCATTCAAATGAGGGATCGGGACTGACCTTGTCGACCCACCAGCCATGACCCCTATACTATCCCTACTCGACCTTAGCGCCCACCTCAGGGTGCACGTGTAGTGAATGGTTTATGGAAAAGTGTCCTTTTTCCCTGATGCGCTGACTTTGGTGGGCTGCAGCCACCAAGTTGGCCCAGACCCACGATGCGTCTCTGCAACCCATCCCTGCACGCCAAGTTCAAAGGTGAGTCGACGGGCTACGATAAAGAGCAAGTGCGTGCACTTGCGTCGTTCGTGTAGGCCTACGACCACGAACGTGCGCTGCTGGGCGTTCATCGACCATCGGAAGCGCGGCCTACGGATTGGCGCGATGTTTGGTGGGTGTCCGAGGCCTTCCCCTGTCGGTAAGTCGGATTCGTCTTTTCGCATACGCGGTGTATGTAATATTCTTGAGTTCCACGTTGAATCGAGGTCGTCCACGCCCGCCTAGACGAATGGTAAGCCGGTCGCCTGTCGTCTGGGGTGTTGCGGGGACTTACCCAGTCCGTATATGCGATCCTGCTAAACAAGATACCGACGTTTTCAGCTTTCATGACTTCCGTTACTCGTCCTCGTTTTACGCAGTGTAAGATTTGTGTCGCAGCCAGCAGGATTCTGCGCTATATAACCAAAGGTGAGATGGCTTTCGCGACGATTCAAGGAGTCGGAAGCGCTTACCTGGCCTACTAGTCGCCTCAGGTCACCACGCCACCGAGTACCCTCGAAGAAGCGCTGCGAGATGCTCTGTAGGTCGAGCGCCGAGCCTTTTTGTTGTGGATAACTCGAGTATTTCGCCTTTGTATCGCGCCTTCTACCGTTCTGGAGTGTCGGTTGGACTGGAGGAGACTTTGTGGCTACGGTTCAGGCAAAGGTAAGTGTTCCTTTACGATTGAAGTGGAGCATTGCACTTACCTCCTCCTTGTGCACTAAGGGCTTTCGATCCTCTCAGGTCCCCTCGCCTCCAACTTCTGCAGCGCTCGCAACACCGTCACCGCGCCACTCCGGCGCAGAAAGGACGCCTCAGCGCTCAGGTATTCGGACGTGGAAGGCTGCCGTCGTCGAATAATGGGCAGGCGCATGAGCCACGTCGATTTTCCAGTCGATGTTCGCCCGACTTCGCTTGTGTAGGGTGTTAGAATGTACTGAGGACTGTTTACAGGTAAGCTATTGGTTTGCTTTCCCATGGAATGAGAACTCGCCTATAGCATCGCATTCAGGTGAATGATCTGTATAAGGGAAGCTGAGAGTAAGCAAACCGAGTCCATTCGATGTTCGAAATTCATATCTTACCGATTTCGTTTAGCGTCGTCTCACCGGTCAAGCGCAGGTTTCTGTCAAGTCCCAAGACCAAAACTAACCAACAACGTCAGCTGAAACAAGTCTTCAGTGTTCTTAGCGTTCATTGCGTTCGTCGTTGGCGGGACTGGCGGCAAGTTGACGTTGGAGGAGTGAAGCAAGCGGGGCCGCGCAGAGATCCCGAATGATGTCACCGGTTGAAACTCAGCCAAACGCGATTCATCAACATTTTGCAGGTATCTTCCAAGTATCTTCGTCGGACAAGTAGACAATTCGCACAAGCCAACACCATCGTCCTCTTTCGCGCCCCAAAGACGTCCAGAAACACCTTTATCGACCGACCTTTCTCGATGTGTAGGTCTCCCCAGCCGCGTCCCGAAATTCCAGTCGGTCGTTGGCCAGAATCGCGACACCATGGCGTTCACAAAGTCCAGGCCAGAAATTTGCAAACGTACATTTGACTTGCATCCAAGTTGCAACGGGGTATGCTGAAGAAATTCCTTTGTCGACTCAAATTCTAATTGACGATGACGCGACAGAAACGATAGAGAACACAGACGCGACGAGGGCAGGGTTGGAAGGACCAACCACAAGACTAACATGCCTACCATTTGGGTCCTACAAAGCTGCTAAGGCAATCGCCAACACAATAAGCAACCTATATTTCGATTCGACGCGAATTCAACCCTTAGAAGACCATATATATCACCGGTTTCCGATGGTCTACAGTCACATTCGTAAGCTCTTTGGTTTTGATTACAATTTCGATGTTTACATTGGCTTACATTTGCGTATTACCGTCAATTCTCAGGGAAACCATCGCTAGGAGGGAGTTTCCGTACCCAGCGCTTCACGCTTTCGCAAGGACGGCGCGGGCTTGGTCGCGTCAGGTAGACCGCGAGGGCAAACATCGGGTAGAGGGACCGTTGTCGAGGGGTGACAGGGTCGAACCTTGGTCGAAAGGCAATTCGACTTGATAGGTTTCGTCAAGACGTCGAATCCGAGAAGATGTAACGCACCATACGTTATTCACCACAACATTGGCCACGTTTTGCACTGTCTGGATCATCGGCTTTCCGGTGTTTTGGGCGCCTGAACTTGACGTGAGTATGTTTACTCTCTTACTTGTTTGCTCAGGCTCTGATTCTGCGTGTTCAGGGAAACCAATACTCTTGTCTTACACAGCTGCACACTACTTTTCGTATGTCTCGCTTACGACCGTCGGACACGGCGGTTTCTTCTCCACGCCTCCCCTGCTGGTCGCCCTTTCTTCGTTGGCTGCAGTTTGATTGGTATACGACCCTACCAGAGAAGTACCGGCTGAGGAAGTAGAACGGGATGCGAGGAAGGGGAGGACTGGGAGGGCACGGATTGGGATTCTCAATCATCTCGATCTAGGAAGATACCGTCGTTGCGCACCCAGGCAGGATTTGGAGGAGCGACTCGGAGGCGACGATTCAAGAGACCGACATAGTGTCGAGGAAGCTACGGGGTTGGAAGAGATGTTGAAGGACGAGATCACTCTGGACCATGACTTGACCGTTCCCGTACTTTGGACAACGGTTTTCGCGGACGAGTGTCGATAGAGAGCAGTGTCATCATGTACACATAGCAGTCCTTTTGCGCTGTTCTTTAGGTGTGGGCTCGATTTTCTGATGCACACAAGCCATAGAGCGCTCAATCTCGCGTTTACAGATTTTTGAAGCCTGAACCCGGTATTCTATATCCTCGAGTGTGGAATCCGTAAACGACGGAACAAGCAATCACCCCAAAGCGGATTGTGGCAGTGTGCCATGTTGAAGCTCGTGGCCCACTCGAGGCTGGCCCTTCGTTTCGCACAGTCTGCACTCGAAACCTAGCATTCAGTCTACACAAGCTATAACCACCAACCTCCAATCGACTACGCCTGCTGTTATGAGTTCAACAAGTTCTGCAACCAAGCCGCGAAAGCGCGATCGCTTCAAAGAGAAGCTCCTCTCGAAATTCAGATTCGGATCGCATTCGAATTCGCCTACTCCTTCGATTCCTCAGTCTGGCTCAAGTTCCATTCGAGACCTCAGCCTGGATGTACCTGGGAGACAAGGCGAGACTGCGGCGCCCACCGAGAACGCACCTCAAAGTGCCACTGTTCCCCAGACCAACGAGGGAGGCCAGGTTGTCATCGGGGGCGCCCTATCCGTGCGCGATGGTGGAGTTCAGCCAACTGGAACCCCGTCCGTTGACGAGGTGGCTCACACTCGCCACCAGAGCTCGGTCGACGCACCGCTTGCGCCCACCACACGCACCAACCCTGTCACAGACACGCCGGTCATGCCCAGCGCCGACGGAGGCAATTCCACCACCCCTGCGATTGCGACGAACGAAGGATCAGTGTCGTCGGCTGCACGCACGATCTTCTATGGCACCAAGGAAGTCTTGCGGGTTATCAAGGAGACCACCGATGTATTCCCCCCGGTCAAAAGCGTCGCTGCTGCGATGTTGGAAATCCTGAACATACTGGATGTACGTTGGCATTCTTTCACGATCCAGGAACTCGATTGACCTTGTTTACTAGACTGTTGATGGCAATCGCGATGAGGTCAAGAAGCTCGGCAGTCGCCTTGAAGTCCTCAAGGACATCCTCAAGTCTTGCCCTACCACGGGCGTGGAGCAATCGGTTCGAGATCGACTGGATGGCTTAGCCAGGTGCGTTGTCATCCCGTGCCATTGATTGAGGAGGATTTAAATCTAATCGCTTCCTGCAGGATGCTCCAACAAAAGGCGTCGGAGATGAAGAAGAAATTGGATGATTCGATAGGGAAGCGGGTGTTTAATGCGACGGAGGATCAGAAGGAGATTAAGCAGGCTGTTGAAGAGGTCAGGTTCGCGATCGAGGTTGCGATGGTATCGTCCTTCTCGCTCTGCTCCACAGTGCAGCTTCTGATACGAGTTCAGTTTGACATTAGTATTTCGGACCACAAGGCAACCCTTAAGGTGGCGGAGGGAATGGGTTGGGTGAAGGATAAAGGTGAGTCCATGTCCGTCTTGTCGATGCGTGGTCTGACGTCCATCTAGTGGTGGAGACGAGGGATATGGTCGCTGGAACAAAGGAAGTCGTTGAATGGTTGAAGAAGAACGGTAAGAGTGTCCATTTCGAGGCATGATCTTTGCTCAATGACACATAGAACACCTCAAGAGGATCAAGACCGTTGCTGGAGCCGAGTTCAAGCAAGAGAACCGCCAAGGATGTATCCCCGGAACCCGAGTCGCGCTTTTGGCGAACCTACTCTGCTGGGCCAAAGACCCGACCTCCCTTCCCATCTTCTGGCTTTGCGGCATGGCCGGTACTGGCAAGACGACGGTGTCAGAGTCCCTCTGCGCCCTACTCTACGCGGAAGGTCTCCTCGGGGCCAGTTTCTTCTGCTCGTTGGACCACGACGCCCGAAGCGATGTCCAGTGCATTATCCCATCCCTTGCCAGGGCCCTTGCAAGGGTTCGCCCAAAGTTCGCGGAGCAATTGGTTAAGGCGCTCGAATCCGACGAGTGCAGTGACCCCATTGCTATGAACTTCGAAGATCAGTATCGCGTGCTCATCCTCGAGCCTGCGAGAGCCGCATTTGGGCCTGACGAGTTGGTGGTCCTCGGCATCGACGCCCTTGATGAGTGCACCGACAAGCGCAAGCTCAAGAAGCTCCTAGACACCATCGTGTCTCAGAAGCTCCCGCCATCGCTCAAAGTCTTCTTGACCAGCCGCCCTGACGTCGTTGTAGAAGACGTGTTCCACTACCACCAAAAATATCCGGAGCTTCTGCACTTGCACGACGTCGAGGAACATATCGTCGAAGCCGATATCACCGTCTATCTGCACTATCGCCTCTCGCAACTCGTACGCCTTCGCGATCATGTCCAGCCAGAGGATGTCCAGGCCCTCGCCAAGCGGTCTCAAAAGCTCTTCATCTTTGCCGCAACTTTGGCCAATTACCTCGAGGAGTACCGCGCAGGCAACGTCGTCCGGCTGTTCCGCGACCTCTGTTCGTCCGAAGAATCGTCGTTGTCCACCAGTCGTCTGGATTCGCTGTACCGGCTGTATGGGCGCGTCATGTCGCAGGCATTTGAAGGGCTGGAACCGGTGGACGCTCAGAACGCGTTTGTGTGTCTGTCGTTGCTCCTCGTTGCACTGCATCCTCTGTCTGTTTCAGACTATGCCGACCTTCTCGGAATGGAGAACGACGATGTTCGCTGCGCCTTCCAAGGCATGCGAGCTGTCATCCAGGTGCCAGGAGACGACCACCGACCCATCAGCATCCTCCACGCATCCTTCGCTGACTACCTCACCACCGACAACCCACATCGCCGACGTGAATGGGCTATCGATCGATGTTCGGCAAACGAAATGGCTGCTCTTCGTTGCTTCACTGTGATGGAGAAGGAGCTGAGGCTGGGTATCTCGGGTGCGGCGACATCGTACAAGTCGAACAGCGAGCAGCCGAAACCGTTGCGCATTGCATCTCATCTGGCGTATGCCTGTACGGCGTGGGGTAATCATGTCCTTGGCATGGCCACAGCAACAGGAGGTTTATTGGATGAGGTTCGAGAACGATTGGACGAGTTCCTGGTGGGGAAATCACTGTATTGGTTGGAGGTGCTGAGTGTGGAGAAGAAGGTGGATTACGCCTATGATACCTTACCCCACATTGCAAAGGTATTTGACCATCTGTGTGTTGTGTAGCTCCCGGATACTAATGCCTCGTCTTAGGCTCTACCAGCTCTGTCTCATAATACCCGAGATCGCCTCACGGCTATCGCAACATTTTCATCCACGTTCCGGACTCCCATCAGTCATAGTGCTCCCCACCTCTACCACTCTGCCCTACCTGCCTATATTGCCTCGGAGCCATCATTATGGTTCCATCCCCAACTTGCTGCAGTTCCCTCACTCTCCTACTCATATCAAAGAAGGCAGTTATGGACAAGTCATGTTGGTGGATCCGTGTGGTGTGTTGCCTTCTCCCAATCTCGGAGCCTCCTTGCCTCTGGGTCCGAGGACAGGACCATCTGCCTGTGGAACCCCCAGACTGGGGAGGCACTGGGTGAGCCTCTGAAAGGGCACAGTCGTGGGGTCACCTCTGTTGCCTTCTCCCCAGATGGGACCCTCCTTGCCTCTGGGTCGGGGGACCAGACCATCCGCCTGTGGAACCCCCAGACTGGGGAGGCGCTGGGTGAGCCTCTGCAAGGGCACAGTGCTTGGGTCACCTCTGTTGCCTTCTCCCCAGATGGGACCCTCCTTGCCTCTGGGTCATGGGACAAGACCATCCGCCTGTGGAACCCCCAGACTGGGGAGGCCCTGGGTGAGCCTCTGCAAGGGCACAGTGAGCCTGTCACCTCTGTTGCCTTCTCCCCAGATGGGACCCTCCTTGCCTCTGGGTCCGAGGACAAGACCATCCGCCTGTGGAACCCCCAAACTGGGGAGGCCCAGGGTGAGCCTCTGCAAGGGCACAGTGAGCCTGTCACCTCTGTTGCCTTTTCCCCAGATGGGACCCTCCTTGCCTCTGGGTCCGAGGACAAGACCATCCGCCTGTGGAATCCCCTCCAATACAAGCCCACCTACCTCCAACATTTTGACTCCTCCAATGTTCAAGGTACACTTTTTACTTAATGTTGATTACCTCCTTCCTATCCCCTTTTCTATTTCAGATCAGGTGTTGCTCCACATGTATCCTCCCTCCATCTACATGGCTCAGGATGATGGCTGGATCCGCAACACAGCAGGAGATCTCCTCTTTTGGGTTCTACCCGGAGACCGTCCCCATCTCTTCTCCCCTGCAACCCAATGGAAAAGTGGTGTCTTCTGCCAGCTCGATCTGACCAATGCAGTTCACGGAACTGAATGGACCAAGTATGTTCCGGTACTCATGCAATGGCAAGCAACTAACACTCTGTTTCTCTCAGATGCCAGGAACCGAGGCCACCAGGCGAACCACCCCAGCTGTGGCCTATCGGGTAATCACCCAGTGTTATTGTCACTCGAGCGTGCGGTATTTAAATGTCAGGCCCCTTCTCACGTATCAGGACTTTACTTTTACCGTCTGCCCTGTCGCTCTTGTATGGCAGTTTATTAAATTATTATGCTACCGTCTCGTCGCTCGATGCGACTGGGGTCGAATCCACGCCAGTGTCCTCGACAAATCAACGCGTACCAAGGCGAGGAACGGACACCGCTGTACACCGACGGCCTATCTACCATGGCCCCTGCGGTATGCCAAACCACTCGACGAACACGTACTACTTGTGATCTACATCTTAGGAGCTTGAACGCAACGATCCTCGATCCCGAATCTCCGCCTCCTCAAGCGCTTGGATCTCCCTTGCATTCCACCGAGCCCATGCTTTCACTGCATCGCTGTAAGGTAACTGAGGTTCTTGTCAACGCCGGCAGTCTGAAGGCCGGATGGTTTGGATTCTTGTCCACCTGGACCGAAGATGTTGATCCGGGGCGCGCATCTTGTCCTGGCTGTTGTTCCTCCTCCATCTGGAGGTCCCGGTGTCGTTGCATTAACGATGTCTTGTCCTTCCCAGAAAATGAAGACGAGTCAGCCGGAATACGCCGGGGAATTCAGCAGGTTGGCGGGAGATTTTCGCTTTAGCTGACGAGTGGGCGGAGCAAATTGAAGGCGTTGACGATTGCAGAGGAGAGAAACGCCCTGATTCGTTTAGGGACCTGTTAGTTCATAGGAGTGGTTGACTTGAGTGAGAAGAGCATACGTACGCTGGGTGAATGGAGGCTTCAAAGTCCATCCAGCCGCGCTTCGAACCTAGCGGTGACGTCGTTTACTCACGACCTAGTCAATGGTGAGCATGAGCACCTCATTTAAACTGAATTTGCCCGAGCATGCTGACCCCTTGGATTGGGTAGAGCGACGGGGCTGGAACAGACCGTTGATACCTCTGCGATCGTTTCCGGAGGCCTGCTTCAAGGTAAGTCGACCAGGTGGGATCGAGGAGAAGTACATGGACTTACTCGTTCGTACAGGCCTACTCGGTGGCCACGAAAACCTTCCCCGCCGAACGCTCACGAGTTTTCAAAATTCCGATCCATAAATTCGTGACAGGTCTTGCGGGTGTTCGACGTCTTCCTTGGTCTGGATGTCGAATTCTTCTAGTCGTCAACGTGCCATCGTGGAGGTCTGGGCAAGCGCACACACCACTTCGAGTTTGACGTCGTGTACTTTCGCTTTTGTGGGGGTTTCCAAGTGACACATTGGGGACTGTATACAGGTAAGCCATTGGTTTACTTGCTCGTTGAATGGGAACTCACCTATAGGATCAGGTAGGTCTTCATTTTCCATCCAATTTGGAGTAGCGAAGGTGAATGACCTGTGTAAGGGAAGCAGAGAGTAAGCAAATCGAGTCCATTCGATGCTCGACATTCAAATCTTACCAATTTCGTTTAGCTTCGTCTCACCGGTTCTTCAAGTACCCGCACCTTGACACGCATATAGCGCTGTCGTGTCTGTATAGGGAGTGGTGTGGGGCTTTCGATCCTCTCAACTCCCCTCGCCTGAAGCTTCTGCAGTGTTCGCAACACCCTCACCCCGCCTCTCTGACGTCGAGACGACCACTCAGCGTTCAAGATTCGGATGTGGAAGGCTGTCGTCGTCGAGTAATGGGTAAGCGCATGAGCCACGGCGATTTTCCAGTCGATGTATCGCCCGACTTCGCTTGTGTAGGGCGTTCCGTATGTACCGAGGACTGTTAACAGGTAAGTTATTCGTTTACTTTCTCATGAATGAGACCTCACCTATAGCATCGCATAGGTCCTCATTTTCGATTCCATTTGGAGTATCAAAGGTGAATGATCTGTGTAAGGGAAGCAGACAGTAAGCAAGTCGAGTCCATTCGATGTTCGAAAGTCAAAACTCACCGATTTCGTTTAGCGTCGTCTCACCGGTTCTTATGACACGCATATAGGGCCCTGAAGACTTTTCAAACGATTGGAGTCGTTCGAAGAAGGGAGGGGTAAGCGCTAGATTTCAATTCAATAATCCAAAAACTCACCAGGCCTCACGACATCCCAAACTCGTATCTCTGGACGTCGTAGTTGTGACTGGAAATCGGGTAAGCGCAGGTTTCTGTCAAGTCCCATGTCCAAACCTAACCGACAACATGGGCTGAAGCAAGTCTGGAGGGGTTTTCGCGGTCATTGCGTTGGTCGTTGGCGGGACTGGCGGCAAGTTGACGTTGGAGGAGTGAAGCAAGCTGGGCCGCGCTGAGATCCCGAATGATGTCACCGGTTGAAACTCAGCCAAACGCGATCATCTCTCCGTGTTTCTCAGTTGGTGAAGAGCTTCGGCAACGGGCTCGACTGTACAAGTGGAGACGAAATGGGTTGGTTTGGAGAGAAGCTTCGAGATTGAGCTGCCTCCCTTTGCTGTGAGTTTACCCTCGCGATCGCGTGCAGAGAACAAAGCTGACAGAGTTTCCTTCTTTCAGGTCATTTTCAGATTGTGCACTTAAAGGAGGGAAACCTCAACTATGATCCCAACAATGCCGTCAACGACTTATGTTACTAGGCATCGACGGTGCCATAGTCGATGCAATGATTCTCCTTCGCAGCGGCCGAGAAGCCACTCCCTCCACTCCTGTATCGGCGAGCGAGCCACTCATGCTTCGAACCCATTGGCCACCTTGTTTGCACAGGGCCTAGTCAGATCTTCACCAACATAAGCTCCTCGTTTGGCTGTTTCTGCACGAACGCGCTGGCTGGACTCGGATGCATGGGTCGGGTGGAAGGACGGCGTGGTGGTCGTGGTGAACTGGATTGGACGCAGTTTGCTACGAGAAAGGGACAGAGAATAGGGATTTCCGTAAAGTAGGTTTCCGGCATGCACATGGACTACTTACTATCATCTGGACATCTTACCTCATTTGGTGTATCTGGGTTTTGGATTTCCTCGCTATAATTAGGGATAGGGTCAGACTGTACTTCAGTTTCAGTACGATATTTTCTAGCATGAGCCTCCTCGCGTTTGAATCAAGCGAACATACCAAAGGTACCATTACTCAATTCCTCGGCAGCCTAAACAGACTGGGGACAACAGACGGTAAACGAGATAATGAACTACCGGAGCAACGTCCTCGGTCCTCAAGCTTCGAACCTCAAACCTTCATCCAACAGTCCTCTCCCAGCACTCCTCGTCCCTCAAAACACACCTTCCCATTCCTCCTAGCGTAACACCAACTACCCCCCGCCTCAGCGATACACCCTGAACGACCAACAGCGAACCTCTGGATGGCAGGTGCAATCTCGAAGATCGCCAACGCCAAATCCCTGCCATTCTTCTCCGGAGAATTCGTCCCTTGGATGGACTGGGAGTCGGAGATGTGGTACTCGCGTTTGGATGTGTTGAGTACCAGGGTTTCGAGGGCGGTGTTGGACAGGGGTAGCCATTGCGAGCAGCGTTCAGGGGCCTGGGGCGAATGTATGTTAGTAACGACTGGTTAGTGAGGCAAACGACTCGGAGATCGACTCACGATGATGATTTCACCACTCAGGGATAGAACGTTGAGCTTAGGTAGCGAGCTGCAAATCGATTGAACAAGGTTGCATACGATCCCACTCTCCCTCTCGACCGTCTGTGCTAGACTAGTAGGGAACTTGACTTGCAAGCCGAGGTTCGTCAATGTCCTCGAGAACTGGCCGAGAAATCTGGAGAGCATTGAAATCTTCTCCGACGTCATTATCACGTTCTTGAGGTGGAGACACCGCAAGGGGCAGCCCGAGAAGAGGGAGAGGAGATCCGGGTTCTCGACGTGAAGCTGGCGTAGGTTCGGAAGGTCTGGGCCAAGCGAAAGCTGCGTCAGCCGACCCCCACGCTGGCAGTCAAGGCATGGCGCAAGCGTTAAAGGCTCGGGGCAACTCTCCCAAGCGAGGTGGAGGTGATTAAGATGAGGGTGCTGTTTGAAGAAAGGGGAATCGAGTGGTAGAGACCCATCCGGGTAGTCGAGCTCCGTGTGGAACAGCTCCAGTTCAGCACTGGACCCCTCCAGCAATTCCGGGTCGACGTAGGCGTTCGCGCATTCGAACTGGGTCATTCGGTGCTTGAGGTACAGTTCGTGGAGCGAGCTGAGCCGCCGGATCGCGTCTCTCAGCCTCTGGCGCTCGTACGGCGATAGAAACGCCCGTGTTGGTAGTGTGAGTTTATGGACGAGGGGGCCGAGGATTGGGTTGGACAGAATCGCGTTGGCGAATGCGATTAGTCGGGGAGTTCCACGGAGACGAACGTCGTCGTAGAGGACCCGCTGGCACTCGTATCTGAATAGGCGAGAACAGAGGCAGAGGGAGAGGAGATCGTCTTTGCGCGATATACTCCGTACGATTGGGTCGTAAATCTCTCTGGGAAGGTGGCTGAATGGCGATGCGCCCTATACGAATGTCAATACGGTCGATGACAAGCATGTCAGCCCCAAGAGCACCCGCCTTGTGGAGAATTGGCCCAATATAACTCCTCGTTTCGGGAAAGCGTGGATGATGAAGCATGAGGGAGTCGGTAGACGCGGCTGGTGGTTGGCTGCAACAGTGTTTCCAGGTTGTCTGAGAGATGTCAGACAGCCGCCCCGGGAATTTCAATCGCTCCATCGTGGCAGAATGGGAGAAGATAGCTTTGAGGAGCGAGATATTTTAGAGCCATTGCAATCAGGGGTCCCGTGAGTGCGTGGTGGGTCGAGGCTGCCTTCGATCGTGGTCGTGGTTCAAGAGAAAGAATAGACGCGGCGCCTTTGGCTCAACATCTATTATTTGCGCAGACGGAGTTGGAACTTTCGACGTTCCAGACAAGAATCCAGAAATTAGCTGCATCTATAAACAGTGCACTATGAGCAGGTATAATATTGGAACATGCTTTGGGACGAGCGGCGGCTAAGAATACGCATAGAATTAAGAGGACGACCATAACTGAAAACACAAGAGCCATAATTGGAATCACAATGATTCGAAATAACAAAAGGGCAGTGAGAGGGAACAGAAATGGGCTGAGTTCGGGGTTTTCGAATGGACAGAGTCGCAGTAGCCAACCGAGAGGGTCATCACATAGAAGCCTTACTCGTTGAAGGACCGTAAGGGTCAAAAGAAACCTGTGAAGACGCATCCTTCACCGCAACCTGCTTTCCCCTCTTCACCTGCTTCGTCTTCTTGCGACCCCCCTTGGCCATACTAGACTTGCGTTTCTTGGGCTCAGGCGATATGATCATGGAAGAATCAGCTGTCGCATCCGCCATCTCAACATCCTCGTCCCCCGCTTCCATGTCAAGCACCCGCAGGACCTCGCGAGCGCGAACCATGGAGCCGCAGCATGGGCAGGGGTAGAGGGTCTTCCAGCCTTGACCTTTGAGGTAGATCTGGCTGCGCTCGGGGAAACCGTTCTTGCGGCCAACGAGCGATTCAAGGCCAGAGGTCGTCGGGCAGAACAAGCCAACCTTCGTCTTCGCCTTCGTCGGCGTCGAAATGTATTTGTCGTCCTCAGAGTCCTTGGAGTCCGTCACATCGACATCGACATTCGCAGTACCACGCTTCGGAGTCTTCGCCTTCTTGGACTTTGACTGCGGGGAGGGAGAAGGAGGGGACGATACAGAAGCATATGCTGCTGCTTCTCTGGTTTGCGACTCGAGCAGCAACTGCGTTAACTCATCGTCCTGGCTTCCCGAAGCGAGAAGAACACAACGCCAGTAATCCCGTCGAACACGCGCGACGAGCTTCGCAGCCTCCGAGCCCGCTTTGCACAGCGGCGAGGCGTGCTTCTCGAGGGCGCGTTCAAAGGCGGATAGAACTGCTGCATCGGAGAGCGCTGAGGAGGAGGATGAGGCTATCGCGTCCGCTGGCGAAGTGCAGTCGAGGTGAGGATGCAAATCGGCGAAACCTGCGACGCGGATGTAGGCTGAGATAACGTGGGCGATGCTCGGTGTGGGGGAGCATGATTGGGTCTTTGATGAGAGGGCGAGAGCGTCGGCGATGGCTAGTTCGATGTTGCTGGGCATGCTGTTAAGGCGAATATGAGCACGAAATACGTGGGGAATCCCAGAAGAGAAGCAACCTACATACCTGAGCGATGGGTATATTGCACAACGGGTTCTACTAGGATCCCACCTGGGCGTCAGCGAGTGTCTATGATAGTTGGGGATACTATGTAGGCCCTAGTCTGTATCCCCCTTTATAAGTGCCAGAATGGATGAAAGACCATTGATGATGACGACATAATAAAGGCGGGATGGGGGAAGAACAAAGACTAAAAAAGGGCCCAGTGATCATGATCGTTGGCTCGAAAGGTACACGAGGCGTTGATCTACCAATACATAGTCTGATTCAGAGTCTGTAGGGTAGCGTGGTCCAGTGAACCTCGACCTCGTTTCCTTTCGAATCCCTTTGGACATGACATGCGGCTGGAAGCAGGCTCGTCGGAAAGGACTTCGTAAAGGATAGCCATAGTCTTGGCGTGCATCGAAGGCCGCTCTTATGCCAATAGAATTTGACAATTGTGCACAAGCAAGGCCTGAACGGCCCAAGCGATGTATGCAGCGCCCGTTCCGATTTGGTTCAAAAACGTCGACTCATTCGAATCGCTCTTCGATGACTAGTGACTAGTGGCTGGTTGACTAGCGGTACCGGCACGGAAAGCTTAAGGACAGCCAACACCTGAAAGGAAAGAAAAAGGAAAGTCAACATCATGATTTAATAGACTTTGGACAGCTTTCTGTTAGGCATGTGCAGACCGCAGGTGTACATTGAGTCGAGCATGTTTTGCTGTTTGTGCCAGATTTATCCCTGAACCGCGTTGAACAAGAGATAAAAAGACAAGGTCACAAAAAACCAGGGACAAGTTTGGACAACACCGACAGGGTGATCAGGATCTGCCAGACCCGATAGTCGGATTAACACGTGCTTCGAGCACGCGTCGCGTCACGGTTGATTGAGTGGTTAGGGGCTAGCGAAAGTATATATGGGGCGGCGGTCGAACTTATACGCCATACGGGCAGAACCATTCTCCATTTTAAACGTGGTATATACGCACTTATTCAGGAATTCCTCGGTAACCCATGCCCACTGAGGCGAATTAGCCCATACGCTGCCCTCCTGAGAGTCTCGTATTCTGCCTTGATCCTCACATCCACCGATATCGTGGAGGCATGCGTGTGAAGGCGACGCATGGCTGTCATATCTAAAAAGAATTTGAGCTCTAGGAACTGTAATACTCTCCCCTCGTCATACCAAGCAGCTACTCAATACCGAAGATAGACAAAATGATGATTGTTGTTCAAATGACACTGGGAGTCTCCATCGTGGTCGTTCCATCCTCGCATGTTTTCAAACGGTCTCTCGTCGATGGGCGACATCCTACTGTCACAGGTACAACGCTCGCGCGCTCTCCTTTACGAAGTTCAAATACGAAACCCGGTGTAACCAGGACTTACATACTCACAATGCCACACATCCAAACATGATTGATGATCATTCCCTTCGATCACGCGCACGAGGAGGCAGTAAGTAATGCTTTCCTGATCAGTCACCGCGCACCATACTTATAACAGCCCTCAATGTTCAGGTCCAAGACACGAGAAACAGGCACCTGCCACCTCACCTCACCGTTCAACGAGTGCAGCGCCGGCAAAGACTAGACCTCAAAGAACTTACTCCTTCGATTACACTCTGATATACACCCTCCTAGCCTAAAGAGCCAGCGCAATGTCGTGTCCAAGCTGCATCGAAGGAGAAATCCTCCCAGGCGAGCCAGTCGGCTCGATTCAAGCGGATTTCAACGGGGCCTACCTCTCTCCTGGCCCACCTTCAAAGACGGGGCGCGGACGCGCAGTCATTGTGTGCACAGATGTCTTCGGTCTGGCCATTCCCAATCCCAAGTTGGTCGCGGATAGGTTGGCGAGTCGGTTGGAATGCGATGTGTGGATTCCGGATTACTTCGCTGGTGCGTCGCTTTCTTTCGTTTAGTTTCTCTGTAGCCCCTCCCAGTGGGGATCCTGAACGTATGTCGATGATGTGGCAAGCGCAGGTCAACCGATATTCCCTCCAAGCTACATGGACACGATACCAGAGCGTCCGCGGCACTTGTCAACCTGGGAATACATAGTTTTCATCATTAAAGCCATTCCCAATCTACCAGGGTTAATAAGAAACCGACCGGCGGTGGTGGATGGGAGACTGGCCTCGGTGCGTGCCGCCTGCCCTTTTCTTCTACATACCTAACACCACTCCAGTTTTTTTCTCTTCTGAAGGAGAAGAAGAATTATGACAAGCTCGGTGCTGTGGGGTTCGTTGGCCAAGCTCTACTCGAAATTTGAACGACTATTCGACTTGTGCTGACTTCGACATTTCAATAGCTACTGCTTTGGAGGGTCAGCTTGCATCCGCCTTGGCGCAACCGACTTTGTCCAGAGCATCATCGTGTGTCACCCAGGCCCGTATACATTTGCTGAAGTCAGGAAGGTCAAAGTCCCGTCAGCCTGGGTTTGTGCCGAGAGTGAGCGCACTCCGTGGACGATACTAGTAAAGCATTTGAACGACTGACACTCTTTCTTTCAGTCGACTACACGGTTCCGGACCACAAGAGGATAGCGACGGAGGCTGAATATGCGAAGAGGAAAGGCACCGAGCAATTCGTCGACTACGAGTTCAAAGTCTACAAAGGTATGATTCGTCGCCCCCTCTGCTTCCTTTGAAGTAACCAGTCCAATGTTCTTGCAGGGACGTCCCATGGCTTTGCGTGTCGACCAGATACCAAGTACCCTGAAATCGCAGAAGCATTTGAGCAGGCGATAGACCAAAAGGTTGCGTGGTTTGAGAAGACGCTGCCTGTTAGCTAGGAAACGACGACGGCGCCCTTCCGGTCTATTATCACACTTTATTATGCGGCGAGTTTAGTACCCGGGAATATACCAATTTCATTCAGCAACTAAACCCCAACGGATGAAACAACCACGTCGAGAAGCCAATTTCCTGAAAACCGAAGCCTCTTTAAAATGCCCCCTTTCAAATGCATATCATCATCTCAACCAAATTGCAGACGTAGGAGTTGGTGACAAGGTTGTTGGGCGTCCCTTGAGCTATGTAGGTAAAATGCAACGTCAGCTTCTCACCGCTTTTCATCGAAGCACAGAGCAGGGATTTTGGAACTCACGGAGCCCCTTCAACACGCCAACCAAGCTCCAATCCTTCACTCGAGCTTGCATCTCAGCGGGATTGGTATTACCAGCGAAGCTGATAAAGTATCCGATGAGGCCAGCAACGTATGGAGCCGCCTAGTGAAGGGAAATGAGGATGGTGGAAGTCCAGTAAGTGCAAACTACTATGCCACGCACCATGGACGTGCCGGAAGCGATTTCGGTGGCCTAACAGCCCTCCTTCAGGACCCCGAGCCTATACTAGCAGCAAGGGAAAGAACGCACGGAATCATTTGAAGCCCAGGCACTTCGAATATTCTGCCCTGGAGCGAACACGTCGACCGCTGGGCCCCAATTGGACGTCGCAGTTTTGGTGTCGGTGATATCCACAGCTCCTACCGTAATCGCCGCTGGCACCCGTGCTGGAGAAACATTGGAAGCATTTGTGTTGCTGTTACCCGCAGCTACCTGAATCCAGAACATAGTAAGCACCACACCTACGGCTGATGTGATCCATGGTACGTACGACGACGTGCACCCCAGAGTTGATAAGCTGACGAAAGTCCCAGAATGAGCTCGGATGAATAGGAATAAAACTATGAAGCGGATCGTTGGGCGCTCACCGAGACGACCGCATTGTCAAGTGCACTCGTCGCACCTCCTCCAAAGGAGAGCGAGGCGATACTGGGACGCCGAGAAGACCGCGCGGAGGTGAGTACGTAGTTGAGTCCTGAAACACTTGGTACCCAGAGGGGTAGTATATCAACCATTGCGCACGGATAGAAGCGCTGGAGATAGTGACGCACATATCCGCGAGTGTGCCAGAGCCTGTGTCGTTAAGCACTTTGACGCCCAAGACGTTCGCTAACTGGATCCAAGATGAGCTTGACGATGATACCGACTATTCTATGAAGTTGAGTACCTTGGCCGTTCCGAACTGCGACCCAGCGGCGATGGCACTGGGAAGAGGAAATATCGCTCGGGCATTGGAAGGACTAACAGAGGTACTGTTGAAGGTCTTACGCGACGTGGGTCCCATGTCCATGTCCATCTACGGCACTATGTTCACGCATTAAAACCCACCATTTCAGGTTGAAGACCATCGCTCACCGATAGGGTCCAAATGTAGCTGCAAATCTGGCGCGTCCACCAAAGTCCTCCTATCGATGGTCAGTGGTCAGCAAATAAGAGATTTCGGAATATTTGAATAGGCGTTTACGTGTGTCGCTCTTATCCCAGTGTCTACGCCGTAGATCCAATCAGCAGCTTTTCGGAAACCTTTAGTTCTTTCCTCACCGAGAACGTATATATCCGTTCCCCTGCCTGCAGCATCCTCGTAGATGTAACTATAGTTGGTCGCCCTAAAACATGAAATATTAGTCCAAACCAACAAGGACTTAACGATCGAATCTCGTACCCAGTCCCAAAGCTAGGCACTTTGTCGACGGAGCTTAAGCGCCCAAGACCCCAGGTTGCATTGGTTCTAAAGCTTGATAAGTCGAGTCGTCGTTAGCCTTTACAGAGAAAGACATACTGCGTGACCAGATCGTTAATGCTGAATATCCCATCCTCCGAGATGGATTCGACTTCGGGTGAGGAATGCAGTGCGTCCAAGATGGGATCATTCTTGGAGAACTTGGCTAGTTATTGTATTTTCAATGAATTATCCATTGCGCATCCGAAACTTGAGACTTCTGACCTGCAAATCCGTTCAAGGCATGGCTCCACTGGTGGGTGACCACCTGGTCCAAGTTGCGAATGCGGAGACGGTTGAAGAGATCGGCTTTGGAAACGCCTGGTTTAAGCGTAAAGATGAGCCTGTCCGTCGTCTCCCCCTCATATCTCTCTATGGCACGCCGGCCAATAGTCGGGGTGCCTAGAGCAACTGAGAGAAACGAGAGAAACGTGAGGATGTGAGAACCGGGGATCCGCATGGCTGCAGCTGATTTCTAGTGAAATGGTCATCAGAATATATAGGAAAGTTGCTCATTGTTGGTACTTGGGATAACGGTATGTCTGGGCAGTCCAAGCTGCCGCACTTGTCGGATAAGGTCCCAGGTGTAGATTCCGTCTTTAGGTTCGTATTAGGTTCGTGCACCTGCCTGAGAAGCGCTGATGAATCGTTCTACCGATGCTTCCACCCATAGCCTTTGAATCAGCGCTTTGTTAATGAGGATGATAGAAGCAAAGGAGCGTGAGTACTATTTCTCCTTAAAATTACTTATTGACGGCTTTAGATGATGCTTCTCATGAAAACTTGCAGCACGGCGCAATTCAGCTCCTCCCATTCGATTCTGTAATAATTCGACCTGCTCTAACTTTAAATAGTAGTTAACCGTACCTGTGAGCTCTTGTAACGGGAACGGGAACGGGAAGCCTTCTCCAATATGGTTGCAACATGCGTCTGTGAAAGTCAGCTGCTTCGCGGGAGTCGCACCTTAGGCGCCCATGATTGAACTCCGAAATGATGGGTTTTCAAAGTCTTGGCAATCCGGAAACAGCCGGAATGGCCAGGCTCATCGGTTCGAGCTGTTCTCTTCGTCAAACCACCACGTCGGCAATGTCAGAGTCTGCCTTTCGTCTGCCTCTGAATGAATGTAACTTTTTTGGTACCCTTATACCGGTGCTAGAATAAATTCCCAGCTGGTAGGTGGCCAATTGACTCTTATCGCTGTGCACCGGCATTGAAATAGATGCATCAACAGGGGCTTCTCTCCATTTCGTGCGAGGTTCTTGGTGTGGATCTGGAAGTACTTTCAGGGAACGTCGCTTCCGGTGTCGTAACCAGAAGCATCAGAACGGCAGAAAGCCGGTGGATGAATACCAAACATATCGGAATCTGCACGGCCTAGTGCTATCATCTGAACTACCACCACTTCGTGCAGGTATGGCTTCCAGTGCGACCGTTTGCACATCGCTCTCCGGGAAGTGGTTCTGGAAGCAAAGAAACCCCGGGATAGGATTGCAAGAAGAACTCAATAACTTACCGAGGGGACCAGAAGAGGGGCTGAAACTGACCGACCCAGCTGATAGGGAATCGATTGTGTCGAGTTGGAATCTGACCAAGGGTGGAGATGTGCCTTCAGAAATCCACGTAGAGCTTCTCGGGGCGGGAATCATTCCCCATCCTTATCGCGGCTTTGGTGAGCACGAGGTGCAGTGTAAGGATCTTTCATCTCATCGCATCCTATCTAGTGCTCATCGTGGGGAAACAGGGATTGCGGACCCAGAATGGCTGTATGCATGCAGCTTCTCCCTTCCGGCTGAGCCTGAGCAAGCGGCAAGAGTCAAATCGGCCATCTTGACCTTCGAAGGTCTGGATACCATATCCGATGTTTATCTAGTACGTTGTTGCGCATCCACATCGTCGATATTCGCTCATCGTATCATAGAATGGGGAAAAGGTAATCCAAGCCGACAACATGTTCAGAGGGTATCAATATCACCTACCAAACGCCTCCGTAGGAGTACCTCTGAAAGGAGACAACACGCTATTGCTCCATTTTGCTTCCGCAAAAGCGTTAGCTAAACAGCTCGAAGCAGAGTTCGGAAAGGTCAGAGCTGGGTCAACTAATCTTGGCGATCCAAGTCGCGTGTATGTCAGGAAGGCACAGTATGGTTGGAGGTATGTCACTCTGCTAAGGCTTCCGTTCCGTCGGCTCAACTCCAACTAGGTGGGACTGGGGTCCCGAGCTGATGACTTGTGGCCCATATCGACCCATCACCCTCACAACGATTTATCATTCAGTCTATGTAGAAGACATTTGGACGAAGGCCTGGGTCTCACCGATTGCCAGCCCCAATGGCACTATAACTTCTTACCTTCCATCTCTGGCTGTCGACGTCACTGTTGCCCAGGTCTCCGAGTTCGAAGACCGCTACTGCGTGGAAATCGTCCTCCTGGATCCCGACAGCCACAACGAGATTCGAACCCTGAAATCTGCCAAACTAGGTTTACCGTTTTCCGCTGCCAATGCAACTCGACCAGACGGACATCAAAAGCATGCCGTGGTTCAATTGGAGTGGCCAGATCTCCGCGCACTGAACGTTCAGCCATGGTGGCCAGCGGGGATGGGGGCACAGAAACTGTACCTGGTCGAAGTGCGCTTGCTATATCACCGCGTCAGTATCGCCCCTTGCCACTGCCTATCATCAGGTCTAACCTCCGTCCAGGCAGATGATGAGGCTAATACGCCCATGGTTGTACAATCCATCAAGAAGCGAGTTGGATTTCGTTCTGCCCGCCTGGTCGAAAATCCACTGGTAGAACCGGATCAGTATGGGAAGGGAACGACGTTCTTCTTCGAGATTAACGGAGAGAGGGTATTTGTGGGAGGTGAGTTATGGCGCTGTCCCCGATTGAAGCCAGTGGTAAACTCCGATTTAGGTTCGAACTGGATCCCCGCCGACAATTTCCTGACGACCCTTTCCGAACAACGATACCGAGAGTGGTTAACACTCGTCCGTGATGGGAACCAAACGATGGTACGCGTCTGGGGAGGCGGCATCTATGAACCCGATATCTTCTACGACATCTGTGACGAGCTAGGCCTGCTGGTATGGCAAGACTTCCAGTTCGCCTGTGGTGTTTATCCCGGGGTGTCCTCGGCAGCGCCTGATGTGGCCCCAAAGTCTTACCCCGCCTTCGTTCTGAATGTGAAAAAAGAAGCAGAGTACAACGTGAAGAGACTTCGGCATCACCCGTCGATCGTCGTCTGGTGCGGAAATAACGAAGACTATCAGATGGTATTACAATGGGGAGGTGTGTGTCTCTCTACCGTCTCAATTGGTAGTTACTGAGCTGCTTCTCGCAGATGTTCCTCACTTGCCCGCCACAGTCCTCTACGAGGATATTTTGCCATCCATAGTCAAGGCTTTGACCTCATTCACTATATCCTTCGGCTTGAGCTGTCAAGACGTCGAGGCATCGTATGTTCGAGGATCACCATACGGAGGCCAAGGTTGGGACACCGCGGACCCTACAGTGGGAGACGTTCATCAGTGGAACGTTTGGGGAGGGAAGGAGCTCCCTTACCAAGAGTACGGGAAACTTGGAGGGCGATTCATTAGGTAAGGACTCTCTTCAATTTCGATGTCCTATCTAACGGAAATCCACCAGTGAGTTCGGGATTCCGTCCTTCCCTGCTCTGAAGACTGTCCAGTATTGGATGGAAGGGGCCGACCAGTCCGAATGGTACGCCCAAAGTAAGGCCATGGCACAACACATTCGCGCTGGAAGCTACGAACGGCGGTTTGCTATTTTGATGAATGAAAACTTTAGAAATGTTGCATCAAGCGACTTCGATCGGTAAGTAAAAATCACTCAACGTCCGGAGTGGAATATTCATCTCAGCGCATTGTAGGTACCGCTTCAATACCCAGGTTATGCAGTCAGAAGCTGTGAGTTACGCTTATCGCGTTTGGAGACGCGAGTGGCGAGGAAAAGGGAAGGAATACGTGAGTTCAATCCCTCCAACTTGTTTCTTTGTGGCTGACTGGTCGTCAGTGCGGCGGAGTCTTGGTGTGGCAATTCAACGACTGTTGGCCCGTTGCTTCATGGGCTTTGGTGGACTATTTCGTGCGTACCGTACCGCCTCCCCGACACTCGTCCTCCTTACACAGTGATTAGATGCGACCCAAACCTGTTTACCACACCATCCGAAGGTCTCTCGAACCCATCGCAGTCAACATCCTTCGCGAAGTGGTGCAGAACCGTGCCAACGATCGACCAAAGCAGGTTGGTCCCAGTCCAGTGAATTTCGCTGGAAACTGTAGACTGAGCATGTCTTCTAGTTCTACGAATACGGGGCAACCCGGTCTTTGGGCGCCAATCTCCACATCTGGGCCGTTAACACTACGAGGAAGGCAGTAAAGGTCAAACTTGATATCCAGTACTTTGACCTCGAATCGGACTGGACATCGCGGAATGGAGTCACTAGCGAGTTCACTCTTCCGCCCAACCAGTCAACCGACCTCCTGGCTTTGGTGTGTCCGTCTCCGCCTACGTCTCGTCTCAGGGATACTGTCGGACCGGGAATTGACGGATCCGGGACTGTGGTCGTCTTAGCCAGATTGCTGGACCCTTCGACGAATCTAGTTTTGGCCCGTTTCGTCGACTGGCCTCAACCTTTCAGGTACCTGCACATCCCCGACCCACAGGTGGACCTCAACGTTTTGGATGTCGACCTAACCACTGGAGACGCTACCATACAACTCAGCGTTGCAAAACCCGCCAAATGCCTGTGGCTGGAGGCCGAAGATGAACAAGCACTCGATGGTCGTACTGACCAAGAAAGGGAGGTCAAATGGAATGACAATGCTCTCGATATAGTACCCGGAGATTCCCAGGTCGTTGTTGCGAGGGGCTTGGGGAAGAGGAAGGTGAAGGTCACATGGCTGAAGGATTAACTAACCGAATACACATCGTACGAATGTTTGTATTGCAGATTGGTCTTGCAAACTCCAAACCATGCTTCGAACTTCGAACTTACGTCTTCTCCATGATGTGGTACAGTCTCAAAGCCTGTCTTCTGTGTTTTGCACCAAGGATTCTCCGACGTCATTGATAGGGGCTCGCTCCAGGAACTGGGGGAGGAAGTCGGTTCGTACGCTCTTAGCGCCTTCAGTGCCGATTCTATGTGAACCTGGACATCTTCTCGAGTGACTACTGCATTCCCTACCATCTCAGTCTCGCTCACCCAACATCTCGAGGCATTCGACGCTTTGGCGCGAGATCCACCCAGCCGAAAGCGGCACCGTAAAGATAGTTCCTGCCAGTCGAACGGCACGAGCGAGGATGTGAATGCTACGGGGAATTGGAGTGCATTGGCGAAGTACGTTTTTCCGATGTTCACCTGCTCGAGTATATAACTGGTGCTGAGTATCGTTTGTAGGGATGACACGACACACCAGTCTGGCCAGTTCACGGGCGGTGTCGACCCTCACGTCATGGCTCTTCTCCGCGTTTGGCTTACATTCCTGTCTCTGAGCGTGGCTTCAGCGCTCGCACATTGTACGTGCTATATCGTCCTGTAGAGCCCTTTCTGACCCCATCATCGTCGTATCGACAGACCAGTTCACTGCTCTAATGGTCAATGGCAGCTCGACTGGCGATTGGAACCATGTTAGGAAGACGAATCAATATACTCGCGTTTCGACCTATGGTGATCCGGTAAGTTGTTCCACTTGGGCTCATAATCGCTTCGAGTGCGTCTAATAGTTTTGAAGGTCAAGGACGTCAACAGCCTGGATCTTCGCTGCAACAATACCTTAGTCGGCCTCCCATCCGGTACAGCAACGATCAAGGCGGGAGATTCGCTCGGTTTCTGGAGTCCAACGGTAGTGTATCATCATGGGGTAAGCGCAATTATCATAGGTTCTCCTCCCTTGATTGACATTCCCGTCAGATTTATAACCTCTACATGGCCAAGGCCCCCGGCAACGTTTCTGAATGGGATGGCAGTGGTCAAGTCTGGTTCAAGGTTGGTGACTCGGAAGATGTTTATTTGCGACTCCCAATATCGACTGAAAATGTATTATAACAGGTTTTTGAAGTCCCGCCTATCGTGATAGAAGGCCAGCCGATGAAGTTCCCCGCTCAAAGTACGTGACCTCGGGACAGAGTTGAGCCATGCTGAATGACGGTGACCAGACACCCACGGCACTGAATTCATTGTGCCCAAATCTCTCCCCAGTGGAGAATACCTCGTTCGAATTGAAAACGTTGCGTTGCACTTGGCCACTATGGAAGGTCGTAAGTGGCATTCCCAGGTTTTTCGCACCCTGCTTAACGATTATCAGCGGAGTTCTACGTTAGCTGTGGTCAAGTGAAGGTCACCGATGGCGGGGACGGCACACCTGGGCCACTCGTGGCCATCCCTGGAGTGTATTCCGGAGAGGTGAGACTCGGTTATGGTTATACCTTCCATTCCATGCTGACCAGATTCCCTCAGGAGCCGAGCTTCTCCGTCGACGTCTACTCATGTAAGTCTTGGCCATCATCCTATCTTGACCAACGCTGACCCGAAAACTAGCGAACCCGAAACCCTTTGTCATGCCAGGTCCCGTAAGTGGCTCTTTCTCAGAGACTCAGTTTCGAAGTTAATCTTTCATTAGCCTGTCTGGCAAGGATAGCGACAATATATACAAAACTACGAATAAGGGGCCCACCAACGTAACTCACTCCAGACGACAGGAATGAGAATAGCGAAAGCCTCCCAGAACTACACATTGATTCAGTCGTGAACCATCCAACTGGACTCAGGAAACGCACCATGAGGCATGCTTTCAGAAGCAATTGTGGGTACTCGAAGAACGCAGGTAGCCGAGTGATGACATGTGTCTGCGTTTTGTCCGAGGGCGAGGCACGAGGATGCCGAGTAAAAAGGACCCTCATCGAGAACCCAGTCACTTGGAGAAAGAGTTGCATCAAGAGAAGGGGAGCAGGGTTAAGGCTGTTTGGCTGTCAGAAGGGAGTGATATTGATGCTGAGGGTGGGCCGGAAAACTAACCCTGAGAGTACACCGATTGGAGCAGAGATATATTCTTCGCCCCTCTGAAGATACTGAAAGCAACCTTCTCGAAGGGCAAGGAAGATCGGATCTGTCGCGGCGCATCAGTGACAGGTAAAATCGCAATAGGGCGAGGAAGACGCACCATCTTTTCGAAAGATCCCATACAACGTCCCAGCAATAACATTGATGGTGGAAGAGTATGGTTTGCGCTTCCAATGCCACCGACGCAGAACAACTTGGATTTCCTCCCAGTCATCTAACGACTCCAAAGACCCAAGAGCATCCCTGAGCCACACGACGTCGTTGAGAGCAACAGTCATCCCACCACCGGTCAATGGGTGTCGCATATTCCAGGCATCACCCAACAAGATGACCCCAGGTTTCGAGTGCGACCTGCCTTGTTGTATGGGAGGTAGAAACGAGTTCGGCATCCGGCGGATCCGGTTCTGCGAGAGCGCCTCTCTCGCGGGACCTTGGAGATCGTGGGGCAATTGCGGGATGATATCTTCGAGGATGTAGTTCTGAACGTACGTCAGTTCCAGTTCGTCAGCCAGTTTCCCAAGGACGTTACCTTCAGATCCACTGGTAATGGGTACTGGATGTCGATTAGTATCCGAGTATCAGTCTGCGAGATCTGATAGAGGAGAACAGGGCCTGATCCTCTGGGTAGAATGACTGTTCCGTGCTTGGGGCAGGGTAACGAAGCATTTTTGAGGATAGTTCCTGCGAAGTAGCTTTTTGTGACAGGCTTGCAAGCGTTGACACCCATGATGACGTTTCGAAAATTGGAGAAACACCCGTCAGCGACCATGATGAGGCGGCCAGAAATGGTGATTGTCGTCTTTGAACCGTTGGAGGTTTTGGTGCAGGCCTTGACAGCGGTGATACGACTTGTTGTTGGACATTCGACAAGGTCTGAAACAGTTGCCTCGAAGGGTGTGACGTTGGAGTTTTTCAGGGCAATCCGTCGCAGCGCCATGATGAACCGCCCGTGATGAAAACTCCGTCCATACTGGCCCTTTGGGTAGGGAATCCGAACCGACTCCTGGCCGTCAATAAGGAGGTATCCTTCGACGTCCACCGAGTCAATCCCCAAAAGACTTTCGGAGAGACCAAGGCGTTGAAGCGCCTTGACACCTCCCGGCTGAAGGAGCTCGCCCACGATGCGCTCCGGCTCCTCGAAGCTGCGCTCGACGAGGGCTATGGTCCTACTAGTTTTCGCTTGGGCGAGCGCATGGGCGATTGCTGAACCTGCTACACCAGCTCCGACCACGACGATATCGAAAAAATGTTCCGAGCTTGACATTCGATTCCGGACTTCGTGATTATTGTTGGCGAGCGTCAACAGTCGACAAGACCGTCAGCGTGGAAGGAGTGGAGAAAGGAGAAATATTCTTCAGACGTCGAGGAATGTTATATCGCTTTTGACAAGCACAGAGCTAGCGTTAGCTCACATTCATCCGGATCGATTCCATTCTTCAGTAAGCGCACAGTCGAGGTCTTGAAGGCAGAATGGCATCTTCCGTGTCTCTCGACCAACGGTGCGCCAGTCGCCTAGACTGCTCGCCATTAAGGCGTCCAGAGAGGCTGCAGGTAAATCTTCATAACCAGTCAGAACAAACACGCTACCTCCGTGGCCACTAGGGGTCAGTGTGGATTTTTTAATCGAGAACTGTGATTCTGGAATGAGCATTGCGAGCCACCCGAAGAGAAGCGCATTCTCGGGCTGTATGTATGATCGAAGTCCGGGAGCCAAGGGGTATACAAAGTGCCTAAAAAAAGTGAAACGTGGTCGGCTATTGGGAGGAATTCACCAGTCTCGATAAATGCACATGTGAAGATTGGCAGAGATTGACGGCTTAGGCCATTATAGATTTTTGAAGGGCGTGAAGGGTTGTCAGACGGTTATCAGAACGTCGACGTGAGGAACGGCGCGAGGTAGGTTGAGTATCTGACAGTGCGTTTAAGACCACAAGCGTCCTGAGCGCTGTATTGGTCTTCCAAGAATAAAGTAATCGCTGGACGCAAGTCGAGCTCTAGCACACATGTTGAGACACGTCGGGGTCGGATGAAGGAAGAGGAAGGAAGATGCCCACCACGGCCGCGGTGCCGAGATCATGTAATGGTGATCGCATCATTGCATTTCGGATCCGAACCGGGCGACAACTGGCACCCCAGCCTCCTCGTACCTTATCCTGAAGGGCAGAAGCGAGTTCATTAGCGGATGAAGAACGGATAGTGGAGTAGCTATAAAAGGATCGATTAAAGGTATAAGTGAAAACCATCTAAACCCAGTACAACCAGAATGCCCTAATTAAGAGAGACGAAGCCAGTGGAGTAGATCCGAAAGAAATAGAAATAGTCAGCAAGAGTAGTATAAGTGCAATGCAAGAGGTATAAGCCTGAAGCTTGAAGCTTGAGGCGTTGCTTGGCCGGCGGGGTTCCATCGCGTCCAGTCGCGATTTTCGATCTGTGAGAATGACGTCAGTAAAATGCAAACGAAAGGAGACGAAAGGTAGAAAACCTTGGTACACCAAAAACATACCTTTGGTATCAAGTACTGAGAAAAATTAGGAAGTGAATCGGCGCATGGGGTTCGGTCTCTTCCAGAATGCTTCCCATTCTTGCAAGGCCTTGACGAATCCAGGATTGGGTTTGACGCACGGGCGCTTGCGTTTGAGGAGAGAGTGGGCGTTGTCAAAAGTCATCCCATGGTTTCGAATCAGGTACGCAATGACAATCGATGCTGAGCGAGAGACTCCCTGAAAGAACAGTTGGCCATTTCAGTTAAGAAATTGAGGACACCAAACTAAGGGCATCGTTATCGAGAAAATGACACGCCTGATGACAGTGGAGCACTACCAGGCCGGCTGCGGTCATTGACATCATACTGGTTTTGAGGTGACCATTATGATAAATGCGAAAATGATAAACCCGATGACTGTCACGCCATCGAGTTGACAAGGATCCTCCCTGACCGGAGAGGACCGTTCGGAGGTCCCGAAAAAACGAGAAGAGAGAAATGAACTCACCTGTTGACAGTGCACCAGTACGTTCTTTCCACCGCGCAGGGCTTTGTCGATGTGATTACACGCCGATTCTAGATGTGGTCGAAGGTCCTCTGCGTCGTGGTCGAGGATAGAAATCTTGTACCCGTTGAATCCTTCATTGTCGGACAAGGGAAGCCAAGGTGCATCGAGAACGTGGACGATGTGTGTGATATTATGTTGACGCAGCAGCTCTTTATCCATGACGGCCGCGAGAGACCCCAGATAGAGGGACCCAGAGAATTGCCCTGGACTCGTTGGTGATGCTGCCGGGGCGAGAATCTGGTGCATCGGGGTGCACATAGCCTGCATGACTTCGGGTGGCAAAGCGTCGAAGCGGATCATAGTTGTAGAGGTTGAGGGGGAGAAGAAGGATAGCGATGAAGGGAATATGACACGGCAGATATAGGTCCTAGATAATAGCCTTTTGATCAGTCGCGTCGTTTTATTCCGGGGAGCACTTGGAAGACGTACCTTTTGATGGATGGCAGTCAAAAAGAGGGAGTGTGGAGTTCGGAGCAGGCCAGGCAGCGATCAAATTGAGAGGTGCAAAATTCTTGGCTATATGTAGGCGCGGGGTAGGAAGATCGTCTCGCGTGTTTCTTCACGACACGGGACCCGGGAGCGTATGACGAGGGGTAATAGCCGTGGCTGACGATCGCCAGATGCGGTCACGTTCAGTCTCGAGAGATTCGAGAAGACCCGGGCGTCAAGGTGTTTGTGGGCAATGTGGAGGGTGGATTTTATTCGGATGGCATCCCATTCACCGAGCCAAGCAGCCCGCTTAAATACCTCGACAAGATGGCGTCCAAACCTGGTTGTTTGATGTTCAGGCACTGAGTTTAGGGTCCATTAGAAGAGCTTTGTACGTACACGGATCCAGTCGTCGATTTCCTTGACATGCATTCCGTTGACGAACAAACCGAGCCGACGGACAGTCTTGATGCCAATTGGGGACATGTCGAACTGCATTTTGGTGGTCAAGCTAATCTCGATGGATTGAGATGAGGTCGAAGATGCTTGGTTTGCCTGCCAGTGGCTTCGCGGAGACCGTCCGGACGGGCGGAGGCGCAGCATGGTCCAATCTGGTGTGACAAGGAGGAGATGGGATCGGAACCAAAGGATTCTAGGCAACGCCTTTGTGGTAAGTGTTGGCATTGAGGACAAAAAGGAAGAACAGGGTTTCGGTTATCTCGAAAAGGGGCGTCCAGTTGTCAGGATTCGATTCGATTTCGAAGGTCTCGTGTTATCTCAGGTGCTTTCTGATGCCAAACATTCGCACCCCAAAACCTGCATTTCACTTACCAGGACTAGCTTTGCGAGCCACGAGTTCCATCAGGCCTCGCCTACCCTGATTGTTTTATCGATTTATATCCGACAAGGCCCTACAACCGTATTTCAGAAGAGGGTTTCTTCGGTGAAATAGCAGAGGCAATTTACCTGGTTTATGAACCAGCAACCCAAGGTTTTGGGACTGTGCCCTGTAATCAGCGCCGCTGTAGCCTGTTCTGATCGACGCAAGGATTTGACGGGAGCGACGGGTGAAAAAACAGTTGTTCGATCCTTGATGCAGGGCAAGCCATAGATTGGCAAGGGTACTTAGTGTGATCAGATTACAACATTTCCCCGTGATGCAACACGAGCCCTCGTGGTGGGCCTAGAGCGTTCCCCAGACGCGTTGGTTCGCGTTAATTTATCGGATTGCCGAAAGGGGTCAATAGTAAATGTCGCGATCCTCACCACTGTCGAGAAAACTTCGCGCGAAAGGGTCGGGAGTGGGAACGGTACTTGTGACATAAAGAAGCATCGAGTACCAAGAACTGAACCGGAAGGCGGAATGTGACAGTGTAGCCACCGCTCCGTCACGGTATGGACTATGCTGGGATGTGTTCTTCTGGAACAACGCCCAAGGTCAGGGATGGATAGGAAAAGAAGCTGGCCTGGCATCGATGGAACTCGTCGGGTCGATCTAGCTCGCCGGACGAGCGCTTAATTGACGGCCCATTCTTCCGCGCCACAAAGTCACGAACCTCTTGCCCTAAAGGACAGGAGACCAGTGGAGATACAGATAAAGCGATGGTACTCGCCTGCCGCAGACTCAGGTCCCGACATAATCCAGTCATGACAGTCACTTTCTCATTAGGCGTTTGAAGTTGCAATTCTGGGTTCGAGTGGCATGTCAGCCTACGAGCTTGCTGTTAAACGCCATTCGGCGTGATAACTTTTCCGAAAGCTTATCGTCCCGAAAGGCGCTGTGGCAAACATCTCAAACTTCAGAACGTATCAGCCTAGTGCATCAAGGAGCATCAAGGGGTGGATAATAACGTTGTGCAAGTCAGTCATAAGTAACGCCCGCACCAAAAACGAAGCTGATGTGATGACTTGTTCCTTAATCTCGCAGAATCAGAATGCAATAGGTGAAGTACAACATTCCTATGGCGTGATGCTACTTTATGTGATTTGCGTCAACGCAGTACAGCTTCCCTGCAGTGAGGGAATAGCTTCAACGCTGAGATGGTGCAGGGCGTGAATCCAATGGCAAACTTAGAGTCTATGGGTATCTCAGATTCGCGCCCAGGCACGCTACGTCGACGAGCTCCAAACCTTGGCGCTAGTCTCTGACCATCACCTACTCTACAGCTTTGCGGAGTGAAGAGAAATGAACAAATCTAACCGGCACCTTTGCGTTGACCTGAAGATCGACTCGTGAGTACAGTACTGCCATAACATATATAAACCCCTCCACCGAAGTAGAGACAACAGTCCACATGGATGGATGGGTGACTGAGTACTGTCAATGAGTATTCCGTCATTCCGTCTGTAATTAATTATAGCTGTCCATGTCGATGTCAAGAGTTGTTTTTCGGTAACTCCGCGATGGACTGCTCACGAACGAGCTAACCAACTCTGGAACCACGAGTTCCTGGTAGCACTTCCCTAGGTGTTGGTAAGAATAGAACAGGAGCGAAGGACCGGAAGCCTGGACAGGTTTCTGCACACAGAGGTACGAGCACATGACTTCTCTCCGACGCTGTACTTATTGTGTCGAGCGTCACTGACCCGGTATTCTGATTCGGAAGACATACGCCGAAGTGAAGGTCAATAAGTGAACTTTCTCTCACCGGCAACCCTGTCATTCTCAGGCTTTTAATTGAGTGCTCTGTGATTCGTGATAAAAGAAGAGAGACCCACATACTTTAATGACGTTACTTCTATTCATACGGGCGAACCATTCCACCACATGAGTGAAGCTGGCTCACGTTCCTGAAAGCCACAATCAAGAATCAGAACTTGGCCTTGTATTCTACAACTTACGATTCACCTAGAAGAGACGCATTGTTACGTAGTACTCTTAAGTCACTTGTCAAAGATAAGTGAGGCCGGAGAGACCGAAATAGTCAAACACTTACAATAAGAACTTGTAGAGGAAGGAACGTTGAATGTTTTCGTAGGATGATGACTGAGCTTCAGGGTGATCATCGAGGCGACCATGGTCTCGACGCTCCCGATTGAATTACAGCCGCCTGATAAGGGTAGAGATGCACGAGTATTAAACTTAAGCTTGAATCCTCGAGTGAGATAGTCTGCGGGACAGGGTTTCCAACGGCTGGCGCTGCGAAGATTCGCTCACCGGATCACCTCAACTGTTCGGACCATCATCTTTCCAGGAGTGACCGGTGACCGTAAAAGGTGCGTTTACCCAAACAAGTGGATGACGTCCGGGAGGTGCCTGAATCGCCAAACTACTTATTGCAATTGGCCAGCTTATTGTACCCGGTCCTCGCAGAGTGCAGACTCCAGAGAGGTCTAGAGAGGTGGAGTTTTGTACAAAAAAACAATCCTTCTTTCAGAGGTGGACGTGGCAAAAAAGCCGACAGACGCATGGCATTGGCCCTGGAGGCTTCCTTGCGGAGCTGTGGTGTTTCGATGTATGCTTCACGATCAGGTGCGGTTCTTCAGGTTATCCCAGTCGGACCTGGGCTCAGGGCCGTTGAGCACTGGCCCCACCATCCTCGTGCGTCTGAAAAGGAGCGAGCGAGTACACCGCTCGCCGAAGCGGGTACAAGAGCCACGTTATCGTCATTCAACGTTTTATTCTGAGTTAGGCCAAGGTTTTCCCGTCCCCAGCGTTAGACATCATCCAATAAGAATAGGTGAGGAAGCATACTTATGTACGTGACAGCGCTATCTTTTCCTTGGAGTACTGTTCAGTACGGTGACATGGAATGCAAAGCGACGGAAAAAGAATGAGACGTCAACATGTCAACCTTGCGGTGATGCTCCACTGGATCCACTTGTCTGGACCTGTCGGTGAGGGCCGCATAGGTCCTTGGGGATTAAGAAGAGAAGGATGTCCATAGGCTATCGGTCTGGACGAACGTCGAAATCCAATTGGGGACAAGGTACTTGGGGTAGTACCCTACTTAGAGCCTACTGGTAAGTAGCTGCGGCTGGCTCGGCTGTATTACCGTGGTCAAAGTCCTTCGCCCAGCGTACAGTTAGGCAGAGATACTCACAAGCCCTTAGAGAGGACACCCAGTGATTTGTTACCGTCCCTGCGTTTCCATCTGTCGCACGGGATATCGAGCAAATTCGAAGGCGGAAACTCCGAGACGGATGGAGAGTTAATCCCGCCTTCGATCAATCGTTGGATGTAACTCGCAGGTGGAAGTATGTACATCTAACAAAGTATGTAGCCCCAACCAATAAGTAAGGTGGGAATCAAATTGAAAGCGCACAAAGGGAGTGGTGGTTTGAGTTACAATGATATCCGCAGAGAGTGGGCAGCAAGGTGTTGTTTTCCACCATGTCAAGCGTGGCACCCTTCATGCTTAGCAACATAATCGCCGACGGCCTTCTTGGGATCATAGCTGAAGCTTTCCTCCTGTACACAATCCGAAAATCGACCTTGGAAAAAGGAGATCCGAGTCGTTGTCAGCTTTGGCCTCATGTACAGTGACGGAGGTAAACTCACAGAAAAGGGAGGCAGCCCAATCTCGAAGCTTCTCTCCAAACCACCCCATCTCGTCTCCACCGTCACAATCCAGCCCGTTGCCGACGCTCTTCATTAACTGAGAAGCACGGGGTACCCTCAAATCGTCGTACCCCTTGGCCGCAGCCTCGTAAACAGACGGAGAGAAACGGTACTTCGAAACGAGGCCCTGCGCCTCGGAGTAATGCTTCAAAAGGAGGGTGTAGACAGCGACGTCCTCGATGGTGAACGCAGCGCCCTGCATCGTCTCCGGGGGGATGACATGGGCTGCTTCGCCGACCAGGATAATACGTCCTTTGGCCAATGAGGAGTTGCGGTTGGTGAAGTAGGGGAGGCGAGCAGAGGAGTAGCGCGGTTGGATGATGAGTTGTTTGGTGTCGAGTAAAGTAGAGGCGGTGTCCTTGGACGGCTTCTCTTCGTCAGAGTTGCCGAAAGCGAGAAGGAGGAGAGACTCGAAGGCGTTCTCGTCAGAACCTTGGTCGAACGGCGCCTTCCATCCTTCGACGCAGTGGAATAGCTGGCTTTTCACTTCTTCCGTGGTTGGGAGGTCTGGGTGAGAGGTCGGAGGGAAGAAGACGGACCACCAAAACAGATCCCTGGAGGGTGAGGTCGAGGTGAGGGAGTATCCAAAGAAGCCTCGTTTCCCAAAGGTAATTGCGGAACCTGTCGTCATAAGGTCTTTCTGAAACCGAACCGGGAGCTCGACAGTTGGAACGATTGCACCAACGTTCACCGTTCCTCTGGAGAAGTTCTTTAACACTAGTCTCGTCAGGTCAAAGAGGGCTCACCTGAACTCATTCGGATGGGCTCCTCTGAAGATCGCATCTTTGACGATGCTCCTGGCGCCATCCGCACCAATTACCAGGTCTGTAGTCTCCGTGGTCCCATCGGTATACGTGACCTGCACCCCACTAGAGAGTTCAAACAGGCCGGTTACGACCTTGCCCCAAGCGATATCCCCGGGGTCGATCAACGTCATCAGAACCTCGCGCAACGCCTTATGAGAGACAACGAGCTGCTGCAGCTCGTCATATCTCTCCTTCGCGCCGGCTTTGAACTCTCCCAAGACTTTCCCAGTAGAGTTATGGGCACTGATTGTGCCACCAGAGTACCCGCGCTGACGAAGCAGCGGGACCACCTCCGGGGCGACAGCGCACAAAGCGCGAACGGCATTGGGAGCGAAGCTAGAGCAGCCGTCTGTGAAATCGTCAGGGCCTTTGGCGTTGTCTACGATCTTGATGGAGATGGTTGAGTCGGAGTGGGCGATGTGGTTCCGGAGGGCGACGTAGGTAAGGAGTCCACTAATCCCCCCGCCAACGATGATGATCTGCATGATGGGCTGAAATGGTTGTCGGATGCTCGATTCGAATGGTGGGTGTTCTGGTTTCTGAACGTCCTTGAAGGGACATCGGTGGACCAGCCTTTATACTATAGGCGCAGTCCTTTGGGACAGTGCAAACACAAGGAGTGTTGGGCCAGGCGGCTTATGCCTTCGAAACGCGTCGTCTACGGCACTATCAGAGGCCTAAATACTGATCCGTATCACTTCCAGGGCGAGGCAGCTGCGCAAAGCACAGTCTGTCAAGTGTCAAGGTGAGCCGGGGCTGCGGGAGGACAGTAAGACTTACCTGATTCATAGGCATACTAGAATCCAGAAGTGTCAGTTGCGCACAGTGGGCTGCGGATAATCTAGAGTGAGTGCCACGCGCCTCAGTGCCCCTTGTATAGCGATGGAACACGTTGCAGACGAAGCGTTCCTGAGCGCTTAATTACCCAGATGCCATGTTTGGCATCCCTTTGGAACCAAACACCAAACAAGACTTCGCAGCTTGGCATTTGAGCAGTTTCTACTCGCCATCTCATGGGGAACCTATTCACCAGGTGAAATGAATTCGTATTCCACGCACTCAAGCTCAAGCTGAACTGAACATGGCCTTCGAGATCGCTGATCTGCAACAGGGCGTGGCGTGGGTAGACGGCAATATCCGCTTGGACGATGTGTTGTTCGACATCATGAAGGAGTAGCTGGCGATGCTTATCGTAACTTGTGAAACGATCTTCCAGGTGGTCCTCGGGACGGCTTGTCAAGAACACCTTGAGCGACGGCGGGGATGACTGGGACAGAATCGCCTTCAAGAGGAGCTTAATAGCATCTTTGGGGCATTCGTCGAGGGCGTCAATGCTGAGAGTGAGGGGCATGTCGGCGTCGAACGCTTGCCTGACGGGGTCGAGTATGAGAACGCGGTACTGATCTTCGAGGTTCATAGCGATGGGGTCGTCGGGGTACTCGTCGGATTCGAGCGTCTTAACGAGCTGCTCCGCAAACTTGGGGCGAGCCCTTGCAAGGGACCTGGCAAGGGAGGGTATGATGCGGCGGACGTCTCTCCTGGCAGCGTCGTCCAACGAGCAGAAAAAGCTGGCCCCCAAGAGACCCTCTACGCGGAGCTGAGTGCAGAAAGTCTCCGACACCGTCGTCTTGCCAGTACCGGCCATGCCGCAAAGCCAAAAGATCGAAGGGGAGGTCGGGTCCTTCGCCCAGCGAAGGAGGCTCGCCAAAAGGGCGACGCGGGTTCCCGGGATGCATCCTTGGCGGTCTCCTTGCTTGAACTCGGCTCCGGTGACGGTCTTGATCCTCTTGAGGTATTCTACATGCCGTTGAGCAAGGAATGTGCATCGAGTTGGGACGCCCTTACCGTTCTTCTTCAACCATTCAACGACCTCCTTCGCTCCCGCGACCATATCCCTCGTCTCCACCACTAGATGCTTATCAGACCACGTAACAACAAGACGGGTATACACTCACCCTTCTCCTTCACCCAACCCATTCCCTCCGCTACCTGAACTGTCACCCTATGGCCCGAGATACTAACATCCAGCTGGACACTTGTTAGAGGGTTTACTGTTCAACAGGGTAAAGCACCACGCACCATCGCAATCTCGATCGCGAACCTGACCTCTTCAACTGCCCGTTGAATTTCCTTCTCATCCTCCGTCGCATTAAAAACCCGCTTTACTTTCGAATCGTCCAACTTTCTCTTCATCTCTGACACCTTTTGTTCCAGCATCCTGTTGGGCAACCATTAAGCCCCGATATTCCTCGATCAACTTGTGGCAACGTACCTTGCCAAGCCGCCCAGTCTGTCTTGAACTGATTGTTCGACGTTCGTGGTAGGGCAAGACTTGAGGATATCTTCGAGGACTCAAAGGCGACTTAGGAGCTTCTTGACCTCGTCGCGGTTGTCTTCAACGGTCTAAAGATGGAACAGTCAGTCGGGTTTATGCATTATCAAAGTTGACAGCGTACATACATCGAACATGTTGAGGATTTCCAGCATCGCGGCCGCGACGCTTTTGACCAGAGGGAATACATCGGTGGTCTCTTTGATGACTCGTAAGACTTCCTTGGTGCCATAGAAGATGGTGCGCGCAGTCGATGGCACTGATCCTTCATCCGTCGCAATTCCAGGGGTGGTAACATCTCCATCGGCGCTGGACATGACCGGCGTGTCCGCAGCGTTGGTGCGTGTGGTGGGCGCAATTGTGGTGTCGGCTGAGCTCTGTGGGCGAGTGTGGGCCCTATCTCCAATGGACGCGATGTCGGTGGGCTGAATTTCCTTGCCGCCCACGGATAGTGCATCCTCGGTGATGGGGCGGTCGCCGTCGGTGCTCTGGGCGACAGTAGTGCTTTGAGGGGGGTCCTCGGTGGGCACAGAAATCTCTCCTTGTCTCCCACGTACATCCAGGTTGAGGTCTCGAGCGGAACTTGAGCCAGACTGGGAAATCGAAGGAGTAGGCGAATCCGGACGCGACCCGATTCCGAGCTTCGAAAAGAGGTTCTGGACGCGATCGCGCTTGCGCTGTCGTGGCTTGGTTGCAGAACTTGTAGGATTCATAGCAGCAGGTGTAGTTGCTTAGAGTTGGGGGTGATAGCTGCTGTCGAGCGAAAGGTATGTTTCCGGTGCAGACTGTGCGAAACAAAGGGCCAGCGTCGAGTGCGCGACGAGCCTGAACATGGCACACTGCCACAATCCGATTTGGGTAGATCGCTTGTTCCGTTGCTTTCGGATTGCTCATTCGAAGGAAAGCGTGAACCGGTTAACGCCTTGTTACAGCTTGTTACTCAATAGTCTGTAAAGGTGAGATTGAGCGGTCTATGACTTGTATACATCAGAAAGTGGAGTCCACACCTAAACAACAGCAGAAAAGGAGTGCAATTTACATGATGACACTCGTCTCTATCCATGTTTGTCAGCCAAAACCGGTGTCCAAAAGTCCTCGAACGGTCAGTTCATGGTCCACAGTCGTAACATCCTTATCGCTTTCTAGACACGATGTCCGTCTCTTGAATCGGCACCTCCGACTCTCTCCTCGCAATCATCCCTGGGTGTGCAACGGCGGTATCCCGCCAAGTCGACATGACTGAGCGACTATCTTCTACACCCACCATGCTATGATGGGTGTTCCCCTTCACGTCCAAAATCCTAGCTCGAGCACTCCCAGCCTCATCGCTCCTCGCATCCCGCTCCAATTCCTCAACCGGGTGCTTCTCTGGTAGGATCGTATACCCGACCAAGCCCGCGCCATCACGAAAGCAGGAAATAGATTCCTCCGCTTCAACGTCGACCACTCCTTGCTTACTCACCCGCTGCCATTTCTCGTAGCTCCCTCGCCCTCGTCTCCCAGCGATCGATCCTCCCAGCGACAACATAACGACTCCATTGAAGGGCAATTATAACAACCACGCCGGAAAGTTATCAGCTAACCAACTCGGTCAACTGGGATGGTCTAATGTATTCGACAGTGAGTCGGGCAGCTTGAGATGGAGACAACTGGAGAGTAAAGGCCTGAAATTGGAGAAGTCAGGAACAGTCTACAAGGGTGATAATGTTCAAAAGGACGTACCGACGTCACTCTAATATCGTTTACGATTCCGCAATGAATTGGCAGTAGACCACAGGCGCCGGCCATAAACGGAGAGGTGGTGGAAATGAACCGCATACACTAGGAAGATAGTCAGATGGGAATTAAGAATTGAGATGGATACACGCACGTCGGCTGATGATAGCCTGCGTCGTTGTGTTGCACCCTCTCCGTCCCTGAGCCATACAAGCTACCATCTTGTTCATCCATGTCGTTTCTTCACAGCAGGGTTTGCACTGGCCGCAATAATCGCCCTTGTAGAAGCCGGCGAATCAAGAAGAGATGGCGCCTACAACGGCGTCCACGCTGTTCTTGACGATGACGGCACCAGTAAGTATCGCGACCATTTGTGTCATCCTCCAACGAATCTAAAACCCATTCTAAACGATATGGAACTTCAGAACTTCAGTGTTACGCTGTTCGAAACAAGGTGGCCGACTTACAACTGTTGCGCAGACATCTTTGGGAATGAGCCTCCTAGTAAATCCTTCCAAAACCCGGACGCGCCGCAGCCTGTCTCGATGTTATCCTTCAATGGAATAGTCGTCTCCTTTTCGTGGACACGAGGTGGGGCCTGACATGGTGCACATTCAGTCCAGCCCGGAGGCTTGGTTTAGGCCCAAGCCTAAGCAACCGGGCCTGCAATTAGCGAGTACGAAGGCGAGGGTGGTTTGGCGACAGAAGAGAGTGGCATTGAGGTCTGGCGCGACGCCTCCTAAACCGAGCTACCTGCGCGTTTCTGTGCCCAAATGTAAGCCAGTTACGCATATCGAAGTTTAAAGTACTTACTTACGTACGAAGCCAGCAGCGTAGGACCTGTTCACAGCCTGCAAACTTTGAGCAGGGTCTCGGTAGATTTAGCGGCCACTAGAGATGTGGACTGCGTTGGCGTCGATTGCGTGACCAGCCCCTAGGCGTGCTCGAACGAATGTGCATGGGACGCGGGGAAGAATCTTGGTCTTCGCAGGGTTCCTAGGTTCTTGTTCGTCGCCTTGATGGCCAAGTGGCGAGGCCTACAGAAATTGGTGGCTTCGTTACAAATTGATCAGATTGCTGGACTTACCTGGGGGTTTTCGCTCATGCAGAGTTGCCCAAGAAACCCTTGGCCGTGGGGCAAAAGCGACTTGCACTGTCGTCGTCGATGGGTGGGCGAGCCATCACACAATGTCGTTCGATGTATCCGAGATTCCGACAGTCTCCCATCCACCTGCCAGTTTACCGCAGCTCTTCTGGATGAGACTTTCAACGAGATGTATTCGTCGAGTCCTCGCCGTGTTCCATGTCCACAAATTTGGTTCGGCTCAGTGGTAGTTGCGAGCGAAGCGAAGCGAGCGAGCATACCGAGTAATGTGCGTCGCAGTCAGGCTGCCCGGGCTTTGAGGTGGGTCCAAACAAATCCAAATAGACCGGTCACCGAAATGTCGCGGAAACCAGTATTTCGTCCAAAACCCCATTCATTTCTTAGCCTATTCTTATGGAATTTGAGCTATGCATAAGTACAGTAGGGCGAGATAGGAATATCTAGAAAGATTGAGCAAAATCGCGATTTTGTTTGAGAAATATGCGTCTTGAATTTTCATCTGCCAAACGACGCGCCATCACGTCGCGTCTGAGCGGAACGCCAAAGAGACGAAGCTCAGCGCTCAACCCCAGCTGCGCTGGGGTTGCGTTGAGCTGGGGTTGAGTAGCAAAATATAATTATAATGGGATTTCGACAAATGCTCGCCCGAAACTGTGACCGAGCGCTTCGCTCGCCCCCGATGCCCCTTGGGGCGTCGGAATACATATTATAAGAATGGGTGGTGGTGTGGCGGTGGTGAACATCGCAGTGGTGGTAGAGCCAAAGGAGTTGATGTCGGGGTACTAGTCTCGTAATGCTTCCAAAAGTCTATGTAAACATCTAACTGGAATCTGAATTGAAGTACTGATACTCACTTCCGAATTTCGCCTTGTAGACCATTGCTAGCGGGCTGTCGGTCCAGGACAAGCTGCAAGTGAAGAAGAGCCGGATACGCTGTTCTTCACGGCACTCGTCGACTATACACTTTCTCGCTAGTGGCATTGGGGACCTGGAAACAACAAGACCTACACACATGATTGTTAAAATGTCAATACAGATCGAAAGGGCTATCTGTGAGACTTACCATGGACCATCCCCATCCAGGTTATTCATAAAGCTCTTTTTCAACGTATTTCAACCACTGACAAGCCCAACGCCGCAATTTGACAGTCCGGATGATCAAAACGTTGGCCTTGGGCAGAAGGTCGGTTTCGACTGTCGCATCGAGAGTGTTACGGTGGTCGTTGGTCAGGAAGCTGCCGAATCCTTGGTCGACGGCTGTCGCCAACAACTGACTTGGGATATCGATTTCAGTGGATGCGGCGAGGGTGATGAGGTTGATAAACGGCAAATAAAAGCTTTCCGGTCGTCGCTAGGAGCATAAGTACAAGCAGAGTTCGACGATGAAGCTTGAAGCTGAAGACGCAGCGCGAAACTGTGAAACGAAAACGATCGTTGGCTGAATTTGAACCGATGACATCATCCATCAATCGCGTCCACTCCCACTTCCACTTCTCCCACTTCTACACCCAGCCTTTCCCTCAACACGCACGGTCCTTTCCACTTGGAATGTCAGCATGGACTTGCTTTCACCCACTTAATGCCGGCGTCTCACCTCACCAATCCCACCAGTGACGAACGGAATGGCCAGGTCACCCTAAACCGCTTCTCGGCGCAGCGCGTGCTGTGACAATTGGCTTTCGTGACCCAACCTCGGCGCACACGATACACAACGCCAGCCAGGGACCAGCCTTCAAGACGTCCCTTCCTCGCGCCCGTAAGTCGTCTCGTTTATGCGGTCTGAAGCTCATGTCGCAGGTAGCAGCCACCTAACCTATCTAACCAAGGATGAACTCCTCGGTGCTCACCTTGGATCCTTGAAATTGCCTCAGATCGCCAGACTACCTACCCTCTAAGAGACGTTGCGGGAGGGTGATTCTTAATTTTAGGAGTGTACTTATACCGTTATACGATCATGTCTATGAAACCGAGTGTCTCGAACTTTGCTCTGGGTCCAGAAGTGAGAGAAATGTTGAATGAACGTATGGAAGAGGAAACGGGCATTGTAGAAGAAGGGGAATACTTAATGTACAAAAGCGAAAGGAACCAGCCAAAATGGAACGAATGTACAAGGTCAAAATGCAAAAAACCATGTGGTGCCGGCTACAGGTTGCGCGGGATAGGGGAATTCTAAGTGATCGAGGGGTGAAACGAATTGAGAACGAGAGTACCGAGGAGGCATCGAAAGACAAACGAGCGGAGGGGATGAGATTGAAAGGATGAATAAAGTCGCGCTGAGTGGGACCGAATGGTTTGGAGGGAGATAGGGGCGTCCGACGAGTCGGATCAGGGCGGATACACGGGTGACTCTAACCATCGTTCCATCATCATCCTCGCTGGTCGAATCGTCTTCGCCGCTTTCATCATCCTCGCTAGTCGAATCATCTTCAGCTTCATCTCCCTCACTGTCAGAGTCAGATGTATCCAAGTCCAGAGCTCCACTGTCTATCATCAAATAGCAGAATCTCAAAACCAAATCCTCTAGCTTGTAGCGGCGAAGAACTTGAGCTGCAGCAAATAATCCGTGAGTATACCGAGTTCAAACCTGCGAACATTGTACTGGACTCGAGTACTTGCTTACCCTGATCACCTGTTACAGTCGCCAATACACTCGGAACACAGTGCACTGGCAAATTTTGACGAGCGCAGCACTGAAACTTCGATGTGACGGCTGCGCTTACTGGGAACTCAATAACCATACCTACCCATCCGATTCTTTCAGCTCTCAGTGCACCGGAGACGCGTGGCGAGGCCGAGGGCCTTGGATGCATTGAGACCTTATGCACGCTCGAGACGGGCAGAACCGGCACATTTAAAGGGGACAGTAAGCATGCAAGGTACGTGTATTATCCCTTTTGACTCATAATACCTTGGCTTAAACGACGTCAGGAGAGTTCTACCAAGAGTATCCTGCGCTCGAAGACTTTGATGGAAAAAACACAAGGCGTATTGAAAATAAAATGATGCTCGACGACCATCCACGACTTTTCCTCTGGTGACCTTAGGCAACCCGGTAAACGAGGTAAGCTTCGGTGTTATGTCTGAATAGCAGTAAAGCCAACTGACGTCCGGACTAGATTGGTTAGATGGTCACTACCTATGACACGAACACGGGTCTATAAACTTCGAGACCGACCTCACCCAAACGCTGTCTGCGAAGGGCAGTTTGTGGTGCGGAAGGTACATACATGGACAACGTAAGCTTTCAGAACGCCTGCAGATGACAGATGGTGGACTTACGATTGCTCAGACGGATGTGGGTTTCTTCCACCTAAGATCGATCATCATTAGACTCGTCAACAAGGAGAAGAATTCGTACACCAACTTGAAGACCTACAAATCTCTGGATCCGAATCCCGAAGACTAATAGACGCTTAGCGGGGGAGAGTGTCCGCGGTCACCGAGTAGGCCTATACGAACGAGGTATGTCCATGCCCTTCTCGCTCCTACTACCTGGTCGACTTACCTTGAACTAGGCTGGCAGAAAAGCATTGCGGAGGCATCAACGATCTGTTCCAGCCCCGTCGTTGTACCCAACCCAAGGTCAGCGCTCGGGAAAATTCAGTTCAAACAAGGTGCTCACATCCATCGAACATTGGCTAGGCCCTGAGGAACAAGGTCACCGTTAGGTTCGAAGCACGACTGGATGGACTTAACTTCGGCATTCACCTAACGTATGAATGCTCTTATCGCTCAACTCGACCGCTCCTATGAACTAACAGGTTTCTATATTAATCAGGGCGCTTCTCTTACCTTTAATTGCCAACGCCTTCGATCGATGCCGCCCACTCGTCAGCAGAAACGGAAATCTTTCGCCATCCTGCTGTCTGTCCCAGCGCCGACAACACAGGGACCTCCAGATGAAGGAAGAGCCAACACACGACGCACGCTGGTTGGGCGCGCAAGAAGCCAGACCGGCGACGGCCTCGACCTCGGCAACCATTTACTGGGCCAACGTGCAGCTCAACCGCACCTCCATTTCACTTTCAGACGTTGGCGAGAACCTCACAGCTAGGCGGTGACAGCATGGACTCGGTGGCATGCAGGGGAGATTTGGGCGTGAGGAGGCGGAGACTGTGGATCGAGGAGTGATGCGTTAGTCATGGTGCTTATCACGACTAGTAGGCCGTTGCCTCGGGTGGTCTGTTCATACTGGGGAACAGCGGTAGGCAGACCGTCGCCGTACGACGGTGTTCGTTCCTCACCTTGGGACACCATCAGGTGTCTAGGACGCTGACGCGGGTTCCCTCGCATGACGGTATTCGACGTATAGCCACATCGAGCGACGAGAAGATAGCGTAATAAACTATTCTACAACTGAGCGGCACAGCAGACAGTAATGGTAGTGTTGTAACGTGAAGAGGGGCATAGAAGGTTTAAATATCGTACGCAGAAGCAATAGTAGGGCGACTGGCGATTACTCGAGGGGCCAGAGCTGGGGTCGTGCACCCTGCGGTCTCATTTCTTGACACCTGCAGAGTAAACGGGATGTTAGCTTCATGTCGTTGCACAGGAGCCCGAACGTACTTGGTCCATTCAGTTCCGTGAACGGCGTGGGTCAAATCAAGCTTGCAGAATTCACCGCTTTTCCATTGGGTTGCGGGTGAGATGAGGTTGCGACAGTCTCGGGGTAGAGCCCAAAAGAGGAGATCTCCCGCTGTGTTCCGGATCCAGCCATCATCCTTATCCATGTCGATGGAGGGAGGATACATCTGGAGCAACACCTGATCTGAAATAGAAAAGTGGATAGGAAGGAGGTAATCAACATTAAGCAAAGACTGTACCTTGAATATTAGAGGAGTCAAAATGTTGGAGGTAGGTGGGGTTGCATTGAAGGGGATTCACAGGCGGATGGTGTTGTCTCCTGACCCAGAGGCAAGGAGGGTCCCATCTGGGGAGAAAGGCACAGAGGTGACCCCCATACTGTGCCCTCGCAGAGGCTCACCCAATGCCTCGCCTGTCTGGGGACTCCACATCTGGATGGTCCAGTCAATTGACCCAGAGGCAAGGAGGTTCCCATCTGGGGAGAAGGCAACAGAGGTGACCCTATCACTGTGCCCTTGCAGAGGCTCACCCAGTGCCTCCCCAGTCTGGGGATTCCACAGGCGGATGGTATTGTCTCCTGATCCAGAGGCAAGGAGGGTCCCATCTGGGAAGAAGGCAACAGAGGTGACCCCATAACTGTGCCCTCGCAGAGGCTCACCCAGTGCCTCCCCAGTCCGTGGACTCCACATCCGGATGGTCCAGTCAATCGACCCAGAGGCAAGGAGGGTCCCATCTGGGGAGAAGGCAACAGAGGTGACTGAATCACTGTGCCCTTGCAGAGGCTCACCCAGTGCCTCCCCAGTCTGGGGATTCCAGAGGCAGATAGTGCCGTCAACCAACCCAGAGGCAAGGAGGCTCCCATCTGGAGAGAAGGCAACAGAAGTGACATATGAACTGTGCCCTCGCAGAGGTTCGCCCAGTGCCTCCCCAGTCTGGGGATTCCAGAGGCAGATAGTGCCGTCAACCAACCCAGAGGCAAGGAGGGTCCCATCTGGGGAGAAGGCAACAGAGGTGACCAAATTACTGTCCTCTTGCAGAGGCCTACCCAGTGCCTCCCCAGTCTCAGGACTCCACAGGCAGATCCTCCTGTCCCACGACCCAGAGGCAAGGAGGGTCCCATCTGGGGAGAAGGCAACAGAGGTGACCCAATTACTGTGCCCTTGCAGAGGCTCACTCAGTGCCTCACCTGTCTGGGGACTCCACAAGCAGATCCTCCTGTCCCACGACCCAGAGGCAAGAAGGGTTCCATCTGGGGAGAAGGCAACAGAGGTGACCTCACTCCTGTGCCCTTGCAGAGGCTCACCTAGTGCCTCCCCAGTTTTGGGACTCCACAGGCAGATCCTCCTGTCCCACGACCCAGAGGCAAGGAGGGTCCCATCTGGGGAGAAGGCAACAGAGGTGACATATGAACTGTGCCCTTGCAGAGGTTTACCCAGTGCCTCCCCAGTCTGGGGATTCCAGAGGCAGATGGTATTGTCTCCTGACCCAGAGGCAAGGAGGGTCCCATCTGGGGAGAAGGCAACAGAGTTGACCCCATAACCGTGCCCTCGCAGAGGCTCACCCAGTGCCTCCCCAGTCCGCAGACTCCAGATTCGGATGGTCCAGTCAATCGACCCAGAGGCAAGGAGGGTCCCATCTGGGGAGAAGGCAACAGAGGTGACCCCATAACTGTGCCCTCGCAGAGGCTCACCCAGTGCCTCCCCAGTCTGGGGACGCCACAGGCGGATGGTGTCGTCCCACGACCCAGAGGCAAGGAGGGTCCCATCTGGGGAGAAGGCAACAGAGGTGACCCAGCCACTGTGTCCTTGCAGAGGCTCACCCAGTGCCTCCCTAGTCTGGGGATTCCAGAGGGAGATGGTGTTGTCGTCCGACCCAGAGGCAAGGAGGGTCCCATCTGGGGAGAAGGCAACAGAGTTGACCCCATAACCGCGCCCTCGCAGAGGCTTACCCAGTGCCTCCCTAGTCTGGGGATTCCAGAGGTAGATGGTGCCGTCAACCAACCCAGAGGCAAGGAGGGTCCCATCTTGGGAGAAGGCAATACAGCGCACTGGACAACCAACATCGGTGATCCACAGTTGCCTTCTGTGATATGAGTAGGAGAGTGAGGGAATTGCAGGAATTTGAGGATGGAACCACAGTGATGACCCAGACGCAATATAGGCAGGTAGGGCAGAGAGGTAGAGGTGGGGAGCACTATGGCTGATGGGAGTCCGGAACGTGGATGAAAATGTTGCAATAGCCATGAGGCGATCTTGGAGATCATGAGGCAGAGTTGGTAGAGCCTAAGACAAGGCATTAGTTTCTGGGAGCTACGCAACATTTAAATAGTAATATACCTTTGAAACAAGGGGCAAGGTATCATAAGCGTAATCCACCTTCTTCGCCACACTCAACGCCTCCAACCAATACAGTGATTTCCCCACCAGGAATCTGTCCAATCGTTTCTGAACTTCTTCCGATAGACCTCCTGTCGTAGTGGCCATTCCAAGGACATGATTACCCCACGCCGTACAGGCATACGTCAGATGAGGCACAATGCGCAACGGTGTGGGCTGCTCGCTGTTGGACTTGTACGATGTCACTGCACCCGAGATACCCAACCTCAACTCCTTGTCCATCACAGTGAAGCAACGAAGAGCAGCCATTTCGTTTGCCGAAAATCGATCGATAGCCCATTCGCGTCGACAATGAGGGTTGTCGGTGGTGAGGTAGTCGGCGAAGGACGCGTGGAGGATCGTGATGGGTCGGTGGTCGTCCCCTGGCACCTGGATAACGGCTCGCATGCCCTGAAAGGCGGAGCGAACATCGTCGTTTGCCAGTCCAAGAAGGTTGGCATAGTCGGAAACGCACAGGGGATTCAACGCAACGAGGAGCAACGACAGACACGCGAACGCGTTCTGAGCGTCTACTGGTTCCAGCCCTTCGAAGGCCTGCGACATGACACGCCCATACAACCGGTACAGCGAATCGAGACGATTGGTCGACGGCGACGACTCTTCGGACGAACAGAGGTCGCGGAACAGCCGGACGACGTTGCCCCTGTACCCCTCGAGATAGTTGATCAGCGTTGCTGCGAAGATGAACAGCTTCTGGGATCGCTTGGCGAGGGTCTGGACATCGTCTGGTCGGACGTGACCGCGAAGGGCTACGACTTGCGAGAGGCGATAATGCAGATAGACGACGATATCAGCTTCGACAATATGTTCTTCGACGTCGTGCAAGTGCAGAAGCTCTGGATGTTTTTGGTGGTAGTTGAACGCATCTTCCACGACGACGTCAGGGCGGCTGGTCAAGAAGACTTTGAGCGACGGTGGGAGCTTCTGAGACATGATGGTGTCTAGGAGGAGCTTGAGCTTGCGTTTGTCGGTGCACTCGTCGAGGGCGTCGATGCCGAGGACCACCAACTCATCCGGCCCAAATGCGGCTCTTGCAGGCTCGAGGATGAGCACACGGTACTGATCTTCGAGGTTCATACCCCTGGGGTCATCAGGGCATTTGTCCTCGAGCGCCTTAACCAGCTGCTCCGCAAACATGGGCCGAGCCTTTGCAAGTGACCTGGCAAGGGACGGGATGATGCGGCCGACATCACTCCGAGCGTCATGGTCCAACGAGCAGAAGAAGCTGGCCCCAAGGAGACCTTCAACGTAGAGTTGGGCGCAGAGGGTGTCCGACACCGTCGTCTTGCCAGTACCGGCCATGCCGCACAGCCAGAAGATGGAGTGGGAGGTAGGGTCCTTCGCCCAGCGAAGAAGGCTTGCCAAAAGTGCGACTCGGGTTCCGGGTACACATCCTTGACGGTTCTCTTGCTTGAACTCGGCTCCAGCGACGGTCTTGATCCTCTTGAGGTGTTCTACATGCCGTTTGAGCGAAAGACTGTATCCAGGCGGACTTGTTCTTACCGTTCTTCTTCAACCAGTCAACAATCTCCTTCGTCCCTTCGACCATATCTTTCGTCTCCACCACTAGATAATTGTCAGACCATGCATCGACAAGACGGACATGTGCTCACCTTTCTCCTTCACCCAGCCCATTCCCTCCGCTACCTTGAGGGTTGCCTTGTGGCCCGAGATACTAACGTCGAACTGAACCTGTGTCAGAAGGTGTACTGTTGAGAAGAGACGGCGGGACGTACCATCGCAACCTCGATCGCGAACCTGACCTCTTCAACAGCCTGCTGAATCTCCTTCTGATCCTCCGTCGCATTAAATACCCGTTTCCCTATCGAATCATCCAATTTCTTCTTCATCTCGGCCGCCTTTTGTTCGAGCATCCTGTAGGAAATGATTAAATCCAGATCCTCCTCATTCAATCGATGACAACCCACCTGGCTAAGCCTTCCAGTCGATCTCGAACCGACTGCTCCACGTCCGTGGTGGGACAAGACTTGAGGATGCCTTCGAGGACTCGGAGGCGTGCCAGCAGCTTCTTGACTTCATTGCGGTTTCCATCAACAGTCTAGGATAATGGTCAATTGAGTTTTTATATTGGGAAAAATGCAGACGTACATCGAGCATGATGAGGATTTCCAACATCGCGGCCGCGACGCTTTTGACCGGAGGGAATACATCGGTGGTCTCCTTGATGACCCGCAAGACTTCCTTGGCGCCATAGAAGATCGTGCGCGCAGTCGACGACACTGATCCTTCGTTCGTCGCAATAGCACGGGTGGTGGCATGGCCTCCGTCGGTGCTGGACATGACCGGCATATCCGCGTCGACGTCGGTGTGTGTGGTGGGTGCAAGTGGTGCGTCGACCGAGCTCTGGTGGCGAGTGTGAGCTCCCTCGTCAACGGACGGGGTTCCAGTTGGCTGAACTCCGCCATCGCGCACAGATGCGGTCTCGGTGGGCGTTGCGCCCTCGCCTTGTCCAGGTACATCCAGGTTGAGGTCTCGAATGGAACTCGAGCCAGACTGGGGAATCGAAGGAGTAGGCGAATCCGAACGCGATCCGAATCCGATTTTCGAGAGGAGCTGCTTCTTGAAGCGATCGCGCTTTCGCGGCTTGATTTCAGAACTTGTAGAACTCATAACAACAGGTGTAGTCGATTGGAGTTCGGTGGGTATAGCTTGTGTAGAGCGAATGCTAGGTTTCCAGTGCACACTGTGCGGAACGAAGAGAGCCTCGAGTGGGCTTCAACCTCGCACACTGCCACAATCCGCTTTGGGTAGATTACTTGTTCCGTCGTTTTCGGACTCCTCACTCGAACGAAACTGAGAACCCCGTTAGCGTCTTGTTAACTTGTTACGTCTGTGAATTTGAATGTTGAGCATCGAATGAATTCGATTTGCTTACTCTCTGCTTCCCTTACACAGATCATTCACCTTTGCTACTCTAAATGGGATAGAAAATGGATGCTATAGGTGAGTTCCCATTCAATGAGAAAGAAGCCAATAGCTTACCTGCTTCTAGCCGCCAATACACTCGGAACACGCTACACGAGCGAAAGTACACGACAGCCTTCCACCTCCGTGTCTTGAGCGCTGAGTGGTCGTCTCGACGTCAGAGAGGCGCGGTGAGGGTGCCGCGAGCACTGCGGAAGATTCAGGCGAAGGAAGTTGAGAGGATCGAAAGCCCTGACTGCATAAGTATGGATGCCTTTGAGCTATGCCAATGTTACCGAGCGAATTCATCGAGGACCTACCTTTCTAATGGAAGACCGTTGCGGCACAGTCAGCGCATGGTAGATAGGGTCTGACATTGGGATTGGTTACTGAATAATGGCAGAGAGCCCTATACGCTATCGCAACCCATAAATTCACTTTGCAAAACCCGATTTCCTGCGGACGAACTTGCATGTAGAATGGCACGCAACGGCCGTGATCCGATCAATCTTTATTCTGATCCGCGCTCACTCATACAAAACCTTTTAAGAAATCTTCGTTCTGTCCTTCCCCTGACCATTTGACAGCTCACAGGGGTAAAATTGCTGCTTTATATTCTTGAAATTTCCGACAACGATCTAAATCTTTCACCTATTGACTTCCTTTTTGGCGGAAAATGCAGAGAATCGGTTCGATAACAGGATCTGTCCAGGACATCATGGCGACCCTGAATCTTCATGAAGTGTGAGCTTCTCTGTTTCGCCTCTGGCTCTGGTATGTCCGTGTGATACTGTCTTACATTCATTCTCCTAGTGATATGGGTGAAAAAAGACTAGAACACGGCCGGGTTGAGGAGGCAAAGCGTGTATTCTACGATACCGTGAAGCATACATGCCCCAACTTCGGCGTTTTCCCATCGCTAAACGGGATTCCTGAAGATAACGGTTCTCCAGCAGAAGATAGGATACGGAACAAATTGTACTCTGCATTGGATGGCTGGCCAGCCATAAGGCTGATGACAGCGTGCAACGGCCTGGGGAAGAGTTTCATGATGGACGGCGATTTCGAGACGGTGCGGTTGGTTCCGCAAGTCTCACCCGCGAATGGACTGAACGTATTCATCAGGCCCTCGCTTGGTTCGAAGAAGTCGACACAATCTATCGGAATCAATACTTCAGCCCTGAACAACCGAAACCTCTCTTTTGTGAGTCGACGCGCCCATTAGTTCTGTCAGGTCGGGTCTGACGCACCTCATACATAGCATGGTTCGACCACAACCTCGATTCTCCGGATTTCATTCTCCAACGCGTTACGGCGCTCGTCCTCTCAAGTCGCATCTTCTTGTATCTCGGAAACACAGCGACAGCTGGCCAACGATACCACCAAGCACTCGACACCACGAAGAACCTCCGGAGCGCTCTTTACACGCCAGAATATCGCGCCCTCGTCAACAACAACAGGCTGAGAGAACACATGCTCATCCGCAACCCCGACCCCGCCTTCTGCCATACTCTGATGGTCAGCAACCCAAGGCTACAGGTCCTTGGATCGTGGAAGAAGTTGGGCGAGAGGGACTTTGCTGGGAAAGGCCCTGGTGCGCGACTTCAATTTTCGAGCTTTATCTGGAATAGCCACCTCTACGTCTTTGGAGGCACGAAGGATAACCTCTACGGCCCGTGGCATAAAGATTTCTGGTGCATAGACCTGCGGCAATTCGAGGAAGGCGCTGGAGAGAGGGGTGCCAAGGGAGGGGAGCCTAGCGCCGAGGGGTCTGAGCCCAGCACCGTCAAAAAGAAACTGACGGGTGCCCAGAGGCGTGCAGCAGCCGCTGCCGCCGCTGCAGCTGCAGCTGGAAAGACTACGGATACCTCCACGGGTGCCTCTTGGCGAGAACTGCCGTCATATCCACGGTCTCTGGCCTTCAACGGAGGACGGGCGACTTCCTTCGGGTTCGTCGTCCACCCAGGGCGCAAACGAGCCTACCTCATCACGGGCAAACGCGATGTCGACTTTTTCGATCTCACCACGGAAAAATGGGGCGTTATTAACGCGTCGTATATTCCCACATCTAACGATCGCAAGGCAGGCGTCAAAGGCGACTGGATATTCCCTGGCTCAAATATTCTCAACGCCGGTCGCGCTATCCATGGCGACAAGATCTACATCTTCGGCGGAACCCACGGCACCACTCTCTTGGGATGCAATTTATTGGTCGAACTCGATCTGAAAACGGAGGTTTGGAAGAGGTTGTCGGGGTATGTTGTTCCCCTTGAAGACGTCGCTGATCACTCTCTACCGGATCCTCGGGACTCTCCCTGCTGTTGGATTGCCCCGGAGATCGAATATCCGGAATCCCTTAGAGGAACAGTTTCGGCGTCCAAAGGACAAGCCACGAAGGGCTCCCCAAGACTTTACATTATGTACGGTCAGATCAATCGGGATGGCGCAATCCTCAAGGGAGAGAAACACGGAGCAAATAAATCATTCACTTACAACGACTTCTGGAGCTGGGATCTGCAAAGGGGCGGGTGGAGGCGAGAAACCATCGTTGGAAACCCGCCTGCTCAAAGAACGGAGATGGGATATACCTACGTGAGTTTTCTCCTCTCGATATTCATTTATACGAGTTTGACCAACCGTTTGTTAGAACGAAAGGCTACACAAGGTGATCCTCTTTGGCGGCTACACCAATGCTGTCCCCAGTCGAGTAGAACCTCCAGGCTCGGCTGCCAAAGAGTTTGATTTTACCTACTACGGCGACACATTCATGTTCGATTACGACGGTGTGGGTCCCTCCGGTGCCCCTTCAGGGGCGTTTCCTGACCTGTTGGTGAATTGCCGAGAACCCGCAACTGGCCACCAGCTGGCCCTCCCTTCGACCAAAGCTGAACAACCTCTCAACACACCAGCGGTTTCTGCCAACGAACCCAGCCTACCCGAAGCTCCTCCCAGTCTTTCCACCCAAGAATACCCTCGTTGGCGCCATGTCCTCACCCGCGGGTTCCCCACTTACCGTTGCCAACCTGCGCTTCACAGCGACCCGGACACTGGCAAAGTTTACCTTTACGGCGGGTTCACGACTTCAGATTTCATTCCGACCCGCAAGGCGTTTGCGACGCGTTCGTTTGGGGATTTATGGCAGCTGAGGATCGACATCGAGGGTGGGGATTTTAGCCAAGTGGATTTGGAGGATGAGGCGAGGACGGCTAGGGCGGGTCCGTGGTTGAGGTGTTTCACGTGTGGGAATGCAGGGAGGTGGAAGAAGTGTTCGGGACAGTGTAAAGGACTGGCCGGGTTTTGCGGAGTCGAGTGTCAGAAAGAGGGGTGGAAGGAACACAAGCGGATTCACAAATGCAGAAAGGTGTGAAGATGGTACACTAAGTATGTCCATTACGCCGCTCTGAATTGTTGCTACATGCAATTTTTTACTTAATGCTTTTCGAAATCAGTGCTTATCGAAATATCTCTCCATCCTTCCAACCTTGCCAAGGCGTCTTCGCAGTGTTTCTTCGCGGTTTGGTACGAATCCGATCCGAGATTCAAAGATCTTGGGAACGCCTTTCCAGCTGCAGTACCGGTTCCATGAGCAAGGTCCCCCAGGACTTGCACAGCGGCGAGTGGATCGCCGGGCTGCTTTCCGTTGTAAGCTAATGTAAAGAGTCGGATTGTTTAGTTGAAGTTTGAACACCGGCCAAACCAAAGTTGATGCAAACCTTGGAAAACGGCGTGCCGCTCCTCGGTCAACTTCTGGTAGTCCGCAATCCGAGACACTGGAGGAACATGTTGGGTATCCTTCAAGAATGGAGTCCTAAAGTACCCAAGGTCGATGCAGACGCTGTTGATTCCAAAGGGTGCCACCTCGTCGCTCAGTGTTTCTGAGATACCGCGGAGAGCCCATTTCGTTGTGGCGTAGAGGCCGCCGTAGGGGACAGATCTTTAGAATGCTCAGTTCTAGTACCCACAATTGAGGTAGGAATTATGCGTACTGCCAGCCACCGATCGAACCCATCCACATGATCATTCCACTTCGTCTCTCTCGCATGTAGGGAAGGAAGGCTCTGGCAACATTCAAAGCTCCAAAAACATTGGTACTACGTGTGGAATCACCGAATCAGTAGGCAACTAGACTAGGTAAGGTTGAATATAACGACTCACTTGAATTGCTCGAATGTCTCCTCAGGCCTTTACGGGTTAACACAAATCCGAGTCAGGTATCAATTCTCCTCGACGCAAAGGTACGCACGTGTTAGCCTCGATAGCACCAACCAACATATATCCAGCGTTATTCACCAAGACGTCGATCCTTCCATAGATACCCACAGCAGCCTTTGCAATCTCGTGAAGTCGATCCAGAGGAGCAGTCACATCGAGTTCGATAGCTTCCGCGCCCTTTGCTTTGAGATCCTCGAGCTTGGAAACAGTTCTCCCTCTCGCCGTGGCAATAACTTTATCACCCCGAGCAAGGGCTGCAAGCGCAAGGTCTCTACCGATTCCGGACCTAAGGGCTCATTGGGTGTAAGTGTCAAGTTGATAGCAGGGAAGCAAAGAGTTAAGAGACTGACGAGGTGCCAGTGATAAGCCAAACGAGGTCTGTCGACATTGTATACAGTAGGATGTTGAAAATGGGGGTGTTGGACAGGATAGCTGCTCCCCATCCGCGTCCAATTTATACTATAGCACGTTGGATTCCCAGAACGGCGACATGCTCCGAATTCGGTAGTAAAGTGGGAAACATTAGACCAGATGGAATGTCCGGGCTTCATCTCCCTGACGGGCGCCTGATTGCTTCGTAAATTCATGGAAGGAGAAAGTTCCACCAATACATCGAAGACCCCGTGGTGTTTCTATACGAGTCAACTTTCGGACACGCGAATGATAGGCACTGAATATACCTCGTCAAACGGGGGTTCAGACGATTCGCGCTGACACCGGGGTGGTCGGAATCCTGAATTTAGAGACAGCAATGCTATATAGCTGTTCTCGACAAGAGATGTTTCCCAAACCCCAGAGAACACCCGACTTCGCCGGAGGTCCCTATCCGAAGTTGGATCAGGCGTTCTGAGAACAAGCCACAGGCTCTGCGCTGGTACTTCAGCCTTGAATGAAAATCCCGTCTCTAAGCGCCCGTCCACCCTATACAGGGCCTGCTCGTTTACAGTCCGGACTTCCGGACTTCCTAATCGCCAGCCATCTCTACCTTATCAGTACAGGTACAGCCATGGCAAGACCATGTTTGATGCTCGTCCGATTATCGCCACGCTCGATACTTGACGCAGGAACCGGCCAACCATTGACGCCAAAATTCTATTCAGAGAAAAACCCAGTGCGTGGACGTGCGATTTCAACAATACCGCACGACCTTTTTAGTCAAAGCTCAAAGCTGCCGAATCTCGCTTTCTTCACGCCATCGAGCAAACTTGGCCAATACAGCCGGCGTGATCTGTCGTTTAGTAGATTTCGCAGCGTTGACGAAAGCTTCACGAGACACCTAACGAAAAGTCAGCCCAAGCCCCAATTCCGCAGATAAAGAGGAACGCACGTGAGGAGCGTTCATATCTTCTCTCATGGTCAACAAAGCAGCCTCTTGACAGAGGGCAGTAATTTCAGCACCAGAGCATCCCTCAGTCTGCGATGCACATCAGTTTTGATCTCCTCCTCCCTAGACAGAAAAACCACTCACGAGGGTTGCAAGCTCCCTAACGTTCACATCCGGCGCAACAGTCATACGCTTGAGCTTGATCTTAAAGATTTCTTCACGGCCAGCAAGATCCGGTGGCCCAACATAGAGAATACGATCCAGTCGGCCGGGACGCATCAATGCCGAATCCAGAGCTTCTGGTCGATTGGTGGCAGCGACCACCGTGACACCGACCAGTTCCTGCACGCCATCCATCTCGTTCAAAAGACTTGTCAAGACACCCTCGTGCGAAGCGCCTGAATCCTTTTCGGAGGCTGAGCGGGAGACTGCAAGCGCGTCAATTTCATCCTGGATACATTCGTGGTTTAAGGGGGGTCACCAACTAGACAAGAGAGAGAGCCACGTACGAAAAAGATGATAGAGGGCGAGGCTGCCCGAGCTTTTCTGAACACTTCCCGGACTGCCCGCTCAGATTCACCAACGAATTTGTTCAGTAGCTAGCAAGGAGATCAGCGTCATCACCTCCATCTATCCAGCCGAACATAAACTCACCTCGGGACCCTTGACAGCCACGAAATTCACACCACTCTCGCAGGCACATGCCCTAGCCAAGACAGTCTTGCTACATCCAGGCGGGCCATACAACAGCACGCCCTTGGGTGGCTTCACGCCAAGCCTCTGGAACGCCTCGGGATGCAACAGCGGCCATTCGACGGCTTCGCGAAGTTTCTGAATAACCTCCGCCTGTCCTCCAATCTCCGAGTACCGAACGGCAGGCGTATCGACGAACAAGGATCGCATGGCGGAAGGCCGAACCATGGGAAGCGCGGCGTCCAGGTCCGCAATGTCCAGAATCAACCCTTCGTCCTTGGAAGAGGTGGAGGTGGGTCGTTGGGAGACCCAGCGCTTGATCGCGATTGTGCCTGCTTCGCGAACGACGGCACTGAGATCGGCGCCTACATAACCATGTGCCCGAGAGGCGAGAGAGTGAAGTTGAGATTGGGAGATATTGTGAGGTGTTTTGGCCAGGAGGACATTGAGGATGGAAAGTCTGGCTTCGGCATCGGGTATACCTAAGAACGTGGTAAGAGACTTGTCTCAGAGGATGAATTTCAAGACCTACCGATTTCAATTTCTCGGTCAAACCTTCCGGGTCTTCGCAGTGCGGGGTCGATCGCGTTCGGTCGATTCGTGGTCGCGACCACGACCACCTTCCCCCTGGAATCATCGTCGTCCCCACCCATCCCATCAAGAATAGTCAACAGGGTAGCAACGACACGTTTCTCGACTTCCCCGCCAGCACCATCCTCCCGGCGAGGGACCAGGGCATCCACCTCGTCTAGAACCACGATACACGGGCTTTTAGCATGAGCTTCCTTGAATACTTCTCGGAGTTTTGATTCAGTTTCGCCGTGATACGCAGAGGAGAGCTCAGGTCCATTGATGACGAGAACAGAAGATTGAGTTGAAGATGCAATGGCTCGGGCGAGATGCGTTTTACCGGTACCTGGGGGACCGTGCAGGAGAATACCGCGAGGGGGCTTCAAGCCTAGATCCGAACGTAAGTCCTAGAACAGGTGTCGCGACGCGCGATACGCACCGAAATATTTGAAGAGGTCTGGTCTCGTCAAGGGGATTTCCAGAAGGTCGCGGATTTCTTCGATCTGCTTCGATAAACCACCGACAGAAGAATAAGCATCTTGAACAGACTGGTGGGAGAGGGTCTCAAATTTGGGCTAGCATGGTGTTAGAACCCTAGTCCATGAGCGTTGAAAAGAAGACACACCTTTTGTGGGGTAGACGGGGAAGTCTCAAACGCGATTTCTAGGTCCCAGCTTACAGTCCAGAGTTGGAGCGACGAAACCAAGCTCATGTTCCCCATCTCTGTTGCCAAGTCCCCATCGGAAGAAGCAGAAAGGCGGACGACAGAGAAACATCGTTCCTTGCCTTCGAACGAGACCTTGAATGTCTGATTGATCAAGATGTACTTTAGATCGACTAGATATGCCTGGTCAGCTGGAATGTGTGCATGATCAACGTGTACGGACCTAAATATTCTCGTATCAGCAGAATCAGCCATTCGAGCTTTTGTCCCTTCTCGTCGTGAGACGGGTCAGGACTAAGTTCCTGAAGAAAAATCTTCTTCGCTTCCTTGGCATGCTGAACCGAAGGCAGACCTGGCGGTTTGGTTGCAGATGCAGGACCGGTCAATGGATATAATCGTGCTGATTTTCCTGGCTGCAGTCCAGCAGTCAGGGCATGGGATTGCGAGATCGCCAAGGCTGATGGTTCACCTATTCAGCTCAAAGTCCACTGGAGTAAAAAATTACAGAGACTCACAGTCCAACGGGACGTCCGAAGATGGCCAAAGGGTTCCGACTGCGATTTCCTGTGATCACTGTTCAAACGCTGAACATTTTTCACTCCTGGACAGTTTCGTCGAGGCTTACCTTGGTACCAGAAGAAACTTGAGTCGGGCCAACGGCCACAACGTCCCCGGTAGATAGTTTGTTCGCTTTGAAAAGATCGGGATTTGCAACGACTCTCCTCGCTGTTCTGGGACCTTCGTCGTCGTTCAGGAAGACGTTAAATGTTCTCGCCAGTATCCCAGACATCTCTGCCCTCTGAGTCTTGTCCTATTGGCCCTCGTTCGTTGGCGGGAGCTCGATGGAGATGGTGGTGAAGGTCAAAAACCACATTCCAATTCCGACGAATCCCAGCTTGAACTCAGCGCGGCTTCTACGCGGCTTCCGCGTCGGAGCGGAAGCTGTTAGCCGTCAGTTCACCCTTGCTCATCGTCATCAACGTCGACCAACACACTCTCGCCGTTGTCAGTGACGTTCAACGACGGCCAATGCGGGTCCTAAAACTTGGCTTGGTCCTGACGCTCTTGGCCTCATGTAGAGCTGAGCTCTCGGAATACTTTGACGAAAAGTTGACAATTCGGCCGCTCGAGGATGGAAAGGTCGCGTCAACGTTCGCATTCACGACATTATTGAAGGGCGCAATGCCCAGAGACCCTGCCAAACTGCACGAAGACGATGCCTGTGAGTAGCACTCTCTCCTGTTTGAATAGCCCAAAGTTAAATGACCTATAGCCCAGCACTATACCTTGTTCCCCCTAGGCCTTGGCCAAATCTTGCGCGAATACGGGGTTGCAGAGCTCCATCTGTCTCTGAACGCGGGGAAGTGGAACTATGATAAGTGGGGGTACCCACTCGAACAAGATGTAGGCACAGGCGCAGAACTATGGGCCTGGATGGGCGACGGAGCGGTCACCAGGTCAGTGACATCTCCACACACTTCACTTGTCCCAATTCTGACGGAATTATAGCGTTGATGACCGGTGGAAGAGCCTCCGAAACGCGCTTGCAGGCCTGTTCTGCTCGTCACTCGGTCGGCTAGACGAATTAAGGACCACCTCCCCTGCTGAAACCTTCAAACCGGAAGGATCTCTTCCCCACACCGCGACACATCAGCTTCGCCACGCCTCTTTGCCGTCGGAAAACGTCTGTACAGAGAACCTTACGCCTTTCCTTAAACTTTTGCCATGTAAAGGTCTATCTGGCATTGCCAGTCTCTTGAATCCCCACCGGCTGTTCGATGCGAACTGGCACGGTCTCGGTGTACACGTATTGTGGCACCAGGACGAAGGCGTTGAAGTTCGATTAACTTTCCAAACTGTATCGGATCCATTACGGTCACCTCTCGTCACCAAGCAAGGTATGTAAGGCGTCACTCTAGAAGGTCATAACACCATTTCTAATGGAAACCAATAGATTGGTCTCTCGAGAGTCTGTTCAACAGGAAGATCGAGCGGGCTTGCCCCGTTGCCCGTTCCAGCGAAATATCAGTCGTATTGCCTACCAATGACGAATACTCAATTTACCCGGAGCCTTCCTCCATTCGCGACTCTGTAGCTCTTTACGAAACACAAAGCGGTATGCACCTCTTATATGACCATAGCATTAAACTCTGACGCAATTGATAGTCGAGAAGCCACTCAATATCGCCATGGAATGGGCCATTAACTTTGATCATTGTGGGCACCCTCCCATCGAATTCTCCGTCTGCGTTACTGATACTCTTCCCAGTGGCTGCTGCTCGCAATCAGAAGCCTCAAACTTCGCTATCCGTCCAACGCACTCTCAAAGAAAGAAGCCAACTGAACGGCCAGTTGTCCGTGTCGTTGACCAACCATGACGAAACTACGCTAGAAGTACTCTACCTGGAAACCATGCCTTGGATTGTCCAGTTTTACCTGCACACACTAGTTCCTCGCGTCAACGGGGTCGTCCAAAGTACGTCTTTCTCCAAGGATAGTGACACAATCCTGACGTCTCCGCCAGATGAAGCCGTTTCGAACATCTCCTACATCCCGGCCATCCCCCACTCGAGACCGACCACCTTCCAAGCCGTCCTCACCATCCCGCCCAAGTCAACTCTCCTTCTCACGATGGACGTCACCAAAGCTTTCCTCCGCTACACCGAGCACCCGCCGGACGCCCAACGCGGGTGGGATCTACCGCCGGCTATCATCCTGCCCCTGAACGATAACGATAGCAACGATAACCTTCACCAGGCACGAATATATACACCGACCCTGCTCGTCGATCTCGCGACACCCGACTTCAGCATGCCCTACAACGTTATCATCTTCACCTGCTCCCTCATGTCGTTCATCTTTGGCAGCATCTTCAACCTGTTGACCAGGAAATTTGTAGTTGTCGCGTTGGACCCCCCGAAATCGAATTGATTGATATACCCCTCCCCCCTTGCATCCCTGTCTCTGGCTATCTTTACACCGAACCGTGGCTTCTCAAGTTCTTTTTTCGACTCGAGCCGCGCCCTCCGCTTGTCCATCCTCGCACCCTCGAAAGGTTATCAACGTTCTTTCATTTTGATGCCGGGCTTTATCAGTAAAGAAAGCATCATCGTCGAAACTTCTCTCTCCGATGCCACGACCCTTTTTTGCCCTGGACACCTGTTATCTTTCGGAAGAGAACGGGTCCAGGTGTGGGGCTGAATACCTTCTCTCTCTCTCGTCGGTGGTGAGGTGTTTGATAAGTAGCACTAACTCAAACCAACAGACAAAAGTCGTGCAACACGTTGTAGAGGTGAGTTTAAAGTCCCAATGGCTGGTATCTTACCTACAAGTCCTTGTGTCGTCTGGCGCTTATCTATCTAGCGAGTCAGCTTGAATAGGCCCCAATTGACAGGACCTTATCGCTCCCCCTCGTCTTTTACCTGTTGCGGAGCACGGGTATTGGTTATCTACACTTGACACCCACTCTCCGGCATCAGAAATAAGTTATCCCAAGGGTACTTTTACTTCCTCTTACCTTTTGCAAACACGCCATTCATTCATTATCTTCTCGTGAAGCCTGAACCGACAATACATAACGCCCTTGCTCTTCGCGCCCAGATCCCTACCGGCCGGGTCCACGTGAACCCCCCTTTCAATACTTAGCACCGTCACGAAATCATTGGCACTGGCAGGTATCGCCACACTCCCAATGGAGGCATTCTGTGACAAGCTTTGAGTTTGTGCCTCGTTGGAAGGAGAAAGCAAAGCTTGTTTTGCTCAATCAGAATCCAATACATATATACTTACTACGTGACAGGAAGCAGAGGCGGAATCGGAGGGGAAGACGAAAGAACTGTGACGACGTTCCTACTAATGCAGCACAATACCTCGTTGGACTGGAGTTTATCGGAGTGAGAATAGGCCAGACATTTGGTTCCGTTGTTGATATGAGGCCTCGGGGGATGCGGTCATGTCCTTCGAAATCAGGGGGAGGGACTGAGGAGGGTGTAATTTGGAGCGACAAGCACGCTCATTGTTCAAGTTTTTGCCCAACACCCGTTCCATCACTCCCGTCCAAGCCCGACTTCCAAGCCTGGAAGCTCGGATTTGTGGGGCCTGACGCTGTTGTTGTCTTTTCGCGTTCCTATTTCGCCATGACCGAATAACGTCGACGGTCGCTCAGGGTTTTTGTATTAACCGAGAACGTTGACTGAATTGTCCAATGGAAATCGGGGGTTAAAAGCGACAGCAGGTTCTTTGAAATCACAACGTGCCCGACAAGGGGGGTTTGAACAGCAGGGAGGGGAGGGGGAGGGGCTCCAAAGCGGTAACGAAGTGTGATCCCATGTGACCCAACGAACGATTTGTTACATACAGTACAACCCAAATTCGATTGCCTTAACCATCGGAACGGAGGGAGAAGGCCACCCAAATCCACACATGTGGCTAATCTCACGAATCTTGGGTTGCTAGAACGGATGAGGTTATGTACAGCTTGGTGTGATGTATATGATGGGTGGTGGTGATGATGGACCGAGTTTGCCAGTAATTCGCCGCATGCCCTTTAAGCAACGATTGGTGGGTCTGGCTTGATTCGTACAAGTGGTTACCCAAACTCTTTAAAAAGCTCGTAATCTCATCCGCCTTCCCAGCTGATTTATGCCCCCTCGCATACCGCTATAGACGCCATAAGTCTCGTTCCAACTGCTTCATCCCCATTGCTCTCTCTGCATACTCTATTCCTCTGTTCGCTCTGTACCAACCCCCTCGACATAGACTTCTCCATCCCGTTCATCGACGTCGAAGATTATGTGTCAACAAATCGCGTGCGTATTCGCCACTGTCCTACATTTTGACCTTCACATTTCTAACCGTGGCCTACCCTACTAGTGAAGGAACACGATGGTCGCGATGCGGTGTCCGTTTAGCTCTTCATGTCCAACCCCCCGTTGGAGATACTTAGGCTTTCTACAGCATTTCCAGCGGCACCTAGTGGTAGCGATCTACGACTGCAACTCAACGCAATGCGAGAAGAGCTATATCCACCCACGACACTGTCGACAACCCACCTGCATTAAAGTGCGTACATATTGGATTGCCTTTCCGCGCCCCCCGCTTCCGCTCTTCCAGGACGCCGTCGGGGGTGTTGTATCGCCGTTTCTGATGCCTGTTCCACACAGTTGTTCGGGGCGGAAATTCAGAAAGACATCGATACCGTTGACGAATTCTGTTACCAATGCCGAACAGCCCAAGCACGAGCTGCAGGTATCCGGCTGACCTGACCCTCTCCGACGGCCAATAGCATCTTTGAACCGATACCTCCCCCCCGATATACCACCCTCGCACGTTGCACGTTCGACTCCATGTTCAATCAGCCTCACTCCACACTGACCGACGACTCCGATGACCAAAGTATGAACCTTTCACTTATACCCCCACCCCATTGTATCAATGCAAGTGTACCCTACATAATTCTGTAATATTACGAACACCTCTTGCTTCCCAAACCGTCCTACTTCTTCCGCAGGAACACACTCTCAAAAGAAGCCGTGTAGGTTCTAAACTTCGGAGTGGTGCAATAGAAACATAGAACTCAGCGCCAGGGGGTCTGCTGATCACTGCTGTTACACCCTCTTCTCAACGCGACTTGAACACATGTTCGATTTTCCCTAGTCACGTTGGGACGGTTCGTTCCCTTGCTGCCGGGAACGCGGAGTCGGAGAGAGAGGGGCTGAGGGACCAACGGAGGAGATTGGCGATGACGTCGGTGCCAGGCGAATGATCTGATAAATTCCTCCTTCCCATTTCGATACGCTTGGTAGGGGCGCCAAGACCTACCAAGCGAGGTGGCGACCAGCTGAACGCGAAGCGTTCTGGACCCTGGGTCGGATGGAAGGACTTCGAAAGTGGACCACACCAGCCAGCAGAGACCAAACGAACGAGGGGGGAGCGGCCTGACCTCGTGTATTCGTCAGATGGTTCCCCCTTGGCACCACCTCCCTGGCGTTAAAGGAAAATCTATTTCCTACCATCCTCGAGGGGCTGCAGCCACGGCATGCGGCAAGGAACAGTGGGTGGAGATTTCATCCCTCGACTGTTCGAAAAACTCGTGTCAAGGCTCGATTAGCTCGACTACGGCTTCAACTCGGGAGTGAGATGGGCAATTGCCATTCTCTTTGTCGAATCTTGGGAAACGAGGAGCTGTAGTCCTTTGTCCTCCCCGCTTTGGGCCGAGTAATTTCGGAGATACGGAACTAGCTTTAGAAAGCTGAATTCAACCGTTGTGAAATTGTAGTAAGCGCCCAGGGAATTTTTAAGGTCCTTCCGCGTTTGAGCCCAGCATCAAGCTCTGTTGAGCTTCACCGGCTTTTGTATACGACATACAACGGTGAACTCCACTCGAAATTCCTTTCGTTGTCGAGTACTGGGGGACTATTGTGACGTCAGAGAGAACGCATAGAGAATGTTTGCATTTGAACGGCTAATCGGGTTCCCTGGACTCGAGTAAAAGGCGCTGAAAACAATAGGATCCCTTCAAGTTGACGTGAATGGAGGCGGCCTAGGTCGCCGTGCCCACAAAATGACGAATGGTTCATTCCCAGGTCGGCTCTACTCGATTAGTACCTACGTACGGAACTCGTTACTCGAGAATAGATCTCGAAGCGCCTTGGGCGTTTATATCGGCAACGGACATCAATTGGGGATTCTCTGTCCTCTTCATGGAGGTCAATGAACTAGACCGAACTGCAGGATTATGGGGTAGACGCAAGAGCCCCTGCGGACCTTGACATTTACCAAGCATCCGTATCCTAGAGGCTACTAAGTATAGCTGGCCGGTACAATATAGGTCGAGTGCGCGAAATTTAACAGCTCCACTCTCCTTGTCCTTTTTCAGCCCTCCAGTCACATTTCCAAGCGCACTTCCCCAAAAACAGGCATTAAACTTTTATCACAACTTTGAGGTGCGGTAAGTCGGCGGGAAAAAGTCAGGTATAGTAGTTTTCACTGGCAAGTGACGTCGATATCGCGTATGTGGACCTCTGAATTGATGTTGGATATACTGGCTGCATCCCCATCGGTTGTGACAGTGTGAAGAGAGCAATAGGGCGCCGGATGATAACCTAGTTTTTGAAAGCTGGCCAGTGCATAAAGGTGTATAGCCGGTGAAGAGGGAGTTCCAGCAGTCACAGAACCTTTCGAGCCGAAAGAACCGTACTAGTGCTCCTTGGCTGCACAGCTACGGTTCATTCAATGGAAGTACTCCCAACAAAGGCCAAATACCTCAGTTATAATAAGCTGAGCATTCGCCTTGTAGTCCCGTTTAGACAAAGTTCGTTCTCGCTTCCACCCATAGTAATCACCAGTCTTCTGGTCACAGGAAGACAAAACGAGTAAGCCTCAAAAGACTTGAAAGGAAAATACACTTAGAGAAATTTGAAATGCAATTCTATGCGTGGCGACCCTTTCTCCCAACCGACTGGCCTTCGTCGGGGCTCCAACGTTCCCGCAGGATTTGAATTGACAAGCGCCTGTCTGTTGATCTGCACTGTCAGCGCGAGAGCAGCCAGGATATACATCTCCACGACCATAGCGGATTCAGCTCTTATCACTGTGGCGTAAGGCGTCAACCTTTCGACACGTTTACTGCCTCCTGCTCTTATCCGTCCTCAAGCTTCTCTCTATAATTGCCAGTGGCTGACGATAATAACATCTCATTCCACAGCCTTATCAATCCTCCGCTTTTGTGACCACGAAACGAACGAATGAACCATCGCGGTGGGACTGTGCGGGTAAGGCGTCTAGTATCTACGCACCACCTACCCTGCATATTTGAAGATATTGAGACTTGGCAACTCCTTCAATTGACCACAGGACCAAAGCCAAAACAGTCTCGAGTCCACACTGCCCTTAAGTTCATCTGCGTCGTAGATCTCTGCGAAGACTGTACTAGTCTTGCCGGCGCCTTGGAACGCCGAAGCTCGACTTCTTCTCCCAGAGAAAATAGACTTTGATAAGTCCTGCCGCGAGGCAAGACCTCATCTGCATCACGATAGATAGATAAGTACAACTGTATGCAGAGATAACGACGCCTGCTCTGTGATGATCTCCGCCGCACAATCATATACTTTCCGAACGTCCCACATAGTATGTAGACGCTCAAGAGTCGAACCGGGTATACAGTCCCACGTCATCACATCTGGCATCCCGCGAACCTTGAAAGAAAAGCTGGGATCACTCATCTTCGACAGGGGGAAAGTCCAGACTTTCGAGGGACACCTGACCACGAGTTTTACGGTACCTCGAATACACTGCCGAAAGTATTTCTTGGACCTTCCAAGTCCTTCCTTTTTCCACTGACAGGCTGTGATTGCGAGAGAGTCAAATCACAGAAACGAAGAGTAAGTACTTAAGGCTGTTAAACATCCCGCATTTAATTCGTGGAGTGAGAAGCAGCTGTACTATATGTTAAAATGAGTAGGTCTTCACATTGTCACCCGCTGGCTTCACACGTCCCTATCACTGAGAATTGTGATAGGCTGCGCTTCTAATGAAGTACTGCCGCGCCAGGCCGTAGAATGTACAAGGTGCAGTCAGTCGCACAGAGGTTTAGAGCAGCTGACTGAAGGTGCGATCCTCTATACGAGAGGAACGAGGTAAACAAGCATCTCGGCCAATAGTAGCACTGTAAAGTCGCCAAGCGGTGACCAATGGTGCATCAAAAAGATTTGAAGGGACTCTAATGGCGGTCCTAGGGTTTACGACAGATGTCCAAGCGTGACCACCATGCGATGAAATAGAACTTACAGGCCTGCGTAGATTTACGACACGCGTTGAACGAAATAGGGTAACGTACCTTCTAAAGCCTTTCCCTAGAACACGAACGTGCTGCGTGCAGCCTGGAAGGTTACATCCATACTCCCGGCCGGGAAGCTTGGGCAAAGGGCGTGGTTAAATGAACTGTTATTTGAATGAGCAATGTCGAAGCCTGCGAAGCTACGCCCATGCCAAATCCCAGGGTGGAAAATACGAGTACGGTATGGTCAAGGGTTTCTTCGAGGGTGGTGGATGTTGCATACGAGAGCTTTAACACCGCCGAGGCCCATTTTCAGAGACATCCTCGAACATGGGCATTTTTCACCTGTCGCCGTGCAGACGTACATTGCCGCGGAATGCAACCCTGGTTGGGATTGGCGCCCGTTCCGTTTGTTGACGCAGTTCGATGGGTCTGGACCTAGTTCGTCAATCGCTCCACAGGGCTTCCATCCGGCATCGAGCTGACTGACCAAGGACCTCTATAAATGGTCAAGAATAAATAGGTTTAGCGCATCAAGTACTAGTAATCGGCTTCCCTTCCCCAATCATATCATGAACCAATGGATACCAGATAGTCACAAATCAATAACAACTTCGATACGAAGAGCCGCATGCGAGAAGGGCATCAGGCGTTTTGACCACCACGCTTCGACTTCGACCCTGAGCGTGCCCAATTCAAATGGATATCCCATTCGTCACATATCGATCTTCTCCTGGCCATAAATATCATCGGAAACGCAGCGGAAAGACGCGTGTAGCTTGGGTGCCCTAAAAGGGAATGGACAACGAATGCGCAGGTTGGAAATAAATGAGAATCCCGTTACCTGATATGGCCCGTAATTTCATCTGGATTCTGAGCATGGCAAGGATGAACACTCGTGGAGATTACAGTGATGGCATCATTTCGATCTGATGGCAAAGGGGCGGGACGCCCAGAAACGGGAAGGGGCGCGTCAAGTACCGGAGCACCCGGGCGCAGAGGCATTCTTCAGGTTCGAACCCGTCTGGAAGTTCCAAGTCACCAACCAGAATGATAGCAGACAGCATCAATAGCAAATTCAAGTTGACCTGTCACACCCACTTGGGCACATCCCACCCCAATTTGACACGATTGAATCCTTGGGGAAAGACGAAGGCTGGCGAATAGCAACCCGCCTCGAGGAATTTGCATCCCATGGTGGCGGACATTGGTATGATCATGAGTCGAGGACCCTGTCAATGGCGATGGGCACCAAATGCAACAAGAACCCCATTTCCAGTTGAAGGTAATATCGAAACTGTCGATCATAGTGACGACTTCCTCGTGTAGGGTCCTTTTCAGCGATGGTACGAGATGGAACTCTGCTCACATGGGCGATGGACCTTATGGAATGTGTGTTCGGGTTCAACTGCTTTCACCACACGTGTTGTAGGTGTGTCGTTCGGCTGCAGGAACGAGGATTAAGGTAGTCACGGTGATGCTGTGGGTGCACAGACTCGAGCGGGAAGGGCGATCGAGACCTGACAATGTCCCAAGCGGATTGAAGGTGGTCCTAGAGGGACTCGCCTTGACTGTGATCCCGGTCCTGAGTGCAACGAACTGAAGCCCTGGCTTGATCCCGAGTAGAAGTGCCACGGGGACGTTGTCTTGCCGAGGGGGTGGTTGGGACTGAAAACGAGGAACAAAATACGACAATTTCTTGGGGACGTCGCGCCGTTTTCTTCGACTACTCGTGGGCCCTGAGCATGAGGCAATTCATGTCTCCATGCAACACCATCCAGCCACCATATGACTGTCGAATAGCTTTCGACATAACTCCCCCAAACAGGTAAGGTTGATGTAGCCTCCCCAAGTCGAACGTGGAAATGGATTATGCGACGGGTCTATTGGAATATAATATTCGGAATGACAGGACTGTAGTCGAAGGTCTTCCTCTAGTGAGCGTGGTTCTTGTGGTGCTCTGTGATTCAGCAATGTTAGTCTCCCATGCGGCCCGGCCGAACGAGCGTCAAACGTACTCAAGTGCACTAGCAACGTCATTGGCGTCAGTAAAGGAATTGCAAAGACCAGAAGCAGTTTACTCACAGTTGTAGTCGAGGGTATAACCAATTCCGAACAAGCCAACGATCAACCACACCAAGGGTGCTCCAGAGGCGTTCTTGCCGTCGAAGAACTTGGCTTTGAGGCCTCCAACACGGGGGGTAGCCTTGCCCTTGGGCAGCTTGCTGTAGAAGTCAACGAGAGGACCAAGGCTAGCTCCAGAACCTCCCGACTAGTCGCCCCAATTCACCAATTCGTCCAGAAACAAATTTCCCAACAACGAGCGCGGTTTCGGTCAGTTCGACGTCGTTCAAAGGGGTTCTGGAGGACTTACGACGAGCTTGGGGGTGGCGATTTTGGGTGGGACGAGGCCACCTAGGGAACGGCGAACGAGGGAGGCGTGCATCTTGGGATTTTGGTGTGGTTGTTGTCGCAGTCGGAGTGGGTCGGGAACACTAACGATGAGCTGGTGATTGCTCTTGTTTGTCATCACCGTCTACCACGCCAAGCCAAAAACACAGCCACTCAAAGCACCGTGTTCGCGTTGATTTGGATGTCGGGGCTGCTAGTGTCCGACGGATTAATGGACTCCCGCTTTGTTCTGGGCTTCTCAGGGAACGACCATTGTCCGTCAGTTCATTGTCAAAAGAACCCGCCAGAGTCATTCATTGTCCGCACTCTGGTGACCTCAGTGCCACAAATCTCCTTTTAGGGGGATTTAACCACAACCGCGTTTGCGTCTGGAAACCCCATAAAAGCCGGTGTGTGTGTGTGTGGGGGAAATGTTTTCTTCAAGACAACCACCGCCGTCGTCGTCTTCTTCAAGTCAACTCACACGCTTCAACAACGCCATTTACAACTCTAACAGGTTTTATTTCGTTCATTGGTTCTTGACGCGCATCACGCTCGGCATCGGGTCATCATGGATTCAGATTGGAGAGAGCTAGATCAATACCTTGCTCTGAACGATGAGGAGTTTGCGGCGATTTTCGGCTCAGCGTCTGGAGACCGCGTTGGCTCCCAAAGTCGAACTATGGAACCTCCCGTGCAGCTTGGACCAGATGCTATCGGAGATGATGTCTCTCCCCCGAAAGGCATCCATAAACCGAGCGCTCACAAAAAGCGACGCAATCGAAACCGAAAGCGCTACGCTTGTAGCCATCCCGGCTGTACCTTTTCAGCTACCTGGAAGGCTGCGATGATACGCCATGAGAAGAAGCACAGCGATCCTTCATATGTGTATGTCCCGGCGAGGGCGCGGCAGACTTATAGTAGGTGTCGCCACTGTGGCAGCTTCTCTAAGAGGACTGGGCATGGGCTAGTAGGGGTACCGGTGGATCCTTTGCACAGTCAATGGAGAGGGATTGATATACCCGGGGGTCAGGGTGGTGTTCAAGGCCACATCAACTTGAATCAGAATACGGCGTCGTCCTCGAACGTCAGGGGTTTTTCTAATACAGGCGTGGATGGTTTCTTTATGGGTGGGTCGCAGAATCTCCCCATTCCCGGTCCTCAGGTTTTAGATTCCACTGCCAATGCCGCCGTGAGTGCATTAGCATTGGCACCGGCTGCGCCTGCCAATCAGTATGACTATGTTCATCCTAGGCCTAACATTGTCGACTTTGACTTCTCGGCCGCTCCTGCTGCTTCATCATCAGCTGCTGGTCCCAGTTTCCTCGGCTGGTTCGAATCTGGCTCAGAGCCGGGCCATCCCCTCGGTACCGGTCACGGTATTCGAGCACCTGTCCCTATGCAAGGCTATAACCAGGCCCAGGCCAGTGACTTGATCAACTCCGACTTTGACAAGTGGCTGAACTCTGGTTGGGAAGGTGTCGCAGGTCCTGCATCGGGTGCACCTACTAACCCCGCCATTATGCCTGCGGAGACGCATCAAGTTTTCCAACAGACTTTGGATTTTGAGGGGTCCGGCGGGAGTGATTTGTACGGTGCGCAGCAGGCCCCGCAAATGGGAGACACAACTACTAGTGTGACGGCCGGTGATCAGCAGCCTCAGGGAGATGACGATTTGGGGAAACTCCTGGAGTTCTTCGACTGGTCGGCTGACTCGGATGATGGGAGTGTTCAAGCAAGTTGAAGGGGGTATTTGCCAGCTTCCCTCCCTTGACCAGAATCAGGTCTTTTACCAGAGTCCACTCACAAACTGATAGATTAGCATAGAGTTCCCATGATATGCTACCGAAATTGCTTAGACTGACCGGTTTCTTAAACCCTTCTTTTGTTTCTCTTTCTCTTTCTTTTTCTTTTTCTGCCTGCTGTCTTTGTGACTTACCTGCACTCTTTTTAACCTTTGCACCCCTAACGCTCTTTCATCGCATACTCCACTCGTTTGTCAAGTTGGTTCCTCACGTTCCTTAGCATCTCATGTATCTATCTATCTCACGATTAGCTCCTAAATTGTATTCGTAAAATCGAAATTTCCGTTGTTGTGTCAAACGAAAGCTATCAGCTCGTTCCTTGTGGTAGGGTAGGTCCAACGCCAAATAAAGGCGAACTATGAATGCAACAAACCCAAAGAACGTGAACGGGCAAACCGCGGAACACGGCCCGCAACCGTGACGGCGCCCAATACAAAATGGACGGGCGTCTATTTCATTTTGCGGCCTACTACTACATACATACATAGGTCCTGCCAACGGCTGTCAACAGGCTGACAGCCCAGGAACCAGAGTTCCGACACATTCACCGCGATCGTTGCCTTGGCCGATCCGTAAATCTTGGAACTTCAAACAGGGCGATGGCATTTCTTTGGACGGTTGCGCTTTCGATCAAGACGCGACTTATCGCAGCCTAGTAGCAAACCATCAAAACGTCTTTACTAACGCATACTGAAAGAACGTTCTAAATCGACGTTGGTTAATTTTTCGCCCTCCACACTTCGATGTCGACCATCATGGAAAAGGCGCGTTCAGCTCGCCTCAAGAGACCTCGAGTCGACTCTACAAGTTTGGTATCTGAAACTACCGCTGCAGGTGTTGTCGGCGAGGCAGGGAATGTGCTTTCCCGGGACGCTGTGTCAGGCGCCAATGATCGACTGGAAAAGGAGGAAAGACTTGGAGGAGTGCCCTGTTCGAACGTTAGCATGCCGCATCCAAGCGTTACTCGGGGAAAGGTTTGGTTTCGCGATGGGAATGTGGTTCTTCAGGTAAGTATGCACCACTGCACAAGTGCCACACTTCCGAGTTCAATATGTTAATCGTTGAGACCTGGATATTCTAGATCGAAAATGTCCAATTCAGGGTTCACATTGGAGTTATTGAGCGGCATTCAATCGTTTTGAAGGAAAAGCTCGCGAATCTTTCTGCCAGTGGCGAGGATACCGGTCCAGTTGTTTGCCTGGATGATTCCGCGAAGGATTGGGAAGAGCTACTTTTGTATATCTACGATGGTGCCGTGTAAGTATCTTTTCGCTGTCTCTCCAGCAACTCTTTCCACCATTCGCTGATCTCCCGCTTCCACTCACAGCAATCGAAAAGCCGACGAGAATCTCTTGTTTCCAATCATCGCCGCTATGCTCAGGTTAGGCCACAAATACAAAATCACTGCTCTCAGAGATGAAGGATTGGCGAGGATTAAACGGGCCTTCCCATCCTCGCTCGAGTTGTTCTGCAAAACCGACGGCAGGACGAGAAACTGTTTCTACCTTCCGTATGATGGTCAGTTTGCCGACGTTATGAAGGTGATGGTGGAGTTGGGTCTGAAGAAGTGTTTGCCTGCCATGTACTACGCGGCCGTCTGCGACTATCCGACATACTTGGTGTGTATTTCTCTATATCCGTTCATTTAGAGAGATGCTAATGGTGCGTGGCCCTTGGAATTCCGTAGACTATACTCGACCAGAATGCCGATCTCCCTCTGGCGATCGTTCAGACGTTGGCGCTCGGTCATGCAAGGGTCTATCAGGGTATGATGACCCATGTATTCAGCCACCTTATTCAGGGAGTACCAGTCCAAGGATGCGAGCGCAGAGGTGCCAGTGGAAGTAACACACCCGAGTTGAACGCCATCTGTAAGGCGCGTTGCTCTGCCCTGCTGGAGAATTTAGTTGGGCCACCGCTTCGGCTCGACAGGGTGTTGTATCCTTGGGACCATGAGACTTGGTACCATACAAACTTGTGTGGTGCCTGTGCTCGTTTCTGCGTATCTGCTTTTACGGCTGGTCGACTTAGGTTTTGGGAAGCTTTGCCGAGTTATTTTGGGCTCCCTGCTTGGAATGAGTTGAAGGATTTCGTAAGGGAATAAATATCTTGTACTTACATTTTGGTCCTGAATGGATAGGTTCTTACTTCTCAGTATCACTTCCAGTTTCCAACGCAATTCACTCTCCGTATCCAAATCTGCTGCTCATTATTCACTCCCAGTATCCAAATCCCAATCCTATTCACTTCACTTAAACTTCCTAATCTACACCATAGGCTGATGCAAAGCATGCATCGTCCTCGAAAGATTATACGCCGCAGAAATCAACGTAACATGTCTACAGACCCCACCCAAGTCGCGGTCAGTCATTTGTCATCTACAGAGAGAACAAATGGAGACTCACGTAAACCCTTGAACCGCATTCCCCAACCTGAAGAAGAGCATCGCGTCAGCACAGGGTGGTACTCGGGAGCAAAAAATACTAGACTCACGCTTCACCAGCATCAGAAATCTCCTCAGTACAAAGACCAACATGGTTAAGATAAAGCAAAAAGTCCTGTACAACGAGGTAACAAGTGTCAGCTTCCAAGTTCTTCTTCACATGCGAGGAACACAACGCACCTCAAACATAGAAACAGCCTTCAACAACAACGCCTTATCCGTCTTACCAGCCCTCGTCAAAGCCTCAACACACCAAAGCGTACACAAACAAAAGGTCCCTTCTTCACCACCAACTCCATCACCAGACTTGCGCACGTCGTAACGATAAACCAAGTTCTAGTTGTACAGTCTCGTCAGAACTTAGTCCGAGAAAAAACGATGATGAGAAACTTGCATTGGCAGTTAACCCTCCCTTCTCGGGAGTCCTCATGATCCTCTTCAGGGTACTAACAAACCGAGGATCCGACTACGAAAGAAACAAATTAGTTAGTCATGTTCAAATAAGAAGAGTATGAACGTACGGCTTGGATGAAGAAAACAAGCGGCATAATCAAAACCGCAGCATCGACAATATCAGTCTCTTCGTAGCTCTGCCCAAAGAACTTCTCCTTCTCGTTCCAAGCCTTGTGCATGATATCTTCATAGAGCTACAGTAGGAACCATATTAGCGCTCAAACCAGGGTTAGGAAAACAGAGACCAACCTCATCCCTCGCTTGAAGCCACTTGAACCGATTGGGGCAGGGCAGCGAACGTTTATCAGCGAGTCGAAGCCCGCGGTCGATAGCAACCCAAAGCATCACTTTCGAGTACTGCTCGAGCACAAGTCAGTGGCTTTCCCGGTAAATCTCAGAACGTAAGACGACGCACAGTGAAATTCCGCTTCATATCTCGCACTTCCCAGATAGATCTGAATGAACGGGGTCAGCCAAACACGCAATGTAGTCCACCAGTTCGGACGCACAGATCAGGATCGTTGTAGTGCTCGACCACATAATCAACGCTATTGAAACCACGGGTTAGCGCCGTCCTCAGTAAGAAAGGCTGGACTCCGTAACGCACATTTCCCTAACAAGCACCCTGAAGACGATATCAGCACAAGTTCGATGACAGGGAAGATGAGACATACCAGTCATCATAGCTCAGCGGCTTTCCAAACTAGATATCCCGCGTGAACAAAGTACCAACGCAAGCACCCGAAAAATCCACCCACCTTCTGACCCAAATAAATACAATCCATCAGCTCTCCATAAATATCCTTTCATCGCCATACCAAAATCACAGAATCCCAACAGCAAGACGGGACGCACAAGCAAAACGGGGAAAAACAAAAAAGACACATCAGCAATCCACTCCCAAACAAAGAAAAAACAGACACGAAACCGCATCTGCAGAATCGCCTCTCACCAACTGCACATGATCCGCGGCTCCATTTCCAATGCGAACAGGCTTGCTTCCCTTGTGGCCGTCGAGATGGTCGAGTTCAAGCTCTTCCATATCCTTCCCGCCATGAATGGTGTACATGATTTGGATACTGCCGTCGGGATTCTTGTCCCTGATACGGGCGAAGATGAAGTCGAGATACGCTGTGGATCGAGTGTAATTAGAGCTCGGCGGGATGGACAGATAAGAATGGAGAGGGCAACGAACCATTAGCTTCCTTGGTAAATCCCAACCTAATCAAGGCGTAGAGCGTAAAGCTCGAGTCGCGAATCCAGCTGTAACGGTAATCCCAATTCCTGATGCCGCCGATGTACTCCGGTAAACTGAACGTTGGACTCGCCACGACAGCACCTAGGGACAAAGGTCAGCAGATGTAACAGGCATGCATGAAGGGAGATTTACCTGTTGGCTCAAAGATTAGCAGCTTCAGAGCCAACGCCGAGCGGAGAACGGATTCTTTCCAGGAGCCAGTGTATGTGGACTGGCGAATCCAGTCGGACCAGTACTTCGCCGTTGTCTGCGCAAGGGATCAGTACAACAGACGATAAGGGAGAAATCAATCCACGCACCCTCAATAACCCACCAACCAGTTCCTCCGTCAACCAAGGATCGTCCAGCGGACGTCTGTCCAAGACAGTCCTTCCACGCCTCTTCAAGAGTCCACCCTTCGCGCGTGCAATAGCCTTATCGGTTCCGCCCATTTTTGCGCGTGGTTGCGCTGCCTCGCCACCGACGTCCTTCTCATTTCCTTGTTCATCAACAGGTCGCACTTCAGGTTTCTGGACGCTTCGTCCTGCATCCCTTCCCCCTCGATCCTCCACGAGGGCTCCGCTGACCCCGCTGGGCGCGGCGGAATCGCCATCTCCACCGATAACTCGTCCTCCAGACGTTTTAACGCCACCCAATCCGACCTTCTCGCCACCAGGAACGATCCTAAATACAAAGGTGACCCCCTGACCCTCCGTCAACACAAAGTCGCTCTGAACAGCTGGTCCCTTGTGGCCCTTCGAGGAGAGGTCCAAAAGCGTGAGCTTGATATCGGGAATAGCGGATGCTTCGTCCTCGGAATTGCAAGTCATGAACTTTTGCGAGCCAGTTGTCAGTTGGCCAGAATCGAGTAGATGGGTGTCTTTACTCACATGAGCAGAAGCGTTCTCGTCATCCGTGAGTTCGCCTTCAGAATCCGAGACACTTGGGGAATAAGTAACATGGGTCGAAGGTTGAACGCCGCAGTATGCTCCTTCCGCGTTATGAGCCACCCATCTCAAATCCATGGTCAGCGCTGGGCTTTCAAAAACTGCCTTGGGGTGTCTGATACTTGGCTCCCCACCGGGAGTGCCATCGGCAGTAGCATTGGCGTGCAACGTGTCCTGGTCGGGAAGGGGTGCCTTGGTATGGCTCAATGGATCGTTGTAGTAGTCAAGATGATCAATGGACTCCTCGCAGCCGATTGGAAGGGGAATACTGTCGTCTTCAACGAAGGTTGTCGTGTGCTCATCGCGTGCATAATTGAAAGCGGGTGCACACTGCATTCGCATGGGCAAGGTACCGCGGACACATTCGACTCGCCGAATGAGCCATTGTAACAAAGGTTTGGGAGCTGTCGGAAATGGACCGCATATGTCAGGTACGTGAGCCTGTTCCAAGACTAAGGGGTACGTACTTCCTTTCATTGGAGAACTCGAGCTCTTGGAGGCTACATCTGGTGGGGTAACGCCGAGTGGAGGACGAGGTAAAAAGTCAGTCACGCTGACCACTCCGGCGTCGTTCATGAACTTGGTTTGCAGGACCTAATGCGGAAGAATGTAAACGCCGGGAAACCTGGGTAGCGGAAATATGTCCACTCACATTGGAACTGGGAAGATAGTTCTGCTTCGTCGTGAAGGGTTGGAGAGGGGTGATGCTGAAATGGCCGCCCTTGTCCTTGTCCAAAATACGCGCGAACACAGATGGTGAGTCAAAGTGGGGAACACAGTAGGATTCGACTGGGGGTTTAGAATCAGTACCAATGAGACTTGCATGGAAGGTAAGCCTGCGCACCAGAGCCGTCCAAGCTAATCAAAGCCGCAGTCCTCAGGTTTCCAATTAGTGCGTGGTCAGCGATGGGGATATAATCACGTTCGTCAGTAGGATGGATTTGGTTCATAGTACGCCTGTACGCTCGAGTTTGTTGCTGGAAGCGGAGATATGAGCGAAAACCAACAGGCTCCAACGATGTTGTAACACACCTCATCATTGCCCACACCCAAGCCCATTCCCTTCTCGGTATTCTTTCCACCAAGCTGATTAGATTTGGAGCTCAACGTATGCAGATGGTGTGACGAGTGTGGGTTATGGACGTGATTCCCGACCAAGATTTCGCTCGGCTTTGGGGGATGCGACATAGGAAGGCTTGAAGTGGTTAACGGTCGTGGCGTCGGGGCAAATACACTATTCTTGTGGTGTGGGTTCGCTGTTGGTCGAGGTCGTGGTGGTGAAGTTCGAAGTAGGGGTAACGGCGCAGCACTGGAGTGACCGCTATGGACGGCTTTTGTACAAGTGAGACCCCTAATGATCGCGTGACGTCGCTGCGAGGACGATTCCAATTTCAGAACAGATTCTAAAGCAACTGCGATAACTGCGAATGTTTACCCAATTCGAGTCACTGATCTGTGTACGCGTTCTGTGGAATGTGTAAGCGGTGATCAGAAGGGAGACCTCGCAGTCCAGGCAAATACTCTGCCTCAAACCCCGAGTGCTCCGATTGCTCGAATGAGTTACTTGTCTCCCGCGTAGCCCCACATATCCGCGGGCTGGTTGCAGGGAGTGGAACGAGGGAGAGGGGGGAATGGAAGGCGCTCGAGTGTTGGGGCAACCATGACGTGCCAATGGATGGTAAGCTGATTGGAGGACTCTTGAGCTATGCCATGACATATCCAGGGATATCCAACAGCCGATTGGTTGGCAATGGCCCTTCTAGTGACGTAGGCGGAGAGGATCGTCGGTGCGTGTCGCGCGGTCCTTTCTTGCTACGTTCGACGCCGTTTTATACAGTTCCGTTCTGTGATTCCTCCCAGCGTCGGTGAGCTTCCAGAATCAATACCGGAAGTCGGCTCTGGGGAACAAGAAACAAAAAGGAGCGGCAAGAGTCGAAAATAATCAAAAAGTAAAGAGGAAAACCAAGAAGGGTGATAGGAAAGCGAGACCAAGACGGCGAGCAGAGCTAAGGAATGAGCAGGGAAATCGTTCCGGTCACCGGGTCGAGGCCGAGCCCGTCCCTATCGGATCGCAGCCGCCATCGCCCAGCCATGATGGCGGCATTGACGGCGGCGGTGCTGCCACCTTGGGCATCCCGCCCATGTAAGCAAGTACCACCGTGGCACGCAAGGTAAATCGTCGCATAGACGCGGAGAAAAGGCAAAAGAAGATATCGCCCAGGTATTTCCTATCAAATGTTCGAAACCTTGCTCGTCGTTGCTGGTCCTGAAGTTACGAAGTGGAAGCCGCGCAGCAGAGCACAAGTTGCCAGTGTGTTGAAGGGAGAGAGAGGGAGAGTACATTTAGGAAGGGAAGCAGAAAGTGGGGAACAGGAGTTACTCAACGAGTTATATAGAGTTCTAGCAGGCGTGTGATCGTAACAAGAACGTGACGTCCAATCCCGCCCTACCTACCTCAACTACCTTGAAGGCCGGCCACAGTGCTCTCTCTATCACCTTGTTTAGATTATTAACCTTCTGCCTGTCCTATTTCTACTATTGTTCAAGGAAGATACGTGCATCCAAGCCTAATATCCCAGCATGAGCCTTCCCCTCCTCTCTGTTTCCCATGAAACTCGGAAGGAGTGGTATTCCATATTAGGCTTGTCATGGGCCTTTTCCGTATACATAACCGACATGGATGGGGTGGCCTTGGGGGCTGTCGCGGGAAAGATCGTCGATGGGCTAGTGCCTTGGGCCGACGGTGATGTTGACGGGGAAATTTGAGACGTAGAGAGAGAATGAAAAGGGTATAATTGAAAAGATAGGGAAAGGATACATAGATGGTAGTGATATCAGAAAGACTACTAATGAGCGAGTATACAGGCACTTGGAGTTTACTCTTCAGTCCCTACGGGTTCTCTTTATTTGCCGAGGACATGTCGTGATAATCAAAATGCCATTGGAATTTAGTCTTTCTAACTCGAAATATGCATTAGTCGTCGACATCGAGCATGGCTTTCTGCTTACCTTCTGATTGTTCGGCGCAGAACGCGATTCGACCTCCTTGTTCTGGCCTCTATTATTCCTCCGGCGTCTTGCTCTTGGTTTCTTGCCCTTTGTCTCATCCACCTGCACGTGCACCGTTCCCGGGTCACATCCTGGTCCCCTGCTCTGAGCGACAAGTTTTCCATCGGCACAGGGCGGCCTCTCTACACCCTTCCCTTTCCGATCCTCAGGCGCTTTCGCCCCACTCTTCGGATTTCCATCGGGATGTCCACCCTTTGGTTTAAAGGTATTCTCTTTTCCAGAAGTCTTGACAGGCCCGGCGGCTTTACCACCCTTTGGCCCACCTCTGTTCCCTCCCTTTGGCTGACCGCCCCTGGCACCACGGCTGGGCTTTGCGCTCGAGGATACCTCCCCGGGCCCGTGGTGGATTTTTGTCTTTGGTAGTGCATCTGCACCTGTTCCCACTGGCTTATCGGCATTGGCACCCTTCAACTTCGGCACACCGCCTGGAGCTTTCGGCTGGGATTTCGGCGAGGTGTCTGGGCCTTTCGATGTTGGGGGCACTGGGGTCTCAGCACTCTCAGCGCCATCCAACGCCTTCTTGCCCTTGCCCTTTCCTTTCTTCCTCCTCTTCCCCCCCTCTTGCTCATGCGGCTTTGCAGTGGAACCTTCCTTCTTCTTCTTCGAGTCCCGAGTCCGAGCCTGAGTTGGAGGCTGGAGGCCGTACCCTTCGTACGACACTTCAGGGAACGGCATTCTGTACGGCCAGACGTGTGGGTTGTTGGATCTGTCGTCTCCGGTGGTGGTGTACGACCCGTCGCCGTAGCACCGTGAGTACCCCCACCGGAAGTAGGCGTTCATCTCCGGGCCTGGGTAGTCGTCCATTGCTAATAGACTAGTATGGATCAATGTGCGATGGGAGATGACTAGGAGATGGGTACAACGGCAGGTCGGGTACGTACTACGATGGTGGTGGGGGTAGTGGTGCGAGAGGAAGTGGGCGGGAGTTACACGGGGATGTTTTGGGAGAACTCGCTCAGGCTGATAGGGGGACATGTATCATGTGTTGATAGCGCGTGTCATTTAGAGTTCGAGAAGTACCTCACCGTGGCAGAGGGTCGCTAGATGTGTTACCAAATTATGTGTGTGTGTGCATCTTGAAATTGGGTGTACGTACGGTCATCTTGTAGCTCAGTGGTACGTGTCAGGGTAAAGGACCCAGTCGAGTGTGGACCAGACAAAGCCTGCTCGCGTAGGGGCTGAGCGAAAGCATCGTCAAAGATGGGTACAGAGGGTGGAAACGAGTCCCAAGAGCTACACATAGAGTGTTTCTCCATGGGAAAAGTATGGGAAGTGTATCTCCACAGTTTAACACCTATCTCGTGTCGAACAAGACCACGAGAGAACGACGGGCGCTCGAGCCCGAGCACAATGTTTGGCCACACGGTCAGATGCAAACATTGCCTCCACGCGCCAAGCCATGCCATGGCTCGGCGTGTCTACCTTTCCTTGCATTCCACCATGCACCACCGCAATCCGTACAAAGCTGGGGTAGATTTCAGGGCTCTGGCTGAACACCACAAGTCTCTAGGCGTGCAGTAAGGCATTTTTTGCACCGTCTGCTGTAGTTCTTTCTGAAATTTGGTTCGAACAGTCTTCGGAATGGGAGTACGATTGATTTCCGGGATGAAGAAGCGCAGAGGTACGCTTGTTATTTTCTCAACTTTTTGATTGTCAAAGTAATGAAGGTGGATGGTTAGAGCAGGGAATTGACCAAAGCGATCCTCAAATGCGATTTTGGAATTGAGATTGAGTTGCCAGAAGACCGGTTGTGTCCACCTGTAAGCCATGCTTCATCCAAAGGAATTTCGAGAGTTCTCTAACCGAGTTCTAGGTACCGAATAGGTTGAATTATGTCTTGTGGATTCAGGATGTTATGGAGAACACCAGTGGACAGGGTTCGATCTCAGAGGGTGAAAAGTCCGGAGGAGGCAAGATTCGAGGGTTGGATGTGTACGTCGCCGGCCTCTGCGCTGTGGTGTACGGACGTTAACTGAGAATAGCGGAACAGGCTCCTCTGTGATATACCCCCTGCTTGCCACAAGCCTTGAAGCGGAATGGGAAATGGTTGGAACGGGTCAGTTTCTCGCTATCGTGGACAAGTCTAGCGTTTTCCAAATCCTCTCCATCGTTCACAGAACTAGACCCTCGTTCGTACGATTTCGCCAAACTCAACGTCGAGAAGAATGGTCTATCTTCCAGGATAGAAATTAGGAAGGGTGAGGAAGAGCGTTTGTTACCTTTTCTTCCCGACGAAGAGTTCGTTTTCCCTTCCCTTCTTAATTCCGCCTTGGTGAACTGAAGTCTCCTTCCAGATTTGATTTCACGATGTGCAATCCGCCTTTCTACTCGAGTTACGAGGAGATACGACAGCTTCAGGCAGAGAAAGAGGAGTTACCGGCTCAAGTGTGTACTGGCGGGGAGCTGGAGATGGTCTATCCAGCGTCGAAGGACGAGACTCAAGAGGATTGGGAGCGCGAAGGAGGAGAGGTAGCGTTTGTGGGGCGGATGGTGGTTGAGAGCTTGAAGCTTAGAGAGCGTTGTAGGTTTGTCTTCGATCTCCTCCCGCCCCTCGCCACTTTTGTAACGTCAGAGTGTAGATGGTACACGTCGATGCTGGGCAAAATGTCCTCTGTGCCGAAGATAGTGGATCTTCTGAAACGGCACCAGGTGGGTTTTCCCTCTTGTCGACGGATTTCGCGGAATTCATTTTTAAGTTTCAGATTTGGAACTATGTTGTGACGGAGTTTATTCAAGGCAGAACGCGTCGGTGGGCTGTTGGGTGGTCGTTTGGCCAATGGAGGGTTCCAGACGTACGTCGTCTTTCGCGTATATTGCCTGCAAAGTTGGTACTGACCACCCTAAAGGACGTAGGGCGGCTGTCACACCTCCCGCCATCACATCCCCTCTATAAGATCCAACCACAGCGGACGACACTCACTCATCCCATGGGAGCCACGTCCGAAGAGCACTTGCGACGACAGTTGACCTCGACCTTGGAGGCTCTGGCCCAGGATGACCGTTTCATTTTTATGCCTGGTGTAAAGCCCTCTACTTTCGTCGTCAAAGCCGCGGAGCCGGTATGGAGCCGTGCTTTGAGGCGAAAGAGGAAGCGTCAAGTCGAAGGCGGAGAAGATGAAGAAGTGCCCTGCAAGCAACCTCGGATAGAGAGCCAGGTCACATCGAAAGTGCAAGATCCTGGCTTGAGAGCTTCATCCACTACTAGCAGCGCCGTCGTCGGCGACGAAAGCTGGGCTCTCGTTTGTCTTGTTGACTTCGTGGACCGAAGCGACAGAGCAGTGATGGACTTGCGGTTTCAGTGGGTATATGGGCAAGATAGGGGCGTTTTCGAAGGGTTTGCGAGTCACGTTGGGAAGAAGGTGCAGACTTTGGCAAGGGAATCTGTTCCGTAGTTTCTTGGAATATCATGTTGTTGAATATCGATACAAGTTACTCTGTTAGTTTCCATCCGAGGACCCGTAAGACGGTTAGAAATCTCTTCGCATACAGCATTGTGGGACAAGCCCGACAGGCGGAGGCAAAGGCGAAATATAAACGCGCGGATCTGATTGGTCAGAAAATTCGAATTTATTACATAATATGACCCAGTTAATCCGAAAAACTCCGCCACAAACTCAAACCCTTCCAGCTCATCGCCAACGACGACGACCAACAATGTTGCGGGTGTCTTCGTCGTCGTCTAGGACGCTGCTCAAGGCAGCGTCGACAGCTTCTTGTAAGTGCCCGACGACGTCCAGAAACGCCCTTTTCTGATAGTTGTGCAGCTGCAGCTCGCCCGCTCCGCGCCAAATATCGAAATCCCAGTCGGTCGTTGGCGACCGCTGTCGACCCACCTGTGCGACGCTATGGCGGTCTCAAAGACCAGGACCGAATCTTCACAAACGTGTATTCGAGACACGACCACGGAATCAAGGGTGCCATGGTACGTCGACGACGTTGAACGACCGTTCCGACCGTTTCCTGACCAACCACAACCCACAGTCTCGCGGTGACTGGCACAAAACCAAGGAAATTTTGCTGAAAGGCGACGCTTGGATTATCCAGACTATCAAAGACTCGGGCCTGCGGGGTCGTGGCGGCGCCGGTTTCCCCAGCGGTTTGAAATGGAGTTTTATGAACAAGCCAGGTTGGGAAAAGGACCCACGGTAAGTCTCGGGAACCTCTAGATTGTTATTGAGCTCATACAATGGGTGTATAGACCTCGTTACTTGGTTATCAACGCCGACGAGGGAGAACCGGGAACGTGTAAAGACCGTGAAATTCTTCGCGGAGACCCACACAAACTTATCGAAGGATGTCTCGTCGCCGGTCGAGCAATGAACGCCAACGCAGCCTACATCTACATTCGCGGTGAATTCTACCAAGAAGCGTCCCATGTCCAGCAGGCCATCAACGAGGCCTACGCTGCTGGCTTCATCGGCAAGAACGCGTGCGGCTCCGGCTACGATTTCGACGTCTACGTCCACCGTGGTGCTGGTGCCTACATTTGCGGTGAAGAGACTGCGTTGATCGAGAGTTTGGAGGGCAAGCAAGGGAAGCCGCGTTTGAAGCCCCCCTTCCCGGCTGACGTCGGCCTCTTCGGTTGCCCGACCACCGTCGCCAACGTCGAGACTGTCGCGGTCGCACCCACTATTTGCAGGCGAGGTGGAAGCTGGTTTGCAAGCTTTGGACGTCAGCGTAATGAGGGTACCAAGCTGTACTGCATCAGTGGACATGTCAACAACCCCTGTGTGGTGGAGGAGGAGATGAGTATTCCGTTGAAGGATCTCATTGAGAAGCACTGCGGCGGCGTCCGAGGTGGATGGGACAACCTTCTTGGTATTGTTCCAGGAGGTTCTTCCGTACCTATCATCCCCAAAGATGTCTGCGCAGAGGTCTTGTGAGTGTTACCCTATTTTTCCCCGACACGACGCTGAATGTACAATGTCTAGGATGGACTTTGACTCGTTGAAGGATGCCCAAACTGGTCTCGGCACTGGCGCCGTCATCGTCATGGACAAGAGCACCGACGTCGTCCGCGCCATCTCTCGATTCGCCGACTTCTACAAGCACGAGTCTTGCGGCCAATGCACGCCCTGCCGTGAAGGAACGACATGGATGAAGAAGATGATGGATCGTATGGTCGAGGGTCGGGCCCACCAGCGCGAAATCGACATGCTCCTCGAGCTCACGTACGTACTCCCCACGCTTTCCTTCGCGCGAAGCAAGCTGACTCCGTTCCCTGCAGGAAACAAATCGAAGGTCGCACCATCTGCGCTTTGGGTGACGCCGCTGCTTGGCCCATCCAAGGCTTGATGCGCCACTTCCGACCTGAGGTCGAGCGCCGTATTGCCGAGTTCCAGGCTGCCAATGGCCTCGTTGGCTTCGGTGGACACCTTGCCAGCGCTGCTGACGATACCCTCGCTCTCCCCGACAACCTCGGTCTCCGTGTCGCGGAATCTTCGTATGCCAGCCAGCCCAAGGTGACGGCCTAGGCGCCGCTTATAGATGTCGTGTGGATGCTGTGTTGCACGTAGGTACAATAATATTGGTTTCTTTTTTCTGTTTTCGCATTCGTTGTGTTTTTGAGTGTGCGGAGCGATGGGTATGTTGAGTGATTGGAATTACGGATTGGTTTGGAATTGCTGTGTTGGGTTTCTGACGCGCACAGAGCTGGTCGAGCAATTACTTTCGATGAAGCATAGGAACCTGCGAAGACCGATATCCCTCGTTGCGCCCCGCGCAAACTCTCCGAATGGTGCCACGTCGCTGGTCGAGAAGTCTTGCGATGCAGCCCGCATCTAGAATTGCGACGAATTCAAAGTTTTATCTCAACGATATGCAATAATGGTAAGTTCTCGGCTTTTGGCTACAATCTCGATGTAAAGCTGGGCTTATAATTGCGTTTGACAGGAGGGTTCTTAGGGAACCCAGTGTATGAAGAATTTCCGTACCCAACTCCACCGCTTCGTGATCAGTGGAATTGCGGTATTCACTTTCCGCTCGATGACGGTCTCTTCGGTTTCCAAACCAGCGTCGAGCGACTGTCCTGCTACGCCTCCTCAACATGGTCGACGCGCGCACGTTCTCACTACCCCACCTGGGTTTCCATGGACCGTCGCCATCTCCCAGCGCAACATCACCTCCCTGTGCTTTGTTTGCCCTACTCACCTGTGCCTTCGCCTCTTTCGAGGGGTGGGAGCGTCGATGCCATGTATGAGTCCGACTACACCGTCCTTTTCATATGGTTGAGTTCAAACTTTCCAACACCATTGGATACGACGGCTCGGAGGATGGTGGGGAGTAGTGCTAAAGTGTTGGAAATTCGAGGGGAGATAGGAGAAGCAATGGATGCAGTATTCGGATTCGACTCCGCCAAGCTCGCGCTATCCACGCTGGACATTATGCATTCTCAGCAGAGGATATTAATGCCTGTCACCGACCTTCAGGTTTGGGAGTATGCGAGGCCGATCTCGAGGAGAATGACCCACCAACAGTCCCCGAACTGACGGAGGAAATGACTGAGATGGGCCAGTGTAGGACGTCCAGTCAGTGGAGAGACGGACATCTCGAACAATGGGCAGTTTTACTTTCCGGTTGGCAGGGATGTTAAGGACGTTTTGAGCCTGGACCATCATTTAACGCATGGGCTTTGGACACCGCCTGAGCGTCGATAGACATGAACCTCATGTACATTTTAGCCGTCTTTGTACTGTTCTCTAGGTGTGGACTCTCCGTTCTGCTGTACACCGTTCGCAACAAGTGCTCATTATTCCTTCTTCAGAAACCCGGTACCTTGGTGCAGTTTTCAGCTTGGCTGTGTGGTCCTCCTCGCCCTGTTCAACTTGCATCTTGCTTTCTCATTGCGGACTTGAAGCGGATATATATGTTTGGGCGAACACGAGGCCAACCCGAAATGACGGGAACGTTGACAGTGGCTGTGTTTCCCGCTGAAGCTGTTGCGGACAGTCGAGGTCGTTCCTTCGTTTCGCACAGTCTCGCACTCGACATCCGCAATTCGTTCACAAGAAGCTACAACCACCAATCAACTCGAAAGCACACCGACTCTCATCATGAGCCCACCAAATCCTGTGCCGAAGCTACGCCGCCGCGATCGCGCTATGCAGTACCTAGGCCTCTCCCCACATGGGTCACGGTCGACATTGCAGCTTAATCTGCAGCACCCTGGCTCTTCCATGCCTCAGCCTTCAGGCTCTACAACCAATCTGCCTGGGACGGCTGCTGCCGCCGGACCCGCCAGCGCCAGCGCGTCCAGCAGCCTTGGAAGTGTCTTCTCATCGATTTGGAAGGGACAGCGGCGCAAGACAGGCCCGATCTTCAAGGGCACCAAGGAAGTTCTGCGAGTCATCAAGGAGACGACCGATGTGTTCCCTCCAGTCAAGAGTGTCGCCGCCGCGATGTATGAAATACTCAACATCCTCGATGTAAGTGCCCGGCATTTATGTTCGACCCGCGGACGCTGATTGTCCTAGACTGTCGATGGCAACCGTGAAGAGGTCAAAAAACTGCAGGGTCGGCTCGAGGTGTTGGAGGAGATTCTCGGCTCTTGCCCTCCTTCGGGAGTGGAACCATCACTGGGAGACAGGCTCGGTGGACTGGCAAGGTGGGAGCCTCCACGTTTACGTGGGCTATCGAGGTCTAATCACTACAATCAGGATGCTGGAAGAGAAGGCGGCTTATCTGAAGGGAAAATTGAAGGATTCGAAGGGGAAACGGGTGATCAATGCGACGGAGGACCAGAAGGAAATTCATCAAGCCATTGAGGAGGTTAGATTCGCGATTGAAATTGCCATGGTGGGTGCCTCTTTTTGGTCGAAGGGTAGTACACTAGCTAAGCCATGTCCAGCTTGACATCAGCATCTCAGGCCGCAAAGCGACTCTAGAGGTAGTGAAAGAGGTTGCCTGGGTGAAGGAGAGGGGTAAGTCCATGTTACAATGCTGAAAGTCTGGTACTGACCTCCAATTAGTCGTGGAAACGAGGAAGCTGGTCGGAGAAACGAAAGAAATTGCGATTTGGTTGAAGGACAACGGTGAGCGTGTCCCCGTCATGTCGAACTGAACCTTGCTCAATGGCATGTAGAACACCTCAAGAAGATCAAGACCGTCACTGGAGCCGAGTTCAATCAGGAGGACCGTAAAGGGTGCATCCCAGGAACGCGGGTCGCGCTACTAGCAAGCCTCCTCCGTTGGGCGAAGGACCCCTCGTCACCATCCATCTTCTGGCTTTGCGGCATGGCTGGCACCGGAAAGACGACGCTCACGGAGACGTTCAACAACCAGCTCGACTCCGCTGAGGGTCTCGTTGTTGCCAGTTTCTTCTGCTCGCTCGACCACGAGGAGCGCAGGGACGTCCGACGCATCCTTCCCTCTCTTGCCAAGTCCCTTGCGAGGTTGCAACCCAAGTTTGCCAAGCAGTTGGTGAAGGTTCTCGAGTCCGGCAAGGTGCCAGATGACCCAATCGCCATGAACCTCAAGGACCAGTATCGCATCCTCATACTCGAGCCCGCCAGCAAAGCTTTCGACGCCGCCATGCTTGTTGCCCTCAGCATCGACGCGCTCGATGAATGTCCCGATAAAGATGCTATCAAGCTTCTCTTGAAGGCAATTCTCTCCCAGCCGCCGCCTCCTCCGCTCAAGGTGTTCTTGACAAGCCGTCCCGAGGTGCACGTGGAAGAACGTTTCACGAGCTATGACAAGCATCGCCAGTTGCTCCTTCACGATGTCGAACAGCATATCGTTCAAGCCGACATCGCCGTCTACCTACGCCACTGTCTGTCGCAGATCAGCGATCTCGAAGGCCATGTTCAGGCGGAGGACATCGAAACCCTCGCCAGACGTTCGCAGAACCTGTTCATTTATGCTGCGACGATGGTCAAGTACCTCGACGAGTACAGGGGTGACCGCCTCCGGCTTTTCCGTGAGCTTTCCTCGTCGGATTCCACCTCGGGTGACCGTCTCGACTCGCTCTACAAGCTCTATGGCGCGATCATGACCGAGGCGTTCAAAGGTCTCGATACCACCGATACGAAGACCATTCAGGCATGTTTATCCCTGCTCATCGTTGCCCCCAATCCACTATCTGTCTCCGGGTACGCGGGTTTCCTTGGGCTTGACCGTGGTGCAGTACACAGTGCATTCCGGCAGCTCCATTCCGTTGTTCGCGTGCCGCGGGAGGACCTTCAACCCATCGCCATCCTCCATGCATCCTTCGCCGACTACCTCACCACCGACAACTCTCACCGTCGACATGAATGGGCTATCGATCGATGCACGGCCAACGAAACAGCCACCCAGCAATGCTTCATTGTGATGAACAAGGAGCTGAGGATCGGAATCTCGGGTGCGACAACATCGTACAAGTCCAACGACGAGCAGCCTGAACCTCTGCACATTCCTTCGGGTCTGGCATATGCATGTACAGCATGGGTAAACCATGTCCTCGGCATGCTTGACATGACGGGATACCTCTTGGACGAGCTTCAGGAGCAGATAGGTGGATTCTTGGTCATGAACTCACTGTACTGGTTGGAGGTGTTGAGTGTGGAGAAGAAGGTGGATTACGCTTATGATACCTTACCCCTCATTGCAAAGGTAATTGACTACTTAAGTGTTGTGTAGCTCCCAGAAACTAATGCCTCGTCTTAGGCCCTACCTGCTCTGCCTCATGATGTCCGAGACTGTCTCACGACTATTGCAACATTTTCATCCACATTCCGGACTCCCATCAGTAAAAGTGCTCCCCACCTCTACCTCTCTGCCCTACCTGCCTATATTGCGTCTGGGTCATCACCATGGTTCCATCCCCAAATTCCAGCAATCCCCTCGCTCTCCTACTCATATAATAGAAGGCAGTTATGGACAAGTGATGTTGGTAGTGGAGTGGACTGTGTGGCCTTTTCCCCAGATGGCAAGCTCCTTGCGTCTGGGTGCCGGGACAGGACCATCCGCCTGCGGAATCCCCAGACTGGGGAGGCACTGGGTGAGCCTCTGCGAGGGCACAGTGGTAGGGTCAACTCTGTTGCCTTCTCCCCAGATGGGACCCTCCTTGCCTCTGGGTCGGATGACTGGACCATCCGCCTGTGGAGTCCCCAGACTGGGGAGGCCCTGGGTGAGCCTCTGCAAGGACACAGTCATTGGGTCACCTCTGTTGCCTTCTCCCGAGATGGGACCCTCCTTGCCTCTGGGTCGCGGGACAACACCATCCGCCTGTGGAGCCCCCAGACTGGGGAGGCACTGGGTGAGCTTCTGCGAGGGCACAGTGATGACATCACCTCTGTTGCCTTCTCCCCAGATGGGACCCTCCTTGCCTCTGGGTCGCATGACAACACCATCCGCCTGTGGAGTCCCCAGACTGGGGAGGCACTGGGTGAGCCTCTGCAAGGGCACAGCGGAACGGTCACCTCTGTTGCCTTCTCCCCAGATGGGACCCTCCTTGCCTCTGGGTCGTGGGACAACACCATCCGCCTGTGGAGTCCCCAGACTGGGGAGGCCCTGGGTGAGCCTCTGCAAGGGCACAGCGGGACGGTCACCTCTGTTGCCTTCTCCCCAGATGGGACCCTCCTTGCCTCTGGGTCGTGGGACAACACCATCCGCCTGTGGAGTCCCCAGACTGGGGAGGCCCTGGGTGAGCCTCTGCGAGGGCACAGTGGTAGGGTCAACTCTGTTGCCTTCTCCCGAGATGGGACCCTCCTTGCCTCTGGGTCGCGGGACAACACCATCCGCCTGTGGAGTCCCCAGACTGGGAAGGCACTGGGTGAGCCTCTGCGAGGACACAGTCATTGGGTCACCTCTGTTGCCTTCTCCCCAGATGGGACCCTCCTTGCCTCTGGGTCACGGGACAACACCATCCGCCTGTGGAGCCCCCAGACTGGGGAGGCACTGGGTGAGCCTCTGCGAGGGCACAGTGATGACATCACCTCTGTTGCCTTCTCCCCAGATGGGACCCTCCTTGCCTCTGGGTCGGGTGACAACACCATCCGCCTGTGGAGTCCCCAGACTGGGGAGGCACTGGGTGAGCCTCTGCAAGGGCACAGCTGGACGGTCACCTCTGTTGCCTTCTCCCCAGATGGGACCCTCCTTGCCTCTGGGTCGCGGGACAACACCATCCGCCTCTGGAATCCACAATCTGGGGAGGCACTGGGTGAGCCTCTGCGAGGGCACAGTGATGACATCACCTCTGTTGCCTTCTCCCCAGATGGGACCCTCCTTGCCTCTGGGTCGGATGACTGCACCATCCGCCTCTGGAATCCACAGTCTGGGGAGGCCCTGGGTGAGCCTCTGCAAGGGCACAGCGGGACGGTCACCTCTGTTGCCTTCTCCCCAGATGGGACCCTCCTTGCCTCTGGGTCATTGGACGGGACCATCCACCTGCAGAATCCCCAGACTAGGGAGGCACTGGGTGAGCCTCTGCAAGGGCGCAGTGACTGGGTCACCTCTGTTGCCTTCTCCCCAGATGGGACCCTCCTTGCCTCTGGGTCATTGGACAGGACCATCCACCTGCAGAATCCCCAGACTAGGGAGGCACTGGGTGAGCCTCTGCAAGGGCACAGTGGTCCAGTCAACTCTGTTGCCTTCTCCCCAGATGGGAGCCTCCTTGCATCTGGGTCAGATGACAGTACCATCCGGATGTGGGATACTGCCCACCACAGGCCCATCCACTCCCAACATTTTGACTCCTTTAATTTTCAAGGTACAGTCTTTGCTTAATAATGATTACCTCCGTCCAATACCCCTTTTATTCCAGAACCAGTGTTCCTCCAGATGTATCCTCCTTCCATCTACCTCGATAAGGATGATGGCTGGATTCGGAACGGAGCAGGAGATCTCCTCTTTTGGGCTCTACCCCAAGACCGTCGTAACCTCATCTCACCCGCAACCCGATGGAAAAGTGGTGAATTCTGCAAGCTTGATTTAACCAATGCCGTTCACGGAACTGAATGGACCAAGTACGTTCACTTCGTTCCGTAACAACATGCAACTAACACCCCTTCTACTCGCAGATGTCAGGAACCGAGACCAGTGGATGCACGACCTCAGCTTTGGCCCATCGAGTAATCGCCCTGAGTCGCCCCACTACCGCTTCCGCGCGCGATATTTAAATATGCCATAACCCTCCTCTCGTACAAACACTTTACCTTTACCGTCTGCCCTACCACTCTGTTGTACAATAGTTTATTATGCTACCTTCTCGTCGCTCGATGTGACTGTACGTCGAATCCACGCCAGCGCCCTCGACAGATCCAACGTGTCCCAAGGTGAGGAACGAACACCGTCGTGCGGCGACTCCGGTCTGCCCATCGCTGTTCCCCAGTATGACAGACCACCCGAGGCAACGGCCTACCACTTGTGTTCTACATCGCGACAAATATATGGCTCCTCGATCCAGCCTCCACCTCCCCAACCCCTTGAATCTCCTCTGCATTCGCCCGAGTCCATGCTTTCACCGCCTAGCTGTAGGGTTTTCGTCAATATCGACGTGGTCGGCGGTGCCATCGTCTGAAACTGAACTTGGCCCAGTGGTTGGTCGTCGAGGGCATTGATGGTTTAACTTCTTGTCCACCCTGGGCCGAAGATGCTAGTCCGGCCTTGCGTCGTGTCCTGGCTGTTGCTCCTCCTTCATCTAAAGGTCCCCCTCCACGGTGTCGTTGCATTAACGATGTCTTGTCCTTCCCGGAAAGTGAAGACGAAACAACCGGAATACGCCGGGGAATTCAGCAGGTTGGCGAGATTTCCGTTTCAGCTGACGACTGGGCGGAATCGATCGAAGGTGTTGTCGATTAAAGGTGAGAGAAAAGTGAAGCGCACTGATTCGTATGAAACCTGTTAGTTCATAAGAGTGGGCAAGTTGAGCGACAAGAGCATACGTACGTCGGCCGAATGCCAAATTTCAAAGTCCATCCAGCCGTTCCCTAGCGGCTACCTCATCTGATAAGGGCCTAGTCAATGTTCGATAAAGCTAAGCACGTCGTTTAAACTGAATTTGCTCGAGCGTGCTAACCTTGGTTGGGTACACCCCCTCTGCGATCGTTTTCCGCCTGCCTAGTTCAAGGTAAGTCGACCAGGCAGGAGCGGGGAAAAGCCTGCTCGGTGACCTGCGAAAGCCCGCCCAGCGGAGCTTTCATCTGCCTTCGAAATTCCAATCCATAGATTTGTAGGCGGTCTTCGTTGGTGGCCACGTCTTGGGCCTAAAGTTGATAGCCGGAACGAATCCACATCCGCTTAGAGCAATGGTAAGTCCATCGTCTTTCGTCCGCAAGCGTTCTGCCAACTTACATCGTCCATGTATGCGCCCTCCTCACCACAATCTCAAAACCAACCCATGTATGTCCCGGTGAATCGAACTCATCGTCTCGTTTACGGGATCTGATGGTCGTGTCGCTGCTAGGAGGAGCCTAACCCACCCAACCGAACGTAAGTTGTTTGTTTCAACGATTCAAACACTAAATAACAACCTACCCCGTCTACCAGGCCGCCTTAGATCACGACACTAGCGGCTACCCTGGAAGAAACGTGGGTGTTGCCACCTCGCTCAAAACTAGATCCCTCTCCCTCTATCCTCTAAGCAACCCAGAAAAGCACGCGCACCAGGTCTACCACAACCCAAGGAACAACGAGTCTGGCCCTTCTCACAAGCGCCGATGCCGATCCAGGTGCCCAAAGCTGTTACAAGCCTCGGTGAACGGCTGGCGCGTTTGTCGAAGGAGGATCGGAAGCTTGTCAGAAAGCCAAAGACGCGGCTCGGGTGCAGGGCTTGGCGGCGGGGGAAGGAGAAGGCGAGGAAGGCGATGGGTGGGAAGGTGGCTGGTGGTGGGGGTGGGAAGGCGAGGCATAGGAGTAGGAAGGGGGACAGGAAGATGGTTAAGGTGCTGTGTGACCTTGAGCATCGTCTTGTTTTTAATAGATCGCGCGTTTCCACTCATCGAGTGCAGGATACAATTGGTCAAACCGTCCTGGAGTCGTTTAAGTCAAGGTAAGCCGTATGTTATAATTCGAACGGATCAGCGCACATACCTCGTCTTCACACAACGGTATCCCCTCGAAATGCATCGGCTTTGTTCATCTCGAGCGTCCAAAAGGTCTCAGTGCATTCAGTGCTCTCTCCACGCGCCTCCGGCTTCGAATAGTTGTCTGAGAAGTCAAAAGATTCGGATGTGGAAGGGCATCGTTGTCGCGCTCTAGGCTAAGCGCAAGCGTTATGTCGAGTTTTCAGTCTGCGCTTGCTAAAATTTGCCAGTGCAGAGTGTTCCGAGTGGATCGGCGACTGTAAACGGGTCAGCGATCGGTTTTTTACTTGCGAATTGAAGGAAAACAAACCTTGTCATTGGTGTAGGACAGCTAGCACCATCATGCATGGACAGGAATTCCAAGGCCAATAATCTGTAAGGGACGGGCAGAGGTAGGCATTCGAGTCCAGTACGATGGCCCCGAAACTCAAACTCACCGATTTCGCCAAGTCTTCGTTCCACCAGAGCCTCGTAATGAATTGTACAGGCACCAATCGTTGGGCGAAGGAGACCAGGTGGGTACACGAAAACCGAGCAATCGTGAGGTGAATTTGTTTCCGATTGCGGCTGGTGTACTGAGGGTAGGAGATGTCGGAGGTCTGGAAATGGAGGATCCAAGGTAAGTACTCGAGTTCATTGCAACGCTTGTAAATCAAGACTCACTGCCCTATTTCGTTTTTATCCGCGCATTGACGCGCATATGGCCGTTGGCTTCGTATAGGAGGGAAATCGCTAACACCATAGAGATCTTCAAGCTTCAATTGCGATTTCTTTGCAACGACAAGGTCAGCACAAGTTCCCATTTCAATAATCTCAGCCAAACTAACAGACCTCGTTTCTCAGTCTACCATAGAGGCCTGTCAATGTACTCGAGCCCCAGAAGTCGAAAGGCTGCAGGCAGGCAGATGCACGATCATCAAAGGTTTCAAAATTCAAGGCCAAAACCGAGCGAATTCGTTGGTATTTCGTTCTACAGACCGTCGTTGTTTCTGGAAATCGTGGACTCTGCGCGAAACCGACTTCCGTTGTCATCCAAATACGTGCGGAACCCAGTCTTGACGCTCTTTTCGTGCTGCTGTGACGCGTTGGCCAGTCCGTGAGTCGCTGGAGGTTTGTGAAGGATGTTCGTCGGGTGAGAGTGTGTCGGGCCCATGACGGTGAGAGAGAAAGAGACGCGACTGATGGATGATCGATGACGCACTGTTCCCAGCCGACAACGACCACACAGTTGCGTATCTTCGTCACCTTCCAAGACATTGTTCAAAACTCTCACCGACTTGAAGAAGCACCTTTCTGACCGTCCGCGCCACACATCGAATTTCCAGTCGGTCGTTGGACTTCACCACCTCTGGCCACAGGCAACTCTCGTTCGGCTGAGCGTCCAGAACAATGCGCCTCTTTGGTCTGACGAGACGGTTGCTAAAGAACTCCATCAGAGGCAAGGTTAACATTGGACCAATCGGTCCAGCTCCCAGGAACTGGTAAAGATCGGTTCCGCAATCAACGAGGCTTTCACCTCGACTTCCCCCTCCGCGGATCTGTTCTGGTGGTCCGTCTCCCTCCAACCTCTCAGCCCGGACCTCCCAACCATCGAGGAAGTGAAGACACAGCTTTCCACTGCGTCGAAGGATGGAAAGCACCGCTCGACCAAACCCCGACGAGAATGACTTCGAGTCACTCCTCTATCTCGCTTTCGGCGACTCTGACGAAGATAAGGCATCGAAGAACACCGTACCCAGTTTTCTCGACACCAGACAGCTCATCATCCAACCGCGCTACCCAGCTGCTCGCCTCCCCCATTTTATCAACCGCAATTCCCCATTCGCAAAGGACGAATCATCCTTGTCGATGAAGCAGCCCATGTTATCCCCCAGGAGATGATGCAGGGAGCGTGGTCACCACCGAGGACGTCTAGCCCCGCTTCTGAAACATTACGTCGAGACGCAGCGCCTCGTTTCGAAGTTCCGCAGCTCTCCCTCTGTGTGAAGATGACCGAGGGTTACGATGACCTGAGGGCACCCCATGTGTCTCCGCTCATGAAAGGCGTCGGCGACGGGGTGGACTGTGAAAGTGGAGGCGGGAGGCGGTGGTTTGGAGGGAGGCTTCGAGATGGACTGCCTCCCTTTTCTGTGAGTTTACCGCAGTGACCATATGAGGACAAAACTGACAGCGTTTCCTTCTTTAAGGTCTTTCTCGGTCTGTGCACCGGAAGAAAGCTTCTACCTATGATCCCAAGAAGGCCATCGACCTCTGTTGCTAAGCATGCACAGCGCCATGCCTGAGGTAGAGGTATTAGAGACTACTACATTGCTTCTTAGTACTCTGCACACATACTTATAAACTACACCCCGAATCCATTGGCGGCCCTTCAAGCTGATTATTCTTTGCCTATTGGTCAGGAACAATTTGTGAAATGCATGTGCTCGTTTCGGAGTCTTCGGTCGATGAAAGAAACGCTTGGACGATAGCAAATCGGTGTTATTTCAGCCTGCTGCTGATACTGAGCTACAGACAGCGGCCCGGGATTAAGACGTATACTAGAAGTTTACAAGAGACAAAGACGATGGCCCCAGGTTTCTCGGCCAATAGGCGGCTTCTCTCCTCCTCACTATCCCAATCGCTTCAGCTGCGATGTATTCGTCCCTGTGTTCCCTCAGGCTCGTGTCTCCCTAATCACAGTGAGAACTGTCCTAGACACCGTCTAGCCGTTGTCGAGGTCGTCGAGCCTCTTCGTTCGAAAATTTTGGATGTTCTTCGCCAACCACGGCCTCTCGTGGCAATCGTCAAAGACTGAGAAGCGGTGAGTAACGTTCTCGTGGCTGGATTGTCCTTGCGCTTACCTGCCCTGAATAGCTCTTCGGTTTGTCCTAAGGTAGCTTGACCTCACGCACACGCCTTGACTCGATCTGCCCTCCCCACAGTGCTTAACTCGCTATTAGTATTGTCACTAAAACTATATCGAAGGGCGTAAGTACTCCACCTTCAATGCAATCAGCCCAAGACTGACCTCATTAAACCAGAGCTGGCTGGTTTTCCTCCTCTCGCGATCGGCATCCGCGTCGTAATACGCAGCTTGACATACGCGACCCCACGTCGTCTTGGATCCACCAAATTCTTTGAACGGCCTATGCAGAGGTGAGTAGTATGTTCGCATTCAAATGAGGGGACTACAACTGACCTCGTCTACCACCAGCCTTAACTCCCTGCTATCCCTACTCGACCAAGTAGTCTCGCTCCATCCACTTCTCTCATCGGCGAGTGAGCCTTCCAGTCATCCTTCGAACTAATAGTGCCCACCTCAGGGTGTAGCAGACGGTTTAAGGAGGCAGGGCCCTCGTTTGAGTGCCCTTTTCCCTGGCGTGCTGACCCTAGGGAGGTGCAGCCACAATTGTGACCTCTCAGACCCTCAATGCGTCTCTGCAACCCTTCCCCACCCGCCTGGTTCAAGTGTAACATGTCCCTTGGTTTGAGGTGGACGAGATCCACGCTCGTCTATGGCAATGGTGAGCCGAACGCCTATCGTCTGGGGGTGTTCTGGGGATTTACCCGTCCGTATATGCGTCCTGCTAATGACGATACCGCCATTTTCAGCTTGCAGGACGTCCCTTCCTCGTGCCGGTAAGTCGAGCTCGCAGGCCTGATGTTCATGTCGCAGCTAACTGCCGCCTAACCCATCTAATAAAAGGTGAGTTGGTTTCTGCTAGTGCAATTCAGAGAGATTCAAGCGCTTACCCGGTCTACCAGTCGCCTCAGGTCGCCACGCTACCGAGTACCCTCGAAGAAACGTCGTGCGAGGCCCGGTGGAAGCTGGAGCGTCGTCGCGTGAAGAATCGGAAACTCGAGCGTTTCGCGTTTGTAATGTCTTCCAATGTTATCGAGTGTACGTTAAACTCGATGGGACTTCCGAGCTTCGCTGAAAGCTTGGCACTGGGCTGTGGATCCGGACGCGATTGATGGAGGAAGTCACAGGTTGAAACTCAGCCAGACGCGATGAATATCGAAATCCCAGTCGGTCGTTGGCGACCGCTGTCGACCACCTGTGCGACGCTATGGCGGTCTCAAAGACCAGGACCGAATCTTCACAAACGTGTATTCGAGACACGACCACGGAATCAAGGGTGCCATCGTACGTCGACGCGCGGTGACATCCAAGGCTTGATGCGCCACTTCCGACCTGAAGTCGAGCGCCGTATTGCCGAGTTCCAGGCTGCCAATGGCCTCGTTGGCTTCGGTGGACACCTTCGTCGTACGCCAGCCAGCCCAAGGTGACGGCCTAGGCGTTGCTTATAGATGTCATGTGTAGGTACAATAATATTGGTTTCTTTTCTGCTTTTTTCGAATTCGATGCGTTGAATGTTCCGAGCTCTGGGTACGTTGAGTGATCGGAATTTCGGATTGGTTTGGAATCTTCAGTGTTGGGTTTCTGACGCGCGCAGAACTGGTCGATCAAGTACTTCGATGGCCTCCGCTGGCTCCAGCGACCCAGAGTTCAGCTTCTCAAGACGCCGTCTGACTCGGGGAAGGAGGGCATCCAAACATGATATCACGCAAGGGCCGGATAAACCCAAGGTGTTTAAGGTGCTGAGCTTGGTAGAAGGGACGGAGAGGGTGGAACACAGCGACGAGGTCTATCATCAACCGACGTGCGTGCACCTCCTCGATTCTTTGATTAAGCTGACTAGGTTCCTAGCGTGTGGTGGTTCACTTCCACCGCCTTTCCGTTGATTGCGGGCGCCTTTGGACCGATTGCCAACCTCTTCTCAGTTTGCTCCCTCACCCAAACATGGAGAATACGCAGGTCGGACTACGCGAGAGTTCGTGACCCCGTATGGTGCGTGGTATGCTGTATCGTTGGGAATTGGGCTGAGGCGTGTTTCAGGTTGATTAGCCTAAATTCGGTGTCGCTGTGGTTCGCGCTCAACGCCAACATCCTGCTCCTGCTCGGGTTTTCGAGGAGGATACCGTACAAAGTAGCGCAGCCTGGAGCGATAGCACTTTGGTGCGATTATCCGGTTTATTTCCTGCTCGTGCAGAGTCCTGACCCGCGTCTAGGTATGCCTCCTCGGTCCTCCTCTTTGTACCCCTCGGGATACTGGGAACCACCCTACTCCACAGCGAGACAGAAGCCCTGTCGCAATCATGGTATTACGGCCTCATCTCCGGAGCGCTCTACTTCACCATGTCCTCGCTGCTCCTCTTCAACATGATCGGCGCACACTGGTTCCGCGCGTACCCCGCCTCGTTCGCCATCCTCTCCATCTCCCAACGCACCTTGATGCTCGAAACCATCACCTTTTCGCTCCACCTGGCTCTAATGGCAGGTGTTTTCTCCGCGCTCGAAGGATGGGACTATGTCGATGCGTTGTATTGGGCTGATTATACCGTGCTTACTATCGGGCTGGGCTCGGACTTTCCGGTGGAGACGACGGCTGGGAGGATGGTGGTTATACCCTTCAGCGCGGTTGGGATTTTGTTGCTTGGGTTGGTCGTTAGGAGTGTGAGGGGGCTGGTGTTGGAGAGAGCGAAAGTCAAAGTGCTCAAGAGGAGACTGGGGAAGCAGAGGGAGAAGTGGAGGAGGTATATTCGGCGGAAGCGGGAGGAACGGAAGTTCGCGGGCAAGGACGGGGGAGCTCAGGAGAAGTTGAAGCGGATGAATTTGTATCCTGCTTTCGCGAGGACGGCGTGGGCTTGGTGGCGTCAGGTAGATCGTGCGCCGAATGGTGACCTAGGGGGAGCATTGTTGAGGGGCGAGCAGGTTGAACCCTGGTCGAAAGACGAGTTTGATTTGATGCGCTTCATCGAGGCGTCCTCCGAGAAGATGGAACGATATACACTATTCAGCATTGCGCTGGTCACATTTTGCATTGTCTGGATCATCGGTTCTCTGGTCTTTTGGGCGTCTGAACATGTGAGTGCTCGCTGACCATTTACTCATTTGACTTGTTTTCTCAACCTGCACGATTTTAGGGAAACCAACATTGGACATACACAATTGCACTTTATTTTTCGTATGTCTCGATTACGACGATCGGCTATGGGGATTTCTTCCCCACGCCTCCTGCTGGTCGCCCGTTCTTTGTTATCTGGAGTTTGATCGCCATCCCGACTGTCACCGTCCTCATCGCGTCCATGGGGAACACCATCGTCGATTTCGTGACCCACATCACGTTCTTGTTGGGTCGGTATACGATCCTACCAGAGAAGCACCCGGTCGAGGAATTGGAGCGGGATGCGAGGAGGGAGAAGGCTGGACGAGCTCGAGTTGGGATCGCCCGCCGTGCTACAATGAGTGCGGAAGATAGTCGCTCGGTTATGTCATCCTGGAACGATACCGACATTCCACACCCAGATAGGATTGCGAGGAGTGAGTCGGAGGGGACGATTCAGGAGACAGACATCATGTTTAGGAAGTTATGGGCTCAGAGGCGGCGTTGTGCGCGGATGGCGATGAGGATATCGCAGGAAATTGTTTTCCTTGCTCAGGATCTCCGTGTGCACCCCCGCAAGAAGTATACCTGGGAGGAGTGGGTGAACTGGCTGGAGGTGTTTCGGGAGCCAGTGATGTTCTTGCCTTCGCTGCACCCAGGAGCACCCTTGTCGCATGAGCACCACCGACACGGCGTTCAAGCCAAGTCTGTGTCCAAGCTCGACATTTTTCGGTCTCGTCGGGCAAGGGCGAGGTCTGTTCCTGACCCTCGGGATCCCCGGTCTCACTGGCTGTGGTTCAGGGGGAATGGCGACGATGGTGTTCCCGCCGCCGTCGATGACCCGACTGGCCGAGGGGAAGATGAGGAGGATGATGGAACTGATTTCGATTGGGAGCCGACGTGGTTGAGCGATGCGGGACCGTTGTTCAGTGCAGAAACGGAGACCGAATGGATAATGGACAGGCTTAACTTGCGACTGGAAGGGATATTGAAGGATGTGACGACTCTCGACCATCAGTTAACTGTACGTGGACTCTGGACATCGGTTATGGCGGATGAGCGTCGATAGACATCATGGTGAGTGTTATGTACATACTAGCAGGGTTTGCGTGTCCTATTCTTTAGGTTCCGAGGCCTTTTGGTCTCGGGTTCTGTTGCTTATCTACTATCCGCTGACTGCGCAGCAATGGTCTTCCATTGGAAATGTAGGTCCTCGAAGAGCTCGCTGGGTAACATTGGTATAGCTCCTTAAAGGCAGCTATACTTTCGGCCACTCGCCGTTGGACAATGGCTTCTCCCGTCGGAGACCTATGGTCAAGTTCCTTCAAAAGTTCTCCTTCCTCTTGCTTGTATCTGGCATGTTCGTTAGGAGGAACGAGAATCTTGAGAACACGAAGGACGATGACTGGAATGAGTTTCTTTCCGGGTTTGGTAGAACGATAGATGACCTCGTAGCGGACTAGGCCTGCGCCTAATAGATCGAGAAGGCTACGTCAGCTCCTTTGATGGTGGCAGCAGTAGCGGTTACATACCTGAGTATACTGTTTTGTCTTTTGCAAACCACAACTTGAAGTAGGAGAGTCTCCCTTCTTTGTTGACAAGATGAAGCAGCTTGTGTCGCACTCCGAAGTTAAGGAAGAACGGCTGTGAGACGTGGCCGAGGATAGAGGTACTGCGAGGGTAGAAGTAGAGGCATTTCGCTTGAGGTTCAATGAGGGCTGTGATCTGAATATCCTCCTCGGTTGAAACAAGTCCTTCCCTCCGTAGGATGGCGTAAGGCGTATTGACGCCGGGGTTTCTGCCGTGCTTCAACCAGAGCTGAGGGATTGTGAGCGCCCATAACATGCCGGTTGGGCTGACGAGGTCACGACCATCCTCGAAAAGTGCGGGATCTGGACTTTGGACAATGCGAAAGCGGATCGAGCCACCTATTATATATCCGGGTGGGCGATAGAAGTAGAAGAAGCCGGTCGTGTTGGGTGGAAATGGTTTGGCCCTCTGGCTGTTCAGCGCCCACTGGGCATAACCGAAGTCGACCTGCTGGTCGTTGATATTGAGAGTGACAACGCTTTTGCTTGAAATGTCGAGGCAGTCTCCTGGTTTCAACTTGGAAGGGTCCAGTGTCGATATCCGGGTGCAGTGGTGCTCGTTGGCTCGTCTTGGAGCTCTTTGCCTTCGGATTTTGGAAATCATCGCGTTTCCTTCATCCTTGACGAACCCGTCTTTTTGAAGTTGTCCGTAGAGGCTACTGGCTGCCACGTCTTCCCCGCGCATCTTCCACAGATTGGTAAACGGCATTGACCACGGTCCATTCGGGGTCAGCAGGTCCTGCCCTTTCGAGAACGAGGTTGGCTCCGCGTCCTCGACCACACGAAAGCGAATTTCAGAGTGTTCAAGGGGCTCCCCGGGAGGGCGATGGAAATAAAGAAATCCACGGGTGGCTGGTGGAAAAGTCATTATTTCATGTCGGCGAAATTGGCCATTTGGCAGGAATGTCTCCTCTTGTGTGAAATAGAGGGGCAATGTAAAAGTCTTGCATTGTAGCTCGTCAGAAATTCTGATCGTTGGACAGTACTGTCCTGAGAGGTCAAGGAAGTCAGCTTTGGTTAATTTTGTAGGGTCTAAAGTCGAGATAACGGATTTGGCCAGGTGCGCGAGTGACTGAAGTTTAGGAGTGAGCGGTTCTTCGTACTGCGGTTTGGCTTTTCTTTCTTGAACGCTCTATCGCTATGTGGGCTTTGGTACAATGCTTGGGAGTGATATGTACTCACGGAGATTGCTCTGGAGCTTAACTTCAGGCTCTGAATTGCCCTCGTATGCTGGGAAGGATGAAATGCTTGAAGAGTTCGTGTGACCTGCCAAGTTGCTAAGCATGGGCGCTTGGAGGGTACACAGGACCAACTGGGACACCGACCTCGGAAATTCTCTGGATACAGATGGAGCGTCTCGGAAAAAGGACGCAACGAAGCATATCTGAGTGATTCTGAGTCTGGGACTCTCCAATCGCGAGTGGAAGAGGAGCAGGTTACAGCTTGTCACTGTCAGCACGGCTTAAAGCGCCCGGTCGCCAAGCCAGCGCTCGCGTCTGACATTGTTGCACCGCTTGCCCGGCGTGCACCGGGGGCTACATACATCTGGGTTTTGAGTTCCGAGTCAGACATTGAGATTGTGATACGGAGGTGGCTCAGGATCGCACGCGAGAGCAACGACGCGACGCGACGCGTCGTCACTACGGATAGGGGTATGTAGCACGTTCAAGCAGAGCAGTCTGAGAAACTGGGCTCTTGAGAAGTCCTCCCAGAACCTTACCATGGCAGTTCGCCAAATGAAGCGCAATCTCTGGCCGAATCCCAACTTTCTTTCCACTCCGTGTAAGAACCCCGTCGGTGAGGAGCCCCTGGTTGGATTTGAATCGCTAAGCAGGTGACAGGAGGGGAGATGAGAGGAATAGGACGAATCGAGTAACTCGCTGGCTCGCTGAGAGCCATAAGGTATAAAATTGGCAGGGTTCGTCTGAGCACTAAATCGTACGCCAGGGAGATCGCATCGGCCACGCAAGTGTCTTCACTGAAAAAGTCTTGCAACATTACCGTGCGATTGGTGGAACTATACATGTCAAAGGTCGGAGGATAAAAAATCTCCGTGAAATAATCGAGGTCCTGTTGTCTGGATTTCTCAAAGTCGTATTTATGGCCGAGCCTAATCATCGCTCGGACCAATGGGAACTTGAGGCATCCCTGGCGCTCTCTGGCACAAAATTAGAGCCTAATGCGGCAAAGGCGCAGTGGGACTCACTGAGAGCCGTCGTATATATGCTCGAGCAGGGTTTCCCAATCTTCTGCTGCATCGTCCCGCAGCGTTGCCACGGGCTGTCCCTCGACAGTCCCATCGCCCTCTAGAGCGACAGTAAACATGGCTTTCAGTGCCGACGAATGGCGTGTGATTACACCTATATGAACACGAAATAGCGTGTCCTCGACCTCAAAAAAGTGAGCCATCGCATCCCGGTCCTTGACAAAAAAGCAGAGGGAATACCTGAAGGACGATATTCCCGTCGTCGAACCAAATTTTACAACGCCTAGTCTCAGCATTGTTGACAGTTTTTGTAGCTTGGTCAGGCCCATCGTCGGTTCTTTGTCTCTTGCGGCTGGCAGGTTCCGGGCTGGTCATTGTTCGATAAAGGGAGAATAGACTGACCAAAAAGAACCGGATGGGTAAATGAAGAAAAGAGAGAGGAAGATTCTTTGCTTTTTTGTAGGTCGGCATCTCGCACGGACCTGTTGTGTAGTAAATACAGAGCCATCATTGCGAGGTTCTGGCAGCGCTTTCGAAGACGCGTAGTTTGTAAACTTAGTTTGCGACGCGTCGAGGGATGGCAGTTAGGGGCGTCTTCGCGTCGATCCTGTCCTTCCCAGGTATTTCTCGATCGCTGGTCCATTGGTATTTCGGAAAGGGAGAAAGGGCTCTAAATGGTAAAATCACCCGAGGGGGTAGATCTAACCCAAAAGGGACGCCGTACTGGCCCAGGAACGACCAAACTTGAACGAGAGCAAAAGGACGTCATCAAAGCTGTGCGCTTGACATTCACAAAGGGGGCCCACTGTCCACGTTAAGATACCCGCTACAAACGGCTGAATCTGGCTACCTAAGGCTAGGCGAAATCTTTCAGCTGGTCCCAAGGGGGCAAACCAAAATATGTCGGTAGCTCCTCCCATAGCTTCAATCGACCTTGCTTGAGCTGTCGAATGGAATGTTCAAAGCATGACTGACAGAGCGCGGAGTGCCACTTCTCGCAGTTCCGAGATCCCTCGATCCAGGTGACCAACGACATCTTTGGATGTGCTATTTCAGCCAGGAGGCGCGCTCGAACGGAAGTACAAGGCTCTTCCGCGGTCTTGTACGCCGGTCGCTTGCAGCCTTGAGTGGGGATTTGCTTTGGACTATGGATGTGGGCCAGAACGTGATTGATCAAACCCTCATATAGCCTTTCGCGGCCCACGGAGATTGACACCACGGCCTCTGGAAGGAGCCTTGTGACTCGGCCGTCTGGAGTTGCAACGCCATCCGAGAGAATTGACTGCGAGGGCCAAGGTCAGCTGTAGTGTCGGAGGTTAAGATCATTAACTACGCACCGGGTATTTCAACTTTGGATAGAACGCCTCGAGCAAAAGCGTGGGTAGGATTGTCTTCAGGCGCAGCAAGTACGCGAGGTTGATAGCGTCCACAACGGTGGTGGTCTTAGAGTTGTGGATGAGTGTGTCTCGTCGCAAGTGGCGGATCTGACTGGTCCATTCGTCGTAGCTCCTCGGGAAGATTTGCTTCAATTGCTTCACCGCCTCTTCCTTCATGGTTTCGAATTTGTATTTGTGTCCTAGATGAAGCATGGCACGAATTTCAGTGAACGGGAGGGGGTCACTGGGTAAACTGTTTCCACTGATGTTAGTATGGGATGAACCCAGCTCACGCTTTATGACGCGACTTACCCCAGCCTGCCACAGTAAAATTGTCCCAGAACCACTTCCCAACCTTCCGCAGTGTCGTCGTTGGAGAGATATATAATAGGACATCCTTCTTTTTCGTCTTCCACAGCAGGCCGAGTGGCAGAGAACATTTCTTTCATCACGGCTGAGTGGAGGGACAGCACACTTTTGTGAACACGGAATTGCACGCCTTGGACCTGGGAGAAGGAGAGAAGTCAATGCCATCCGATCGTGTTTATATGTTTACAAAGGAAGGACACGCGAAGAATTCATTACCTGAAGTATAACATTCCCATCTTCGAGCCAGACTTTCTTGCTCTTCTTTGATTCTCGATCAGGTTCGCCTGGGTGTACCGTCCTTTGTCTTTTGCGACCTGGGGACCAGCTGGTTGGGCCCATCGGAGAGAGTTGGTGGATGTAAACGTTTGTATACTCGAGTGGAAGTTACGGGATGTGGGTGATCGTGTGTTTCGACTTCAAAGAGTGTAGCTATGGTGGTGGAATGGAACAGAAAAGCTTGTCGGTGGCCTGAACCCTTTTAACGCGCTAATGATAGGGGCGTGATTTGAAGCGTGTCCCGATCAACTCGGACTTTGAACTGGCTGGCGCGTTAACTGGACGCGACGCGTCTCTCGATTCAATGCTCTCAAATGTGGATATCGAACTCGTATCAGGCTAGGCATCCGAGGCCTATTAAATCGTTGGATATCTGCCGTCACATCAAGGTGCGATACTGGCAGGTGTTCTCCATGGCAGCAGACATCGTGAATAACTGTCGAGAAACTTGGCTTGAATACAAGTTTGGATACTACAGCGATAGGTGGAAAAACAAGAGAACTACTATCATATAATGCGCCGTGATAAGGTTGAAATTACTCAACCGAGGTGGCAAAGGCGGTTTGGTAATTTGTAACCACGATCTTCCGCTCCAGCTTATCCCTCGAGACCTTCCTGTGTTTGTAATAGGCTGCGAGCTGTTTCTGTACTTGTCGCCATGTGGACTTCGGCGGGTTCCATTTCGAATTATTCACCATTTGTTGAATGCGTTTCTTCACCTCGATGCACGAATGCTCGTATTTAGAATCCCATTTGTTATCTCCCCCTCTGATCGTCACGACTGGTACGTGCTGAAGGTGCTTCGGAGCAATAGTAGTTCCGTCTGGAAGCAATCGTGATGAGTGCGCCTTCCACCAGGTGTCACCTATGAGGGAGTCACCCTCGGGTTTGGAGTACTCCTGGTTCGTTATCAGTATCAAGATGGGGACGCGAGCTTGACACATGATCCCCCAGACCAAATCGAAATTGATTCGAAGAATCTCGCCGTAGCCCATCCCTCCAATGCAATAGATGAGCAGGCTGACACCGCTGGATGACTCGGCGAGGGTTTTAAGAAGAACTTGCAAGTTGTCGAGTGCTTTCTGTGCCGGAACCGTCCCCGTGTCAGCTTCATTCAGCCCGGCTGTATCCCATATCCGGTACTCCTGGTTCCCGATCGTGAGGCTAAATTCCAAGTTGCTGGGGGTGACTCCTGTGGCAGAATTGGAGGCCTCGGTGACCTCGCGACCGGCGAGCATGTTGATAAGTGAGCTTTTCCCTGCGCCAGTCTCCCCAAACACCACAATGTTGGGGACGACAGAGGACGTTGGGCGTCTAAATAGCGCTGTCAGACCGGGCCCAGTCACAGGAGGTGCCCACTTACTTTGGGGTATAAACAGTCTTTGGTTTTGCGGCGGTTGAAGGGGGAGATGACGCTGATTTAGAAGGGATGCATCCCATGACGGGCAATGGTAGATAAGGGCGAGTAAGAAATGAGGGGGCCTGGAGGACTGACTATATGTATATATAGTACTTCCTTCTTGTTCCAAACCCGTCTAATAAACTCAGGTCGTAGGTAGATTAGGTCTCTATTTAATGCCAAAGGGTGCTTCATTCGACGCCCGCGTGTTGGGCATGAGTCTGCGGATGACGGAATAGACTCCTCATGTTACCCTCGTGCAAACCTTCTCCTTCTCGATGCAAAGCGCGAGGTGGGGCAGATGGCGCCCGTGCAATCGACCATATAACCCCTTGGAATGAACTTCTCCAAACGCTTTTTAGTCTCTACCTCGTCTGGCTATGGCCTCGGTAAGTAGTCAACGCCTTCTTCTCCTTCGGGTCTAATTAGCTACCTTGGCTCAGTCAAACCGAACTTACAACATCCTCGTTTGCGGGACTTCTGCCGCTGGCAAAAGCTCCTTGATCAATATGCTTGCCGATGAAGAGGTCGCGCCTGTCAATCATGACGCGGTGAACGAAGGACGACCCTTCCAAGCCACGACGTTCACGGTTCCACGTGAGGGTCGAACATTCAATTTCTACGAGCTCCCTGGCTTTGACGAACAAGGCAGTGGCCTCACCCCCGAAGATATCGTCGATGCGTATCGACTCGTCAGGAACATTCAGGATGGGGTCCATCTCCTCCTCTTCTGCATACGCAGGAGGATCACGAGTGGTCTATCGAGAAACTGGACCCTATACCACGATATATTCTGTCAAAAAGCTGTCTCGACAGTGGCGGTCATCAACGGGTTTGAGAGCGGCGAAGATCTCAACCAATGGTGGAGCGTGAACGAGCGTGCCTTTAAAAAGGCAGGATGCACCTTCAGCGACCAAATTCTGGGGACGACAATGCGAGCGGGAACTCTTGATTCCGTATACGTGTCGACGAGGGAGAAGGTGCACGAAATAGTCCCCGCCCTCTGTATGCGATCAGAACCATGGATCGTCAAGGACAGGGTCAAGTGGCTCAATGCCGTTGCTTATAGGACCGTCAAGTTGAGATTCTTGTGGTGGACGATTGGAAAGCGAAGGGTCGCGGTCGAGGAGGTTTATGGGGATTTAGAAAGGTTGAGGACAGAATGTGGCATGAGCAAGACTCAGGTCAAGGAAATCGAGAGGTTGTTGCAGAAACATGGTATCCTTACTTAGCTATCCAGGATACCCATTGACCACTGTACTTGTGCTATATGTGACACGGTCATCCGCTTCGCTTCAAAGTACCCTATCTTGCGGCCAGGAGATTGCGTGGCGCTCATTGGCCAAGTTCTCCAACCTCGAGACCCATTCGATGTCGGGGCATACAGGTGCATTTGTTAGAGAAGACAGGTCCCCTTCAGCATTAGACAGGCACTCCGAGCTCCAAACAGCCAGTCCAAAATCGATGATGTGAACCCTTCCTCTGGCGTCGAGTGTGATATTGCGGGGAACGAGATCGTGATGGTGAACCCCGCGGTCGTGAATGCTCTGGATGATGCGGCGTATCTTCTTGACATGGGGCGCCAGTTCCTCCAGCGTCGAAGCGGTTTCACCTGTATAAGTTACTGCGAATGCAGATGGCGCGTCCAACGCGCCCTGTGACAGTGTCCAAAGATATTCCGGAACACCTTCGACACCTCGCAACTTCTTGTACATTTCAATCTCGCGTGTGATCGCCTTCCCACCTTCCTTGACTGCTATTCCGAGTTTCCTTGAAACTGCCACCTGCCCCTGTGCCCCGTAAAATATTTTGTCGAAGAATACAGACGGGATTGATGTGCCGTAGCTGTAGTTCTGGGTTAGTGGATACTCGATTGTTGGTGACGACGATTAGACATACCGTCGACCCTGGTTCTCTACAACAGAGTAATGTGCCACCTGTCGTATTGCTGAGGAGAAAAGCCCAGCTTTTCGAAGAAGTTGAAGAGCCATGTACTTAGCCCTGACGGCAACATGAGAAGTGAAATTGTGGTAGGCGGCCACAAACGACTTCCAAGGGGCTGTAGCGGCACCCTTGGAACGTACCTGCAGCTCTGGGGCTATCTGATCCAGGCGACTGCGAAGATCAGGATCGAGGAATAGCTCTGGTCTTGCTCTGCAGAGACCGTGGAGAAACACGGCCAAGAGAGTTTCGAATATCCTTTGGTGAGATTCCATGCCGCGGTCGTGGATGTCGGGTTCAAAGGGTTTGTCAGGGTCTCGTCGTGAAGCCACTTGTTCGAGCAAGTTGGTGGACACTGGGGCTACCCCACGATCCGCTCTGGTGAACAGGTATCCGTATGAATAGAGGTTTGTTAGTAGGCATGTCCCGGGAGACGTGGTTTGCTCGCTGTATTGCTTTCCCTTGAGGAGAGAAGTCAGTTGAGGATGGGGCTCGAGTAGGCGGGGCGTACCTGAGCTACCATACGCGAAAGTGTTTCATGTTGGTCGGCTGGGATGCTGGCAATGGGACCTTTACGGCTCAGTCCATTACAAGGATCGAAACGTACGCCCTCAGCGACAACCCATTCTAATAGGCTGCGGAGACACTCTGTGGTGATGGCCTTTATCTCTGCTCTGAAAATCTCAACCTGGGCCCCTTGCGGCTGGTCATTGGCTCCAGGTTGAAGCTTCAGTCGGATGTAAGATCATGGTTTTGAGATTTACATATTCCGTCACTTACCTTGACTTTTACTATGACATCTGGAGCCTGGAAGTCACTGTCAGATGTAGGGTGCTGGTTAACCGTTTTGACCATCCCTTGAAAAGTGTCGAAGATGAGCTCGTGCTCTGGCGCTGGTGTCTGCGAAGCGAGGACAGCCTGCGCGAGCATCATGACATGCTTGAGGTACTCCAGACAAAGCGTCTGGACCCAATCCTCTGCACCAGAATCTGCTTGAACAACGGGAAGCTGGTGCGGTTTGCCTTTCAGCTTGAACGCGCCACGTCGGGCGTGCGTCGACAGATCTTCCAGCGCTAACGAGGATGGGTCGAAGACCTTCCCGTCCAGACACGCCTCGACGTATGGCCACACTTGTGCAACAGAACCAGTAGATTTGGTTAGAGCATACGAGTCGTGCTTGCCGGTCAAGCTCAAGGACTCGGATAAGCCGTGATTAGGTGTGGACCCATTGCACTCGCCCGTGGTTCTGCAGCCAACGGAACCATTGATGATGTGGAGAGAGTATTCGAGAACTGATGAGAGTTGGATTGGGGCTGGGAGAGGTACAGTTCACGACTTTAGAGAAGCGAAGACCTGTAACGACGTGCTGTTTTTAACTCACCGGCGGCCATTGTCGGTATCCAGATACTAGATCTGCATTCCAGGTAAACCTCTGTACCCGGCCTTGCGAGCAGGTGACTGACGCTCACTCAATGCACAAGTGGACAGAAGGTATTGGGCCTAGATTGCCAACGCCCCTGCCTTGTTGAAGAAGGCTGTTGAGGGCGGTTGTGGGATTAACGCAAGAGGAACTGTGCAAGGGTAGCGCGACGACATCACTCCAGCGCGGGACGGCGGTCCGTAACGCGCAGAACCCCTAACTCATCCCAAAATCGACGACTTCGAGCAGAACCACAAGTCTCCAGACTCCCAGACTGTCCCTGCTCCCTCACCACCGCTCTTATCACCACGCGTATCGTCGGATTCATCACGCTTTCATTGAAATCATAAAAAATGGCTACGACTCGCAGTCCATAAATATGAAGCAGAACACAAAGGAGCGACAGCACAAAAGCCAAGGAAAAACAAAGTCAAGAGAAAAGAAAAGAAGATAATATGTATGTACTAAGCACTAGTAGATAGATAATTATACATGTTTGATTGAATCGTCAAGTATCGGTATCAAGAAAATCCAAGAGAGCCTGAGGGAATCAGGATATAGTACTCGTAACAACGTAGGGTATTAAAACCATCACCGCTCGTGTCACAGATGGGCGCCGGACGTTTACTCTCCAGCAAACAACCGAACAATCATATACGTAGTCGAACCAATAAACCGGACAACTATCCTCGAATCAGCCAATGAAACAAAGCAAAAAGGGAGAGAAAACACATACAAGCAAGTCCAGCAACAGAGAACAGCAAGAACGCCATATAACCTTCAACAGCCTTGCCAGCTCCATCCTTACTCGCCGTCGAAGTGATCGCAGCAGCCAACAAACCCTACAATACCCACGTCAGCTCAAACCACGAAATCAAAGGTAGGAGGGGAACTTACGTTCGTCAGAGTCCAGGCCAACAGCACACTGCACACGATCCACGTCAGTAACCAATCTTTCTTTCAAAAGTGCAACAAACAGCACTCACTTGGTCCTAAAGTTCCTATAGTAATCCTCCTGCTTCTGGCCCGCATCGACCTTTGCTTCCTGCTTGGGCGGCTTCGTGTTGAGAACATGGATCGCATCCTCGTACAGCGCGTTGATGTCCTTCTCGCTCGTCGGAAGTTCGACCTCGACTTCGTTCTTGTTCTTGGACGTTGGGACCGTACCGAGCGAGGTGGGGGCCTTGTTGTCACCCTTGGTACCCCAAGACACGTCGTGCACGTTGGCGAAGGCGTAGACGTTGAGGACGGAGATGTACGAGGGGGCCATGAGGAGGTATTGCAGGAAGGAGGTTATCATGTGCCACGGTTCGAACTACCAAAGGGGGGTTAGCAATTGACGGGCACTGGAAGCGACGGACGTACGAAGATAAGCGAGGCGAGGAGGTACAGGCCTAAGGTTGCAGCCAGCGACAGGATGATGTTCCTGAAGATACTATTCTCGAAGAACGTGCCAAACGTGATACCGCCGTCCGTCTCCCGTCCAATAGCCTGGATACCCTTCACAGCCAGGAAGAACGCTGCAAACTGGACAAAAGGTCAACAAGCGACGAGGGAAAACGCCAGAGGATGAACGTACCGTCATGTAAACCGTAATCAAGGCAAACCCAATCATCGCCATCGTATAGAACCATTTCGCTCCCTGTGGTCGATTACCCAAACTCAAGATGAAGCACATGAGCAGGAGGCCAACGTAGAAGTAATTGATAATAATGTTGAAAATGTTGATGCCTTTGAGGCCAAAGCTGGGATCCTCCATCGCAGTGCAAAGAATGTTGAATGCGATGTAATAGTTAGCCTGGGGGAGGGTGATGTCAGACGAGATATCAGCAAGACAAAAGACGCGACACTCACTAACGAGAACCAGGCGAAGATCAAGTTGAACAACTGATAAAACATCTCGACGTGGATCCAGAATTTACGCATGAACGAATGGGAGCTCCGGTATAGATAGTGGAAATGGAAGACCGAGTGCACAGCAGCGAAGAAAGAACCGTTCAGCCATCGACGACGCTGCGAGATGAGTTCTGGGACTTGGTCCGGTACGTCGGTAACAGCGTAGGCGGATTTGACGTAGTGGAGAGTCCATGCGCCCCCTCGTTTCGAGACGAGTTCCCAACAGAGAATCTGATGAGAGGTAAGTGGTGATGTAGCTTCAAAGAGGTGATAGATCACGCACTCGATCCTCAGCCAAATACATGTTGGCGGTAAAGATGTCCGCTCCTGCTCCGTGCATCGATTCACCAAGGAAATACTGTCGTAGAGGACCTTCGCCAGTCGCCGGGTCGTTCTGAAGGGCGATGTACCGGTAGGCACTGAACGCTCCAGGTAACACAGTAATATACCCGAACACAGACTCCCTGGAACATCTATCAACATATGTCACCGCAAAGAGAATAGGAACTTACAGAGGTTTATCCAAGATGTTACTCATCTTGTACTCGAAGTTCTGCGCAGCGACGAGTGGGTTGACGAGGTTGAGGCCATACTTTCCCTTCAACGCCACGATCTCTCCACAAGCCCCTCCAACGTTCGAGTTGATGTCGAAGGCTTTCCAGAGATGGTAGATGGAGGTAGGTCCCGGCATGGTACCGACGTCGAGGAGAACGCAAACATTGGGCTCGAGGATCGGACCAAAGGCGTTGAAGAACCACCGATGCGAGTTGATCTTCTTCTGATTCTTTTCCTTGAGACAGAAGATGATTTGCACAGGGACGGTGCCAGATGTAGAGGTTTCGATTTTCATGGAAGGCGTGACGGAGACTGATGCAGAGGTCAGCTCACGTAACAAATAGTGGGGAAGAACTCACTCTGTGTCGTGTACTCGTAAATGTGCGCCGTCACGTCCTTCGTCCCAACCTTTGTCTTTGCGATACCCTCCTGATAGGCGCCCATTGCCGCGATAACGCTAAGCGTCCTCGAGTTGATCTTCTCTCGACCGTCGCTGACAATGCACACCACGACCTTCTTCCAGCCCTCCTTGCCCCACGTTTTACTCCTGTCGCGCTTGCACAAATGCGCAATGTTCTTGATCACACCGTGCATGGTCCGGCAGAACAACTCTTCGTCTTCGTTGTACATCGTCATCACGATGAAAAGCTCGGTCTTTCGAGGTGGATCGTAATGCACCTGGCGTAGAGTAAACCCAGAGTCCTTGAAGTCGTTAGGATCGCAGGTGGCCGCAGAATACCGCATATGGGTGAATTCTCGATCGTGACGGTTAGGACACATGTCGAGGAGCTTGGGCGGGACGGCGTTGTCGAGCACAAAGTTTCCATGGAACAATTCGACTTTTTTCACAGTCTTGTACCGCCTAGGGACCCGCTGTGGAATCCGCCCGTAGCGGATGTTCGTGGTGTCCTCAGGCGCCGTGCTAGGACTCCGGTTGTCGTCGTAGTTGACAGGGACAGGCATCGCGCTCGGCGGGCGTAGCAGTGATGAGTCTGAGGCTGGATCTCGCCGCAGCAGCGGGATATCACCCGCATCCATGCCGCCATCGTCGTCGGGCTCGTACGCTGAGCGCCTGTACCCCGTCGACAGCGGCGTCCCTGGTGGTTGCGGCGGGGCAACCTGGAATTGGACATGGCCCGGCGGGGGAAGAGGCGTATGCGTCAACATCGGCGGGGACGCCGAGGGGATCACGTGTGGCGGGGGAGGAGGAGGCGTTGGGATCGCTAATGGCGGCGCGTTTCCATAAGCGGATGGGTGTAAGGGTGGAGGAGGACCAGGTGTGTTGAACGGATTCGTCGTCGTCGTCGGTGATCCAGTGAATGGATCGTTGTAGTTCCTGTCGTATGGGTTGGGGTGGTTGTCGTACGGATTGGGCTGCTGCGGCTCGTAGGGGTCATAAGCTGGATAATTGTAGGTTCCATCGTTGTAGTGCCGCCTCTGGCCTTCATCAGCCTGTAATTTATACGCGATTAGTGCCTCCAACCTCGACGCGAAACAAGGACGATCTTTACCTCTGGTGGATATCTAGACATCGCGGTCGAGCAGCAAGGGGATTGACCTTGAGAATGTGGCCTCGTTGCGGCTTATGGATGACCGTCGTTGACCAGGAGGCTGTTCGTTGCTGTTCACGATGCCTGCTTGTTCAACGCGGCTGTCCCCAAACGGGAGTGATGTGATGACTAAGCTGATGGTTTGATCCCAGGGACCACCGCACACCACTGCGCCGCAGTTCACTAGATGAAGAAGATAGAGATAATGGCCTTGAAGATTCGTTGAGAGCCTTGGGAAGAGTCGAGGTGGGCAGTTTCTTCTCAACGCAGGCCTTGGTTGCCGTACAGAAAAGATATCGGGCTCCACGGCACCGCCATCGGGGCCATCAATTTTCCAAGCCTTGAAATCTTGTACCGCGGGCAAGCTGGGCATAGACGTCATTCTGCACCGCTCTGCAGCACAGAGAAGGGGAAGGATATGATGAAAATGGGTAACCTTAGGACCCCTGACGAGATGCCCACGGCTCGTCATGATCAGTCGCCGTTTATCACTACTCACGCAGACCGTACTGCTTTTCCAAGAAAATAAGCGCCCGGCGGGTACGTGATGGGGACACGATCAGGAGTCGAAGTTATCGATATTTATTGATGGCCATGGAAGGTTTACCATACGACAGACCATCCCACTCAAGAAAAGTCAAAGTTCCTCAGCTCCTCCCATGGAGGCAACCCAAAGTACGTAGGCAATTCCTCCCAAATCCTAGCCCGACCCTCCACAAACTGTTCAATCGCAAACTCACAACAAGGTGCGCATAGGGCAGAATGCCAGGAGGCATGGTCCCACGAACCATGGACAGCCCTGACAAGCTGTACCGGAGGGGCTACCAGGTTGGCTAAAAGCCGCGCTCGAACTTGGCCGCAGGGTTGTCCTAAGCACTGCTTGGTTGGGATCATGCGAATGGAGTGGATGTGCGCGAATGCGTGCTTGAGCATTCCGTGGTAGAGCTTTTCGTGCCCCTTGGCCAGTCGGAGAGCGACTGCAGCAGGGATCTTGGTTAGTTTTCCACTTTCACTGGTCAGGCCATCGGCCAGTATTGCCGATGAGAGAGGTAGTTAAGCCCTACTCTCATGAAAGAGGATGATTCAGACGCGTACCGGGTACCGAGAATGGTGTAAAGCGAGAAGAAAGACAACCGGCATGATCTTTTTGAGGCCCAAAGAAACCGTGAGGTTGATCACATCCGCAATGGTAATGTCGTCGGTGAAGAACTTGGCAGCTTTCGCTGCACGAACATTGCTTGAAAACTCGGCGAGCGTCGATGGGTACACCTGAGAAAGGTATTCCAATCCCTTTTCCTTGAGAACTTGGAAATCGTATCTGTATCCCAGCTGGATCATGGCGCGGACGAGCGGGAACTGCATGATGGGAGAGTCTAAGCGCTGCCTAAACCGAGAATCTCGTGAGCTCAACGCACCGCGAACTAAGTAGTAGAGGACGATCTTACTTAAACCCGTCGTACAACTGCCCTAATACGAGCACCCAGTCCACTGCGTTGCCCCAAAGCCGGACTAGCGGACGTCCATCTACTTGTGCATCGCCAATAGCGGGGCGAAGAACCGAAATCATCGCATCTAGTACAACCGAATGGCGAGTTAACACGCCTTTGTGGACGCAAAACTGCACATTCTCAACCTCACAAGTGTTAATAGAGGGTCTGTTTAGTGGTTCTCTGGGAATGGATAAGGGCGGTATCGTTAGAACTCACCTGGAGCACGATATTCCCATCTTCGAACCAGAACTTCTGATTGCGCGGAGCCATCCCAGCAGATCCCGCTGACTCTCCTGCCACGATGCCAGAGACGGAAACTCGCTGCATTGTTGGCTTATGTTGGATGCGCAGCTTGGGGCTATAAGACGACGAAGAGAGGAGACAAGTGAATTAGAGTGCTCGATTTTATCCCTAGCAGATGGGGTGTCGTGACCTCGGAGAATGCCCTTCCGCTGGATAGGCTTCGGCGGTTCTTCACGACAGATATTCCCCAGACGGCAAGGCAGTGGCCTTATTCGTGTGTGTGTGTGTGTGTTTCCAAGGTCCAGCAGCCTCGTGGGCACCGTAACCCCCAGGCTGACTAATAGAGAGGAACTCCCAGAACTCTCATCAGCCCAGTAAGTTGTCGGGACAAAGGGCGACTGTCGCCAGCCCGTAGGTAGTCGATGTCCATCCCAGAGTAGCCGACAACCCGAGGAGTTTTAATTCACGATTTCTCCCGTGTTTGGGTCACAAATACTCCCATATACTTCCTATTTTATAAACATTGGTTCTCGAATATATATATGCGGCAGTTTGTGTGTTACGATGCTACCTGTCCAACCGTCTTCATGAACTTGTACGCAAAGGGTGCCACTATCTCGCTGGCCTTGTCGATGCTAATGAGAATGCGCACTTGGTCGGTGCTCCTGCTCCCCACGCTTCGGATGCGTTCCATATCGTCTGGCTTCAAGACGTTCATTAGCAGCTGTCGCCTTCGTAGTGCACGAGTTGTGCGCAAATCAGCTGCTACCGATGGGAGGTGTGTGTTGGGTCCCAGCAGTGCCCAGTACCGCACCAGGCTCCAGCAGACCTTTTCTACTAGATTTTCGCCCAGCATTCCAAGACGATCGAGGGCGGTACTAAGGTTGAGGAAATGGATGCGACGTGAGCCGGGGCAGCGACAGGTCGTCAGTCTTGCCGGGTTGGAGAACGGGTGTTGCCCCTCGGTCAGCCTGAGCTGCGGCTGTTGCTCGCCATCGTATTCGGAGGTCGAGATCCAAAAAACCCGCGTAGGCCAGGCTGACGCCCATGGGTCCCCGCCCCTTTCCCGGGCCGCCTCATCCGTGCTGATGTCACCGCCCTTAGTCAATCAGTGACCAATTTTCACCGCTGCTCGACGCCCTCCTCGCAGCGTGTATCGTCAACCCAGGTCAGTATCCCCCTGCGCAGGTCGTGGTGTTTGGGCCTAACATGTCTTGGGCCTGACATGTCTCATATGTGTTTTGGTGTACTACAAGGGTGGCTCTGCCATTGTCTACGTCAAATTTTGTAATTTCTGATGCGCTCTGGGGGGTGGCTCTGCCATTGCCCATGTTGTAAAGATAACGGTCTGCGCACAATCGTGCACTCTGGGGGTTGGCTCTGCCATTGCCCGTGAAACGAACAGGAAGGTGGTGAGGCGTCACGCTAGTGCTTTCTGAGGCTAGTGTGTCGGCCCCTTGAGTCCTATTGGACACCCAGTGGAGAGCATGGGCTGGACCTGGAGTTCCGTCATCGCTGCCGTCCAATCCACCGTTCCCCGCTGTCCATATCTTCGCATCGGGCACCAAACTCTCCACGACAGCTTCTAATTCGCTTGGTGCAAACGAATAGGACATCGCGAGAATGTAGTGGAGGTGTACCGCGGGGTAAGTGGGCGATGGATGGTTCCTTTCCAGGCTATCGATGGGAGAAGCAAGTTTGGCGCAGACGTGGTGAATGTATTGGGCGAGGGTTTGGCTGGATCTGGCGTTAGTGTGCACTATCGATAAGAACGGGGTGGGTAAACTGGTCGTCTGTTCGTGGGCCATTGAATAGACTTGAGACATCTAGCAGCCAGCTAAGCCTCCTCTTCCAGCTAACGCTGGAAAGGCCGCGCCGAATGCTGGCGGTAGTGATGATGGATCTCCCAGCAAAGAGATTTGAAGGCGACGATAGAAGCGAATCCACAATACCCAACGAAGTCGATAGGTTTTGAAGTTGGTGATCACCGAACAGGGAAAGGTCCGTAGAGATTGGCTTTGTGCTGAGCTCGGTCTTGTTTTGCGAGGTGCAAACATCCAAATTTTCCACTGGTATCCGGTGCTTCAGGATTGCGCCAATCTCCTTCAAGAGACCTCGCACCACGCCCTCTACCTCAGGGTGCCTCTGCTGCCCCAGAACGAAAGGTTTTCCCGGCCGCGCGATGGCAGCCTTCTCCGTGGTGATAGCCTCGATGGTAGACCCCAGGAATTGTTGATGCTCCAAGTCGACCGAGGTAAGAGCAGATACTAGAATGCAGTCAGTGGGAATGGCATTCGTAGTTTCAACTGAGTTAGCGAGTCAGACGATACAATACAACGATATCTATCGCCAAATTACCCGGTATAGGTCCGCGACCACGGTACGCGGAAAGGTGTCAGCATTTAAACCGTTGGGATGCGCCCACGGCAGTCCGAATCGCGTACTTTTGGCTCCAAGCTTTTACCATACAACGGTGAATCAACGTGCCTAAGTCTAACGCGTAGCAGAATGAGTCGAAGGCACGTTCTGTCCCTGGACGCAAACTGACTACATATGCCCCTATCCCGGACTCGGAGGAAGTAAACACACGCGGATCAAATCACTTCGTTGTCACGCTCACGAATCACGAATCTCAACCAAACCTTCAATCGCGTTTCTCTCTCAATTCAATTTCCTCCTTCCACACATCCCCATCTCGCCCAAACCAAGTCTCGAACCCGCCACTGAACCAAGAACATGTCAGAACCAGGAAGCAGCCGCAAGAGGCCTCGAACGAATGACGACGCGCCTGTCTCCGACAACTCCATCCAAATTATTGGCCATACAACGCGAAACCAGAAACTCTGGTTCCAAGATGGCAATGTCGTGCTACAGGTAATGAATGCCTTCTTCGACTAGTCTAAACATGTTGATGGATGTGAAAAATAGGTAGAAGGCGTTCAATTTCGCGTTCATCGCGGGATACTCGAACGCCATTCCAATGTTCTGCACGGGATGTTCTTTGTGCCGCAGCCTGAGCCTGTTGCGGCCGCGCAGGAGACGACGATTGAAGGCTGCCCTGTCGTGACTCTTTGGGATTCTTCAAGGGATTGGGAAGAGCTTCTTCAGTACATCTATGATGGATTCCTGTTCGTTTTGGTTCGCGCCTCTCTATCGTCGCCAGTACTGACTATCGCTCTACGAATCATCGTTGGGGCACTCTAGGAAACGCCGGACGCACCTCACATTCCCGTTGATTCGCGCTATGATTGTCCTTGGACACAAATACGAATTCGACACGCTGAAAGAGGAGGGGTTGACGTACCTGTCGCAGGTCTACCCGCCATCATACACCGCCTTGAACTCCACGGAACGCAAAGACAAACTGAAGCTTTTCTATACCGACGACACCACCTTCATTGACGCCGTCAACCTCGCACTTGAACATAATCACAAGAGGTTCCTACCCGCCCTGTTTCTTGCGGTGCTCACCCACACTCAGTATCCGGTACGGTGTTCGAAACGGGATCTTGACTCGTCGACGGCCCAGAAGCTCACATTTCGCTGCAACCTCTTTAATCTCATAGGAAATCCTTACGAATGGCCTCGCGGACAAAACGGGTCGTATCGTGAAGATACCGGCGGAAACGGCAGTCAAGTTGGCCATCGGACACGAGAAGCTGTATGAAGGGATGCTCAAACATCCGTATGGGCACCTCACTGGGAAGACAACCTCGCCCAGAGGTTGCTTCAGGGCTTTGGGCCCGCAGAGTACCGACAGCAGCAGTAGCAGTAGCAGCGACTCGGACTCAGACTCGACGGATAGCGACTCGTCCGATAGCAGCGACAGCAGCAGCAGTAGTACCGACTCGTCCAGCTCTGATTCGGACTCGTCCAGCAGCGAAGGCAACAGCGGTGATGACTTTGGACAAGCCCTCGACCAAGCCATGGACCAAGCTATCGCGCAACGCGTCGAACAATCCATCCGGGCCAGGTTAAGGATATCGCCTTGCGAGTCGGTCAGATTGGAGATGCTCAAGGATCTGGTTGCGCCACCTGTTACTGTCTCGAAGGTGTTTAGCTCGTCGATTGCCAGAGGACGCCATGCGAAACTTTGTTCGAATTGCTTGGAGTATGGGGCTGCTCGGGTTAGGGAGGGCCAGCGTAAACTCTGGGAGGAGCTGCCTACGTATTTTGGACTGCCGCCTTGGAAGCAGTTGGAGCAGGAGCAGGAGCAGGCGTAGGTCGAGATTTTGCGAGAATTAATGGGTACTACCCGGACTTATAGCACCATGCTCAAGGCTCCATCCTTCGACTCCTTCGACCAGACAGAATAAAAAATTGTGTTCTCTACCAGCCGACGGTTACTATTGGGATGGATGTTCTAGTTACTTCTTGTCCGTAGACAACCCGGGCATACTAGCCATCGTACTGCCGACGCTGCACGACGCTACTCGTAGACATGAGTGTGCAGTACTCATGCATACAGGTAAGAATAGTCCGAACCTTTCGATCCTTCAAGGAGTTTGATTCGTTTTCGAAGTAGGAGGTTCTCGCTGCGAGCTTTATGTTCGGCGATCCGACTTTCCGCCAGCATTTCTTCCATGACCTGCCGCGAAGCTTCGTGCTCTTCTAGCAATCGTTGGATTTTGAGTTCAGTGTCTGACGATGGTCGCCTTGGCTGTGAAGCAGACTGGCAGAGTGGCTTGGTGTCCGGATCTCGGCGAGATTCTCGACGATCCCTGCGTTGTCAATGGAGGGTCAGTAATTTTCCAACATCTTCAACTTAGAACCGAATACCTCAGGTTGACAACATAGCGAACAGTGCTGTCTGGCGGCCAGCCCGTGTTGAGTGCGAAGTTCTCAGCGATTTTGAGAACGGGGCCGAATGTGCCATCGCCATTGCTGAAGGAAATCAATGTGAAGTTATAGCCAAACCCAATGATGTCGCCGCGCCCGTCTCCGTTCAGGTCGACAACAAATCGAGGGTGCTTGTCGACTCGCCAACCCTGATTATACCCAAAGTCATTGATCACGCACTTTGATGGCTGAAAGGTTCCATCGCCGTTGTTCAATGCGACTGAGACGCCGTCGTTTCCGAATCCTATAATGTCAGCGGCGGCATTGTTGCGGGATACGGGGACGAGGAATCGAGGGTGGTTCTTGTTCCAGCCGAGGTCGCAACCGAACCCGGTGGAGACCTGAACAGGTGCGCCAAAGGATCCACATCCGTCGTTGAAAGAAACAAATGCGCCTGACCCCTTGAATCCTACGACGTCTACCGTCCCGTCTCCCGTCATGTCTGCAAGGAAACGTGGGTTGTCGCCTACAGTCCATCCGTGGCTGATGGTGAACGAGCTGTCTATCACTGCTCTGGCGGGCTGGAACGTCCCGTCTCCGTTGGACCTACTTACGAAAACGAAGCTGTCCCCGAAACCGACGATGTCGAGGAGCCCGTCGCCTGTGGTATCTGCGAGGAAGCGGAGGTGTTTATCGAGGCGCCAGCCTTGGTTGTACCCAAAGCCGTCGATGGCGATACGAGGGGCTTCGAAAGTCCCTTTCCCTTCGTTTAAAGCCACAAAGACCCCTCGCTCGCCAAATCCGACGATATCGACGCGCCCGACATTCCTCAAATCGGCCAAAAACCGGATGTGTTTCTCCACAGCCCATCCTCCCGCCCCCTCTGCCGCCCCGAAATCGCGGAGAATGCATTCTGCGGGTCGAAAGGTGCCGTTTCCGTTGTTCCTCGAGATCCAGACGCCGCTCTCTCCGAATCCGACGAGGTCTTTGTTGCCATCTCCCGTTGTGTCTCCGAGGAGGCGGGGATGGCGGGAGGTTTTCCAGCCTCCCGTGTCAAGGCCGAAGTTCGAAAGTACTTGCTTGGTCTGCATGCAGAAGGTACTGTTGGGTGCTACGTGGACTCCGTCCACGCCGAATCCGACGATATCTGCAGATCCGGGATAATCGCTTGGGACTGGAAAGAATAGGGGTTTTGTTAACGCTCTAGTGCCTTGGAGGAAGGGAACCCACCAGGATGATCTTGGCTGATGACCGGAGATGCCATTGCTCACTGTGTAGTCGATGGGGAGTAAGGCCACACAGATCTACACGATGAACTAGTGTTGCCTGATAGCTTGTATCTATTTGGCATTATCTTCCTTTCAATCTGACAACTTGTGTTGCCTCGTGTAGATACAATCTTACCACATAAACCGTGGATCGAAATTTGGTGAATATAGCGAGCGACTTTGGCATCCAAAGTTGTGCGCCAGGCTAGTGAAGTGTCGTGGTGAAAGTGGAAGTATTGCCTTCGCTCTTGGGCAGCCCAGCAGGAAGTGTTTTTAGCGCCCGTCGGCCGCTGGTGAAGCCGCCGGCCCGACCAGGCCGTTGTCAGGGCCCCGGGGCGGCATCGCGGTTTTTCAGTTTCGACCCGCACTTCCACTTGGTCCGGTGCATCGTCGACATGATCTGGGCACAGATTTGAACACCAGCAGACCCAAGGAGCTCTCTACCCATCCATAATGACTAAACGCTGAATATCTGCCACTCGAAAATGTTCGCTTTGTTTGCTATTGACGCCCAAGGTCAGAAAGTTTTCGAATTTACGTTGATATCTTTTCCTTCACTCCACAGGATACCCTTTCGCTTCGGTGGCCAATTTATGAGGACTTTACCACTCGTTGATTTCCAGTGCCAGGTCTTCTCTTCTCCGGCGCGTCATAGATTTACTCATGGGCGGAAAGACCGAAAGGGGGGCTAAGATTGGTCTGCTGTTTGCTTTATTGGACGGTGTTTACCGGGTACGTTTGTTCCCTCATTTCTACACGCAACCTCAAGCCTCTGACGATGGTTTTCCAGTACTCAATAATGGTGTACCCCTTCCCAGGTTCATAGTACATACCGGAACCTTTGCAACGCGATTGACCCCTGTGATCATGATCTTTGCGGTTGACTCGTGATGGGAAAACATCATGGAGCCATCAACGGTCTGATTCAGAATTTGCTGTCCGATGTTCTTGGCTTTTCCTCGCAACATATCCGCCCTTGTTCTACAACCCTTCGGGGAATTGATCACTGCAGCTCGAACCAAGCTTAGCGAATCAATGACGAACCATAGCATTCTGTCCTCTCTCAACACAATCCCCAAGTTCTGGCGTACCCCGAGGAGACCCAACAGACCTTAACCATCGCCTCGAGGCTCGCTTCCTATGCCGGTATCTTCATTTCATGCGGCCCAGCCTGCCGCTCTACGCGCACGAGGACGATGGCCACCCGCCTTTCGACACAACCCCAAGCACACAATGCCGTGGATTGTGGATATGGACACATAGAAACGGGGGGCCTTGGCTGAGCCCTGAAAAGCACCAGGGACCCTTCTCAATCGTTCGACCTGAATAATCACTTTTTACTCGAACGGAGATTTTGTCGGAGAGTAGACGTGTTTTCTGGGGAGGCGGGAACTAGTGACTTGATGGTGGGCTTCGGGGTATAAATAATAGCCTCGAAGGTACCTGGGGTACGTTCTTCTTTCGCAGACTGGCGGTTTTGTACAGACGTTGAGGAAATTCTTCATCTGCAGGCTGCGCAGCAAAGATACAGGATCTATTCCCATCGAGAACGGCGTCTAGACTTCTACTCGAATCAAAACACGTAGGCACCAGGGCCAGCTCTGTAATCACTTTCCCCTGCGAGCTACGAAAAAGTAAGCACTTTGCGACCGCAATATCATATGCAGAACTGCTGACAGATGGTTGTATTCCACCGTCACATCACCAGCGCTAAAGCGTCTATTCTGATCGACGTACTCCGGTTGTTCCTCGGCGACCGCGAAAGCAGTGCTCCAAGTCCAACTGGTATATATCTACGAGCTCTTCCAGACCCCATCACGACCTCGACACGGCCATCTTACGACACGACACAACATGAACGCTTCATCGTCATCACCGACCAACTCGACCGCAGCAGAAGTAAAGTCACAATCAATCTGTATTATCGGTGCAGGGCCTGCAGGGCTTATCACCGCGCATACTCTACTTCAAGACGGGTTTTCGGATGTAACGGTTTATACGAAGGACGAGGCGGTTGGAGGTGTATGGGCCAGGCAGAGGGTGTATCCCGGGATGAACATCAACAAGTAGGTTTCTTCTCCTGACTTTTTTGTTGTCGTTTCCTAGCTAACCCCTCGGTCTCAGCGTTCACGGCCAATTCAGATTCTCAGCTCTCGAGATGCCACCACCCCCGGATGCCCACATAACTGGCGGAAGATTGCGGGGGGAGGACATGTGCAACTACTTTGAACGCTTCTACGAGAGATTCCTGAAGCGCCCTGGTGAGTTTCGGCATCCCCTGGACCCGTTATCTCCGCGTCCTGATTGATTTCTGACGTCCAATCATACAGACCACGAGCCGCAGATCATACATTTCAAAACCGAAGTCACTCGTGTCCGAAGGGGGCCGGGTGGGGCTGGGTGGAGGGTTGAGTTACGGGATGTTGGGAGCGGCACGGAGAGCGTCAAGGAGTTTGAGAGGATCGTGATATGCACGGGAGTGCGTCGTTCGTTCTTTCCTGAGAGATGAGCGTGGATTGACTGACACCTCGACAGGGTTGCAACACCCCACAGGCACCGTCGTACCTCACGCCATCAGCAGCGCTTGAAGCAGGGTTTGAGGGCCCTGTTGTACATTCGAGCGAGTCATGGACAGAGATGGAGAGGATTTTGAAGGCGTGTGGAAAGGCTGACTCGACGGAGAAGGAGGAGGCTGACAAGGAGGGTATGGTCGTTGTGGTTGGTGGTGGAAAGAGTGCCCAAGAGTGCGCCCTTTTTACTTTAAGCCGAACGCGAGCTGATCATTGGCGCGTTTTTCCAGTATCGCAGCTCATCTAGCAAATATCGGTGTCAAGGTCACCATCGTCTTCTCGAAAGCGGACATGTTCCTTGCTGCGCAGAAGCCGGTCAACCCGAGGATACGGCAGAGTCGGTGAGTCCAGTACCCTCGTTCAGCCTTTTGTCATGCGTTAAATTCGATGGCAGGGTGATCAGCGTGCTTTCGCCAAGTGTCGAGCTACGGTCGAGGACAGAGTGAGTGTCAACCACCTTTCCACCGCGAACTAAACTGACGCGCGTGGTGCATGTGATAGACGATTCCTACACACGACCTGGCTTGGCGGGAAGATTGTACGAGGTTTCTGGGATGGTGTCGCTAAGCGCTCCGTGAGTGTCCAATGCCTCTGCCGAGATCTCGCCGACCGACGACTGACCATACTTTGCAACCATCGCAGTTCAAAACGTACAATTTCCCGCCCGACCACCCGCTTTCTCTCCACTCACACAATGTCTTTTGGGGAAACCGGACGGGTGATGAGGGTGTCCGGAGTGATAAGACTTTCCAGAGCCATGTCTTGAGTGGGAGGATACAGTGTATCGTGCCCGGTTATGTTCTTGGTTTTCGGAGAGGAGAGGCGAAGGAACAGGAGAGCGCGGGCTCGTATCTCCTGCTAGACAGTGGGGATAAGCTCTATCCTTCAGCTGTCATCGTTGCCACCGGGTACAAGTCGTCCTGGGAGGATATTCTGGATGGTGAGTACCCCCTGTCGATGTCATTGTACTGCAGCTGACCGTTGAGCAGAGGAATCTATCCGGGAAATTGGGTTGATACACGACGTACCCCCTGAGCGCCTGGAGAAGTACAAGGACGAATGGAAATACACCTCGCTCAAGGATGCGCCGTTGCCACTTTCCGAAAAGCGACATGGTCCTTCCGCTTCGACGTCGACTTCGACGACGACACTGGGCAAGGAACGTGTTGGGGATTCCAAACCCTTGAGGGCGCCTGCGTTGTATAAGGGCATGATCCCAGCGAAGAGCTTGCTGAAGAGGGATGTGGCTGTAAACGGTGCTATGGTGTGTATCCCCTTCTTCCACGGCTTCTCGTCTCTCTAACTCGGCCGTGTCTAGATTACCGCCAATTCTGGCTACGCATTCGAACTCGCCGCGCATTGGATATCGTCTTACTTCCTCGGTGAGCCGATGAGACTACCGAGGACGGTCGAAGAAGCGGAGGAAGAGACGGTTAGGAACCTTGCTTGGATGATGAAGCGATTCCCTCACATGGACGCGTGGAAGAATGGCAGTCATGGTAGTTGGACGCCTCATTTCGCGTACGTCAACGCCCCCACGCCCCTTTCATTTTCCTCTCTTGCTCGGCACTGACTGCGCAATGTGTTATCTTGTAGGTGGCCTCAGGGGATGGACGCGCTTCTTGAGGATATGTATCTCCCTTCATGGAGAAGCGGAGGGAATTGGTTGACTTGGATTCTAAAACCTATCCGGATTGAGGAGATTGCAAACTTGGGAGAGGAAAGGAGGAGGGGTGTGGAAAGTGGGAAACGTGAGCGGTTGAGCATCAAGGACCGGGAGCAGGAGGAGAGGCGGAAATAGGATAACCGTCTCGTCTAGAAAGGGTTTGATGGGGTGATTCTTACTCGAAGCGGGTGTATGTATGTACATCTATTATACCGTCGTGTTTTCTATACCTGTTGTAACGAAACTTTATGAATGAGTTGATTCAGATTCTCGCCCGAAACACTGAGTTAGGGATTCTGAAGGTTCGTTTGAGATAAGCGACAATCACGTACATGGTGCACGAGGCTTGAACACGAGGAATTGCGTACGTACAGCCAGTGATTGTCGGATCTGAAAGCCCAGCGCTTACATCTAGCCTGAGCGCTTATGCCCTGAGTTTGACCCTGAGTTCGAGATAAGTAAGCCGATCCTGTCGGTCCATACAAAGTACCAAGCAAACTTAAGGTTCAGGTCATTCAATGCAAGCATGGGCCTGAGAATGCTGCGCGTGAAGCCTAGCTTGAAACGCGGGTTGCTGGTAACACCGCCGGCGCCTAACTCCCTCGGTCCACAGCGATGTGTGGGTTTGCAAACGAGGCAGACTACGGTCCTCCTCGGCTCCTCGCACTTTTACCCCTCAAGGCTCAGGGTAAACGCTACGCTCGCAGCTAGAGAGGGGGCCTCGAGGACGAAGGGGTCAATAATCAATGGATTCAAATAAGATGCAATCAGGAAGTTGTCAGGAAGCCGCAGCAGTCCCGGATATCGCCTTTGGCACGTAGCCGAGACCCTTGGCTTCTCTCAAGCTCATTCCCAAACTTTTCCATTCCCCTGTTGCTCCACGCGATCGTCGCAACCACTGCGCATTGATAGATCGCACGTTAGCCTCGATTGCGGTTTGTTGCAAAGTGTGGTTGTTGAGAAAGTGGATGGATAGAAGACTGGTAGGCATCTTCGTGATCCCCTTTAGCACCTGGGCGCAAGGCAAAAAGAAACAGTGGTGGAAGGCTTGGGGAATTTCCAACACGGCTAAGACGCGTTGGGAGATGACCGACGACCAATCTAAAGGAGCATTCGTATAGGGTGTGCTTGTAAGTTCTGCCAGAGGACCCGCTAGTGCCGCTGCGAAGATTTGGCATTGAACAAATTTCCAACGCGATAGCGGAAACTGTCGACCCTAGTCAGAGTCCCTATCTTCGCTCTCACCATGTTCAGGAATGATGTTCAGCTTTAACTAGTATGCATTGAATCGTAGGTATATAGGGTAAAGTTCATGAATGTCTAATAAGAGTCCCGGTACATGCGTAGAAGCTCAGGGCCAACCGCGGTAATAACATGTTGTGGGTATGGAATTAGCGATGAGGGACATTAGGTTATCAGACGCCCGATGGTCCTAGGTAAAACGGCATGCAGGTCATAAACATGAAGGGCTGGAAGATGGGTGTCAGACCGTCGTTCCGGCGGATATGAAAGGGGGAAGAGACCAACCTAAATCATGAAGCGATTTAGAGGAGGAGGCCAGCAGCGGCGGCGATGGCGCCGAGGGTGATAGGGGCACCGAGGCGGAGGGCAGCACCCTCGTCCTCAGTGGGCTCGGGCTCAGCACCAGAGCCAGAGGCGGAGCTGGTGGGGCGGACAGAGCCAGAAGCAGAGCCGGAGGCGTCGCCAGAGGCAGAGGGGACAGCGTCGGTGGGGACGACGGAGTCAGAGGCGGGGGCTTCGCCTTCACTGTAGAGAAGGTTGGTTGAAATTCGAACGCGACGAAGCAGAACAGGAGGGAACTTACGAGGACTGGGCGTAGGCGCCAGCAGCGAAGAGGAGGGAAGCGAGGACGACGGAGAACTTCATTGTTGTTCGTGAAAAGAAAAAGGTGGTTTGGGTTTTGTGAGGTTTTTTGGGAGGAAGAGGAGAAGTAGCTAGCTGGGCTGAGGAAAGTTGTCGAGAGGGAGGAAAGTCTTTTATACATTTTTCGACAGGAGGCGGCAGTTTGTTTCACGCACTCTACTGGTCCCGATGTTTGGTCATAATAGGCAGCTCATGGTTGAACCGAACTCTCAAATTCACCCAAATGGGTTTCAAATGGTTCGATTCGAAATTTTGTGATGGTTGGCATCCACAAAGACCCCGACATGCACGACCCTTGCGAGCCTCAAGGCTGCTAAGCGATCGGGGTTAGCCTGAATTGGGTAATTTGACACATTGCATTGAGAAATTTTGCGAAGAACCTGCAAGAACCTCCGCTCCGCAGCAGGGCATGCGGAAAGTCGCCGGAAGACAGCTGCGCACCCGGATGGCCAAGCAAGGGTTCTAAGCCCGTGCGCTTCTGCAATTCATCGTCCTAGAAGACGCCTCCATTCATTTGTTCCAAGTTCTCTGACCCTTCTAGACCAATACCACCAGAAAACGAAAACGCGAAGGCAGCAATGGCGGGTGTGACTGGTGAGGCAATTTCTAGAGACCAACGTTCTGTTCAGATTTCTCCGAGAAGTTAGAAGTGCAGAAAACCGAAATAGGTCGCTTGGCTGATTCGCGCCATCTTTGCGCTTCTTTACGTGTCGATGCGAACGCCACAAGCAAGACAAGCTATGGAAATTTCGAGGCAGGGCTCGACCCTTGTTCCCTTGAAAGACGCATTTTCCTCGACAAATGAATGGGAATGACCCAGTGTCGACCATGACCATCCCTGTAGGAGCTCTCTACATTCCAGACGAGCACAGGCAGACCGTCCATGACCGATAAAGATAAGAGTGCGTCTCCACTGTCACAGTCTCGTTGACGACCGCAAGAAGCATACTCGCTTGGCAGTTGATTTGCACAAGTGGTTCGATTTTGGACGGATTTGCTTACCCCGGATGGGGTTTATGCGCGTGGGTGCCCAGCCCCGCGGAAGATTTTCCAAGCCTGGTCTGTTGAATGAGAATCAACACCACGGGCGCCAATTGGATTTCGCCTCCACAAGTGTGCGATACCTGTTGCTCTTTACCTCTGTCACCATCCTGCCTCAGAAGTGGATGATTTGGCGTTTACTGGGCGCCTAAACCAACCCATGTCGAGGTTTTCCTTGTTACTGTTCAGATGCCTTCCACTGGCGGCTTGGTCGGCATCACTGTTCGGCATGGATTATTCCCACGATTGGATACGCGAGCGCGTGGCAGATGGCGGCGACGACACAATTGCTTTGGACCACCAACCTTGTTATTGTCAAACGAGGGTCCTGCACGGGCCTGCTCGATGAAGCCACGGCTCTGAAACCCACCATCCCGACATAGTCACGGACCACCACACAACGACAGGGGCGCTCTTCGGTTCTGTCTTCTCAAATGGCGGCAACTGCTTCGAATTCTTTGGCTTCGGATCTGCTGAGAATTTCTCCCATTACCCAAGGCGCTGCCCACCTTCTAGCGTTATTATTTGGGATCTGCTATGTCGGCTCCCTTTATGTCTCCAACAAGGCTCGCCTGAAGTTTGAAGCCAATGCCAAAACCATCGACGATAAGTATCCAAGGGCGAAACTGGCCCATGAAAGATGGAGGGACGATCCAGATGTCATGCGAGCGCGAGTGACTGCTGTCTCCATCGCGTCAATCCTATGCTGTTTGGGGGTCGTTGCGCTAGTTTGGTGGAGATCTGATTTGGAAGTGGAACTTTCGGTGAGCGCGGTTTCTCGGTTTCTTGCTGGACTTCAGATGGTCAATTGAATTATCAATTAGAATCTTGGACCAGTATTGTATCTTTCGTGCTCCTACCTTGGTTTCAAGTGGGATTTCCCATCCGACTTTAACTGGTCGTCTTGGAGCGACATCTCAGCCTTGGGACCGCATGTCGTAGTCCCCGTCCTGTTCCTCGGCCCGTTGTACGCGACCTATTTGGATGGCACTTTACCCGGTCAACAGTTCTGGAGTCTTGACGAACATGTCTTCGATAAGTACTTCTCGCTCATGGGCCTACGAACGTATATCCTGGTACGTTAAGGTCTTTTTCAAGTCATCCATAGCCCTCCATCCGTTCAGCACGATGTTACCCACCTCGTGTTTGACTGAATCTTTCAACGTGCTCATCTTCTTCGTCTCTAGGGCCCAATAACCGAAGAAATAGTCTTTCGATCGTGTGTGCTGACTGCTTTCCATATGGCGCACATGTCGAGAAAGCAGATGGTGTTTTTGACGCCTTTGACGTTCGGTGTTGGTGAGTGGTTGTTTCCAGTCCTTGCCGAAATTCCATGGCCGCCCCAATATCAGCCCAAAGGCTACGGTTATATCGTGTTGTGGACTGCTGCGCCGCAGCTCAACAAAGACGTATACCACTACGGCCGAAACGCGAGCGCCCGCTCAACTTCTTGCTGCGGATTTCTAGCGCCCGCCTTTTCCTTTCCGTAACTTTGATCGAGTATTCTCCTGTTGTGTTTTCTCCGGGACCAAATGCAGAGTCGCTCACACCGCCCATCTTGGCATGCAGCACACGCCCATCACGCATGGGATACCTACAACCGTTATGGAAGGACGCAAGCTGCTCTCAAGCGAGCCCTTATCGGCTGTGGTGAGTTCATAATACGCTTCTATCTGCCTGTGAGACGAGCTGCTTATCACGTCTGCCACTTATCTGTTTGACACCACCTCCTATCTCGACATTCGGTTATCTGGTCGCCAACTACCCACACCTTATCGCAAAACGCACTTTTGAATTCATCGCTTGGCTCTGTGACCTCAACGTGGCCCGCCGTACGACGACCGTTCTCTTTCTGTGTCTGACGCCAACAACCTCTATCTTGCTATCCGCATTCCCAATACAGCGATGCAACTTACATACACCTCCATCTTCGGTTTCCTGGCAGCTTATCTTTTCGTGCAAACCGGTTCGGTTCTCCCTGCCATAACGGCTCACATCTTCTGTAACACTATGGGTTTCCCGGAGTTGGCCTATGAATTGCAGAAATTTCCGCATAGGAAGAAAGGTGTGTAGTCTTCTTGATGATACTTTTGTATTCTAAGTTCCATACTCCCCGCTTCGGGCAAATGCTAATATGCCTCGTTTCTAGAAATCCTCTTCGCCTACCTGCTTGGGATGGCCGGATTTGTGTATGTCCTTCCCAAGTGGACGGAGGTCGGACTAGAGAGGAGGGGGGCTGTGTGGGGCTCGGTCTGACTGTTGTCCGCTTTAACGCTTGGTAACCTGGCCTACGGACGGTAGTAGTGCGATATTAGGACACGGTCTAGGGCGCTGGCACACAGCTGCGCGACCCCAGGACCTGCATTTTAGATGCGTATCTACAGTCAAATAGCATAGTTTTAATGTGTATTCTGGCGTATAATTTATTTACATCTGTTCTCTGGATGCTCGTACTTATTCCCCAGCCTCGCGGTCGTCACATTGCCTTCAGGGTCCCGGCGACATCGTAACTATACATACCCTTCTCGATAGATGGCGAAACGACTCAGGCTCAGCAGGTTCTTCATGACAGCTTTCGACTTCGATTCCGCAGTCACCTTCGGAAGAATCAGCATTGAACTTCTTTCCGCAGCCTAGGTTTGCAACAGGTGTGTCGCTCCTGTTCTTTTCAGCGTAAAGTTCCCATCTCAACTCTCGCCCAGTGTGCTACCTCGACATTTGCACTGGTTCTACAAAGTTTCTTTGACACTCTTCTGTGATTCGAGCTGATGTACGTATTCTGATGAGCGTCTGTTTGTGGTCCCGTGGACCTGGAAGACAGTGGGATCAATCTGCTGCGTGTCGTTCAGCACTGCTTAACTCTTCTTTACCCCTGTTGAGAGTCCCGACTCCCGAGAGGTGCGGGACGTTATGTAGTGGACTGGCACATGACCAGTGATTTGCTTTAGGCATGCATTTGTCCCATTTCAACAGTCACGGAGTAAGCAGTGCTGACTCGTTCAAGTTGGTTTACTACGGGACGAACCAGACCTGAATGGCCAATGAATGGCTTAAAAATTCTAGCAAGCTTGAGCGGCTTTGCCCATTCTACATCTGCATATAGGGTTCTTGCTGGTTACTGCTGTTAAATACTCTTCGCGGTACCCTGTTCGATGATCATTCAGACGCCGTTAAGCACACAAGTTGATCTTGTGCAGTGATCGTCCGTGGATCATTTAACCCCTACAAAGATGCATGAACCAGCGTAGAACATGACAGTCAGACAGTTTGCGTTCATTCGTGTCCCCTTCGACTACTGAGGAGTCTACTTTCAGTCAGATTCGTATTCAATGGATAAAGTCGCCTTCAATGTTGAAGTCATGGTGTTCAAGGCCGAAATTAATGATGACAATGCGCTCCTTACTGTCGTCCTTCGGGACCAACGCACTGTGCATGCTTGATAGTAAGGGACAGTGGGTCGCGCTGCCTGGCATCCGTGGCTCGCTGCTGGCTGTACGGTGTCGTGCCAAGGACATGGAAGTGGGCCGGGACACACATTTGATAGCCCTGTGGCTTTATGGCACTTGGTTCTTTGAGCTAGAGATATTGTGTGTATCCATGCCGGTTAGGAAGAATTACAAGTTCAAGACATCATCCGAGTCTCACAGAGATCCATCTTTGACCAGACATTCTCCATTGGAGATACTGCAGGATTATGGTATCTCAAGTGGCGGGCGGTACTCAACTACTGGTAGGTCCACCTGCAAACGATCCTCGACTTCGTCCATCCCGTCGCCAGTACCGTCAGGCTTTCAGCTGCCACCGACCCTCCCCACGGCAGCCTTACCACTTGAAGCACGGGGACTCCCTCTCAGGCTTCAAGAGGTCTCAATGAACGTAGACCCGGAATGGCGAGGTTAAAATGAGTTGGTTATAACGACTGTCTCAAAGGCCGGTATACGCCTGTCTACATCTCCTTGCGGGCAGTCCATAAAGACACTCATAAGACGAAGGAAGGACGGTGAACCTATATTATCCGGACATCCGCACCCGCGAGGCATGACTCAATCACGCTTCATAGTCGTTCGGTGACTTGTTTGGAAGGTGGTCACATACGAGAGGTGTCCGTTACCTCGTGTGTTACTAGTCTTCGTGACTAGATACGCATTGGTGGGCGAAATACTCAAGCTGCTCACGAAGTACAACAACCAGCCGTGTTCAGAAACATAAATGAGTCATCATTTTCGTCCCTATGGTAGATACACCAAAAAGACATTTCGTTGAAGTCGTTACAGTAAAGAAAATAAATCCCAATCAGAGTAATCCTAGTCACCTAATCCCAATCGGCTACCAGCTGAACGCATCGTCAACAAACACGACACCTCTCTTCGCCTTGGGACCAAGTTGTCCAATCGCAACGCGGATTTCGTCAGCCATGCCAGTCGGTCCACAGGCCACCACACCCAAATCACCCTCCACATCATCCTTCTGCAGCTCCTCCTTCAGGATGTCCACAATGGGCAGTCTTGAGCCGACACTAGTTTCAACCTCGACAGTCAAGGAGTTCAGAGTGTTAAGCTCGGGCTCGACAGCGCGGATGAGCCACTCGTTGCGTACACCCCATGCCAATCGGGCACGAACACCTCCGAAGGTCTTGATAATGGGTAGGACAGCGGTGATACCGACGCCACCAGCGATACAGAGGAGGGTAGAGCAGTGGGCGAGTTCGCCATGGGCAGAAGGGTTGGCGTGATACGAAGACTCGACGAAGACGGGAAGAGTGAGTCGTCCGTTGGATGCAAGAAGGCGGTTAACGAGCGTCTTGCTGAACCCATCCATGGGCCGAACGAGGAGGGTCACCCGGGGCCCTGCGTTGCCCGCCACCGACTCGTCGCTTGAAGACATCGTGGAACTGGGCTGGCTGCTCTTCTCTCCATTGCCCTGGGTGACGGTCTTGCGAGTGGTCGGGCCACCCTTGAAGCTCGACAGGACGGAGTAGGGGTGGTTCTCCCAGATACGCCAGCTGAGGGTAGGGAAGTAGAGGTAGACGTGGCCCTCGGCGACGATACCGTCGATGTCGACTTGGATGTACTCTGCGCTGGGGTCGACGGCAGTGACGACGGCCTTGCGGTATCCGTTGGAGACCATGCGCACAATTCGAACGAAACGATCGACGAGCCAGAGGAGAGCTCCGATATACACCCAGATCTCGTAGCCCCAATCGTACTTGTATAGGCGGTAGATGTGGATGAAAGTGCCGAGGAGGCCGAAGATGGCGAGGAATTGGTGTGTGACGAGGAAGAACTCGTAGGCCTTGCGACGAACAGGGAGGATTGAGAGAGGCCAGATGAACACAAAGGCGAAGGTGCCGATGACACCCCAAATCCAGTATGCTCGCTTGATCTGCTTGTCATAGCTGTCCCAAACCAGAATCAGCATGAAGAGGGAGTGAATCGACGTGTGGAAGATGCAGCAATAGGCGATCCAGCGATGGAGGAGCAGGAACGTGCTGTGGCTCCAGTTGGTGATCCAGAGAAGGACATTGTTCCTCGAGGAGAAGAGGAAGAGGGCGACAAAGTCCGCCATGGCGAGGACACCCGTTCGGTCTCCGATGATCTTCAATACGGCTTCGGTGTCGTCATCGACGTTGAAGTTTGGGTAGATGAAGGTCAATGGGAAGATGCCGAGGAAGATTTGGGTGGCGAGGAGGTAGACGAGGTAGAGCGTTTGGCCACGGGTGGGCATGATGCCGAGGTTTGCGACGATCGGAGTGCGGTGACGGTTGCCCATGAGTGGCATCTCGAGCACGTTGACCAGGCGGCTATACCATAGAGGTCGAGCGGGGAGGAAACGGAATAGAGAGAAGACGATCGGGATGCAGACACTGCTGACTGCGACAGCGATTCTGGAAAATGCAGTCAGTAAACTTGGAGTCAGTCGACGAAGGAGCTACCACTTACCCATTCCAACCGTGGTCTCTCTGGCTTCGCTCATGCCAGCCCAGGCCGTTGTACATGGCGATGTAAACGTCTTCGGGAATGAAGCTGGTGACATTCAGAGGTTGTCCGGCCCGGGTGAAAGGGACGTTCTCCTCGCCAATCTCTTCCACATCTTCATGGGCCAGTCGGAGGGCTTCCTCGTACGACATGACGGGGCCATCGATGGTCCAGTCGCCAGTGCCAAGGGTGGTGAGATGTCCCTCCCAGTACTCCTGGATGGAGGAGAGAAGGACGTCGTCACGAGCGCAACGGTCTTCCATGCAAAGCGCGAGGGTGCGAAGGAAGGCAGCGTCTCTGAGATAGCATTCCTTGGGGTTGATGAGGTGGTGGAGATGTCGTCGGTGATGGTGACCACCGTGGTGGCTGGATGGGGGAGGGGTCCAGGTATCGCCTGGGATCTTCGAGTCGCAGGTGAGGCGGTTGTTGACGATAATCCTTCGGCAAGCATGGGCACAAAGAGGCTTGTAGAGCCATTTGCCAGCACCTATCATTCCAACGCCATCGGCGACTGCGGGAGTGGCGAGCTGGGTGACTGTGAGAAAGAGGAGGAGGAAGGCTGAAAAAGCCCCCAGAAGTGGGGTGGAAAGGACCGCCATTGCTTCTGGACGATGTCTCGAGCGAGGAACCCACTCACGCGAGGAGCGAAGGAGGTAAGAGAGGGCGTGGGCCTGGTAGGAGTGTGCAAGGATCGTCCACTATTTATCCAGAAGGCAAACAGCCCGAAAAAATGTGCCTTGAATTTGGGAGGTACAGAACTGTAAAGAAGCACAGGTTGAAGGAAGCCAAGTATCTTGTCCCGTGGGACTAAAGCCGTCATCAGGTGTGTATGATCCATTGAATGACCGCCAGGAGGGTCCGATTATACAGAAGGCGGAAAGGTGTCGTCCCACGAGGGCAAACAGCAGGAGCGCTGCTAAGAATAACTCCGAAGATATTACTTATTTTCGAACAAGAGACCACGTAGAAAGTCCAAACTCCTCGAGCTGCGCCCGCTTTTTCCAGGATATTCAGCAGAAATTCTCCTTGTAAGACCTCCAATTCCCCCATCGATAGAGGTCAAGCTGCCAGTCACCAGAGCCATCATTGGTCCCTGAGTTAGAGTAAATCTGTCTTTATGAATTCTACCGTCCAATCAGCGGTTCTGGATATGAAGTCCAAATCACCCCATGACTGGCGAGGTGCTGGAACGAGGTGGAGACTCGCGCGATCGCAACGGCACACCGGAAGGATAGTGCCTGAGGCCTGGGAAGTCCCGCCAAAGAGAACCACCAAACGAAGCCCGTGAAGCTGAATTTGACGAGAGTTGCGCGAAGGCCAGCGACAAGGGAGCGAAAAGCTGACACCTAAGCGCAAGCCCGCGTTCTCACCGAGCAGAGGAGCACTAGGAGGAGAGCTGGCTGCGTCCCAGAGGCCAGGGAACCCGGAGAAATCATAGGCCAAGGTCTGCGTAAGACATGTGTGCGGTGATGGAAGGGGCTTGAGAAGACAGGATTGGCATGGCGCCATCGTGAAGAATGATGGTGACGAGGTCAGCTGGTACCCTAAGCACCGAAAGATACGATGACCAGGCTACTAGTCGGCCGAGAATCGTCGCCTCTGAAAATTGGGGGATGTCCTGTTGTGAGCGCAGTGTGCGGAGTGCCAAGTTTCGAACTCCGAGCGGTGAAGCCTCGAGTGACAGTGAGAGTGAGGGGGCTGGGGAGGCGCGAAGACAAGACGGGTTGGGCTGGTACAGAAGGCACTGGTAGTGGGTTTCGCTAGATGTCGCAGAAGAGTCTCTGCTGTAGCGACAGCGCCTGGAAGACGATCGTGGGTTGTTCTTGCGGTTCACCTGTCCGATCGGTGCATTAGCGCAGCTGTCTCTTCCTGGCAGTCAGTAAGATAGTGGATGTCTATGAGATGAAATGTGTCATTTTATAATATATTTTGTAGAGCCATAGGTAACGCACCGCTCAGCATGCTGAACGCCAGCCGCAACACCCCGCAGAATTGCCTCAACCGCATTCTGATCGTTGCAAACGCTAGTCATTGTGCCCACTCGGGGTCTTCTGCAACGTGCAGGGCCCCTGTATCGTCCTCAGCAAGTGTAAGGAGCGACAACAGACACTGTGGGTCAGGAAAATTGGGTCAAGAGAGAACAGAAAGAACCTGGGGAAAGAAATGGCTCACGAGTTTCTCCCCTGTCGTGTTTGGTATTGCTGTTTCGATAGAACATTGATGGCCGGACTGTGCCGGAACCTTGCCGGCCATGCTCAGTCATCCTACTTGACCCAACGCTTTCACCTGGTCCTGCCAAGGGAAGAATGAGTACCGAGTGCTACCGTTTGGGTCCTGTAGGGTCAGCAGGTCTTGAGAAGTAACGGCGCCGCTGCCCTGGGTCGGAAAGGGTGCAAACTCGGGCCCATTTCTCAAACTCGCTCCAAGCTGACGAGGGTCTGGTGTCCCTGTATTCTACCTTGAAGGGATGGGGTATGCGTCTCTCACAAGTAACCTATTGCTACCACAGTGCTGATACGGAACGTTTGCTTCACTTACCTACATTGCTCCATACACGCGCACTTATTTACTTTTATCCCACACTTGTTTCTATCGCAATGCTAATGGAGAGAGTGTAAGATGCCGGCCCCTGGTGATCTATGGCATGCTTTAGCGGCCAATAACCGGTGTGTATCGAGTGTGTAGTTCCTAGAACGCTACACCTGCGGGAGCCCAAACGCGACTCTTTCTGGCAGATTTATGCACCTACCGCGCGGAAAGCCAGACGCGCCTCGGAGTTGGCATGCAAGGCCGTTCGCTCAGGAAGTGCATCGGGCAATTACCACGACCCGCCTCCCAGGTATGCCAATACGGGTCAGGGAGCGACGGCCACGGCTGTTATGCAGCTTTCCTGGTACCTATATCCATGGTACTGGCGGTCGCTGGTGACCGATAGTAGGAATGTTGAATCGGGATGGTCCTCAACTTGAAGACTTGGTGAGGAAGTTACATCCTGAATGTTGTTGCGAAGACGCGGTCTCGTTGGTGAGAAGCATGGATTTAATGCCACCCATGGTGCAAGGGAAGACGTTTCCTGTCATGAGACTCCGAAGGTTCCTTACAACAATTCCCCCTCGGACGGTAGTGTTCCCTCCCGAGAGTCGGCAGTCCCAGGTTGTCGAGGATAGAAGTAGAGAAGCATTCTCGGGGCCTTTCAATCATGGGTGGGGTTGAGATACTGTCATTTGACATGTTTACCGTCAGCGAAAGTGTTATCTGTGAGAAAGACGCTGTCGACTCTGACAAATCACCAAAGGAGGTTGAAGAGTGATCACTTGAAACAATATCCGTTGACTCGGATTAGCATTCCGCCTAATATCGTCCCACATCCATAGCATTTGCCGATAGCAAGCCGCTACTCTCGCCCACACGTACGAATCGCCTCTCCATCCTTGGTGGGAAACGGAAGTTCAAGGCTTCGATGGCTTCGATCGAGTCGGGCATGTATCGATTTCGGCCACTCCTGATATCGGATGCTCTGTGATGTTGCAATGCGGTGGTATAGCATTAATCTCGAACAGGCGCTTCCGACCTTTACGACGGGATGGCAAGTTAGTGCCGTTGCAGACCATTGAGGATAGTGAAGTGCTTACACCAACCACTACTCGAGTTTCTCCAATTCCTCCAACCGGGATAACACCACGTCCTTACTTGTCTCTTCGATCTCGCCGGCAAGGAAGATCTCATCCAGAATGGCATAGACCTGGTCAGAGCTCAGCACACTTTGCCCAGACACGTGAGAGGGCGAGACCCACCTTGTAGAAGTTGAAAACTAGGTCCAGCTCGCAGACATTGTCGAAGAAGTTGTCTGTAAGAGGTGGCATCAGAATTACGAGCGGTCCGACAGGTTATGGGGCCACGCACCTAGAATTTCGACAAAGAGGTGAATGGCCTCCAGGTACGCGAGTTCATTGTCATTTGCATCAACACAGACGCAGAAAAAGAGGCCAGCATAACGTCTGTATACGATCTTGTAGTTCCTGAACTGTTTACGGGCATTGCATGAGACCTGCAACCGTCACGAAGCGGAGACTACGTACCTCCACAAAGTTCGACTGGTATTTCTGATCTCTAGGGGCCACAAGCCTATGCACCTCGCCCCTCAACCGCACCTGAACGATGGTTGGGACAGCAAACCGTCAGCAATAGGGTCCCCTGGACACCAATTCACCCGCCCCTGACCTTCTCATCGTCGTCATACGGGACATACCACTTAGATAGCCGTGTCTTGCCCTGTCTGTTCTGTACAATAGTCACTATACGTTACAATATCGTCCCAAACTTCAGGAACTCACCTGCACAAGGATGAATCTAATCATCGTGGTGTCAGACTTGGCGAATGACGCCGGCGACCGGTTTCATTGTCCTTGATTATTAAACACCTCGAATGCTAACAAGGCAAAACAAAGGCCCGATGTGAAGGGCCTCGTCTCGTAATGAACTCGACTTGGCTTTATTCCAGAACACCATACCCAGGTGAGCGATACATTATGCGAGCCCCGTTCGACAGAGACTGGAGCTTACACCGAATTCAGACTTGGAATTGACATAGGGTGACAATTCTTTTCGATTCCAAGCTCGTCTCCAGTCTTCGTTTCGATCTCAACGGGCTAATACCCGTGGGCGCTGGAGCGCTGAAGCGGAACCCCCGCTAGCACCGTAGTAACCAGGTACGAGGTGCCCCAGTGGGTTCTCTCCAACAATGGCTTCGCCTCACTAATATTAATATTACTGTATGACTTTGATTCCACATCTTCCAGAGGATGGAAGCCTGAAGGAGTGGGTACATATGTGTATTTCCTTCCAAGATCTCATCATCGCATCCCGACGCCGCATCAAGTTCATAAAAGCCCCCGCTATGACCTCTGTAGTCCCACTCCTTCACGAAACCTTGACGAAACCTCTCCTTTGGCTTAAACTCCCAGCGTCCCCAATTGCTGTGTATAGTATGTACTCGACCTCGGACTTACTTCATAACGGTGATGCCGCTCGAGTGTCGTTTTGCTGGGTTACCGCGTCGTCAAGTTTTCCGGAAGATCGTACCTCTAATAGATCGGTTGCCTTCGGCGCCTCCCACCCCAAGCTCTTTGCCACGCGACGAAAGCACGGTTTCCACGTGGATTAGGCGTCTTCGAGGTTCTCGGAAGGGGGATGCGCGTAATCGTGACTCCCGACCTGAGTATTGAGGACGAGGAAACTCGACTGTGCCCGACCTAAATGGTCAACGGGCTCTGTGGTGGCTTGGGAAGGTGAAGTAAAGCTAGTGATCATCGCGGAGATGGGCCCCTGGCTCCGAAATGGCACCGCTCGGGTTTCCACGATATACGCACATAAATATCCTGTCGGGAGCGAGGCCCTACTGACCTTTTGGAGCCTTTGCTTTGCTGGTACTGGTGCGCTTACTTCCGTCATTGTTGCTCATTTCGTTTTTGACAGCGTTTCTTTACCCAGGATCATCCCCTCCGAGACGCTGATTCGCGTCATTCAAGTCTCTCTCAGCCAGCCCGCCGTTTAGCTTGCTGACTGAAACAGGCTGTTGAACGACAGCGTACTTGGCGCCCAACGACGTCTCTCCTGGCGGGAGCTGGTGAGCAGTCAATTTCTGGGCGTCGTCATAAATTATGGCTGACGGCGGGCCATCTTTCGCCAGGTTATGTTTTGGTTGGATGGATCTAACCCTAGAGGCATACAGTAATATCGTCGGGCACGTCGGAAGGCGCTCTGATATTACAGCCCTCTGCAGGGTCTCCAAAGCGTTCCGACGCGCTGCGGAGCTGGCACTATACAAGTCCATCTTCCTAGAAAACACGTATCAAATCCGCGACCTCTGCGTGACGCTGGCCAACTCACCTCGACTTGCATCCTTGGTGGAGTCCCTTACGCTGTCACCAGTTGAGGACGAGGAGCACGGCCATAGTTATGAGGATGGAGACGAAGATTCCAGCCTCCACGAACTGCCGGACGAATATTGGCTGTGGATATCCAAGGCATTGGCCAATACGACTAGGCTTCTCGACCTCGAGATCCATTCGCAAATTGGGCCAACTTCGGCTTGCTCCTGGATATACCCCAAACCGCCCGTCTTCCAACTACGGTCACTCCACTGTGACTTCGATTGGGACGATGATCTCGTAACCTTTCTCAATTCTCAACACGACCTCGAGGACCTGTATATTTTAGACTTCAAACCCCTCATTCCTTCAACCGCGACGAACGATGACACGAGCTCCAGTACGACCTCATCTAAATCCATGACCATCCACGACACCGCGATGCCAAGCCTGACAACTTTGGAATGCACCTTTTCTGAAGCAGCCGACGCCATTGTACCCCATCGACCTATTTCTCGCCTCAAGACTTGCTTTTCCAAGACAGAGCCGTCAGCCAAGCAGGCAGAGCTGACGCGTCTCATCACCACCCTGGCGCAGTCGACCCGATCTCTGCGATCCCTGGACATTGCCGATTCTTCATATAACGAGCCCTTTACGATGAGCCTTCTCAAGACCATCGTCGGGAACCCGGTCACGAGCACCAGCCTCCGTTATCTTGGGACACTTGTGCTTCCCGTTAGTGGCCAAGAGGTGAATTAATTTCCATCGGACTCTAAAGTTATGGTTTCAGTTTGACTGATAGACTATCCCTTATGGTATCAGCGGCTTCAGTTCTACGGGTTGCTGATGCGGTTACCCGTTCTGCAGTGCATCGAAATAGAAGTCTCGGAATGGGACCCCGTTCCCTCCACTCCTGCTGCATTCCGAGCTTTGGCGAGTGAGCTGCGGATCTACTGCCCGTCTGCAACAGTGGTTGTGTTCGTCCACGACTTTGAGAGGACGGTCGTCACCATGTCGGGTGGACTGCGGACGGTCGATGACGATCCCTACACCGAACACCTGTGGCGAGAATTTTAACTCGGCGCTTCATCTATTTTCCCCTCACTTCCAACTTTCCATGTTCTTTCGCATCGTGATGGGTTTACGCTTCGCTTTGCATCGGATTCTCAAGTTATTGTATCTTTATGCGTTATCTCTCTTTTTTTCGCTTCTCCGAGCACTCCTTTCTCTACTTCAATACCCGCATTTGAACACCACTGTAGCCTTTCGAGTTTCACCCCTGCTTTGTATCGATGTCGCTTATCTTTGCTGTATTTTACTGCTTTCGATGTTTACTTACTTTACCTCTAATTTACACGGTTTCGATTGGTCGAATGGAATCAAGGTTCAAGTTCCTCGGTGTCTTTGACCTATAATTGTTCGCTGTAGAGTCACCGTCCCAAACTCTCCCAAACTGGCAACTCGTTTGATCACGCAAACCACGGGTCATGAGAGTTAAATGAACATCCCGTCCATCGAATAGTAGTTCCTCGACATCTGTTAGATGCTCTCGCCCCTTCGCTGGATTAAAATTCCCATGTTTCGTACGACTGTCCGAACCCGTTCCCATGTCTTCACCCCATCGTCATCGGGACCCCAGTTTACTGGAGGTGGCGCTGCTTTGTTTCGAGGGTTTCGAATGGTCAAAGTCATGCGACATTTCATATCGAGTAACTTGAAGTAGTCTGAATAAAAGCTACTGGAGTTATCCGACGTTTACCTCCAAGTAGACCATTCCGGTAGAAGTAAAAGTGTTGTGAGAGAGTGCGACATGGCCGCAATCGCGATTTACAGCCATTATTCCCTCCCCATTTAATTTTCTCCGTCTACTTATTTGGCAGACCTGTCACCTGCCAATGATTCCGAGGCGTGAAGGGCAACGTATGCATAGCATAATAAACGCAGTGTGACGTTCGGGGGAGTGTTGGCAAACTATGTAGCTGCCGGATTCGTCGCAGGCAGGCACGGGGATGGCGCTCTCCATTTCATGGTCGGGGTAGATGTACTGCCGATTAGCTAGGGGAATATTCTGCTATTTCTATGCTTCCTTCCTTGAACATATTGGTCTTGTTGACGGCCACTTCACGACACGAACCGAGATGAAAAGGGTACAGGGCACAATTACGACATTTCGAGGTCTGTGAACAAATTGAAGGGGAGAATAATGCGCACACTTATCGCCCTCATTGGAGCCTTCAAGACTTCATGGGTAGAGTCCCACCTCTCCCGCGATGGCTTGGGTTGGATCATCTTGTGGCGGCCATCAAGGGATGCAAATGATAAGCGCCCGAGGTGTGGTTGTTTGTTTGTTCCAGAAGTCGTTGGCTTGCGCTCTGGCCCGGGACAGCGACGCAGCTCGTCATCTCATGGTGTTCTTCCATCCGGGGACCGGTGACCAGCGACATCCACCGACTCACTGTCTGCCCACTGGGAAACAATTTTCATATCAATGATACACCAGGTCCATCTACATTGTGACTCGGTCGTATATCGAACTGGATGCGAATGTGGACCCTTGGGGGTCTTGCTCAGGAGGGTATCTTCCTAACTTCGCCAATCAACCAAGAGATTCTACAGGGGCCCATGCCTTGTTCTGTCTGACATGTGGGAAAGGCTGGTGGGCTAGGGGGTACTCCCGTGACATGCGCAACGACGTCCTCGACATCATTAGATGCTGCGGCACACGGCTATCTGCGGTGAGTTCTCGTTCACTTGCCATATTAGAGGATGCTTCTTGACGTCGAGATTGATCCAATAAACTTGGCTGATCTAGTCCAATGGTCTCACCTGACTGCACTATTCCTGTCTCTGAAGCTTCTGTTGTCCCCACATGTGAAGTGGCACCCTTCTTTAACAATCCACTTCTGACGTATCTTCGCAGGAGCTGTCTGAAGCTACTTACTGGGTTCTCTTTTAAAGCGGAGAGGCATGCTATTCCCCCACCAGACGAGTTCACATCTGCGGCATCATGTTCACGGCGTCGTCCATCTTTCTTCAAGCATTGTGTGACTCTGGAATTACTCATGCATTCGTGAACTGGGGATCGGACCACCCCGCGCTGCTTGCGGACTTGGAACGGCAGAGGTCAACGGCAACAGCTGGAAACGAGACGAAGCCCACCATTGTTACCTGCCCTAATGAGATGGTGGCGCTGAGCGCTGCCCAAGGGTATGCCCAGGTAACCGGAAAGCCTGCTCTCGTTATCGTCCATGTGGATGTTGGTACCCAGGTTGGTCGCTACCGTTATATATGGAAATCCTCGTCTAAACCATCTATCCGAAGGCACTGGCTGGCGCAGTCCACAATGTGGACAGATGTCGAGCGCCAGTCATTATTTATGCCGGGGCCTCGCCATTCAGCACGGAGGGTGAGCATAAGGGAACGAGAAATGAGTGGATCATGTGGCTTCAAGGTGAGTTGTTGGAATCAATGGACGATGGTGAAATCTAACTAGTTGCTAGATGTACCGGACCAACCCAGCATTGTCCGACAATATATGAGATATACTGCTCAGCTGAATAGTGCCTTGAGTATACCAGGGACGATCCGGAGATCGATCCAAATGTTCGTATCGTCGCAAGCCAGTCCACCACTGCACCGTGCTCATTTGCCCCTATTAGAGCAACAAGCGAACCGAAAGGGCCAGTATACCTCTGGGCGCGAAGGGAGGTGATGGAACAAGAAGTAGACCCTCTCCTGGTCAGAGAAATCACAGCCACAAATGCGGCTCAGAGTTGGCCCCCTGTAGAGCCAACTGCACTATCATCCACCGGTACGCAGTGGGCTGTACTCTTCTGCTACCGGCCACTTACCTGCATCCCTGTCAGCTGCTTCACGAATCGCGACGGCACTCCTGACAGCGCAACACCCTCTCATCATCACTTCTCACATTGGTCGAAACCCTCATGCTGTCAGCCCGCTTTTGGCGCTTTCGACCCTACTGGCCATACCCATCCTTCCCGTTTGTCCATCAGTCGTTTGTGTGCCCCATTCCCATCCATTTGGGCTGGCCTCAACGTATCTCAATTCATCTCCGAGCTCCAATGTCCCGTCCTCTTTGGATGAATCACCAGCTCCCGAGTCCCCGCACGCTTCTCGAGATCTCAATCACCTGGCCATGGCAGACGTCATCCTGGTGGTCGATTCGGACCTGACTTGGATACCGGGCAATGACCAACGCCCCGCTCCAGGGTCGCGTATCTTTTTCTTGGATGGTGGAGACCCTTTGAAGACGACTGTGCAGATGGGGTGGTGGAGGGGCGAGGCGGAGATGATCTGTAAAGCCGACGCAGAGGTGGCGTTGGGTCAGATCGTGGATGTCGTCAGGGAGGTGGATCAAAGTGGTCTCGTTGCGGAAGGAGAGGATGTGAAACGGCGAGCTCGCTGGCTGAAACGTGCCTGGCAGCTTCGTGTCCAGGACATGGACGCCGTCGAACTCGACTTTGCTAGCGCCGGGTCGATCCTTCCTGAAGAAACCCCAACTGATGGAACACCTGAGCCCTCATTTGGTGAAACCCTGAAATCTCCTCCCATTTACACCGTCCCGAACATCCTGCGAGCGCTGCGGGAGGGAATACGGGAGCTTACACCCAGTCGTGGAGAAAGAGTTCTCGTTCTCAATGAAACCATCACCAATTTCCAGTTCATTTGGGAGCACATGCGACCGGAGGTTCCGGGGAGTTTATTGACATCCGGAGGGTCCTCTTTGGGATGGGCTCTTGGAGCTGCTGTGGGAGCTTCCCTCGGTGGATCTCCCAAGCAGCCCCAAGCAGCCACTGCATCTGGCGTGACAGACGAAGGAATCACGAAACATGACCTCATTGTCGCAATCGTCGGCGATGGTTGCTATATGTTTGGAGTACCGAGCTCAGCATATTGGATGGCGATGAGGTATCAGACGGTAAGAGTTACAGTGGACAGGCGCATCTCTTTTCGACAGACCGCTGACTAGCCATCTAGCCCTTCCTTACCATCATCCTAAATAACGGAGGTTGGAAGGTAATCGTACCGCGTTTCTGACCTTATCAGGGCTAAATATTCCATGCTGTCTAGGCGCCAAAGCTTTCTATGTTGTCGGTCCATCCCATAGGCCACAATAACGAGCAACTTTCCAGCGTTTCCGGTGATACACTCACCACTGGGTTCGGTCCCATCTGCCCCGATTACTCTCAGATTGCCGTGGCAGCCTCTGCTGGCTGGGCATGGGGTGCTCGTGTAGGTGGAAGGACCGACGCAAACGGAGTTTTCAACGGGAACCCGGTAGCATCCATACTCAAACCGTCGGAGGAAGATGTCAGTCCAACACCTCAAGACGGTGGAAAGGCCTTGCTCGAAGACACGATCAGAAAAGGAATCGAGGTCGTGGTCAAGGAAAAGCGCTGCGCTGTAATTGACTGCTTTCTGGATGGTATCTGAATTAAAGGGATGGTACTCTGTAGGATATTGATTCTAGTGAGATGTAATTCCATAGCAATGCGTGATAATCCGTCTTCCTATTCTTTCTTTTTCCCCGCATCTTCCTCTCCTTCCCCACCCGTACCCAGAATCTGCACCAACGTCTGAGCAGAGTCATCTCTCTCCTTCGCAATGATGGAGGAAACGGTGCGACTCCGAGTCTGATCTCCAGACATTAATTCCGGAGGAATCGGTGGTCGAGTCTCGAGTTCAACGCCCTGCTCTTGCCGCTTCTTCACCTCTTCATCCTCCAGCGACGTCCTTTCCTTCGCATCTTGGGTCTTCCTCCAACTCAACCCTCCTTCATGACCAAACCAGGTGTATCGCTTGCAGTGAGGCCCGCGGATGAGCAATAGGAATATTTGTAAACCCATCCAACCAAGGTTCAGATACGCAGCAGATCTCCAGCCGTAGGTGACGAATAGGTGTGTTCCAACTGATGTTCCCATAACTTGTCCGACGAAGATCTGCGAGACCGTTAAAGACTGGACCGTTCTACTGCATGTTGGCACGTACCCCAAGAATCAAAACCGCATTCAATCTGGACCGAGCAGAAGCCGATATCCTTATAATTTATTTAGCGCAAGCCATGACCCTGTTTCGACAAGGTACTCACGAAAATGCGGCGGTGGTCAAGGATACTTGTAACATCTGGCGGAAGACATCGAGGCCAAAAGCAGTCACAATCACGGCGCCGACATTGATACCTCCTGCACCAGTCTGGATGCCTTGGAACAAGAGCGACATGAACACGCTAAACAGCGATGCGTACCAGGGCACGAGTCTGTCGATAACGTAGCCCACAACAGGTCCAAACGCGACTCCGGCCATGCCGATGAGACCAAAAAGGCCAATGACTAGACTGATTAGGAAATCGAAGAAGCACGTCAATCGCGACTCCCAGATGATAGGCGACAGGGACAGGGACTCACGTCGAGTAGTTGTAAGGAGGTCCACCAAGCAAAAAGGTGAGCGTGACCCAAAAGTTGGTGAAGCAGGCGCTGGAAGCCATGTTGACGAGGGTGGCTTGGATGAGGATGGGTTCCGTGACGGCAAACTTTCCCATAGTTCCGAGGATTTCGAAGTAAGTCAGGTCCTTGTTCTTGGACGGGTAATCCGGCAACATGAGGTAGCATCCGAGGAGCACGGCTGATTGCACGCTTATGGCAAAGTAATAGACCACTCTCCAGGAGGCAAACTCGGCGATGATACCAGCAAGCACTCGGGCCATCAAGATACCGAACAGGAGCCCAGATAAGACTACAGAGATAGCTGACGCTCGGCGCTCTGGCGGAGCGAGATCTGCGGCCAGTGGGAGGAGGACCTGCGGTGTGACAGAGACGATGCCGACGAGGAAATTAAGGGCTTGAAAGACGTGGAAACTATTTGTAACGGCCAATCCTATCGTTAGTGATGTAGAGAGCGTGACAATCGTCAGCATGAGTTGTCGTCGTCGGACAAGGTCTCCCAGCGGGGCGATGAGGAGTAGGCCGCAGGCGTATCTGACGTAGGTTCAGCTGAGATTTAGACTAGCAGCAGATTAAACGGACCCGGCTTGAACCAAGGTGGGGATTCTTTGAGAAGCATTAGCGAGTAGTCAAGAAGGAGGGCGAGTTCACCGACCGAGAAACCTCTCCATACGTCACCCGGAAGGAGTGAGAGAATTGGACTAGATGAAGATTGAGTTGCTGGCTGATACTCCGGAGCGATGGTGACCCATACTCAACAGTGGCTGGCAATAATACAGATTCGAGACAACTGAAAACAGAGAGCATGAGCGGCTGAACATGTAGCAACGAAACATAGACCTACCGAACGTGCTCGCAAACCCAAACGCGATATTCAAACCAAGGCCAAACTTGAACGGGATATCGGGATTGTAACGGAGCCTTCGTGGTATAGGGATTATGCCAAAATCTCTAGATAAAGGTTGGGGCTTTTCGGTTTGAGTGTCTTCGTCAACATCTTCGGTGGCTGGGGCCGTCGCGGTCGAAATTGTCGTTCTAGATTCCATCCTTCAACCAGCATGGGACAAAGTCGAAGTCGGAAGAGGGTAACTTGACGCCTGGGGAAGGCTGAAGAAGTAGCGCAAACGAGAAAGGAGAAGTGCTAGGCCGATACAAATTTTACGGCGTCCTGGATGTGCTCAAGATTACGAGCTCCGGGTACTGTTCCGGTCGTTTAGACCGCGATGGAACCATCGAAGAGGGAGGCGAATACGTTCCAAGTTGAAGCTTGAAGGATCGTGGGAGGAACATGGTGCTGTAGTGATTGCAGTCTTTCTGTGCTTACTAGGCGAGGCGTTGGTCAGGGTTGTGTGACGACCTTCGCGAAACATCAATCGAGGGCCCCAGGAGAGGTTCCCACGGATGCCCCTGACGATCCTTTCATCTGACGCCTGAACGCGTCCACGCTCTGACCAGCATCAAATTTCTCTCGCCTGCGCGTAGACCTCCTTTATTGATACAATGACCACAGGACAAAGCTCTCACACCGCCAAGAGGAAAAGGACGGAGGATGATAATCAAGGCGACAGAACGGGTGCCACTGCTAGTCGCCCTCAAGTTACCCGTTGCGAAGATTTGTGGTTCCAGGATGGGAACGTCGTCCTGCAGGTACGTCCAAGGATCAATCTCTCGGGACATGGAACTCGACTCTGACTTGGTACCGAGGCAGAAAACGTTCAATTTCGTGTGCATCGAGGCGTTATTTCTCGGCACTCCTCGGTAATGAGTGACGTGTTTTCGGTTCCACAGCCTGCAGACAGCGGCGAAGCCCAGGTGGACGGGTGCCCGGTGATGGTCATGCAAGACCTCTCCATGGATTGGGAAGAGCTCTTGCGATATATCTATGATGGGGCTGCGTGCGTTCTCCTCTAACATCCATTGCGATTTCGCTGACCCCGCTTGACTTGCAGCACTAGAAAAGGAGAGCCGCCCTCGTTTCGACTCGTGGCAGCCATGCTTCGCTTGGGACACAAATACGAGTTTGAGTCTTTCAAGCAGCAGGGGCTAGACCAATTTTCACGCCTGTTCCCTGCCTCCCCTACTCAGTTCGTGGAGGCGACTGAACATCAAGCACGCTGGCTAGCCAGTTCGACTGACTCTTCGATATGCGATGCAATAAACCTTGCGCTTGACTTGAAGCTCCAACGAACACTTCCCGCGCTCCTTTTCGTCGCCACCACAGAGCGTTACTACCCGGTAAGTACATGAGCTCCACAAGCAATTTGTCACCCCTACATCTCTGATATCCTGTGCAGAAAATAGTGAAAGATGGTTCCGTCAGCCAGAGCAACAAGATCACTAAGCTCCCAAACGAGGTCGCCCTGACTTTAATGTCCGCGCGGGAGCGCGCCTACGAAGGGGTGATGAACCATATTTACCTTCATTTGCTAGGTATTGGCACAGACACCCTACCTGCAAGAAGTTGTCTCCAACGGAGGACGTGTCCGGCCACAGTGTCCTCTCTTCGCCACTTTGTCATCAAACCTCCGTTCAAGATGAGCTGCTCCTTTGCGTATGATTTAAAGAAAGTTTGCAGCGATGGTTTCTGTTCGGACTGTATTCGCGTCGGTTTCTCCAAAGTAGAGGAGGGTCGTCAGAAGGTGTGGGAAGAGCTTCCCGCATATTTCGACTTGCCTCCCTGGGATAATCTAAAGAATTTCGACTTCTCTTATTTTACTCATTAATCAATCATTCCCGCAGTATATTGAATAGTACATTGAAGCGAGAATGTCGAGGTAGTAATGCAAACAGCTTTAAATCATATGGAGCCGGTGCGGACACCGAAGTTAGGCGCCCGAGGCGTGCCTGCGCACTGGTTCACATACATATTATGTAATCTGACGAACCAGCCCAACCCATCCATATGACGAATAAACCAGCCGCGATTGCGTGCTCGAGTGCTGGTCTGAGTTCGGGTCGGGCGACGAGCAGCATCTTTACCTGCTACATCTACCTCGAATGTTTCAAGACAGCGACAGCGAAGAAAGTATGACGGTGGAAACTTAATTTCTTCAGCTTCTCATCGACAACGATGAAGACCAACCAGAAATATCCTCTAGCCTTCCGGGCGATCCATTACTCTCTTGGTGAAGTGCGTGGATCTCCTTGGTTTCCTCAACACTGATTCTGCGAAATTGATGCTAACCAATCGACGCCCTATTAGCTTCCTGTTCGACCGCTGCAAGCTCGCGCCCTTCAGTTGTTGGCTGATGAAGGCATTCGGAATACTTGGCTTGGCATTGTGGACCGGTGTCCATAACGGGAATGGCCTCGACTGGGGAAGCACCAGGGAATAAGCGGCATCGTGACCTCCTGCATAAGCCAACACAACCGGGCGACGGCTCTCCAAAAAAGCGGAAAAATTCTGAGGGGTACGCATCAATTTCCATTCAAAAGACCTATCACGAAGCTAACCCACATTGTCTACGTTGATAAGGCACAAGCATGGCGCATCGAAACAGCTCACGAGAACGGAGTTCTCAGTCGGAAGCCACTGGGCCTAGCGGAGACGACGTTAGCCATTCAAGTCTACCCGTACGAGTGGAGCAATGCCCAAGAACACCCAGGCCGAGACCGAAGCATCTACACCGGATACTACGAAGACCATCATCACGGAGGGGCGGGGATAAACGAAGAGACCAAGAGAATTCATCCAGCGACAGTCCGTCCAGTTCTGACGTCTCACCGACAAGGAGACGGGAGTCGCCATGGAAGAGGTGGAAAAGGTCACGATATGCCCCAGTCATGGTTCTCAAGAACACTGCCAGCACCGCGAGGGACCATCTAGCCTCCGAGCGAACATATCTGGCTTATGTTCGGACAAGTCTAGGGCTTGCTGTTATGGGTGTCGGTGCGTCCCTTTGTCTCCTTGGCTGACGTCGAAACCTGATATCATTCATACCAGCTCTCGTCCAACTCTTCGTAATCACTGAAATAACCAATCCGTCGTTCTCCCAACACCCACCCGCCAATACTTTGAAGCTGCAACGGTTCTCTCGGCCACTCGGATCCTTGACCATTGCATTCTCGTTTCTCGTCCTCGTTCAGGGTAAGTTCGACGTGTCGCTCTTTCTTCGAATCTGACTGACGTCATTCTGAACAGGCGCTTGGAGGTACTTCAAGATCCAGTTTGCGCTCTTCGACGACAACTTTCCTATAGCTCGCCTCTCGGTGGCGGTTCAATGCTTCATTTTCGGAGCAATCATAATAACTCTGTTTGGTACACTTCTGTCGGGGAATTAGACCCAATATGATTATGAACACAGCTACTACTGGGGGAAGTGAAGTAGGCGACTGGAACGGGTATCTGGAAGGTAAGACACTAGCGTCTTCCCAGATACCTCGTCATAATACAGGTGCGCATAATCAACATCTCCTTCGTCTTGGTCCTGTGACTCCCACTCCCACTCCTCGACTTCAGAATCTGTGTCCTGGGATTCGTCCGTGTCATCGTCACCGTCATCAGAGTCAATACTCGAGGGCTGAACGACTTTGAAGTTATGGAGGTCCTCTGGCCACTGCAGGCGAACGTACAGTGTTTCCGCACGGCGATGTACGACCGTGTCGTATGAGCAAGCCCAGCGGCCACGGTTCTCTGGCTCGCGTCTGAAGGTCTTTGCGAATACATGCTTCAGGAGACAGGTGTCATCCTTGCGGGGAAATACTAGACCGAGGATCTCTCTACCTGTCGACACTGTGATCCGTGTCGACTCGTCAAAGTAATAGGGGCGAGAAGTCCATGGGATGTGAAATGACGCGGCCAGGCTGAAGAGCTTGAAGACTCGTGACACCGGCTCTGTGGGGGAGGTCAGGAACAAGTTGTATGTCTGGTGCGGCTCGATGTGGTTCCAAGCGTGCAGGCCTACTTCGCAATCGACGAGGGTGGTCAACTTCTGGTCAGGGAGAAGACTGATGTACTGCAGGGTGTGGTCAGTTCTTCGAGTTGATGCAGCAGAGTCCTGGAAATAACGTGCGTACAGTGCAGATATGGAGTTCGAGGGTGATGTACCGCACCACGGGGTCCGATCTTCCGTTCATCTCCTTCCAATCCAATATGGAGACGAAATGGGAAATCCCCTCCCGGAGGATGGCGTAGGCAACGGTTGAGGCGTACAACGAGCACGTGTAAACCCAGGCGCGATTGGTGGTATCCTCGAGGGGCAACCAGATTGATGAGAGTCGACTGGCTTCCAGATGTGGCGGAGCACTCGAATTATCACTTTCCCGGCGAACCTTGACCTCCCACACTTCTAATGTCCACTGTTGCTCGTTCCTTGCGGGACCAGATCTGGAGTCGGGGACTTGCACGATCGCCAAATTGCAAGAAAAGGTCTCTGTCGGTAAATATTCTATCCCGAGCCTCACGTAGTCCTTGGGTTCAGGGAATGCGATCAGGGTTTTCTGGGTGCACTTTTCGTCGTCGGACTCTTCATGTACACGATGGTACCGTCCTGCCTTGCGGTGATCAGCCACATCCCTCCAGGCATGAATTGCATCTGGTCCAAGTCAAGGTTGGTTTGAAAGCGGCGTTGAGGAAGTCGACCATCTGGTTGGGCCATTGGGATACCCTGCGTGTTGAAGTTCCGAGTGATTTTGTACCATGAGGAGAACTGGGTCTCTAATTCCGACTGGGAACACTTCGACAAGGGTTTTTCGAGATACAAGGACCTTGGTCGACGTCTCATATACTCCCTGACGAGCCGCACCCAAATCAATCGAGTTTGAGAGACTTCATGGAGCCATCGCGATACCTGCATCAGGGCAATGTAACCCATCACCAGCAGTAGTAGATGATGGAGGGTGAATACGTACCTTTCGAAGGTTAATTAGATCGTGTAGGTCAAGATTATCGATAATATTGCACCATATCTCCGAGCTCAGGGACTACAACGCGATTGAGTTCCTCACGCTTGGCGAATCAGACTTGAATGAGTGCCTCACCTGTGGTAGATCGTGCACCATCCCTCGACAGCGAGGCGGCTGCGAGCCCCGCCACTCTGGTGGTCAGTGGTCTGGGCAGAAATCTCTGAGGAGTGGCTATTGATTGGGTGGCTTGAAATAGCATTGTTTATTCGCATTGTCTATCATATGTATATTCTCCTAGGTCTAGTCGAGTGATGGGAGGGTGTAGAAGCCACTCCAAGTTGAGCATTGTAGGAGTCAGAAAGAAGCCAAGCATTGCATCCAGAGCTTCCTCAAGGGTTCTAAATGAGGTCGAATGTACAACAACATGTAAGGACTCGGAGACAGAATAGGTCCGTCGTTTCGATTGGTATAGCAAGGTGACTGAACCTTACTTCACCTTCGTATTTCCATAGTGGTTGCAAGCCACGGACGTAGTGCTATAGACCAGGGAGACTGCGATACGGGTGATGGGTCAATGTAATCATCATTGACCCCGAAATATGAGTAGATGTGCTCTCACGGCGATGGATTCGTTTCAGACGGATACTCACTGTATACCTACAGCCCCAGAGTATGTGTGCATTCACCGGGCCCGCCTGGGGTCCAATCCGCGCACTCAATCCCTTGCTCGGTTTGCATAGATCGGCGCGCCCCTATTTGGCATCCGCACAGCATTTTGACATGAGCCAAACTTATGACGTACGTTACCGTATGCATTCCTTTGTCGGTGGTTACAATCATCTGCCAGGCTTCACCCGTGGATAACTCGTTCCTGAAGGCGATCCATTAAATAAATACCAGAAAGTCTTCATCCCATCTTTCCCCAGCTTCCATCCGACCCGACACTTCTACCCATGGCCGCAGCTTCAGAAAACCCCCCACCTTTCGCCCCACACGTCGTTGAGCTCGAGTCCATCGAAGATGGCAAGATCACCAACGTTGCAGTGTACTCTGGACGCGCTGAAGTTACACGCCTCTTCCGCTTCGCCGTGAAAGAGGGCCAGAACCAGATTCATATCTCAGGTCTTCCCAATGTCATGGACCAGGATTCGCTACGGTGAGTCGGTTCCGAGCTCGGCGTTCCGACCCAGTCACCTCACCTTTTGCATCAGGGTCGAAGGTCGAGGGGCAGGAACCATTCAGGAAGTCTCAGTCGCGTACATCGAATCTACAACCAAGCCGACGACGTCTCCTAAGCTGAAGGAGCTGCTGCGAGAGAAGGAGATTCTCGAACAGGATTCCTACCGCGCAACACAAACCCTCAAGGCCTTGGAAGCGTATATCAAGACCCTCGTATCCAGCTCCACACCTTCGTCCAAGCTCAAAGAGGTCCTTGCCGATTACAATGCCAATACCAAGGAGGTCCAAATCGAGGCAATGTCCATCAACGACAAGATCGAAGCCGTGGAGGAAGCGCTGAAGGGCGAGAGAGCGAAGCTGGAAGGCAAGAAGCGGGACGCGAAGCTGAATATGAAGGCTTCAGTCGGTATTTTCGTTGAGAAGGCCGGGGACGTGGAGATTGCTTTGGTATACGGTGCGTGCTCTGCCTCTTCGCTCGAATTCAATCCTAACGCCTGGATAGCTGTCATGGACGCAAGCTGGCAAGCCAAATACGACATCCGGGTTGATACTCAGACTAAGGAGAAGACGGTTGCCCTCGTTTACAAAGGCTCTATCACGCAGAACACGGGAGAGGATTGGTCCGATGTTACGCTGGTCCTCGAGACGGCTACACCGACATTTGACAAGAGTGTTCCTCAGCTCTGGCCATGGACCATCTCTGTCGACAGAGGACTCCCGCCTCCCCAACCCGTCATGCTCAAGTCATCATCCTTTGCCAGGACCCTCGCCTTTTCACCTCCTCCCCCTGGCGCCATGGCCATGGCCGCTGCGCCGCTTCCAGAGATGGACGTTCGCAGAGCAGAGGTATCTTCGAACAGCGGAAGCGTTTCTGCTACCTTCACTGTCCCTGGCAAGATGACCATCCCCAGCGACAATGCCTCTCACAGTGTTACAATCACCCAACTCAACTTGGAAGCGAAGATGACTTGGGTATCCGTGCCCAAGAAGGATACCAAGGTTCATTTGAGTGTGCGTATTTCTGCAGGCGAATGCTTGGAACAAAATGACGAATCTCCTTTTTATTCAGGCCAAAATCAAGAACTCATCTGAGTTCCTCTTGTTGGACGGGCCTGCCAGTGTCTACGTCGATGGAAGCTTCATTTCGCGCTCGTTCGTTCCCTCCGTCAGCCCTGACGAAAGCTTCGACTGTCCTCTTGGGTATGTTCTCTCTTTCTCAGGTTTTCGATGATAGCTTACAATCGTCCCTAAGTCTCGACCCCGCCATCAAGGTTACCTACCACCCTCAGACCAAGAAGGTCTCCAAGTCCGGTCTCATCAACAAGTCCGATGTCTACCTCTTCACTCAGCGAATCACGGTCCACAACACCAAGAACATCGACGTCGAAACCGTCAAGGTCATCGACCAAATCCACGTCTCGGAAGACGCTACTATCGCCGTCAAACTCATCAGCCCTGCCCTACAGCTCCCTTCCGTCGAGAATGGCAGTGTTAAGAGTGGTAAGGGTAACAGGGCTAGTATTACGGAAAGTGGTTCTGGCACAGTTCGGATCCCTGCCCCTGTCAAGGTCGCTTCGGGCGTTACCGCCAAATGGGACGACGGTGGTGAAGACGAGGAGTCTGTTGACGCAGCCTCACTGGGCAAGGACGGCAAGTTGAACTTCATTTGCTCGCTACCACCACAGGGCAAGACGAACTTGACGCTACAATGGGAGGTGTCTGCGCCTGTCAAGACCAAGATTTCCGGACTCTAGAATCTCATCGATCTCGCCGATATTCAGCTCGATTTCAAACATTTACGCAAGTTTCATATTACTACTGCTTTGTCTACATATCTAATACCCAAATCGCATTTGCTTTACGACGAGAATACTGATACAGGTTTGATAGCCTAGGCAACCCAGCAAATTTAGCAAGGAGGATGGGCGATGACTGTAGAAGATGTCTTGAACAACTCGACTTCCTTCTTGCGACGGTTGGTCAACCCGTCGACGACCTTACCGCCAGCCTTGTTCCATCTCGGCAGCTCTTCGCCCGCGACGGTGTTAGGGCTATCACCCTTGTTCAGTCTCGAAATGAGGGTCGAGTCCTTGGCAGCCCCGCATCCGACGTTGAACGACCATGAGACCAAAGCTCCGTATTGGTTGTCGTTCAGCTTGATGGTGTCGTTGATGTAGTCGCTGATGCACTTCTCAAAGCCCTTGACGTCCTTTGCGAGTAGCTCCTCACCCTGAGCCTTGGTCATGGGGAACTTGTATCCGAGCTCGGAGCAGTCGTTCTTGGAGCACTTGTGGCCGTAACCGACGGTTGGGTATCCGGCGACGTCTTTGTAGGGCGAAGCGGCCCAGCCCTCGAACTCTTTGAGGAGGTCGAGCGTCTTCTTGTTGATGGCCTTGGGTGTGCAGTTTCCTCCACCGCCGCTTGCGGGCAAGCAGCACTTGAAGTTGGAGGGTCCGGGGCATAGTCCTATGTGGAGTAAGTCTGTCAGAACGGATCGTCAGACATCGAGGGGAGAGCGCAAGGGTACCTGTAGCGGTGTTCCCAGTAGAGCAGGTGCTCTCGAAACGGCAGGTCCCGCCGCTGCCGCACTTCTTGGTGCAGCATCGAACATTGGAGGGATCGTTCGGGCAATAGCCGGCGGTGGAGGTGCCACCGCCGTTGCTGCAGGTCGTGGTGCTGAGGCAGACACCGGGTGTCCCGTTCACAGAGCAGGCATCGTTAATGGCGCCCATGACTGAGGTGGTCAGGGCGAGAGCGATGAGTGTGGAGAGGAGAGTGGGCTTCATTGTCGCAGGAGGAGGTTTCGATGAACTGAGGAGACCAACTGAGTGTTCAATCCCTTTTATACCTTTTTGACATAGCTCTGAGGGCCTCGTCCCGGAGACGAGTGAGCAAAGCCAGCTTCGTGGAATGGTCCCTGGCGGTAATCATATGGACTTTGAGCGCGTTCCATGCGAGGCGCGCGCTAAAATTCCTCAGTAATGAGCATTCCGGCCGGACCAGGGGTTGCATTTCGTTCCTGTTTCTCTTCCAGACAACTCCAGCCCGCACTGTAGTAGGCGCTTCAAGGCGGCCTGACATGGCAGGTAACGCTATCAACTGTTTCAAACTGACATAAAGTGACTGATTCCGGTGAAGATCATTGGCGCATCTATCTCGGAGGCTCCAACAATGGTCCTTGGAACGTATGGCGAGTGGAGATCTTGCGGCCTGAGAGATGAAGAGATTTTTATCATTTCTTTGCTGCGTGGATGGCCCAGCTTGGCCCAGGTAGCGACCAGGACTACGGCATGAGCATGAGAGCGCCAATACAGTAATGGGCGCTTCAAGTTAATGGCCAGAGGCCACTTGGCTCGCGGTTGAGAAACATGGCAAAGTGAGCGTTAACGTTTGTATACTGAGCCGGCCTTCGATCCCACCGGTCAATCAAACTTTAGGGAAACATGCTCAAGGCCGCAGGGGCAAACTTTCATGATAGAACATCAGACATAATGAACAACGCACATGGCCCCTGTCACTGAGGGGCAGGGTACACTATCCATGATCCAATACGGATTCTGTTTCGAAGTCTGATTTTAAAAACATAGACACTGTGGTGACCTGCAACGATCTACACAATGTAAAGGCTGATCGGTATATCTCCGAGAAAACAGTTATTGACCCCGGTCAACTTCAAGCTGTGAATTCGGGTAACGGAGTTACTAAAAGAGGACGTCGCTTGAACGTGCCAGTAAAGCTACGCGAACAAGAAAAGCTGAGGCGGAAGGAAACTGGCAAATAACACTGAGGAGAAAGACTACCAGTTATTGTGACTACTGGTGCAATCGGAATATCTGTAGAACAGGTCCGAAGTAGCAGCGGTATGTGATCATCATACCTTAGGCCTTAGGTATTAGAGCGGGAGCCTGGGAGGCCACGTCCGCACTGTGGTAGTTTCGCGATTTGAGACCGACAATCGTTGATTTGATGGGCCTAGCCCATACTAGGAAAGGGATTTGGCACGGGCCTATGATCATAGAAAGAGAGAGCGTCTGAGGACGAAAAGGCACGCGGGATTGGATGTAAAGACCTACTCTGCCATCACCAAAAGGTACCTAACCATTCAATACAATGAAATATCGAGTGATCCTTCTTGTCACCCGGGATAATCAGACTACTGATCCAATGGACGGCCCTTCAATGGACGACGTTTTACTGAGTGAAATATACTGAAATGAAGCCGACTTGTTTAGAAGGTTCTAAAAGGTTCGCCCCGCGGACCGCCAAGCGAACTAGCGACGTAAAAGCCGGCCAGCCTGGCGGGTCATGACGTCACACCGAGCGAAGCTTGCTGCTCTGAAGCGAGGACTTTGACGGAAAGGAACAAAAATTCTCTGCTTTCATTAAAATGTTACAAAAAGGATCGCATCGAGGTAAGAGGATCCTCATACATCCCCAAACATACCAATGAAGAGCGAAGTTCAGCCATCATTTCGGCACCTTTTACCGAAGCCACCACTCCTTCGAAGGAAACACCTCTCCTTGAAAGGATGCCCGACATCACTTTATCTTAGGTACCTTTTGGTGATGGCCATGATTGCGTCCGAGCCCCCTGCCACCTCGCCATCTGGTGAGTCATCTTCATCTTCTTCTTTCTCAACCCTGGAACTTTTCAGTTCGTCCCAAGGAGGATAGCCAAACAGAGTCGGCAACTCCTTCCACAAAGCCTTCTGACCAGACTCGAATTGACGCTGAGCAGCTTTGTAGCAACTGTCGCACAGGCCTTTTCCAAAACTGTCCCTCCATGGACACAACGCATTCTCGATAGCGGGAACTGGGAGCCAATACTTCTTCAGCAGCCGCTCGAGTGCAAGTTTGCATTGCTTGTATTTCTGGCACTTCGAGGTTCCTGCTGGGACGGAGTGCGGATTGGACCACAGCCAAGCGAAGTTGTTCCTGGCCATGGAATGGTAGATTTTCTCCCTTCCTTTGACCAGAATCTCGAGGATGTCATTGTCGAAACGAGTCGGTTCACCGATAGCCGGTGTTATCGGTCCAAAGAGAAAGTTCTAATCAAAGTCAAAGGGATGGAGTTAGGTGCAGGGTAAGCGCATCCTTGTAGTTGCAAGGCAAATGTGCACTTACTTCAGAGTCTCTATGAGTTAGAGTGAGATAGAAGATAGCCGGGAGGCATCGTTCGAGCCCAAATTCGACAGCCGTCTTGACGATGTCGTGAATGGTCCACTGCTCGTTGAGGACAAAATAGTCTGACTCGAATTCGCTGGTAGTGCCAAGGTCGCAGAACGAGTCGTAGTCGGATGGAAAAGTTCGCTCGTAGAGATTGACGGCCTCCTTGTGCAGGTAATGGAACCCGTATTTGTCGCCCAGGACTAGCATTGCATGAACGAGCGCAAATGGGTATGTTGTGTTGGGGTTGAGATCCCTAAATCGAAGAGGTTTTGTTTTTGAACGCCGCTTTTCAGATGTAGATATGGCGTACCTGCGCGTGTTGTAGATAGTCCTGAGGCATTTCGTCCACTGTACAGTGTAGTCCAGTTCGTCATCGGAGACGTTTAGAATGGGGCATCCGCCTTCTCCTGTGTTTTCTGGGGTAGGAAAAGGTTGGGGCTTGGAGAATAATTCTTCAAAATAGTACGACTGCTCTGAGAGGACGCTTTTGTGCACTTTGAACAGGGTCTTTTCCACTTGCAGGATAATGTTGCCGTCGTCGTACCACACGTCCGAGCGTTTGGTCGACATTTCCATATCGATATCACAGGTTTCAACTTCCTCCTTGAGCTCGGAGTCTTCCTTCGTATCTTCTACCTGTGAAATTCGGGGGACTTGGGTGTCCATCTTTTGGACTTGAATCGCGTCGCGTTCCAGTGTGTGGGGCGCAAGAAAAGATGGGAATCCGGATTGATCGGTTGCTTTATTTGGTCCAAGCGCCCCTGTCTTTGGTCACCGGTCACCTGAAAGACGTTGGAAAGATCGGAAAGCACGTTCTTGTGCACTGTCCACTGACGTTTTACTAACATCAGATTGAGCCTGCTGTTGCTGCACGTTTGTCGGCGTCACGGTTTCCAAATGATGGCCCATGGAATTACTGGGGTCGAGTCTCGACTTGCTGCGATTCAAAGGTATCCTCCGAACCAATACGTTTGACAGTAGTATAATCCAACATTTCCGATGGTGGCAGATAGTGACAACCGGTGTGTCGTCCACAATCGAAGCCATGGACAAAGGGGCTTCTTTCGATCCTGCCACCAGCAACTTTTCATCCCGCGGCGTACCTGACATCCGTAGAGCCGGGACCTTCAGCTTAGACCCGCTGTCGCTGTACTGCTTCAATTCTCCTAAAGCTACAGTTGTGATACGCGTTCAATTCAAGTTCGCCACGCAATTTAACAACTTTAGCGCCCGCCCCTATTTAGGCTTAATTGACTCACGCGGATATCATGTGACCGCGATGTTCAATTTCGGCCTCGGAACCTTTCGCCAGCTTGTCTCAGTTCTCGACCGCGTTTCCAGCTCGAAATCCCCTAAACTAACGAAATGGGGGTTGCAGGACTGTGGGAGGTACGTCTCCAATGTAACTTTATTCAACAACTCACGGCAACTTATCACCTTTGTAGGTCTTACGGCCAGCGGCCAAACCACGATCCCTGACGGAACTTTCTGTCACCGAAGGCTTCCAACAAAACCCAGAGGGGGTTCGGGGCTATAGGCTGGGGATAGACGCCAGTATCTGGTTTTTCCATGCTGAGTATGGTCGTGAAGGAGAAAATCCCGTTCTGCGAACCCTCTTCTTTCGATGTGCCACCCTGATGAAGTCCCCATTCCTCCCATTATTCGTGTTCGACGGTCCAAAGCGACCAGACTGGAAGCGCGGTAGAAAGATCAACAAAACGCCTAGCAAACTCATCCCTGGAATGAAACAAATTGTGGAGGCGTTTGGCTTCGAACATCGGACGGTATGTTCTCGACCTATGTCAGCCCCAACTTCCTCATTTCAATCCCAAGGCCCCAGGTGAAGCGGAAGCCGAGCTGGCTTATCTGAACCGCATTGGAGCCATTGACGGCATTCTTTCCGACGACGTAGACAACTTTCTCTTCGGCGCAACGGCTGTTATCCGCAAGTAAGTCATGCATTCCATAGCCCGAGCGATTGGAGAGTAACGGCCCAGTCTCCTGCAGCCCGAGTAATACCCTGTCTGGAAACCGATCCAACCCCATTCTTAACGCAGCCGGCAAGGACGACAAGAACCATTCCTGGGTGTTCAAGATGTCGGATATCACGACCCATCCTCAGGTTGGCTTAACCAGAGGCGGCTTGATTCTCATCGGCCTACTGAGCGGGGGTGACTACCACCAAAGCGGAGTTGAGCGCTGCGGCATTAAAACTGCTGTCGCGCTCGCCAAGTGCGGGTTTGGGGACACGCTATATCAGGCAGCCACGAATCTCACCAAAGACCAGCTCCCCGACTTCTTGGACAACTGGCGCCACGAATTACGACACGAAGTAGCGACGAATTCTCGAGGGCTCATTGGCCGAAAGTCTCCTGCACTGGCAAAGTGTATCACCGACGCATTCCCGGACATAGACGTGCTCCTCTCCTATGTCAACCCCATCACCTCCGAATCTATGGGGCGCCCCTACTCACCACGAGACATCAGGTGGAATAAGGAGCCGGACATCGCCAAACTGGCCTACACCTGCGAATTCTACTTCGAGTGGGGTTACAAGGAGGCGATCATTAAACGCTTCAGGACGGTGATCTGGCATTCTGCCGTGCTTCGGATCCTGCGACGGGCAGTGCTCGACCTCGACGAAGGCATGAGGTCCGGACCAGCCATCCCATCAACCCCGTCTCGCCAGAGGATAGCCGAAGACGCATGCGGGACCCCGTCTAAGATGATCACCAAGTACTTCTCCTCGATGGGTCTGGATGACCGGCATGACCGCTCTGATGGTTCCGACGGCGAAGAGGAGGACGAGCGGTTAATCCTGAAGATTCATTCCATGCGCGAGCATGCATCCACCGATGGACTTCTCGAATACCGACTCGAGGTCAACCCTGGACAGTTGGTTCGAATGGCGGAGTCTGGTATTCAGGGTCTGCGGCAACCAGAGGGGCCAGATGAGTGGGCTTCCGAAGATGACGGGGATGAAGAGGGAGGGGGGAAGGGATCCAAAGCACCCGTGGATCCTTATTCCCACATGCGGCTTTGGATGCCCGCGTGCATGGTGAAGTTGGTTGAACCCAGGCTCGTACGAGAGTTTGAAGAAGAAGCCGAGCGGAAGAGGTTGAAGAAGGCCAACAAAGGGCAGGGGAGGAAGAAGAAAACGACGACGGCTGACGACAGTGGGTCGAGTCCACCCAAGCGGAAACGCGTCACCAAGAAGAAAGCTGCTCCTTTACCCTCTTCGGACGGAGAGGAGGAGGATGACGCTCTACCTGTTCCCAAGCCCAAGGCAAAGGCGACGAAGTCCACAGCTGTGCCGTTGGCACTGTCGTCAGACTCGGACTCGGAGGGGGAACTACCGTCGCCGTCGAAGCTGTTCTCCAACGCCAAACCCTCCACCTCGAAAGTGCCAACCGCCAGCTACGATGAGAACGACGTCTTCTCCGCACCCTCGCCACTGCGTAGGGCAGGGGTGAAGGATCTGACGAAGAAGAAGGGGCCTAGTTCGACACTCGATGTACATTCTGGCACCACAGCGACTTTGACAGCCTTTTTCCCTCTTACGAAACCGTCTGCCAAGGCAAATGCTACTGCTAAATCCAACCTCACTGCTTGCCCTGGACCTTCGACCAGCAAAGCTCGAACCAACGATGGGTCATCACATCGTGCGCCCGCTCCTTTCCCACTGTCATTTGACGATTTTGGAGGGATGGACAACCCCATTACTGATGATGTTTTCGCGTCGTCACCGCCCCCCACCCTTTCCAAAGCACGTTCATATCGTGAACGTTCTACTTCTGCATCGAGTTCGACTTCACAGAGCCGGGTCAACAAGTCCCCTCGCAAGTCGAGATCACAGCGTTCGCCAACGGGCAAGTCGGCGTCCGCGTCCACTTCAGCACGCTCCGAATCGCCGACGCCGTTACATACTTCTATGAAGGATCCCTCTAGTAGGGTCCTGGTCTCGAATAACAGACCACCAAACGGCAAGGCTGTTGTCGAATTCAAGAACCTTCCGGTTATTGAGATTTCGTCATCGGAAGATGAGGAAGACGAACCTGCTCGACCCCCCGCTCCAAGGCTGCAGCCTGCTAAGGCTATCAGGCCGAAGGAGAGGGAGTCGGCTGGGACAGTGGCGGGTACGGGATCGGCGCGTAGTGGGAACAAGTCGGGGAAGGAGGAATCAGTCGTGGAGGCGGTGAGGCCCTCCACTCCTCCGCTTTTGAGGGCGAGGGCTAGGGCGAGAGCAAAGCCTACCAATGTCGTTGCAGTAATAGATTTGACGTGAGTTGCAGGTGCGATTTTATGGCTCGATTTTGGGACTGCTACCGTATACATCAGGGGATTTCTATTCGTAATGTATTATAAACTATGACTGATAAAAATACAGCTGGGTATGACAATGGGTGTAGGCTACATAAGATGCTTGGAATTTCGTTCTTGGAGAATTTCTTTCAGCAAGACGCTCTCTTCACGACCCATTCGATTCTTGTTGAAGGACTGCGCAGAACCTCTCCGGTCCAGCGTTCGATAGCAGCGGCAAGCTCGGTGCCTGGGACACCGTCGATCCCCCACGTCTGCTGGACGATGTACGTGTTGGCGTGGTCTGGACCTCGGATCTTGCTTTCTCCCCCCTTGATAACGCTGTGCGGATAGTTCTTCGAGAGCTTGAGGCCAAAAACTGTACCGACGATCAATTAATCGCCCAAGCGTCGTGGAAAGGAAGAGCAACGTACGGTAGTTAAATTCGAGCCCCAGATCAATTGCGCCTTTAGGCACCGAATAGTTTCGTGGTGCTACAACCCAGGTGCACTGAGTTGCTTCCCCGCGCTCTTCAAGGTCTGCGACGGGGTTCGTATACGTCGTCGTCGTGTATGTGGTGGTCATTGTACCGGTTGTGGTCAAAGTATATTGGAAGGCGATTCGGACAGGGTTTTCTTGTGTCGAGTGAGGAGTCGTGGTCATGAACTTGGGATATTAAAGTATGGATCTTCGAACTATGACGAAATATGATGTTGTATTGAGTGCATTCTGGGTGGAGTAGTGCGTTGGAAACTTTGTCTCCAACTCTTTCAAGGGTGCGGGTTGCGGGTCGGAGGAGTTGACATCAGGTTTGCATCGAAGCTGAGTCAAAGGAGAAAATACGTGGAATACAGAGGAGAGAGATGACCCGTTGGAAAGGCGGACTGCATCGTGTCTGTGACTCGTTCGACCTTCAAGAGGATCTCATGAATAAGCGCTCAGTCGGCAATGCCGTGCTGCCGTTTCCTACTGTGTTGTTCCGAAAGGCGCCTTGAGGGCGACGCTTAAACACGAAGTTGGAATTAGCCCATGTATCCATCATGATATCGGGCCTCCTCACTTCCCTTCCTCACAGCAGATCTTATTTAGCCCTTCTGGATATTGACCTCGGCAGCCGGCTTGAACTGGAAATACTAACGGCTCGGAGCCAATGGCCTTCTTACGGTTCGCCATTGGATGGCTTACCGGAAGAAGAGCCGTTCAAAGATCGTGACCTGCTTCTACTTAAATAAATTTGTAGCCGACATCTCCTGACTCCGCTCCTCCCCAGGCCAGACTCCTCTCCACTCCCATATCCTTTGACCTTGACCCCAGTCTTTACGAAATTTGGACTTAAGAGCTGGCGCTGAGTCTTTAACAATATACCTCTGCCGCTCTACTCCAATTCTGAAGTCGCTGTTTCGTTTGGAAAAGACCACCTCGGTGATTTGGGGTCGACATCGAAGCTACTATGCCAGCTTGGGGTATCATAGAGTTACCGGAGCGGAAAGACACCAATGACGACAACTCGTCCAGACCGGCAACCAAAGCTACCCTATCAAGGTCTCTGACTCCAACCTCGACCCTTCCTGCCACTTTCGACATTGAACATGCTCCTGTCGAGAATGATCCTCGACAATGGTCGCGAGTGCGAAAGGTGCGATGGTTATCATGTTCCACTTTGCACTATTGCCTACATATGCTCTAACCAATATACGCACAGAATTTAAGTTTACTGCTGATAGCTTCTGCTTCCATGATCGCTGGTCTGGCGGCTAGCATCCAGAATCGTTCGTATTGAACTCTGAATAACGACGAGGTCCTTTGTATCTGACATTATACCAACACTTAGCGGCGATACGAGAAATGGAGACGGAGCTGCCGGCCACCAGCGGTCAGTTCAGCCTGAGCATTGCCTTGTTCATTCTGCTCCAAGGAGGCATGCCGCTTTTTTGGTCGGCCATAAGTGAAGTCGAAGGGCGAAAGGTAAGTTTCAACATTTCAACTGGTCGAAACTTCGTGTTTAAATTCTCTAAGCTTGTCTATATAGCCTCTCTCTTCATATTCATGGTCGGATCCATCATAGTTGCAATCAGCAGCAGTATCGGCCTGTAGGTTTATTCGAGACTCGTCAAGGGGGCGCAGTTGCTGACCGAGGGTCCGAGTGCCTAGGGTTATAGGGTTTCGATGCGTTCAGGCTATCGGGTCAGTCGTTCCGTGCGTTACTTAGTGCGCTTGTATTGACTGAGGGCTTTCAAATAGGTCGAGCGCTGTAATCGCCATCGGAGCTGCTACCCTCGCTGACATCTTCGAACCAGCAGAAAGAGGAACAAAGGTGAATTCATTCATTTATCTGGTTACTATGACTCTGGTCGACCAGTAACTTGTCCATTCTAGATGGGAATGTACTATATGGCCCCTCTTCTGGGACCAGCACTCGGCCCTATCTTTGGGGGAGTGCTTACGAGCGGCTTCAATTGGAGGGCCATCTTTTGGTTCTTGACCATCGTGTCAGGTACTAGCACGGTCTCGTTTGTCTTGTTCTTCAAAGATACTTTCCGGAGAGAACGAAGTCTTGTTTATCAAAACGCTCTCAAGAAGAACGCTTCGCAGACTGAAAAGTCTGCTCGTCAGGACTCCGATCCCGGGAAGGATGCAGAGAAAGCGGTCCCAGCAGTGACATCCGCACAGGAAATCAGACCATCGATCACAGACGTCAACCCCATTCAGCCTATCTGCATGGTCTTGCGGCGAAAGAACAATCTGGTAGTTCTGGTTGCGTCGGGTGAGTATTCCCGACAGCCTTGCTATACTGTGTAGTGCTCATAGTAGTTATCTGCATACAGGACTCCAATTTGCATTCGCATTTTTCATTCCCTACACCTCTGCTAGAACGCTAAGCGCCAGGTACGACTATGAAGCATTGCATATCGGTTTGGTGACACTCTGCTACGGCGCTGGTAGGCCTTCTACCTGAGCTTTGACGAGATATATTGAATCTGGTTCTCAGGCTCAATAGTTGGAAGCCTTCTTGGAGGAAGGTGGTCCGACTACCAACTCGCTCGGCTGAAAGTTTTGAATCAGGGTGTTTCTCAACCAGAGGTCGCGCTTGTTCAACTCCCGATTATCTATCCTCTGGTGCTAACTTTAGCCTTAACAGATGAGATTATACAGTACGGTTCCGGGTCTCATTTTACTTCCTCCTTTCACCGTCGGTTTCGGATGGCTATGCGAGAAGCACGCTCATGTATCCGCTCTGTGCGTGTTCTTATTCATGTGTGGTTTCATGGCAGTGTGAGTGGCACATTCTCACAACAGGTCACTTTTTGACGCTCGATTGCTTCCATCAGATGGGTCTATTCGAGCACCTTGGCCTACGTCGTTGATGCTAATACTGGCCGATCCTCAACGGCAACAGCGACGAATAGTGCATTCCGGGGATTGTTTGCTTTCATCGCGACAGAGGTCGCTGTCCCAATTCAAGATAACTTGGGTGATGGGTGGACGTACACGATATGGGGTGGACTTCTTGTGCTCGTTGGTGTACTGCTCGTTCTTGTCCTGAAGAAAGGAAGGAATTGGAGGGAGACAGGAGAGGCTTCTGAACGGACGTAAATCGTTCCGATGTGTTCTTAGAACTGCGGAGTAGGACTGGTTGCTATTATATCCTCTCAACTGCATGGAATAGAGTCATCAGGCGTGGTCATATCCGGAATGCAAGCACCCCTCGGCAGCGCCAGTATGGGCGCTTAAGAGCCGGTCACGTGTTAGCTTGGTAAAGTTGTGACGTCACAATTCGGATTCCCAGCTCTAGGCCCGGATCCAAACAGGGTTATTCGTATTTCTCTTCCGCTCTTTCATGGCGCCTGGGAGGATTTTTCCGTCGTCAAACATTCATGGACTTGCACCACCACATTGACGATCCTAACCTTGATCGCGACGTTGAGGGCGGTACCCTGACGCCGCCCCCGACGCCGGCTTCAACCCCAGCGCACAGTCGTTCTCCTGCACCACGGACACGTCGTCGACCTCTAGATTTTATTGGGAAGACTCACTCCCCCTTGCACGCTTCCCACTTAGGAGGCCTAAGAAGAAGGGAGAGTAGTGGATCAGCGTCTCGTACAAGGGAAGAAGGGACGTCGGAAGTGGAGGACGATGCCGAGGGAGAGACAGTGATACCGAAAGAGCGAAGTGGGAAGGGTATAGGAGACCGGTTATTTCGCCGACAGGTTTTCTTGAAGCGCGAAAGGCGGAGGCGGAGGAGGAAGGACAGGGAAAGAGAAGAGGCGCTCAGAAGGAGTGTCATTGACAAAATCAAAAAGTCTTACTTTAATCCTGGGCTCGTTCTCGAAAACTCTGGTTCTGTTGCTCGAGACCATCTGGCAACCGAGAGGACCTATTTAGCATATGTTAGAACAAGCTTAGCCCTTGCTTCCATGGGCGTAGGTGAGTCATGTGGCTTATGGGCGCTATTCATTTCTGACTTCAACACCTATTTAGCGCTCACACAATTATTCACGATCGGGGACTTGACAAGTCGGGCCACCGGGGTGGAAATTTCGCCTGCGACTCGAAACGCGGCGCGTTTTGCAAGGCCGTTAGGTGGTGTTACTATTGCTATGGCTTTTGCGACCCTTCTGCAAGGTTTTTCCATTCCATCGGGGCTCGTGTGGTTATGCTGACCTCGGATCTTTAGGATTGTGGCGCTTTTTCTATATTCAATTCCATCTTCCAACTGGGTTCTTCCCAATGGCGCGCATGTCTGCTGCGTTTACTGGGTTTGGACTAACTGCGGTTATAGTCACGATCTTTGGGGCTATTCTTTCCGGCAGGACTCACGACTGACGCTACTTGCTTCTCACCGACGCAACTACGACACCGTCCTGCGAACTGGAACCGACTGGGACATTCCTTCAACGATATTTTTGGTGATCAGCCTGGTTATTCATATACCTATCCAATACCTATCATTCACGGTAATCGTCGGTTAACCCCCAAGAATGATGTACACTAGAACAATACTCCGCCACTAATCAACCTCAGCGTATCGTGTGTAGGAAAGACCATTCCCCTTGCGACTGGGGACTAATCAGCTCACGATGATGCTGTGTCCAATCGTAGACGCAATCAACGGTTCCGTTATGCTCGACAGCATTGCCCACAGTGGCCATAACGACGATGGGGGCGAAGGAGGGGAGGGTCTTTGTTAGGAAAGCGGTTGAGAATTGGAACGGATTCGAACTGACTTTCATAAGGCTCGTTGCGAATGTTCTTTTTCCAAGTGTCCAAATACTGTGTCCCCACATCGCCGAGCGAGTATGTTTTACTGTTCTGCGATCACTCGATACTCTAGGCAGAATGAGGTCTCACGGAAGGCAGTGATCGCCAGGGCCTACCGTAGTAAGTTTAGTAACCTTATGCCAGGACCCTAATTCAATATAGTCATGGCGGCCGATGCGGCCAATCGTCGAGATCATTTGACCGGAGACTTACCAAAAAGGTCGTTGCACTTTCCTATTATATTCGAGGATTGCACTGACAGGCAGTTCAATCAAAGGAATCGAGACCAGCCGCCTTGGGTGGCTTATTGAATTCTTGAGATTACGGTATAGTTCGTTTCTTCTCAGCAGGGCCTACCAAGCCGGAGTTTTCGCGTTTTATAGTATTCGCGCCTGTGTTCCACAGGGCTACTTCTGAATCCTGGCTGCCCTTCGGCACGTCTTTTAATCGGACTGAATGAAATTCCCTACATCGACAAAGTCACGGTACATGGAGGCCGACCAATCATATCGGGGTCATCAACAATTCGTCAACACTCCTAATGACGAAGTACTACACTGGGTACAGTCCAAGATCGATTCTGATTACTAAAAGCGCGAGTCATTTAGCAGGAGACATTGGTCAAGATGTAATCAACACCGCTCCAGGGGCCGGAGAAGGTCTGGCCAAGCCATCCGTTGATCTCCGCGAGGAGGCTCGCAGTGGAGATGGTGGGAACGTCGAAGAGCTGCTCGATAGTGTAGGCACAGCTTTAGAAAAGGACATGTGAGAAATCGAGATATTTGGATACTTGATCTCATTCAAACGGTCTAAGTGCAAACTACATAGAAGAATCGCATACTTGTTCATGGCTGGCATGGTACTATTATAAAAAAGCAGGATGCAAAGGACAACTGCTCTTTGACTGTATTTTCCTGTCAAGTAAATCAATCGTCGTCTAAAGGGAGGTGGCACCCGCAGAGTCTTCGCTGTCATGACTAGCCACAGGCTTATCATGCTTGAAGGTCCCATGCACTTTCAGGTTTCTTTTGTATTTGGTCATGAGTTTACAGCCGGGAAACTGGCACGCGAATAGCTCGGCATTGGGATCGTGTATGACCGCATGATTTTTCAGGCTCGCTTTGTGTTTTGTTACAAAGCCACAGCCAGGAAACCGACATGGGAGTTGTTCAGAGTTGGGATCGTGGACGACGGCATGGATTCTCAGGTTCCCTTTGTGTTTTGTTACAAAGTCGCAGCCAGGAAACTGACATGCGTGTCGCTCAGCGTTGGGATCGTGCACGACGGCATGTGTTTTCAGGTCACTTCTGTACCTGGTTGTGTAATCGCATCCGGGAAACTGGCATGCGTGTCGCTCAGCGTCGGGATCGTGCATGACTGCATGGATTCTCAGGCTCGTTTTGTGTTTCGCTACGAAGTCACAGCCGGGAAACTGGCAGGCGAATCGTTCGATGACGGCGTTCGGGCCGTGCTCACGTCGTTCGTGAGCCATTAGTTTCGACAATTTCTCGAATTCTTTACTGCATGTGGCACAGACGAATGACCTTTTCGGTGACATGATGCTGCTGTGTGCCAAGGGCGGTAGCTGAAGTCGATGTTAGGTTTCGAGCGTGAGGACAGAACATGGCACCGCTCTTGACTTTTATATTATATAATTCTGAATGGGTGGTTTGACCTTCAGTATTGCCGGTAATCTGTGGGGACCATCGATTTCCAGCGGTCCAAGTCAAAGCGCTCTCTTGGTCACTGCGTCGCTTGTAAGCGCCCACCAACTAGGGAATTCAATAATCCGTGAGGATCGAACGTGTGGCCTCCAGAGATAAGATAAAATGCATATCTCGCCCTCCAATGGAATGGACCGCCACCACCTCCGTCCCCGCTGGTACGGTGTGGTACCCACTTGGAGCTCGACTGGAACTACCACAAGTCTCACTACTCTCTCACGGACGTCGTCTTGAGTCTAACTTGAGTCTAACATCCCCGCTTTCTAGTCATCGACGCAAGCTTGCCATCAACGATAACGGTTCCGGGTTTCAAGGCCATCTATTCCTCCAGCTTGCTCCGACAGGGACGACAACACCGACCCAGAAGCTCCAACAAAAGGTGGAGAAGAAGGAAGGTAGTGTTGTTCTCCCAGGCGCGGATACACCATTGTAGAAACGAAGAAAAAGCGTGAAATTAAGGTATCACAGAAGATACACTGACCTAATCTCCTGCAAGTACGGAGAACCAATGTCCATATGCACCTTGCAGGGATAGAGTGATAGTGATAGGTAGATAAGAGATCGAGTCGATTAGCGCTCGGACATGCTGGCGAGATAATCTGAGAGCTAGATGAAGATGAATAACCGTGAGTACACTCGCCTTGATCACCCGAAGAGAGAGGACTTACCTTCAAAGCACCAGTCCTAAGGCTCTCGGCAGCATTCTGGACATCAGGGTTCGAGAGGACCTTAGCGATTGCATCCTTCGCAGCATATTCCAGGCCCGCTAAACTTCCATCACCCAACAAACCCTCCTGAGATCGCTCAAACTCTTCCTCCTCATCCCTGCCAAAGTACTGACTAGACGAGATGGCACTGGCACCCTGGAAGGACTGGAGACGTGTCTGTGCTTCCCTGACTGCATCAGGGTCGTAGTCGTTCCTGCCAAAGTACATATCCGAGGAGATCGCCTTCTGGTTTCCGAACCTATCGCGGGCTGTGGTGGGCGCGTCATCAACAACCGGTGCTGACCTGCCAAACAGTTAGATCGAAAAGGCCGTGTTTGCAATCATGGGGGGTTCCATACCTGGTGGCAGGGGCGGCGGCAGCAGCGACGGCAGCGGCAGCTCCAGCTCCTGGGATGGCACCAAAGCCGAGCCTAGGGAATGCGGCAGATGCCCTAGGATCAGGGGACTTCTTAGCAGCGCTGGCGGTCGATGGTGCGGATGACAGGCTCAACGCAGCGGTGTTCTTTGCTAGTGCAGCAGCAGCAGCCTCTGCTTGCTTCCTCGCCTTCTCCTCAGCCTCCTCCCGTTCTCGATCGTATCCCAACTGCTTGATACGTTCTGCCTCCGCGAGCGCCTTGCGCTCCGCCTCTTCGAAATCTACGGGTTTCGCTTTGGTCGCGCCTAGTCCCAGCTTGGATTTCTTCGTGGTAGAACCAGTGGATGAAGACGATGTGGCTGCACTGAGCCTGGTTGCACCCAGGCCGCCTTTGCGAGCGGCGGGTCTGATCGCGGACGAGGAGATGGTACGGGGAGCAGCGGGTGCTGCCGAAGTGCTTGCTGGTGTCGAGGCTGCTCGCCCGATAACTGGTGGGGTGGATGTTCGGGGTGTACCTGGCGCTGAGGTCTTAGGGGTCGTTGGTTTCGACCAGGATTCGAAGAAATCATCTTCCGCATCGTTCGAGGTTGTCGCGGCAGCCGCTGGGGCTTCCATTCCCTCGACAAAGATGCCTTTGGGATATCTTCGGGAAACCTATTAGCTTAGAATCTTGAATTGATAACTGAAGAATTAGACATTACTTTGCAGTATCTTCCTTAATCCTGCGCTCCAATTCCTCCTTGTACAACTCTGCAACGCGGCTGGAATACTTCTTCTTCGAATCTGAATCGTGTAGTAACGACGATCCTCCATGTTTGTTGAAGAATTCAGTGGCAGATGCATTCCCGCCCACTTTCATTCGTCGTAATTGGACCAATTGCCAACTATCGAGATTGGTTGACCTAGATTAACCAGTTGTGAGGCTGACCTGAACAGTTCTGGTTACAAAATTGGATCTCACCTCACAAAACTGATATGAACACCCATATTTCGGTGGTTACTTGAACATTCCAAGCAAATGTAAACGCCAAACGTTACACTTGACCATGTCGGGTTTTTGGCGTTGCAATCGAAACAAGACTATCATTTTCTGGCTTGAGCGAATTCAGAACCAATAACAGGTCAAATACAGCATACCTTGTTGGCCTTTTGACCTTTCAAGACCTTGAATACCTGCTCAGTCTCCTGTTTTGTCGGTTCTGCCATGGTTGCTGTCGTGGCCTAATCGTGGCGATGGTTAATGGGTAGAATTCATGATCTGGAAGCTGGGTTTGAAAATCATTGATGCCATCACTTGCCGCCAAGGCACAGGTCTGGCGACCAAGTTCGAAACCTGCTTGTTCCCAACCTTCACCGACGTCCGTTTCTCTTATGGAATACACTGCCAGGCAACTGTATTCTCATGGGTGGCATGAAACGTACAACATGTTGACTGTGTATTAAATGCCAAGAAAATGCTTGTCCACCTATCAAATTTAAACCTCGAGTTCGACAGTCGGTCAGTGAATTTACACTTTTCCAGAGACTGCACTTCCATTCCAGCTTCATTAACACTTTAACAGTCAGTGTACACACAGTTTCCGACTTGGAACCGCAAGCTCAAGCCTCGAGTCTGACGAAATGTGCATGGTGGCGTGGTACACTGACCAGAATACGCCACCAAGTCCTGAATCCCCAGGAGGTGCGTAGACGCCGTCGAGATGAAGCGAGACCATCCGATACTTGCTCTCTTTCGAAACTTGGAGTGTGTGCCATTTCTGCTGAGAGGACAAAAATTGGGATGTGTTACGCGTCCACAACCTGGTGTAGGTCGAGCCATCCCTAATCTACCCATTGGCGACACTCGCTGGTCGCTTTCCACGGTCAACGTGGTCATCGTAAAGTCACTCGTAACATGGGTCGTAATCCTTTCCGTCACGAGGTAATTTCCGTTCGTAACATTACCCCTCACCTGCTAACTTGCTTAACTTTACGGCTTTCAGAAGCGCTGCGTTTCAAAGTTCACCCTGAACGAACAACCCGGTAAGCAGATAATATTGCTGTCGCGGAAGAAGTAGATCACGTCCGCGGTGCTTCAGGTTCTCCATTTACAGTTCCGCACAGGAACACGGCGGAGTTCGTTCGTTCTGTGAGAACTACGAATGTCCTCCTGTACCTTTCCTGTCCAGGTTCCTGAGCGGAACCGAGTTACTATTCGCCGTGTGCTCGATCTGACTGTCTGGCGGACTTCTCCGCTTTGTGTTTTCCCCCAATGACGAGGCGAGTGTTCTATTTTCACCCCTGTTTGACGCGATAACGGGTTTCTTTGCCCATTAGGCTGAAAGTTCAGGGAGATTCCTCAAGCCCGTTGTTCATCTGTGCTCATTCGCCTGATGTGAGTTGGATGTGGGCGACGGGGACTTTACCTTTGGGGTCCCTGTCGAAAAGACAACACTCTCCCTAACGGCACCTGCCATTCATGGCGTCCGATGACCATTGTCCTTGCACTTGGCCCGTCGATTCATTCCCTCCAGTGCCTCGCAACTTCGCCGTCGCAGACATGCAGGGCCTGGCCATGTACCACAGCCTGCATGTCAGATTACCTTCGGGTGGGAGCGTTCTACGCGGCCAATCGGACGAGCAGGCTGTCACCGCACGCAGGGGTTAGAGTTTTAGGCCACGCGTTTTCCTCCGGGAAGCAGCTGATGTCTCCGTGGTGGCTCCTATTTATAGCACAGTTAAGCTTTGGACCCACAACCTCCCGCCTACAGGTTCCGTTCTCTGGGATTTAAGCGCCCAGCAAGCCTCTTGGTCCGCGAGGTTAGGCTCATTTGTAAACGCTATCGCCGTTTCATTCTCGACGTCAAGTCACTTCTGGAGTTTCTTGTTCCAAAGTTAATGTCCGCCAAAAGCAACCCGGGTCCAAGGTGAAAGCATGGTTGCGCGCCTTTCGTGCGACTCTTCTCCGACCGTTACTCCATCACGTTTTCTCCAGAGGAGTTATGCAATGAGGCTCGAATCCATTGCAGTGCATGAAGAGTGTTCCCGCATCCTTTGTCCTCGGCGACAGTTCTATTTTGAGATTGCATCCAGTGGCTATTGTGTTCCAACTCCGCAAGTTTATTCGCGTTGAATAGGAGATAACGCTTCCTCAGAAGGCTTCGGATAACGAGCCGGCCGTTCTATTGACTAGTCTCCGATAGACGCTCGACGGCGAATTCAAGAATGAGCAAGGCCGCCGAGGCCGGAGAATTGCACAGGGTTCAACACACGCCTTGATCAGCACGGTGGACTGACGCGGTTCAGGACTGAACTTTCACTATCAGTAATCACAAGGCCCGAGCAGTCCTTGATCCCCTTCCCTTCGTTCCTCCTCTAACGGGCTCAGACCTGTCAGGTGAGTCTCGTAAAGGGCATAGTTATGACTGCTGCTTACGGTCCACGCACTGGGGAGCCAGATCTGCACCAGTGCTGCAGGTCGACGATGGATTCCGATAACGAGCTCCAATTCCGGCCTATCGATGCAAAGGACACCATTCCCCTCCGTCATTCTGTTCTTTGGCCAGACAAACCCATCTCCCACGTTCTCCTGCCGGAGGATCAAAATGGTGTTCACCTTGGGGCGTTTTTACCTTTGCATTCAAAAGACGAGGCTATCGCCGTTATCTCAGTCTTTGTTGAGCCACTCCCCATCGATGGAGATGGAGACGGCGATTTGCGATCAGAGCAACATCCGCTTCATCATGATGATGATAAACCAGCGATCCAAGAACAACGAGAACCGTGTCCACTGACGCCACAGGATAATCCTACACGACGGGCGGTTCGATTTCGAAAGTTTGCGTGTCATACTGCGTTCCAGGGACGCGGCGTGGGGACACGACTATTGGAATACACAATGTCCGTAGCCCGAGCACAGTTAGGGGCTTCGGTTATTTGGTGCGATGCACGGGTATCGAGCTTGGAGTGGTACAAGAAACGAGGACTATCGCCATTCGGAAGCACGTTTTACAAGTCGCATGTCGAGTATGTTCGGATGAAGTGCGATTTATAGATAGGTCTTCCCGTGATATCGAGATTGCAGTGGATTTGTAGTTGTCTCTGACTCTGAGCTAAAGCGTCCTCCCATGAGCTTATGGTCATTCAGATTTCCTTAAAGCATCTCGAAAATCCTCGTGGCTGAGGCACGGCGTTGGGGTAAAAGGTCCGTCGGGAAGTAGGCTTGCCAAATGCGATTGTCGTTGTCAGATGTTGTGACCAATGACCCTTCGGTTTCGTTAACCCTTTTGTACCACATGATGAATATTCTTGCTCAAGCTGGGCACTCGACACCTCGGTGGTTGAAAGCGCCGCACTACCAGGGAATTGGTAGCAGGCATTACACGCTGTTCTTGGACTTTTCACGCCTCATAACAACTCGATTGGATGTTTGGTTGGGGCCGGAGTATATCCCTTCCCGCGAAGCTTATATGACGGGAAATCTCTGATAATCTGGACATCCTTATTTGTTTTCATTAAAATACTTTGGAATGTATGTCAATCCAGTGCCCGAGCGAGGTTCTTATCTGATCCTCAGGAGGGCAACTGGTGACTGTTGGGAGTTACGACAAGACTAAATCAGGGAATGTGAACACATGGAATATCACAAAGTCGTCATAGTTTACACTTGTAGAAAGAAACAGGTATGTACAACAACCCTTTAATGGTCTGATGTCATACTTACGCTCACGTTCGTGTACGCGTCGTTATAGCAAGTGTATTTCGCTCTCAGATATTAAGTACATCGGAAATAGCTGGTTCGGTGGAAGCATGGCCGGGCGAGCTTGAGTTAAAGGTGAAATTTGAGGCTGAAGGTTAGGCCTGAAAGGCCGAGCGCTTGTGCAACGATATCTTTACCAAGCCAGAGTGCAGAAAGTCTGGCCCCACACAGAGTTCTCGGACGGTATAGCCGGCAATCTATTTCAAATCTCCTACCGCTTGGGGCTCCGGGGACGAAGTCCTGGGCACCGGTTTCTCCTGTACCAATGTCCACAAGCCCGTTTTACTGGGCTTTTCTGCGAAACAGTCGCCAGGGCAAGTTCCGGCCGTCAGCAGAGTGCTTTCGGCCTGATATCGATAACAGGGGGAATTATGGGCTCACTTTCGCGTGACCTTTGCATGCCGCTGATTGTCGGAAGAGAGGCAGGTTATGATCGGGTTGATGGCCCACGAGTATGAGCATTTACCCAATTCAAGTCCGCCCGCAGACCCCATGGGACGAGTTGAAAATCTATAAATACGAGCGAAAATTTGCTGGAGGATTAACCCCAGGCCAACGAGCCTTCCCTGCTTCCCTTCCTCCCATTCAGTTTCCATTCCCACTTTTCCCCCTCGCTACTTGTGCCACTGGCGCAATCCCGTTGTCCTTCGCTGAGCATGGAAAGCCCTCCACAGTGCTTTTTGGTTATGACTACAATTGCTTCGATGTCGACTGTGCTTCGTTTTTTGAGCACGGAAGATGGTTGCGTTGTTCATAGCCAAAATAGCGTCTGGGGAGACCTCGACCCGCTCATGCGATTGTGCACGCTGTCCCTGTCTTCTCTTCTTAATGGGAGACCTCGCCGTCCCATCTCTGCTTATAAGCGTATACACAGAAGTCGCATCTATTCATTTACCAATTCATTAGGGTTGGCGTATACCCTGGAATTAACGATAGGGTGGGAGACTGGAGAGTATTTTTGTACGCGTTATTTATGTAGCTCCCGCCAATCGGGTTTCAGTAGAGGCTAAGTAAGTCTTCAGGTAGCTAGATACATGTCCTGTATAGAAGGTCTCAGGCTCGACTAGGCTTCCTCCTACCACTAGAAGTAGACTTCAAACTTAGTTCTCTGTTCATGCATGCACACACAGGAATGATGGCTGTGCCCATCAGGATTACTAATCGTGCCCACTGATTGCGGGCCAATTGATCGCTCGCCCAATCTCCTTTACCTCCAACCAACTAGACCTTCGACCCTGTATCTCCTGGACTATGGACGCCCGACTACGAAGAGTGAACAAGGAAATAGCAGGCGAGTCTACAGGCTTATGTGGTTGTTCTGAGCGCTAAAGGGACAGAAAGACTGCAAGAATGACAAGAGTTCGAGTATCAAGATTGAGATGATTGATGAATCGCCATTTCATCTGAAAGGCTCGTTTATGGGACCAGAGGGGACCCCGTACGAGGGCGGAAAGTATGAAGTTGTAAGTGTCGAAGTTATAATCTGAACCGACCATTTCTGAAGCCATTACTAGGATATTGTGATCCCGGAATCATACCCATTCCAACCAGTCAAGATGAAGTTCTTGACAAAGGTTTATCATCCCAACGTTTCCTCGGCTTCAGGCGCGATCTGTCTAGATATTCTCAAGGACGCTTGGTCTCCAGTTTTGACGCTCAAGTCAACATTGATCTCGCTGCAGAGCCTTCTGTGCTCTCCCGAACCGAACGACCCACAAGATGCGGAGGTGGCGAAGCATTACATGACGAGTCGAAGTAGCTTTGAGGCTACGGCGCGGTACTGGGCTCAGATTTATGCGGGTGCTCCCGGTGACGCCAAGAACCCGAACGTAGATGATGAAGTTGCGATTGCAGGGTTGGAGAAGGCTCACGTCGACCAGTTTGAGAGCCTCGGTTTCCCCCGAACGAAAGTGGTACGTGCATCCTCTCGCATACTATCGATTTCATGATATTTTGGATTTCTGACGTTTCATGTCTTGTAGATCGATGTACTTCGACGATTGAACTATCGAGGTCCCAATGTCGCCCAGATATCCGACGATAGGATAGTAGAAGAGCTCCTCAAGTGATCCGCGTTTTGTATGGCTGAAGACTTGTTTCTCTTGGATAGCCAATGGAATTTCGATTGGCACCCGTCTGTTTTCCGAGTTTCCATCCGTGATGCTTTCTCCCGACCCAACCATTGATCTGTGCTTTCGCTACGTCATCCCAATGCTATCGGTGCCCATCGCTTTCGTTCTCTCATTCCGCCGCTCCGCCCTCAGTAGTCGGCGATATTAACTTTTAACAAGGGATTATATCACTAACCCGTCCATGGTCTGGTCACAGTGTCTGACGCTGGGCTCCGTTACGAAGAGCACGGAATCGTGTGATAGGCCAGGGGTCGCCTGCAGGTTATCACATTGACTTCTTGGGTCGGTCTTTCCAATTTCAGTACTGCAACTTGACGTCTGTAACAGCAGGAGAATGAACCGAAGCTGCCTCAGGAGTTCTGCATCGTCAAGTGAACGGTCCGTTTCATATCAACCTGGTTGTGGTGCGCGTCTCATCTGGAGACGTGGAGAAGTACGTTTCCCATTCTCCTCTTCGCACCAAATCTCCCCGGGAAGCTAAACAGCTTATTTTATTCAAATTCGAGGCACATCGGTAACTTGATAACTGGAACTTCGGCTGTCGGTATCAAGGGTTGATTCTATACTGAATGTTGAGTTGCCCTTAAGTCCCTCCGGGGTTTTCACCGAGGGACGGTATCTCGGGATTTGGTCAGAGGTGAGCCGAATTTCTGGGCGGTTTATACCAGTAATATAACTCCGCTAATCTCTACATCGTGATGCAGCGGAACCTGAGGGTCGGCGACCACCGCTCGGAGGTTCAATTTGACTAGATCCATCCTTGATTCTTTTACTGATCGAGGCCATATCGATAACCACTCTCAACAGCCATATCTACACAAATGGATCCATGGTATAGTCTTCTGCGTGGTGTAGGCGTGGTTTTAACACTGCAGTAGTACGTAAATCCTTGCTTTATTTGGGGAAGACCGACCGTCTAATGACAGTTTGGCTAAATGCGGTCGGGGACGGGCTGAGTTTCATCTGAGGTTGTCCAGCTATCGAGGTCATTTGGACTCCGAGTTAATGCCTCCAGACCAGGCTACTCGTTGGGGCTCTTATCGAGCCTTATGATTGCGCCATGGCGTCGCCCAGCACGGTGCGGGCGCACTTGTACACCCATTGTGCATCTTATGCTGCTCAGGTGACGAGGGATAACGTTACTCGCTTGTTTCCTGTATTTCGTCAGGTCAAGCAGGCGTAATGAGTGAGGTCATAGACTGTAGGTTGATATTGTTTCTTCACATTTTCTTCACCTTTCGCGAGGCCGAGGCTCATTACACGCGGGTGTGGATGTGAAGATCTCTCAAAAAGGATATCGGACGGAATCTACTGCGATTCAGTTTAGTTGTTCCGGGACCTCGTGCTTCGAAGGCGGAAGTGTACTCAGTACAACACCTCAGTTGTTAAGGAAAGGTTGCGCGTTTTTGTGGAGCATGGAATTGTTGAGCCTTGATTTGTGCAGTCAATTTAGCCTTTACTGCTAGTTTCGACCCACGAGAGAGGACCTACAATCCACACAATTTCTTTGTCAACTCCGCTGGATGTGCTCAGCCCATTCGAGAGACATGTACTAACTACTAGGCGGTGCGGCAGGCCGGTACCTATGACCCCCAGTGGGCGTTTACCGTGAACGTCGAATGGGGATGAAGCAAAAAGCAAAAAGATGGGTAAGAATTAGAGCGGAGTGAAGCAATCGAAGCGAAGAGACTTGAAAAGGAAGGTAAGCGGATGGGATACAGCCTTGCATGGGGCAAGGAAAGATATCTGATGTCGATTATATCCTCGTCTATAACTGCGCCTCCACGAGACAGATAAGATTAATCAGAGTCGTTTGGGTTCTGCCTGAAACGAGCAGTTTAAATAGATTCCGTGTACTCCTTTTGCAGTTCCGCCCAAGTGGGAAGGTCGAAGTAAGAGGGAAGTTTACTCCAAACACGCGTCTGGCCCGCAAGGAACGTTTCTTTAGCTGTGAAAAGGCAATCGGGGCACAATCCCTTCACCAAAGTGGAGCTCCAGCGGAGAATGCAGCCTTGATAGACTGTGAGATGTCGCGAAGTGGCTCCACGGTGCCGGAACAGCCGTAAGATCCACATCTGTGGACGCTGGTGAACGAAGAGCGCATCCATTTGAACTGGTGGTCTAGTATGGCTTTCTGAATTTTGTCTCGTCCGAGAACCAGGGCCTTTTGCGCTCCCGGTACGATGGTCGTCACCGTCCCATTCTGAGCTTTGAAACCGTCGAATATGAGGGTCTGTAAATGTATCGTTGAGTCAGAGAAGCCTTAGTGGAAGAGGACCTCGTCGTGAAGAGCCACTAGGTACATGGAAGGAAGGCAGTAGCGCAATCCATAGCGAAAGGCGAGGTTGATTAGGTCTCCCAGAGAAGTATCCTTTCCCAGAAAGACCCATTGACTGCGGATTTTGACCGCTTGGGGGAAGTTTCTGAAGTCCCCGTTGAATGTTCTTCTCAGGCGACTCGCGGCTTCCTTTCGAAGGTGGACTATGTTGTACTTGTCGGCGAGAGACACGCTGGCCATCAGCACCCTCACGCTGAAAGCTGTATACGAGCGGAATTCCCTATATCAGCTGCAATGGTTAGTCTCAGCCTGTGCAATAAAGTATGGATGCGAACCTGAATCCATCGTATATTTGGCGGAGCACCAGTTCCCAGTCTGCAGCAGAGTCATGGTGGAGGATGACAATCGGGCACTCTGAAGGATTGGCAGTGCTTTCAGGTTGGGGAACGGAAAACATGTTAGCGAGGACGTCAGAGTGCAACGAAAGAATGCTTCTATGCACTCGAAATTGTGTCTGCTCGACCTGCAATATGATGTTTCCATCTTCGAACCAACAGTTTGAAGAGCGAACGATGATGTCGTTATTGTCGGTTTCCTCGGACGGATCAGAGCTTCGCTGTCCTTCCGGGTCGTCTTCTGACTCTTCAGTCCTTGGTCGCTTTGTAGGGCGACTTGGAGAGTCGGAGGACGAGGAAATAATTGAGAAGTGACAAAGGACAGTCGAATTCGTGCTGTGTTGATGGTATCAGACTGACATCTGATTGTCCATCAAAGGGGCTTTATGACTGCCAAGACTTCCGGTTCTGGGTCAGCCGCCGGTTTGCCACGGGATGTCGATTCTCGTCGTTCCACCGTCCACCGCCAACAGGCGTTAATTCGCGACTCGCAACGCAGGCACAATGGCTGTGACGATACTCTAGTCCCATCGCTATGCAGGAAACAAGGTTATAAAGTTTATCCCACCGAACAAGAGAGAAGATGATACCATTTGTCCGACCCTTTCGCGACGCTCACAAGGGGACCAAATGTAATCACGTATGCGCGCGGGGCTTCCTGAAGGGAGATGATTCTTAGGTTTTCGTGGCTCAGTCCATTTCCAATCAGTCGAAGGCTCACCATCTCTCGAAACCACCGCCATTTCACCATATCCTACCAGCCAAACGTGATGTCGAAATCTAAGCTCCTACCAGGCCGGTATCCTGCTCCCGGAACAGACCCGGTCGCAGATGCTATTCGCAAACGACGGGGAGAAAGGGGGCTGACAGCTCTCGATGGGAACCTTTTGCACTTTGCTGAAGGCGCGAGAGGCTACAATGACCTTCTTGGGGCGCTGAGGACGGGTGGGAAGGTCCCTGGAGATCTGAGGGAGTTGATGGTGCGTTATCTGTTGGTCTATGAGTGTCATAGTCTGACCTTGGAGGCTGCATAGATCCTGAGAATCGCTGCGTTGAACCATGCAGCCTACGAATGGGTTCAACACGAACCGATCGGACGCAAGGAAGGATTGTCCACTGGCCAACTCTATTCTATCCGCGACATCGACACTCCCCTTCCGCCTGCCAAAGGTCTATTTACGCCACTGCAAGAAGCTGCTCTGGACTTTGTAGACAAGCTGACACTGGTCAGTTCCTCCAGCTTCACCGTCGATCATGGCGTGAAGTACAAGGATGCACTGCGGAAATACGTCGAAGGCACTGGCCACTCGGAGGTGGAAGAGCTGACGAACGCTCTGTATTCCGAATCATCGATGCTGGTGGCGACCTATAACCTCGTCTCTCGCTTCCTCGTTGCGACTGATGTCGATGGGCGTGCGGAGCAACAAGTTCCATGGCCCGTCGAACGAGTCGAGGTGCGTACAATACCCTGAAGAAATGGTATTGGCTCTGACTTTATCCTCAGCATAATGTCACCTTACCTTCGTTCCCAAAATCAGAAGCTACCCACCAGATTTACGCTGTCACTTTGCGGCATCCAGAACAGGATGCGCCGTGGATCGTCCTTTCGAACTCTCTACTCACGTCGACCAGGATGTGGGGATGGATCGTTCCCTATTTGCTTGATGGAGGCTTTCATGCCTCCGGCGGGAACTCAAAGCGCCGGTATAACATTCTCTTGCACGACCAACGCGGTCACGGGCGTTCCACTCTTCCACCCAATCCGGCCGACAGTGTTCGCTATCACGATGATGATTCAGCCCGACGCTCGACTATCCCGCTCCTCGCTTGGGATGTGCAGAATCTCCTCGTCTCGGACGAGATCAAGGAAGTCATCGACGGCGACTCGAAGGGTCTGAAACCCATTCATGCAGTCATTGGCGTCTCACAGGGAGGGGCATGCGCCATGGCATTTGGCGCCAGCTACCCCACATCGAGCGGAAGCCCGGACACCACTGCGCGCAAGACGAAAGCCATAATCGCATGCGACACCTCCGCTCGAACACCGGCTGGTAATAGAGATGCGTGGAAAGAGAGGGTCGGACTTGTCTTTGGCGGAGCGGGACTGGACGACGCTCAGAGCGTTGGGCTGTCGCGTCTGGCCGATGTCACGCTCCCTCGATGGTTCCCCGCTGCCTCGCCACTCCCACCCTCAAGGGCAGCGTTGGTGAGGAAGATGGTCGAGGAGACACCTGTTGAAGGGTTCGTGGAAGGAGCGAGGGCGTTGGGGTCGTATGATTTGTTGGAGGGTTCGACGGGGGAGAAACTGGATATGCCGGGAAGGCCCCCGCTTTTGGAGGGCAGGGATCTGAAAGTTTTGCTCGTCGCGGGGAGCTTGGACGGGAACGGGAAGGTCGGGGAAGGGCTGAAGGGGCTGGCGGAGAAGTGGGACCGAGCTGACTACAAGGCTGTTGAAGGATCAGGGCACCTGCCTATGGTCGATCGCCCTGAGGTGTGGTGTGAAGTGGTTGGTGACTGGTTGGGTGGTCTCTAATGGCGGCCAGTTTCATCGAACTCTTCGAGAGGATGCAGAACAAAATACGAGACTGAGGCTTTCCCGATTCCCATGTATGATCTCAAGAATGAACTTTCATCTCTTTCATCCCACTCGCCCATGCGAAAGAAAACCTGAAGCTCCAGCGCTCGAACGCTTGACCATTCCGAACTCGCGGCTTGATTGAGCCGCTCGAAGTATGCGCCCCTCTCTACCATTGAGTAGCAGGAGCGGTTTTCGGCCCTTCCATGACCCAACGTGCGCAAATTCCGGAATCTTGCCTGTTGACCTACCAACCGGTGTAGTGATCCCCGTGCCAAGGCGTCCAGGCACGGTGGTAGCTCTCTACCAAACAATGAAAGAAGCTGAACATTTGGCGCGCGCCGTGGGCATCTTATCTATTTTCCGTGCTCCGAGCGCCCTTGGGTTCTTGGGCGGTCAATTCGGACGAAGGATTCCTTTGTCAATCCTCAGCCAGCCAGGCTACCTACACAGTTCAAAGCCAGAGTTTGGTGCGGCCGACGCACTTGGGAACGCTGCGGTTCGAAGCTACTCGACGGATCGGCTTCGCTTACGATCTACCGAAGGACGAGTTAGAGAAATTGGATCCTTCGTGACCTCTGTGATGCATCAGGGGATTATAGCCCGTGGGCCGTATGGATTACCACCGAGCGGCAAATTTGCGGAAGGAGAATCCGAGATGGATACCCTCGCAGAAACAGTATAAAAAGGTGAGGGGTGGATGGAACTCTTCCAACAACCAGCTCCATTCATCTCTCCTCAGCTTCCTGCTACTACTAGCACTGTCGAGTAGACCCTCCAACCGTCAACGTCCCTTATTCCCGATCTCAAATCACTATGCTCAAGTCCATCTTTACATTGGCCTCGTTCGTGGCTCTCGCCTCGGCCCATTGTGAGTGCCTTAGGACTCCTTATAGTGCGACTGACCTCTAAACGATTGCCCTGCAGACATTTTCCCCATCCTCATCGTCGACAGTGTCGAAACACCCGAGTGGCAATACGTTCGCCGAACGGATAACGGTGATTATGACAAGACTGGCTACGGTCCTGTGCGTATTCGTACCTCGGGTCATCGTTATATCGGTTGCTCAACTCGAAATTTTGGACGACGAATAGGTCTGGGGCGATATGAACCAGCCCGCTATACGCTGCAACGATGCCGCCCGAACGGAGGTGACGCAGACTTACAACCTCACCACAAGCAACAGGGTCGGGTTCAAAGCGTTGACGCTTCCAGGCGCGATTGGCGCTTAACATGAAAGTGTAAGTAAATGGTAGTCCCATTTTTCTGAGTATACGCGAGGCGCTGAGACTGTGATCTGTAATCTAGATCACGAACATCTTTCTGGCTCGCGCCCCGGCTGGTGTAGATGTCGCTGATTGGGATGGCGACGGCCAGGTCTGGTTCAAGGTTCGTACCAGGACAGGTGACAGCCGATGGAGACAACTCATGCACGCGTGTTCTAGATCAAGGAATGGACCGCTCATGTCAACCCTGACCGCACCATGTTCTTCGAGTCTACAAGTGAGTTGAACCATCAACTTGATACACCGGCACGCTGACTAACCTCTCGCAGACCAAACCCACTTCGAGTTCGACTTGCCCCAGTCCCTTCCCAGCGGCCAGTATCTTCTCCGAATTGAGAATATTGCGATCCATGCCACTAACGTTGTAGGACGTCCTCGTACGTGCTGATCCTTCACCCCCCTGCATACCTCTGCTGACGCGTGTTTCGGCCCACTTACTGGAATTGGTACTTCGCCTTCCTAATACGGCATCCTATATCGACAGTCCAATTCTTCTTGTCCTGCGCTCAGATCAATGTCGCCAACGGTGGAAATGGTACTCCCGGACCTTTGGTCAATGTCCCTGGACACTACACTGGATTGGTGAGGCACGCTTTGATCGTGGATTTACGCCGTCGAGATTGATGGTTTTGGTAAATAGGAGCCGGGACTTGATATCGATATTCTCAACCCTCCCGTTACTTATATTCACCCTGGCCCGGTAAGTGACATATTGCCAGTGCGGTCGCCAAATGTTTCTGATTCTGATACTGTCGTTCAGGCCGTCTGGCAAGGATAATGGAGTGGTAGAATCTCGCTATCACCAAGTTTTGTTGCTTTGTTCAGTTGTTTTCTTCAATACATTGAATGCAAGCTGCCCATTGCTTGCTTTACGTTTAGTACTTAGTATGAGTACCTTTGATGCTTTCCGATACTTTGAATATATCTCAGCTTAGCTTTTGCGTGTGCAACTCTTCGGGCTCCCGCGGAATTCTCTGTACCAATAACGCCTTGGTGCTCTGGTGACTTCTGTAGTCCTACCACTTGTGACGCCTGATGACTGCAGAAGCGACATTGTATAAAGTATCCCTACATCTGTGATGCTGGACTCGGTTTTGAGGCCTCAGTTCAATCCGAGCGACCGTGGCTTTGGAAGAACGCAGGCCTCATAGAGGCCTGGCCTGGCTTGGGACTTTGAGCCTTGGCCGTCACATCACTACACGGTCAGACAGTCATCAAACGCGAAACTGCCTGCCCTAAAGTAGGTACGTAGTAAGTCCGCCAACTCTTGGCAGCCAGGAGGGTCAACTCTACCCCTGACGCGAACGTTATTCTTCTCTCCTTGATGCTGGTACTGTTGCTGAAAACCAAAGGCCCTGTAAAGATTAGGGCAACAAGGTTGACAACTCATCACGGCGGGACACCAACAATGCTTTTCACAGCACTCTTCCCACAGGCTACAGCACCATAGTCTCCAACAATCAGAAGACCGTCTGAATTCGGACGTCGCTTTCCAGAAACATAACGCTTGCACAGCCCGCTGTCACATACGAAAATGCATAAATGGAGCAGTGGTCTGCGAATCCCTATCTATACTGGCCCCCCACTCTCGACGTATACGCGTATTCAAAGCTAGTAATGACCATCGACAACGCAGAGTCTAACCCCCCGCCATTCGAGGTGGTCAATGCTGTCGAACTCGTCTCTGAGACAGATAGCAAGATTACTGGCGTCTCTGTGTATTCGCAGCGCGCGGAAGTCACCCGTGTATTCAAGTTTGAGGTGAAGACCGGCCAGAACCAGGTCACTATCACAGGTCTTCCTTCTGCCATGGACCAGGGGTCATTCAGGTATGGGCCCTTATTCCTTCTATTGCTGCAAAGCCGAGGTTGTGGATGGGGTTACTACAGAGTTGAAGGGCGAGGCTCGGCTACCATCCACGACGTGACCATCTCCTGCATCCCAGCCGCTCCACCTCCCAAGGGGTCGCCGAAGCTGGAAGAGCTCGAAGGGGAGATGCTCAAGACCACGAAGGCGCTCTCGCGCGCTCGCATTGCTATTTCCTCTATTGAAACCTACATGAGCAGTGTCAAACCCGAGAATGTCGACGTTTCTAAACTTCAAATCATCGTTGACAACTACGAAGCCACGGCGGAGAAACTCGACGACAGGATCGCTGAACTGAACACAAAAAAGAAGCAGTTGCAAGACAGCATTGAAGAGGAGAAGACGGCGTTGTTCGGTCCCCAGAGGAACGAGAAACTCACGCTCAAGGCTGTGATCGGCGTGTTTGCTAACTTGGAAGGGGAGGTCGAGATTGCCTTGATTTACGGTGAGCTTTTGTCGACGGGCCTCGTCTTCATGACTGATATTGATGCCACTGCAGCTGTGAGGAGCGCCAGCTGGTCGGCGGAGTATGATATTCGTGTGGATATGGACACCAAAGAGAAGCCCGTTACCCTTGTTTATAAGGGCGCCATTACCCAAAACACCGGTGAGGTTTGTTCGCCTCTCGCCACTCTCATCTCGGTATCATATGGTGCAGATCTCTGACCCAGACTCCCTCATTGTAGGACTGGACCGACGTTCCCCTGAGCCTTGAAACCGCAGCTCCTACATTCGGTGTTGGGATACCTTCTCTTTCTACTTGGACTCTGTCGGTCTACGTCCCACCAGCCCCTGCCTACCGCAAATCCAAGGGTGGAATTCTTCTATTTTCATCGAATGGCCGCAGAGAGACTGTCGCTCCAACCACGGCGGCCCCTGCCGTACCTGCACAGTCCTGGGCGGCAATGCAAACATACGATCCAACGATCGAGGATAGCTATGTTCCAATGGTCCCTGAAGATATCCAGCATCGCAACCTGGAAGTCTCGAGCAAGGGGAATATCTCCGCTACCTTCAGCGTCCCCGGTCTCATGACTATCCCAAGCGACAACGTCGCGCACAACGTGACGATCGTCAAATTGGAACTCGATGCTGACATGGAATGGGTGTCTGTTCCCAAGCGCGAGACTAAAGTACATCTAAAGGTCGGTTTTTGCTTTCGTATTCTCCACCACGAGAGAAAGCTTACCCTTCTCATCGTCGGCAGGCTGTCGTCAAGAACACGTCGGGATATACCCTCCTACAGGGCCCGGCAAGCGTCTACGTAGACGGTAGCTTCATTTCTCGCTCAAATGTCCCACCTGTTAGCCCTGACGAGACCTTCGACTGTCCTCTCGGGTGAGTATTTCTCCGATTTCTTCGTTCATTCCAGACAGCGAACTGACACCCCGTTCGCAGCCTCGACCCGTCCATCCGCATCACCTACCCTGCACTGGCCAAGAAGACCGCTCAAAGCGGATTCATGTCCAAATCCCGCGTATATAACTACACCCAACGCATCACCCTGCACAACACCAAATCATCAGCAGTCACCAACGTAAAAATCATCGATCAAATCCCCGTCTCAGAGGACTCCACCATTGCAGTCAAACTCCTCTCTCCCAGCCTCCACCTCCCCGACAAATCGACTGGGGCAGGTAACGCCGCCAGTAGGCTCATCCCAGGTCAGACAGTGGAGAACAAGTTGGGCGTCAAAGTTCCCGCACCTGTTAGTGTCGCGAAGGGTGTTACAGCGCAATGGGAGGGTGTGGATGAAGTTGGAAGTGAGACTGATCTGGATGACCTGGGTGGGGATGGAAAGCTGGCGTGGAACTGCACGATACCTGCCCAAGGGAAGCTTAATCTGACGCTCCAGTGGGAAGTATCGGCCCCCTTGAAGACGCCGATTTCGGGCTTGTGAGTGCATGGACTTTTTGGTTGGAACCCGGAACTGCGGACGAGCGGATGTATACGTGGACTGTACGCTGGACTTTGTTACGGCGTTATATCTCCATTATCTGCTAGAATTGCATACGAAGTGTCATTGTGCAGTGTTTTAGAGAAGGACACGCGAGAAACTGAGCTATTTGCATACTTGATTTCATTCAAAAAGTCAAAGTGCAAACTACATAGAAACAGAAGATTCGCATACTTATTCATGGCTGGCATGGTACTATCATAAAAAGCAGGATGCAAAAGACGACCGCTCTTTGACCGTAATTACTGGAGCATTTTTGCTATTTGTACTTTCCTGTCGTGATGTTCAACCATTCGATCGTCGTCTAAAGGGAGGCACTGGTGGCACCCGCAGAGTCTTCGCTGTCATGACTGGCCACAGGCTTATCATGCTTTAAGGTCTAATGCGGTTTGAGGTATCTTTTGTGTATGGTCATGAAGTTACAGCCGGGAAACCGACATGCGTGTTGGTTACCGTCGGGATCGTGCATGGCTGCATGATTTCTCAGGCTCGAGTCGTGTATCGTCACGAAGTTACAGCCAGCAACCTGACATGCGAGTCGCTCAGCATTGGGATCGTGCACAACGGCATGCACTTTCAGGTTTTTTCTGTACCTGGATATGAACTTACAGCCGGGAAACTGACATGCGTGTCGGCCAGCGTTGGGATCGTGAGTGATGGCATGCACTTTCAGGTCCGCTTTGCTTCTGGTTACAAAGTCACAGCCGGGAACCTGGCATGCATGTGGCTTGGGATGCACACTGGAATGCAGTTGCAGGCTCTCTTCGTTTTCGGCTACGAATTTACAGCCAGGAAACTGGCACGCAGGTGCGTTGGGATTATGCGTGATGGCATGTCTTTTCAGGTACTCGCGGAACCTGGTTGTGAAAGTACAGCCGGGAAATTGGCAGGGGAATCGTTTGATGACGGCGTTCTGGCCGTGCACACGTCGTTCATGAGCTGTTAGTTTCGACCATTTCTCAAACTCTTTATTGCATGTGTCACAGACGAATGGCCCTATGCTCGGTGCCATGACGCTGCTGTGTTGGGCTGAAGATGAAGGTCGATGGGAGGTTTCGAGCTTAAAGACATTTGTACATGGCACCACTCCTGGCTTTTATATTATTCCGAATGGGTGGTTTGACCTTCGGTATTGCCAGTAATCTGTGGAGACCATCAATATCCAACGGTCCATGTCCAAGCGCTCTCATGGTCACTCCGTCGTTCGTAGTAAGGGCCCACCAAATGGGCAATTGGACATGTGTTGTACGCTCTCTGTTGTTCCAGCAACGTTTTCACTGTCTGCTACAATGATCAATGTCTGACGTGCGCAATGAGTAGTAACAATTGGAATATGAACTAAGCCCGTCCCCGATTCTGTAACTCCTCCCATGCCGAAAGACCAAAGAAACCAGGCAGATCCTTCCGCACCTCCTTCTGCCCTTTACAAAACTCAGCCTGTGCTACCTTCGCGCACGCCGGACACAAATCTTGCGCATAACGGGTGTTCCATTGTCCCAAAATCTTTGATGGCGGAAACGAAGGCCACCAGTACTTTGCATGGATCTCTCGAAGAGAGTTCCGACATGAAATCTTGTCTTTGCAGCTCCCGGCAGCGGGAATGATTTCGGGGATGCTCCAGAGCCAGTTGAACATCTTCCTAGCTGCTGCAGTGATAAGCTTCTCGCGACCAGACAGTAGGATTTGAATGAAATCGCGGGAGAATATAGCCCTCGTTCCGTCTTCACGAGCAAAACCTGTTGCAATACAAGACTAGACCATCGGTCAGCCCAGCCGGATACAGTGGCCCGGTCGAACATGTGAAAGGCTCACCATAAAGTCCTTCTGGGAAACAACGAGGTAGTATATCGCCGGAAGGCACGCGATAAGCCCAAACAGATTGGCCATATCAGCAACGTCGACAAGTGTAGTGCGGGCGTCCATCCTAATCCATTTCTCGGTCATCTTCATGTTGGTACTAGGAGAGTAGTAGATGCCAGAGAACGTCGAAAAGTCGGACGGAAATGTCTTCTCGTAGAGGTAAACCGCTTGCGATCGAAGATACTCGAAGCCGTATTTGTCGCCTAGGGTAAGCATGGCTCTGACCACCGAGAACGGATAGCTCGTGTCTGAGCGGTAAGTCCTGTACATATATGCGCATTTTCTTCAACATTATTTCAGTTGGTTGGTATCGCCACACTGACCTGTGCCCGTCGTAGACGATCTGAAGGACATAGGTCCAGTCCTGGACACTGTCGCCTTCAAGACGGACAACCTCGACTCCATCCACAAATCTCGGACGACGGGGACGGCCGCCGCCCGGTTTCCCCTTCGTCTTCTTCGCCTCGGGCTTCTCAAGGAACCTCTCTCGAAAGACTCGAGATTGAGCTGAAAGAATGCTCTTGTGCACACGAAACCGAGTATCGCCGACTTGTAAAATAACGTTCCCGTCGTCGTACCACACAGCTTCTGAGCGCTTGATTCTGAAATCCTCCAGGTCTGATAGGGTGGACTCTAGATCCGATTCTGAAACGAAAATAGTAGACAGCGGCGAGGAGTCTGGCGACTCGTCGCCAGGTCTAGCGCGTTTGATGCCGCGAGTTTCTGGCATGAGGTGGGGACTGGTAAGTTCCAACAACGACGTCGACGTGATGGAGGGTAGAAGCAATCAGTTCAGACTCCGAATGAGGTCCGCTAGACGCCCGTGATCATCGATTGGCATCAGCCCGACGTTTGCTGGGATTCATCTGTAGCGAAGAGTTGCCAGGCGATACAGGACCGATCTTTCACGATTATCCTGCACTGTTGATGAAGAACGACACTCGATTTCGGCGGCGCATAGTCCTCAAGCGCAGTTGTTCGACGTTCTACGAAGTCCCGAGTTTGAATGTAGCTTGCAAGATAGGCAAAGACATTGTACAAGGTAAAGAAAGTCGACGATTTGAAACGCTAGACGGGACACTCACGAAAGTCTCTCTTCAGGCTTGAACCTCCTGCGAGAAGCAGGATTCATTCACCGAGACATCAGCGGCGGCAACTGTCTGTTTTATCTCGACGAAGAAACCAAACGTCGCTGCGGGAAGATTGCTGATCTGGAATACTGCAAGGAATATCTTAAAATCGGAGCTCATGATCCTATCTCGGTGAGGGTCAAAATCGCCTTGGGTCAATGCCGAATATACTGATGTGCGGCACCAGGGCACGAAAGATTTCATGGCCGTCGAAGTGGAGAAGCGATCATTTTTTGCACCATCTGGTCGTCTACCATTCAAGCCGGAGTTTCATCGACACTACTTGCATGACCTGGAGTCACTCTACTGGCTCATGGTCTGGTGCGCCTTTGTCCTGGTCCCCGACGGCATTCAGCAAGTCGATGTGGAAATGTGGGAGAAAGCGTTCTTCGAGTTGTTCCCATTGGACACATCGGAGAACATCAGTAGGAAGGCGGAAATGCTTTACTGCCCTGGTGAACTGTCGTATGTGCTGGATAAATCTGGATGGGATTCTGACACTCTCAATGTCTTGGAGGACCTTTTCGACCTCGGGAATGACTTCCGGAACGAATACGTCCGGCTTCAGAAGATACCCCAGGAGGAAAGCGGCGGTCGTCGATGGGCTCAGGAACACTTTAATGCCGACATATATGACAAGTTCTCCAAAGTCTTGGACAGTGTTGGAAGCCGTCTTCCCCCCGGCAAACAGCAGACCATGTGGAAGATCCGTGGGTCCTGATTGACGCTTGAATAGCCCACCTATAATTGTCCTCTCAAAGTCCGCCCGTGTCGACATCGCGGCGCAGATTACTAGAGATTAGGGCCACTTTTTTGAATAGCCATCTTCAGTAGATTTTACTCGAGTAGTGCCCATCATAGTAACTAAAGTCCGTCTGGGCCGACGGCAAGATGTGCTGTATAACAGTATTAGGAAGAGTGTTGTTAAAAATGCATTCATTCATTCCTCCACACTTCAATAGCTTCGGCGCTCCAAGTAGGGTCCTCTTTCAAGACTCAGACGCCGACCAGATCCGGTGTGGACCTGGAGACCCTGTGCCCCAATCGTTATTTCCTCCCTAGTATCCAGGACCTCCACCGCCTCAACGACGTCACACTCTAGCCCACAAAAACCTTGAATGGCCCTCTTCGTACATACACCCTGATTGCTCGTTGCTTCTCCGAGTCCTGACGCCCATTGCTCACACCAGATTGCTACTTCACGTGTTCATAATAGCTGCAACCTGGTAACTACTACTACGCACATGGCGCATGCCAGCTCATACTAAAATTGGCACTTCACCTTCCGAATACGGAATCAGCCTTTACAGGGTGCCCGAAAAGTCTTTGCATCTCAGTTCTCTTCACCCCCAGCTCACCCTCATTGTTCTCCTTGTTTGTGCCATACGGCCTTTTTTCTTCCCGCCCACCTCCTCTTCACTGCGTCTGCTTGGTGTTCCTCTCCCATTTTACCCTGCACTTTAAGTTGTTTCGACATACATGTTAGTCTCCCGTAGTCGACATTCTTGCTTTTGGAATTGGCCATGTCCACCATTTTAGGTTTCCGCCGCTTAGCATCTCGTTTTTCGACGCTTTTCTAGTCCTCAAACCCTTTCATCGCCTCATCGATTCTACCTTTAGGTCGTTTTGTTCATCCACGATTCCTGAATCCCACATCCTCAGCGTCCCGTTCCGCCCGCGATCCTATTCCTACAAAGGCAGAGATCAGTACAGACTCGAAAGGAGGTCATCATGATCATGATGTACTAGTAGACGCCCGCGCCGTGATCAATGATCCTGGATGATCATTGATAACACGGTTCATCTGGATTATGAGATCTGGATTCTGAGGTGAGCAATCGGGTAGATACGTAAAGCCGTTCTTTCAAACTCATTGCTCGAACAGCGACAAGTTTCAACGTGCAATTAACCAGCACGCATTGGCGACTCTAGATAAAGGGGAACGGGCCAAGGAGACGTGTCAGCTATGATTAAGAACGACGATACTCGCATCCGGCGGCGCATAGTTCTCAAGGAGAGGTGCACGACGTTCTACGAAGTCCCGAATTTGAAGATAGCTTGCAAGATTGGGAAGGACATCGTCAAAGGTACAGTAGACTTCGTCAATGTCGAGTACTCCGATTACCAGTAGGCATTTCTCATCTCACAAATTCTCTCTTCTCTTCAGGGTTGAATCTCTTGCGAGAAGCAGGCATTATCCACCGAGACATCAGTGCGAGCAATTGTTTGATTTATTTCGACGAAGAAAGGGAGAGTCACTGCGGGAAGATCACTGATCTGGATTACTGCAAGGAATATCTTAAAATCGGAGCTCATGATCCCATCTCGGTGAGGGTCAAAATCACCTTAGGTCAATGCCGAATATACTGATGTGCGGCACCAGGGCACGAAAGATTTCATGGCCGTCGAAGTGGAAAAGGGATCATTCATTGGCCGTGCTCATAGGAGCGAGGCACCCAAGCTGGTGTTTCACCGGCATTACCTGCATGACCTAGAGTCACTCTACTGGCTCATGGTATGGTGTGCCTTTGTCCTGGTTCCCGTCGACATTCAGCAAGTCGATGTGGAAATGTGGGAGAAAGCGTTCTTCCAATTATTCCCATTTGAGGCACCAGTGAAATCGGTATCGGGAAAAGGATTGGCGCTCGCTTTCCCTGGCGATTTGTCGTCATCGCTGCAGGAATGTGGATGGGATGAGAATACCCTCGCTGCCTTGGATGACCTTTTCAACCTCGGGAACGACCTCCGGAACGAATATGCCCGGCTTCAAAAGATACCCCAGGAAGCAAGCGGCGGTCGTCGATGGGCTCAGGAACACTTTAATGCCGACATATACGGCAAGTTCTCCAAAGTCTTGGACAGCGTTGGAAGCCTGACGAACAGCAGACCATGTGGAATACCCGTGGGACCTGATTGACGCCTATAATTGTCCTCTCAAAGTCCGCCCGTGTCGACATCGCGGCGCAGATTATGGCCACTTTTTTGAATAGCCATCTTCAGTAGATTGTACTCGAGTAGTGCCCATCATAGTAACTAAAGTCCGTCTGGGCCGACGGCAAGATGTGCTGTATTACAGTTCTTGCCTTTGGAATTGGCCATTTGTACCATTTTTAGGTTTTCCCCGCTCAGCATCTCGTTTCTAGACGCTTTTCTAGTCCTCAAAGTCTTTCATTCATCGCCTCATCATCGACTCTACCTTTAGGTCGTTCTTCCGCTCTGCACTTCTCCCCGCTCATTCTTCTTTTTCTAGAGTTTCATATTCAGAGTCTAGACCGCTAAACCCCAGCCCCCACAAATAACAATACAAATCTATTTGGGTACCTGTTTTGAGGAGTCTGTCTTTTGGGCATCGATTACGTCTCGATGTATTCGTTTTGAATTCACTTCTTGGACTCGTTCTTCCCCTCACTTACACATCCTTAGCGTCCTCGTTCCGCCTGCGATCCTATTCCTACAAAGGCAGAGATAGCAGAGATCAGTACAGACTCCGAAGGAGGTCATCATGATCATGATGTACCAGTAGACGCCCGTGATCAATGATCCTGGATGATACTATCGCGGTTCATCTGGATTATGAGGTGAGCAATCGGGTACATAGATACGTAAAGCCGTTCTTTCAACCTCATTTCTCGATTATCCAGCACGCATCGGCGACTCTACGCGTCAGCTATGATTAAGAACGACGATACTCGCATTCGGCGGCGCATAGTTCTCAAGGAGAACTCGTGCACGACGTTCTATAAAGTCCCGAGTTTGAAGGTAGCTTGTAAGATAGGCAAAGACATTGTCAAAGGTACAGTAGACTTCATCAATGTCGAGTACTCCGATTACTAGTAGGCATTTCTCATCTCACAAATTCTTTCTTCTCTTCAGGGTTGAATCTCTTGCGAGAAGCAGGGCTTATCCACCGAGACATCAGCGGCGACAACTGTTTAATTTATTTCGACGAGGAAAGCGAGAGTTACTACGGCAAAATCGCAGATCTGGAATACTGCAAGGAGTATCGCAAAGTTGGAGCTACTAGTCATAATTCAGATCCCATCTTGGTGAGGTTCGAAATCACCTTAGGTCAATGTCGACTATATATAAGTATACTGATGTGCAGTGGCTCGTATGATCGTATCAGGGCACAAAGGAATTCACGGCCGTCGAGGTGGAGAAACAATTCTTCCTTGCGCCTTCAAGTCTCCTACCACTCGAGACAGAGTTTCATCGACACTACTTGCACGACCTGGAGTCACTCTACTGGCTCATGGTCTGGTGCGCCTTTGTCCTGGTTCACGACGACATTCAGCAAGTCGATGTGGAAATGTGGGAGAAAGCGTTCTTCGATTTGTTCCCCGGGGTCCAGGGCACATCGATGAAATCCTCTCCAGGCAAACTGGAGACCATCTGCTTTCCTTATGCACCGTTGAACGCACTGAACAGGTGCGGCGGAAGGGATGAGGATACTCTCACTGTCTTGGAGGACCTTTTCAACCTCGCGAACGACCTCCGGAGCGAGTATACCCGGCTTCAGACCATACCCCAGGATGCCCACGCCCATCAGTCAATATCCCAGGATTCCCGGCTTCAAAAGCTTATATACCCCCAGGATACCCAGCTTCATAAATCTATACACCCCCAGGATACCCAGCGGCCTCAAGTTGCAAGCAGCGGCACTCGTTGTCGATGGGCACAAGAACACTTTCGTCCCGACATATACCACAAGTTTTCCAACGTCTTGGAGACCGTTTCAAATCGTCTATCGGAGCCGGATCAAGTGTCGATGTCGATGTGGAAGTTGTACTGGGAGATGGAGATGGAGAGGGAGAGGGTCAGTGAGCGTGCCACTGGCAGTCATGCGTAGTATTCCGGATCCGATGGGACGTCCGCGTCAACGTCAATGGCATCGACTTTGGAATAGATATTAAGATATCGTTTTAACGTCTTACGGGAATGAGTACTATGCACCCAAGTAGGCTAACAAAGTCCTGAGGCACCCAGGGTTTCAAGCTATTGTCAATATACTAGTATGACGTCCACGGACAGGGATCCCTACCCCTAAGTATGCAATCCCGATCAAATTCTCGGCGTCGCGTTGATTAGTTCGCGACGCGACGCGTCTCGCACGAAAGCCCTCCACAAGAAACGAACGAGTGACCAGGAGTGCACGCATCATAATCCTCTCGTTCGATCATCCTCTCGCTCATTAGATCACCCCCTCGTTGGATCATGCTCCCGTTCGATCACCCTCTCGTTGGATCATGCTCTCGTTAGATCACACCCTCGCTGGATCATCCCCATCCTCTCGTTCGACAGTGTCACCCCCTGTGTGATCCCACTCCCGAGAATACAGAGCTCGAAGGATCGGATTAGATGTCTGCAGAACTTTTCAACGTTAACGTTGGTGTGCAGACTACGGGAGACTAGTGTACAGTATTCATAGTATTCATCGTAGAATCGATTAGAAGGTGTACAATTAACAGGGTGTCTAGTATTCGAATATAATAAGTACTCTACTAAGTGTTGACGATAGAAAAAGTGTGGCCATGGTCGTGGTTCAAATGGTGGTGGTCATAGTCGTAGTTCAAATGGTAGTGGTCAGAAGTCGTGGTCATAGTCGTGGTCATGACCGTGGTTATGGCTATGGGTTATGGTACCGCGGTTAATGTCATGGTCATGACAAGACATTACACCTTAGACATCAGATCTTAAAGTTTAAAACACCAATAGAGATGCATACGGGGGTGAATCCAATGAGATGATGCATGAGGCATAGGTCCCATCCCCATCCTCCCTCCCCATCCTCCCTCCCCTCTCCTCTCTCCTCTCTCCTCTCCCTCACCATCCTCCCCCTCCCCACCTCCCCCTACCTCTACCCCAACCCAAAAACCCCACTCAACCCCTCCCACACCTTCCTCCTCCCCGCCTCATGGCACACCCTCGCATCCTCCAGACATACAGCGCACAGCTGGTTCACGAGGGGCGTGTAGGTCGTAAAGTCGGTCCATTTTTCTAGGGTTCTGTGTTGCGAGAGGGGAGGAGGGGAGGAGGGGGTTAGTGGTTGGTTGAGAGGGAGGGAGGAAGGGAGAGGGGTTGGAAAGAGAGGGTTTGTGATGGTGTGATGGTGCGAGAGAGAAAGGGGGAAAGGAGGAAGGGAGAAAAGGAGGAAGGGAAAAAGGGGAGGGCGGACAAGGGAGCGAAAAAAAAAGCGAGGAAGAGAAAAGTGTGAGGAAAAAAAAGGCGAGCAAAGGAGACAGGAAACAGTGAGCAAAGAACAAAACCACCCACCGATTAACCTCCGGCAACGGCAAAAACACCTCCCTCACCAACTGGCCCGCTATCCGCCCGCAGTGGTCAGGTTTGAGACAGTCGGTGTTGACGCCGTGGTCTTCTTGGTTCCAGTTGCCTGTATCACGAAGGGGGGAACGTGAGTGAGCGAGCGAGCGAGCGAGTGAGAGTGAGTGCGTGTGAGTGAGAGACAGAGAGGTATAGAGAGAGAGAGAGAGAGAGAGAGAGAGAGGGAGAGGGAGAGAGGGAGAGGAAGATGAAAGCTCACCTAAAAGATCGATCCACGCAAACGTCATATCGTACTGCAACGCCAAGAGTCGTTCGCGCGCTTGTATGCATAGGTTCTTGATGTGTGGCGGGAGCATCGCTGGGCCGTTGGGCGAGTTTGGACGGGGGATGCCGTAGAGGAGGTCGTTCTGCACCACCACCAGCCACCAAAAAAAGGCGTGTAAGCATCGAGTTACAGAAAAAGCACCAAGGTCCAAGTATCATGCTCATGCCGCAAAGAGCGCGACAAGAACCTGGCCAAGTATGTAGAAGGCACTCACCAAATCCTGCACACACAAATAATACGCACTCGGCAACACCTCGTGCACCTCCATCTCCAACGCCAAATTAACAATATCAAACAACAGTCCTTCCTCCTCCACGATATACGTATACGTCTGAGGCAACTTTTCCCATTCCTCCAAACTCGCTGGAAACTCCGATTGGAGCCTCCGCAGAGCCTCGGCGTAGAGGGAGGGAAAGTGGTATTTGCGGCCGAGGCGGAGGAGGGCGGCGAGGGTCGCGAAGGGGAGGGCGTCGGTCGTGGTGTGGGGTTTGTCGTAGAGGGAGAGGAGGAGGTGGGTGAGGTCGGTGGGGTCGTCGTGCAGGATGATGAGGGGGCAGCCGTCGACGAGGGGCGTAGGGTCGGCGGCTTGGGGTGTATTGCTAGCGTTGATTGAGCTCCCCAACCGACCGATCTCGAACATATCCCTGAACACCTCCGAGTGCCGCGAGAGCATCGTCCGGTGCACGCGGAACTGGACGTTTTGGGCTTGGAGCACGACGGAGCCGTCGTCGAACCAGACGTCGGGGGAGCGCGTTGGTGGGGGTGTTAGGGTGTAGGAGGGCGGTGGGGTGGGGCGGTCTGGCGGGGAGGTGCCAGTGGGTTGGGAAGGTGTGGGGTGGCTGTGAGTGGGTTCGGAGGGACGCTGGGAAGGTTGTGTGAGTTGAGATGTCGAGGGTGAGGGTTCGGAGGTCGATGATTGAGAGGCGGGTTGGGGAATCGCGGCTTGGGAAGGTGAAGGTTGGGAAGACGAAGGCAGAGAAGACGACGCTTGCGAACGAAGCGCAGCGCAATGCGCACAATGCGGGCATCCTCCTCCTCCCCACACCGCCGCAGCACTGGCATCCATAGCAGAGTCGTCCTCTGTTCTCCGTCTTTTGAGAGGGGGCTGGTGTGATGTGTTGTTCAAAGTCGAAGTCGGCATTGTAGATAACCTTGGTGGTCTGTCACAGAGATTCGGAATGGAATGTACGAGGAATGCGGAGGCTCGGGTTGGAGATTGAAAGATGGTGATGGAGGACGATGAGTATCGCAATGCGGTGTGGATGAAACGTTGGACTTATATACTCGTCCGTCCTCCTCGACGTGTCTGTGCGCGCTGTGTCAGTTGATATGCCCGTCCTAGTCGAAAGCTACACCCACCCGTCTTCCTCGAAAGCGATGGCCGTGCTCGTACTGCGCGTTCGTCGTAACTGTGCTGGGAATCACTCCGCGTCCGCAGTGAAAGGAAGAGAACGAGGGCGTTCCAGACTATTCAACGCGCGGCGAAACCAAAAGTGATATGCCCCTTCCCGAACAAAGGCGGATATATCAATCGGTTAACCACCTGGTGGATCGGTCAAGTAGGTCCAGGTCGTGGTTAGTTAGTTGGGACTTGGTATGTGTGGTGGGTTCGTGCTCTTGTCCGAGCTGGTTGGTCGGTGTCGCGTGTGTCTGGTGCTATATATATATATATAACTGGCACCCCTAGTTCGCGTCGGCAGTGGTTTGGTGTAGCCTCGAGGCTGAGAAAGAGAGAAAGGATGATTGAGTTCTTTCTTTCAGCTGAAAGATCGAGTTCGAATTCGGAGGAATGATTAGTATTCTCGAGTTCTTTTTATACCCCTGCCTTCCCTGCAACTTATCTAGCTATATTCACCGGACGGTGAATATTATTATTAGGCGGGATGACTCAGTGGTCCGCCCAATTCGTGGAATCGATGAAGATGGTGGTGGGTCGCGACCAGAACGCGTGTTCAAGTTGTCCCCACAAACCCAGCCCATCAGTCTCCATTGGAACCGACTCGCAAATATATGTATGTACCAAGCGACGCGAGAATCTGAGTACTGAGTTATTATTATTGCGCTCCTTTCGCTCTTTAGATGTAATTTTGGGTGGGCGTGCAGCATACGCGTGTTTCACCGGGTCAGAACCTCCTATTCTCTCGCTAAATTGAGACACACCTAGCTATTATTGATAACACCAGGCCGACTGATGATGTTCAACTGCGGAATGGAATGGTGAGATGCACGTACACTGGGAGGTATGTAGTAAGTACGAAGGCGGCGGAGTCGGAGTCGGACGCTCAAGCGTTCATGCCCACGATCAAGCAGGAATCGAGCCCTCGGACCCGGTGGTAGTAGTAGTAGTGCCATGGTGCTTGCTAGACCCCCCCAACTCCCACCAACTGGAACCAGGCTAACAGACGTGGAATGGAGAGAGATCCTTCAAGATGATAACTTGCGAAGAAGAAGAGTCGAGACCCCCGACATGTGTAAGTCTAACTGTCTAAGGCTTGCATACTTAACCCGCCTTGATCGTAAACGAAGCCTGGAGCCAGGTTCGACCCTCGACTCTCAGAGTCGACTTGTATGTGCCGGGCCGCCCGGCAGCAACCAGATTTTGCCGTGCATAAGCATAGGCGTGTCCGCGCGTGAGACCTCTTGTCTCCGAACCCACTTTTCTCGTGTTTCTCAACTCTTTTTCTACTTGTTAAATGGCTTTCTCTCGTCTGGCCTCAAGAGTCAGTTTTACTCGCACCTGAATCAGTCAATTTCTCAAAAATCAGCCATGGTCCGGTTCTCTCTACTACCCCGCTTCAGTCTGGTTCTGGCAACCGCCTCGCTCGTGTTCGCCCGTCCCATCGCGTTTCGGCCTCATGACGAAGACAGTACACCGCAAACAGAGCTTGAACTCCTCAGCGAAGGAAACAAAGCTTTCAGGGAATCCGTAGACCCAGAGCTACTAGAGAAACTGGCTCATGAAGGACAAGGTACAATCTCCACTCCATTGACGTTGCTTCTTCGTTTAATTGACGATATCAAGTTCTCCAGCCCCACCATTCATGTTTCTAGGATGTTCTGACAGTAGGGTGAGCGAAGGAACCATCTTCGACGCTCAACCCGGCACCCTGTTCGCACATCGCAACGTTGCCAACCAGTTTCTCTCCACGGACCCGAACGTGTGAGTCCTTCCCGGCACCTCCGATTTTTGCTTTGCTTAACTATTCACCTCAGAGAATCTGCCCTGGCCTACGCAACCTCAGCGTTAAACGTCCACCACATCATCGTAATGGGACATTACGGCTGCGGCGGCGTCGCGTCTGCCATCATGTCCCGCCCCAAGGGTCCAAACATCGACGCTGCTCAGTCGGCTATCCACAATTGGATCGAACCTCTCCGAGAGCTGTACGCCTCGTCCGACAGGTGCGCTGAGCTTTCTATCACCTCCCCATAAACGACAAATCTAATATTTATATTTGCTGTGCCTCTCTCGAACGGTTAGACCTGAAATCGTTGACCTAAGGGAACGACTCAAGAACCACACCCGTATCCCCGAACCTCCCCTTCACGAACGTATGTCCTACCCGCCCCTACCATCCTTCCCGGCTCCCACCCCTCTGACATTAATATTCATCGTCTTCTTCCTTCCAGCTGGATTCCGCGCCCTAGTAGAAGAAAACGTCAAATCCACGGTCAGGAGAATCGCGGATAGCACTATCGTCCGAAACGTGAGTCCACTTCCCCCCGCATTTCTTCTCCATCCTCTAAGTTATTCCAACAACCTTGTTTGTAAAAAAAAAAAAAAAAAAAACAGCACTACGCACGTCTGAACAAGTCGACCTCCAACTCCAACTTGGATTCTGATCTCGACGTGACCTCCGAGAAGACTGGCAGTCCCGACACGTCCAACCCCTACATCCATGCGATTAAGCCCAGGCCGAAACCGAGACCCCATGTCCTCTTCATCCACGGTTGGGTATACGACATCGAAACCGGCAAAATCGTGGATCTGGACGTCTCAATCGGTCCACCTGGAAAAAAGATCCCGCGCGTACCGTCACTCGATTCTGTCCTCAAATCGACCTCGACCTCGGCCTCTTCCACCACCACCACCACCACGACAACGATGACGATGACGATGATTTCTCCAGAAGATGATGATGAAGATGAGCAAGTCGCCGCCAACCGTGACGACGCCATGATTCCAGAGTCGGACCGTACTGCGACGACGCACGACGACGACGAGAAGAATCCCCACCAACGCCCTCTCGCTTCTCCTCGACAAGCAATAATACCCCACAGACCCCCATCGATATCTTCCGTATCCCGTTTCCTCCAACAACTCCCGGCGATCCCTAGCCTAAGCCAATCCCCCCTCCCGGCTCTCACACAAGTCCTGCGACTAATTCAATTCGACTTGAAACGCCTGTCAATGTGAACATGTTGACACACCCCCTCGAGCTCGATCCCATCATAAATATAGATTTGTCGCGACATTAAATAAGAGGGCAACAACACTACTTGTTTTCTTGCCACTACTTGTATTGCCAGGCAGTGATGCGCCAGAACCGGACCCAACAATACATAGGAATAGCAAAGCCCGACGGATTCGTTGTCCGGTCATCATTAAGTACCATATGGGTGCCATATTTCCTACCTTGGTCCCTCCTCCGCGTTCCCGGTCCCTTGTTGGTACATATGATGATGTAGGTGTAGGCCCTTTCGAAAAACGACAGACACGCGTACAAAATGAAACAAATGAAAAACCACGTTCCGATTTTTTTTTTTTTTTTCTTTTTTTTTTTTTCCTCCGGATCCGATTTGAGCGCTTAAAGTCACCTATGAATATGCAGTTGCTTGCGGTTTTCGGGATGCGACACTCGAAGGGTACGATGTCGATGATGCCAGTTGACCAGTCCCAACTCCAACAACAAAGAGAAAAAAAAAAAAATCAAGAAAGAAATTCCATGTTTCAAGGGGCCGGACACTTATGCTACTACATATATGTCTCTACAAGTAGCCAAGCACCGCGGATGCTCTTGAAAGAGTATGACAAGGTATGGATGGGGGTGACCGGTGACCCTGACGAACTGCTCCAGTTTCGAGCTCCAGCCACGCCGCCACCTCGAACGACCTTTTTACTCCTCCTTCCTTAAACTCCAAACCTCCATTCCCCTATGTAGGACCTACATCTACACACACACACCACCCAACCACCCCCTACATCCATCTAAACAGCCTTAATCCCAGCCTCCTTCAACTTCCCAACCAGCTCCTCCACACTCCCCACCTTCCCACCGCCCACCCTCTTCGGCGGCTCCTCAACTTTGAGCGTCTTGAGCTGGGGCGTAAAGTCCACGCCGAGGGCTTTGGGATCGAGTTTCTCGAGCGGCTTCTTTTTGGCTTTCATGATGTTGGGGAGGGAGGCGTAGCGGGGTTCGTTGAGCCTGTTGAGTGAGTGGGTGGGTGTGAGTGAGTGTGAGTGATTGGGTGTGGGTGTGGGATTGGGAGGGAGGGGAAGGGGATGGGAGGGAGAAATGAGAGGGGCAAAGAAAACGAAAAAAAAACAACGCACCTCAAATCAGTAGTAATAACCACCGGCAATTTACACAACACCTCCTCTCCACCACCATCAATCTCCCGAGTAACTTTCACCTCCTTCTTCGCAGCGTCCAACTCGACTTTGCTCGCAAACGTCGCTTGCGACCAGCCCATCAGCCCTGCGAGCATTTGGCCCGTCACGCCGTAGTCGTCGTCGATGGCTTGTTTGCCTGTTATGCAAAAGGAGAGGGAAGGAGGGGAGGGTTAGTTTTGTTTTGGGTTGTTTCGTAAAGAATTAGAACCACAAAACGCACCGAGGATAACCATATCAATCTTATCCTTCTCCTCCTTGCCCTCGTTCTGCTTCTCGATGACGGCTTTGAGGGTTTTGGCAACTGCGAGCGGCTCGACGGTCGTGTTCTCCGCTACTTCGACGTGGATGGCGGAGTCGGCGCCCATGGCGAGGGCTTGGCGGAGGGTGTCGACGGACTGTTGGGGTTGTGTTGTTGCGTTGTTGTTGTTGAAGCGATGAAGTGGACAATTCAGGACGTCGGGCGTGTCAAGGGCGTTCGGCGTCGAGGGACGTCAGAGGGCGAGAGGCAGGCAAAGCCAACGTTGGGAATGTTCGGTTAGATTATGGAGGTTGAGGTGGGGAGGTCGGACAATAGAATAGCGTAGCAACATTGAGTCCAACCGGTTCATCCAGCCTTATACAGAGTAAAAGTAAAAAAAATACAGACCTTGGCAGGACCGATGCTGATAGCTTTAATGGAGGCGATGTCGGCTTTGAGTTTTTCGCGGAGGCGGACTGCTTCTTCGACGGCTGTTCGTTGGTTGGTTGGTTGGCATCCGGGGTGCGGGGAACGACATGAATGAGAGGACGGGCAAGGCACGATGGAGGGACGGGTGCGAGAAGGAGTCGGTAGGGCGAGTGCCAGCAAGAACCCATCGGTAGAAGCGAGAAGGTACGACGGACGAGGAGGGGAGACGAGCGATGACCCTCCGTTAGCACACGATACCCCGCACAAGGGACCATACAAACGCACCAATCTCGTCGAACGGGTTCTACACGTCGCAACCCAACACCAGTACCACCACCAACCACAGCGGATGGACCACCACAACCAATCCACAACACAACACACACCACCACCGAATTCACAAAACAAAAACCGAGTAAATCCGTCAGCTCTTTCCTATCCCTATTACCTCTGCCCAGAGAAGAGGACTAGAAACCCACCATCGAATGCTTGACATTAGTATCAATACCCGTTTGCTGGGGGTTGACTCGGATCTTGACAGCATAGTCTACGGCTCTGTTGGGAGTTGCAGTTGAGGGAAGGGGTTCGACAGCAAAAGAGTGGTCGGGGGCATGGTTCAGGGAGTAGGGAGGGGTGTATGTTGTAGATTGTCGTAGTTTGAGAGTCGGGGATGTGGTAGAGGTGTCAGGGAGGTACCGCGACCGTTGGGGGAGGTTTGGGCAAGTTCCATACAGGTGTCGTGGTAGAGGTGTGGTATAAGCAGTTCCGGGGTACCGCGTTTCAACGCCATATCGTCCCAAAGAAGAAGACGACGTTTGTTCAAGTCACCAGTCCAACGTCCAAGTTCACCGTCCAACCGCAAAAGCACCAAAAATCCAAACACCATGGCACGTATTCAATGTAAGAGTTTCGAATGTAGGCGTAAATGATCGAGAACATTCATCAGTACAAATTCATAGAATCGAAAACCTAAACCAAGAGACACACGCACCGTTTAACAGGAACGAGGATGTTAACCAATCTCGCTGGTGTAGGTCGCATCTTTCTTCCACCAATGTTATTTCACTCTAGCCCTCTGCACAATCAGGGAAGATGATTAAACAATGACCCTAAACATAGAGACGAGACGAGGCGTACCGAAAAACAAGAACAACAAAGGAACACCAAGAAACAACCCAACGAGAGGACAGCGACGACGAGGGACGAAAGGTTCCCGCCGGTCGTCGGTTCGGACGGGACTTTCGGAACGCGTGGGGTAATGCGGCAGGTTGCTCCCACGATCGCGCCCCATGTGTTTCCTGCGCAGACGTCGAGAGATTATCTTATCTCTGGGGGAGGATCTTATCTTTCGAGCGCTTCGCGGTTCATCATGAACTTGAAGGCCAAGCACTGAGGCCTGAGGCCTGGAGAATATACAAGGAGCGGAGAGCACAATGTACCCATAATAACAACAGAAAATAGTATACGTACGTTCCCAATGTGATAGCAATACCGAACGTCCCATGCCTACAGAGCCGAAGAAAACAAAGAATTGAACAGACACAGTCCCAATACCAAGTCCAATCAATATACGAGTAAAAACGAACAACCAAACCAAAGAAATCCGCAAACCAATCGTAAAATAAGTAACTGATAAAGATACCCAGGCCACAACCATCCCACCCCGAACACAACATCACTCCAGGAGGTCAGTCCACTTCCACCTACTATGATTGTCAATCATAAACAGGCCCGCTCCTCCTCCTCCAAACGCCAACACCAACACCATCCCCATGCACAGCGGATTCAGTCACAGCCCCAGCACTAATCCCAATCTCCTTGAGATCCGCAGAATGCGGAATGGCAACCTGCGCAACAAACGTTCCCGCTCGACCGCGTTGGATCCATCCTCGTTCTCGTTCTTGCTCTTCTTCATCTACATTCCCATTCCCATCCCCATCACCGTCCCCATCACCGTCTCCACCCCCACCCCCGACGTCCTCCCTTCCACGATGACGATGACCACGTCCCGTAAACGCAGATCCCTTCGCAACATCACTACGTCCAAACCCCTCACCCTGATCCGAGTCAAACGACCCATCATAATAATAATTCGGGTGCGTATAGTCCTCCTCAATCTCGTTAATATCAAATTCTTGGTCTGAGTCTTCCTCCTCCTCATCCTCACCACCCACACCTTTCGCCCCCGACTCATTCCCACCAACGAACACACGTACCGCAGGCCGATGGAGCATCCTGGACGAATGGACGTGGGACACGGGTGGTCGGTCGGGTCGAGCTGCAACAGTCGTACTCGCCGTTTCGTCGCCATCCTTCTTGCCTTTGCCATGTGTTCGATGCGGCCTAGGTTCTTCGAATACGTGTTCACGAGATCGAGGGTGGTTGTCTCCGGATGGAACTGTCGAAGGAATGTCAAAACCAGGAGATCTCGGCGAGCGCTGTGGCGACGGGTAGGGATACGGCTCGCGGAGTTGGGGATGGAGAAGTGGGTGGCCGTAGTCCTTCGAATGGACGGCATGGACATGGGCGCGTTCATGTTCATGTTCTTCATCTTCGTTTCCATCACGTTCCTCTTGTACTCGTTCTTCCCTTGCGTCACCTTCTCCTCCTCCTCCTCCCCTTGATCCACCCCCTCTCGATACACCTCCACTTGACACCGCCCCTTCAGCTCGCCCTCGCCCATCCTCCAACCGCAAACGCGCCTCCTTCCCCTTCTCACCCACCCATACTCCACCACTCGTACCACCAGACGTTGTTTCTAACATTGTAGCGCCAACGTGTTCCGCGGGTTCCTCCCCACTTCTACCTCCCTCCCCACCCTCACCTCTGTCCCCACTTACACCTCCCTCCGCAACCCCTCCACTCACCCCTTCACTCACCCCTCCCTCCCCACCCCCACTACTACTACTACTACAACTACCACACACCTCAAACGTAAACCGCCCCCCACCCTCCCACTTCCCCGCAATCATATCACACAACCGCCTCGACTCATCAGCCGTGAACCCACCAGACGTCATAGCCTGCACCAAAAGCGTGAAATGGGCTTCAAGGGTCTGTTTGAGTTTAAGTTTGAGGTTGAGGTCGGGTTTGAGTTTGTGTGGGGGAACGCGGGGAAGCTCTTGGGATGGTTGGACGTCTTGACATATTCTGACGTCTTGAGAGGTTCTGACATCCTGGGATGTAGACTTGGACTGCGACTCGGGTTGGACACTATCCGATTCGGGTTCAAGTACCTGAGGCTGCGGCTCAGCAACGGACTCAGCACCCCTCGAACGAGAGCCAGCCTCGTCGATCAACCTCCCAAACAACATCCCGAGCGAGTATACGTCGTGCTGTGCGCAGGGGTTGAACGGTTGTCGGGGTGGTAGTGGGGGCGGCGAGTCGGTAGTAGAACGTGGTGGAGGCGACCCTGCAGCAGAAGAAAAAGTACGATTGGAAGCAGTCGGAGTAGGCGTTGGCTGCGGTTCCTCTACGTCTTCAGGACGAATCGAGGTAGATTCTCGCTCCTCCTGCTTCTCCTCCCGTTCCCTCTCCCTCTCCCTCTTCCCTTCTCCTTCTTCTTCCCCTTCAACCTCTACTTCACCCTCACCTTCCCCATCCCCATCCCCATCCCCGTCGACCTCCACTCCACCCTCCACCTTCCCTCCCTCCCCACCCAACAGCGACCCACCTCCAGCACCAGAAACCGCACCAGAAACATGCGACATCCTCCTCGCATCCGCAAAATCCACAAAGTAATAGATCGGCCTGTTCCCCACCGATCCCAATTCCGATTCAGAGTTTTCAACTTCGCCGGTGGGGGAGGAGGTGGAGAAATCGGCCGTTGTTGTCGAGGCGCTGCCAGTGTCCGTCGAGCCACGCGACTCAGAGTCGGCGGACGACGGGATGGAGGAGGAGGAGGTAGTAACACTGCCGCTGCCGCTGCCGGCCATTGATGTCGATGAGGAGGTAGATGAGAGACCTGACATGATTTTAGACAACTCTTTAGTGTGCTATGTAAATGGAGAAAAGAGGGCGCAACGCACCAGTAGACGCGGCACTAACACTCCCCACGGACCCACTCCCGCCCTCCCTCGACAAGAAAACACTCATCAACGACTCTGTCGAACGCGATGGCCTAAGCGAACTCGGGACGACGGGGACGCGGTCAACCATGAACGAATCGGGCGAGGCGCAGTTGAGGTTGTAGATCCTTTGCGAGTTTAGGAATGCCAGGCCCTAGTAGTAGAAGTAGAAGTAGAAGGGGCGATAGAACATTAGGTTAGTAATGAATGGGCGTTACGGTTCCTACTTTGTTAGGAGGCAAGTACAAAGGTGACGCACAGAAAGCAACTGCCTGAACAGGTCAATGTACTGTTCAACTGTTTCGAACCGGGAAACGACGCTGGAAAGGGGCTCGAGTCGGCCAAGTACGAGTTGCACATGCATATCATCTTCCTGAGTCTCCGTGTCCTTCCCGACGGGCAAATCGCCATCCGAGCCCTTGAGTGTTTCTGTCCCAGGTTCAACTCCCGAGAGTCCCTTCTCCCCACCCTCCGAAACATACAAAACATCCAGAATAGGCGGTGTATGGTTCCACCGGTCATTCCGGACTTCACCAACGTTGAGTTCGAGCAAGAGACGGAGTTCGGGGGACGATAGTGGGAGGTGCTTGATCGTGGGTGGAGGGGTGTAGGGCGAGAGGGGTGTATGCAGTGGGAAGATTATCTACAGGATAGAACCGATACCAACACAGTGAGTTAACGCACGACGTGGGGAATAGCAAAGCGTACGAGGTTCCTAGCGTCAACATGAAACTGCCCTTCGTTGAGCATCGCATTGGAGATGGGATCCAGCAGTGCCAGAGGAGGATCGCCGAGTTTGCGCCGCTGACACGCTATCTGCGTCTCAATCGACCTCAGGAGAACGCGCACATCGTGTCCCGTCTCGCTCCACGTATGCGCCATCGGTAGATGGAACGACTTTCCCCTCCTCGATTTGGTCTTCTTCACTCCTTTATCACCACCCAGCGACGAAGACGAGCTCAACGCCTCCTCCGCGTCGTATGTATACTCGTACTCGAGCTCATCGTCGGTTGGTTCGTGCGTTGCGGTGGTGTGTGTCGTGCCGCTCTCCGCACTCTCGAGGTCGCTGCTGTCGAAGTCGTCTTCGGCTTCGCCGAATAGGTGCAGCTGCTGCCATGGATCCAGGTACCCGTGGTGCAGATACTTCTCGGGGTCGAGTTTGGCGAACTGACGGGGCAGAGGGGGGTGGAGTTTGTGGTGGTAGTACGCGGTTGAGGTGAAACCTTTGACCTTTCCGGGCATGCGTTGGAGGGGGTGCCCGTGCGTATAGTTCAACGCTCCTTCCGAGTCCGTATCGGTTTCTGTTTCAGTGGACGAATGATGCGAGGATGAGGTTGACGATGCATCAGTGGTGTCGGATTCGTGGAGGGAAGGAGATGAAGATGAATCAGTATGGGGCGGAGCGTCGGGCTTTGGAGAAGGGGCTACACCGTTCTGGATTGAACCTGGTGGTAACTGGGAGAAAGCGTTCCGGTAGGACTTGACGTTCTGGAGCGCGCGAGAGTGATAGTCCCCTCCTTCGCTCTGGACGCTATCGTGAAACTGAGCAGTGGGAATGAACACCTCGGAATTTGTAGTCTCGCGGGGTGGGAGGTGCGGTCGCCTCAGCCCTCCCTCATCCTCCTCCGGTTCACCATCCGCTTCGTGTGTGTCCGGGCTTAGCGGCGACCACTTAGCAATAGGCGAACGGCGCGAGGCGCTAGGGCCTCCACTGGCAGAGCGAGGAAAAGGTGAAGACGCAATGTAGGAAGAGCCCGGCGTCGAGTTTACGGCGCTGAATTCGCTGTCAGGCGACCACTTGGACCCGAGTCTAGCTTCTTCCTCTTGAGACGCTGAAAACTGCCAGTTATCATAGGCGTCGTCGTAATAGTCAAAGTGGGGTGAAGAGGAATCAGAGGTTTGGGAAGTGATAATCTTGGGGAGGCTCGAAAATTTGTTCGAGGTGGCCGTGCTTGGTGGTCGCAAAGGGGGGCTGGAAGAACTACTTGACGTGGCCCTTATCCCTTCGTTTGAGTCGGAGCCAGAGCCATCGGACAAGTCGATCGTTGGGAACCGTTTGTTTTTGGACCTGGATTTGGCGAGGTTGGCGTTGTCCGCGTCAAGCTCGTCTGCAGTGCTGTATTGTGCGTCTTGAGGCGGCGGTGTGACAGACATTGTCGACCGCAAAGTGGAAATAACAGGCGTTGAGAGCGCGGTTGCGTATTCAGCCGAGTCTGAACTTGAGCAACGTCAGTATGGATGCGGGGCCTGGTCGGAAAACCCACATACGACGAAGAATTGCCGTCGAGATTGTTACGCGCGGTCGACATGGTGGTTTTGTCCAAAGTTCAGAGGCCAAACATGTCTTCTGAGTCGTTTGGGATCGACATGTCTCACTCTCGGAGCTCGATCTGGGTCGCGGTGAAGGTCCATCGCGCGGGAGGATGAGATGCGCATCTTATCTTATCTCTCGGAGGCCACAAGTTCGATCCTCACCGATTACAATTTTCCTAGTTGGTGGGCGCTTACAAAGGTCCAAGCGACCATGAGAGCGCTTGGATTTGGACCGCTGGAAATTGGTGGTCTCCACAGAGTACTGGCAATACTGAAGGTCAAATCACCCATTCGGAATAATATAAAAGTCAGGAGTGATCCCATGCTCTGTCCTCAAGCTTGAAAACCATCGACTTCGGCTACCGCCTACACAGCAGCGTCATGTCACCGAGGAAGGGGCCATTCGTCTGTGCCACATGCAATAAAGAATTTGAGAAATGGTCGAAACTAATGGCTCACGAACGACGTGTGCACGGCCCGAACACTGTCATCGAACGATTCCCCTGCCAGTTTCCCGGCTGTGTTTTCACAACCAGGTTCCGAGAGTCCCTGGAAAGTTTAAGCCATGCCATCACGCATGATCCCAACGCATTCCCGTGTCGGTTTCCTGGTTGTAAATTCGTATCCGAACACGAAAGGAGCCTGCAACTGTATTCCAGCGTGCATCCCAAGCCACGTGCATGTCAGGTTCCCGGCTGTGACTTTGTGACCACAAAAAAAGCGAGCCTGAGACTGCATGCCATCACGCACGATCCCAAGGCACTTGCATGCCAGTTTCCCGGCTGTGAATTCGTAGCCAACCACAAAAGGTCCCTGAAACGGCACGCCATCATGCACGATCCCGACGCTGAGCAATTCGCATGCCAGTTTCCCCGCTGTAACTTCGTAACTAGATACAAACACAACCTGATCATAAACCATGCTGTCATACACGATCCCCATGCTGAGCGGCACGAATGTCAGTTTCCTGGATGTGACTTTGTAACTAAACACAAATGGAGCCTGAAACAACATGGGTCCCGCAAGCATAGACTCGGATAAGCATGTGGCTAGTGGTCATGAGAGCGATGACTCTGCAGCCGCTGCCACCTCTCTTGAGATGACGACGACCGCTTGGAGTTGGACCTGGACTTGAGCGTTTCTGAATGGATATGGATAGCCCATATGTGCTCGAGCTTCTTCCCATCAGGTACAGAGGAAAGCAAGAACGATGCTTCAATCGATAGATCATCAATTCAAAGAACAGTTGTCATTTCCATCCCACATATATGCGAAATCTCATTGACATTCTGTGTAGTTTACACTCAAGACTTTTTTGAATGAGAATCTGAACAAGTTGGACAAAGCGTACAAAAGACTCAGTTTATCGATACCCTGGCTACTAAGTTTAACTGTTAGAGAAAGCAAAGCCCGAATTCGACCAGTCGCCGCTGACAGGGTAGGTTTTTACCATTCGGTTTTAAGTACCCGACTCGGGTCTCTGAATCTTGGCGCTTGTCGTCGTGGGCACCAAGGATCATGCTCATCACCTCTCGCTATGGGCGATGGAGGGACGACCGACAGTAAGACAGGTGCCTCGTCCAATTAGAAAATATGCATCCGTATACGTCGTATGTACAATAGTCGAGTAAATTCGACGGATATCAAATAATTCACCACTTCTCAAAGCGCTTTGAACTTCCCTCCCTCCCGCATAGAAATAAAAGTCTGTCGTGTATGTGGTTTGGCAGCGTGGTGTTTGAAATTTCACCGGCCCCAGGCCTCCCACAGAACCGTAACCAGTGACCACCTCAAACGTCCGGGGCACACTCCTATGGTACACACTCCTCTCGAGTCCCTTCCGTTACAACCCCCCACCACCTAAGATATACTCAATCGCGGAATGCACGTTCCCACCCGTCGCTAGCAGCGCGCGAATGTTTTGTTGTGCGTTCGTGAAACCCATATCTTGGAGTTGCTGGTGGGATGTCGAAGGAAAACGATGTAGCGCGAAGGGGAACGTGCAGAAAGAAAGAGAAAGAAAAGAAAGAAATAATCGTCAGTTAAAGTACTACACACGGGCTTCTAGGCGAACGAACCTGTAATTGAACCTGGAACCTCTCTTCAGGAGGACGAGTGTCCCCACCTGCAGCAGCAGCAGCGGGAGACCCAAGCCCACCGGCCCCCAGCCCGCCAAATCCAGGCCCGAGAGCCCCAGCACCCCACATCTGCTGCATCTGTTGCATAAATTCGGGGTTGAAGAAGGGGTTGCCGGCGAAGGGGTTCTGTCCTGCTCCTTGTCCCTGACCCTCGCCGCCTGTACCGGAACCAGGGGTACCTGTACCTGCGCCTGCGGCGGGCCCGCCGAACCAAGGGTTGAAGAATGGCATTGGCATCGGCCCGCCTGCTCCTGCTCCTGCTCCTCCACCTCCACCCGTGCCTGCACCCGGTGTCGTCGTTGAAGTGTTATTACTATTGTTCGTCGACTCGGAGGAAGGCGTAGTAGAGGATTGGTTGGATCCTGTGTTCGGTACGCCCGGTGCGGGGAACGAGGACGCCTGTCCACCGCCCATTCCGAATGGGTTCATACCCATACCTCCCATACCACCCATGCCCGAACCTTGCATCATTTGGGCCATGTTCATCATGTTGCGGAGGGTATCTGGGTTCGAGCTGTTAAATTGGGAATGACATTCAGCGTGAGCGTGCGAGTTGGTGTGGACTGAGAAGAAGAGGAAGAAGGGTTAGGTTACGCACATCATCTCTCTGAACATCGGACTGGAAAACATCTGCCTGATTTGAGGTGCCATGCCCGCCAATTGGGGGTTCATGGCGATGACTTGATCCATGATAGCGGGGTTGGAGAGCATGGAGGCCATTTGTTGCATGAATTGGGGCGAGTTGAACATTGTTTGCATCTGGGAGTGAAGGGTTAGTGGGTGTTCGGGGTACGTGCGAGGAGGAACGGGGGCTTCCTATCCTCCAGACGGAAGAAAAGAGAAAAGAGAAAGAACTCACCATGTTGGGATCGTTAGGATTCAAACCCATATCGGCAAAGGGGTTGATACCAGCCATTGCACCGAATCCCATGTGGCTGTTGAGTTGTGTGAGAGGGTCGTGTGGGTTTTGGCCTGTCTGCATTCGAGGGAGGGGTTGGGATGTACTTGAGGCGCCTGTAGGTTGCGTTGAATCACGAAAGGCGGTGCGGTGGGTGGTGGTTGAGTGAAGTGATCAGTTTGGAGAAGAGAGGAGATGAGTGCGGTTGAAGGAGAGTGCGATAGGAAGGCAGTGAATACCGTGAAGGGCGAAATAATGAGTGGGGTGGAACCAGGACGGGCGGATTCGTTGAAATACAATGAGCGAGCGGAATGAGTGAGCGGCGGCAGTTGAATGCGGTTTCGAGCATATCGATATGTGGAGATCGACAAGGTTCGGTTGAGAGATAAGTGCGTGGCGCAATTGAAGGCGGCCCAATAGTCAGTTCCATTGTCGACGGATAAACGAAGTATTATCGCACCTGTTGACGACCCCGAACCTGAGCCAGCACCTTTCGCCACACCTTTGACCATGTGGATCGTATGTGATGATTGGATCTTGTATACCGAAAGGAGGTCTTCGTCCTATGTCACCACCAGGGCGCCGAACGAATCGTCAATACCGTTCTCGTTGAGCAGATTTGGAGTCATTATACCTTAAGGACTCGACCTAAATGCAGTGTTCGTTGAGTTATGAAGGCGAATGGCATGAAACTAGAACGAGATAGAGCGTACCGCTGTAAATCAGCCTCTGCCTATCAGCCGCGACATCGCTCTTCTCTGCAATGGCCTGCTTGAGTTCCTGCACTGTCTTGTCGGTCGAGATCGTAATTTGTAGCTTGAGTTCGCTGGGGCCTGTGTGTTATGGATACGGTCGTTTATTCCAGGACCCGAGTGAGTTTGGTTTCGAGTTCCGTGGGGTTTCGGATAGAAAGAGTGAAGGCGAGATTCCAAAGTCGAGATTCCAATGGTTCCACATGGTTTCCAGCGCATCCATTTAACAGAGAATGAAGCCCCATTTGAAATCGCGAGCAAGCCGTTTCAAATCGTGAACGTCCAGGTTTTGGAGCGATGGGCGCCATTTGATTAGATTGTAGTTAACAAGGAATGTCATTCATTAGCCTCGCTAATTCAATTCCATAAGAAATAGTACGCACCTTTAATATTGACCTGGATCTCGTTGTTTGTCGATTCTGAGGACATTATTGTTGTCGTTGGTAAAGAGTCAAGGTGGGGAGATATGACGCTGCCGCAGCCGCGCAACACTCCGTGATAGGGGGACTCCGGTGTTTGTGCGTTGTTTGGCTACGGCTTTAAATCTTGGCTTGTCGAGAGATGATCTGAATGGTCGGCTACGCCGACGCTTATACCTTGCGAAGCAAACATAGAGGTAGATATGGCTCATTTCCGTCTCGCTCACGCGGCGCTCAATTTGCCTGCCTTGCGCTTCAGGCCTCACTTGAAATTGCTGACGCAGGCTATACTAATGCCTTACGGAGGATGAGAACCGGGAATTGACCTTCCAATGATTCTACACTGGAGCAGAGTCCCGGGTTAAGGTGATGAATCAAAACATTCAATTTTATTACTAGTCGCGCACTTCTGCCGAGCACGATAGTGGAACATACTCTGATCTTGAAGAGTTGGGCATCGAGGACAAGGGAGAGGGCAATGGAGGAATCAGAAACTGGGGATGGAGCATGGAGGAGCCTGCAGAGGGTTCGGCGACACTGCATTGGGCATTGCAGACCAACTGAAGCTAATTCCCAGTCGACACTCACCACATTGGTCCCCGAGTCCGACGTCGACAATGCCCATAGGGAGATCAGCGAATGCTTACAGCGTTCGAGTGTTTGTACATCCAGTTGACCACACCCGAGACCACTTGGACCAAATCCTGGGCGGATTTGAACATGCATCACGGCCTAGTTAAAGCAAAGTGGGATGATGTCGTTCTGGTTACTCCGCGGCACTCGGTTCGTCGACGATGGAATGAAAGGGAAAGGGAGGAAATGAGGCAGCTTGAAGGGGAGCGAAGGAAGATGAGGGCGCTGTTGCCAGGTTTGCTGGAGATTGCAGTGGGCGCGAAAGTGACGGACAATGTGTCGAGATTGTGGCGGATCCGCGGACCATATCGACAAAGGAGCAAATGATGTTGTTCTTCAGCATCCTCTGGACCGTGCGCGGGCGCAAAGGTTGACAGGGTTGGAAGAGGGTGGGCAATGTCCAATCACACCAGCATAATTCACCGACTACCGATCGTAGGGCCAAACGATAGGGAAGGTGGTCATGGATTTGATTACGGCCCCGGACGGTTTTGACGACCGTTGTTCAACGTGTACGACGCCCTGTCGCGCAGTCGGGGCCGAGAGTCGATCCGGTCGCCGCGCGACTTTGACGACGAGATTTTGCAGAAGCAATACGAGACATTGTTGACGGATGATTATCGTTTGAACTGGTTAGATGAAGAGACCAAGGTTTGGTGGAGGAGTCTCGGTCGAGAGGGAATGCGGGGTTTCTAGACTTTGTTTGTACTTCTTTGCCCAAATGGTCAGGGGGGTTATGTAATACAGGTTGGGAGAAAACCTTGCTTCGCAAGGTAACGAGCGTTGGTCAGACCAAGGTCAGTCGGAATCTTGGCAGTAGGAAGTATAGGAAGCTACGTGGGATAGGGAAAGGTCGGTTAGTCCACTGGGCTTGCATAGATGTACATGGAAACTATCCATGGCTCACCTTCCCTCTATAGACTCTCGCAGAATCACTGGGGCCCAATCATCTAGTAGGCCACACGAATGGTCATGGTTAACGTTCAACCACGCAGTGTTACATGTTTTTGCTATTGACAGAAATGACAGAAATACAAATCTTAACGATCCTTCGACCTGCCAACGCTGGCACTGGCAGCACTAAAATAGGCGCCCGCCAGGGAACTTGTCGACAACAGGGATACTCTTTTCGCACCAGACTCTTTGAATCCTGCTTTTTATGATAGTACCATGCCAGCCATGAACAAGTATGCGGATCTTCTATGTTTCTATGTAGTTTGCACCCAGACTTTTTGAATGAGATCAAGTATCCAAATAGCTCGGTTTCTCGCGTGTTCTTCTCTTAAGCTGTACAATCACACTTCGTATGCAATTCTAGCAGATGATGGAGATATAGTGCCGAAACAAAGTTCAATGATACTACAGTCCACGTATACATCCGCGCGTCCGTAGTTCCGGGTTCCAACCAAAAGTGCATGCACTCACAAGCCCGAAATCGGCGTCTTCAACGGGGCCGATACTTCCCACTGGAGCGTCAGATTAAGTTTCCCTTGGGCAGGTATCGTGCAGTTCCACGCCAGCTTTCCATCCCCACCCAGGTCATCCAGATCAGCCTCGCTTCCAACTTCATCCACACCCTCCCACTGCGCTGTAACACCCTTCGCGACACTAACAGGTGCCGGGACTTTGACGCCCAACTTGTTCTCCACCGTCTGACCTGGGATGAGCTTACTGGCCGCGTTACCTGCCCCAGTAGATTTGTCGGGGAGGTGGAGGCTGGGAGAGAGGAGTTTGACTGCGATGGTGGAGTCCTCCGAGACGGGGATTTGATCAATGATTTTTACGTTGGTGACTGCTGATGATTTGGTGTTGTGCAGGATGATGCGTTGGGTGTAGTTATATACGCGGGACTTGGACATGAATCCGCTTTGAGCGGTCTTCTTGGCCAGTGCAGGGTAGGTGATGCGGATGGACGGGTCGAGGCTGCGAACGGGGTGTCAGTTCGCTGTCTGGAATGAACGAAGAAATCGGAGAAATACTCACCCGAGAGGACAGTCGAAGGTCTCGTCAGGGCTAACAGGCGGGACATTTGAGCGAGAAATGAAGCTACCGTCTACGTAGACGCTTGCCGGGCCCTGTAGGAGGGTATATCCCGACGTGTTCTTGACCACAGCCTGTCAATGATGAGAAGCGTAAGCTCCCTCTCGTGGTGGAGAATACGAAAGCAAGGACCGACCTTTAGATGTACTTTAGTCTCGCGTTTGGGAACAGACACCCATTCCATGTCAGCATCGAGCTCCAATTTGACGATCGTCACGTTGTGCGCGACGTTGTCGCTCGGGATAGTCATGAGACCGGGGACGCTGAAGGTAGCGGAGATATTCCCTTTGCTCGAGACCTCCAGGTTGCGATGTTGGATGCTTTCAAGAGTCATTGGAGTATACGAATCCTCGATTACGGGACCATGTGACCCTTCCAACACGCAGGACTCTGAAGGTGCCCATGTCTCGCTGGGGGCGGCACTCTCTTTGCGAGACCTTCTGGGTGTGGCGAGTCCGCTTCTGGTTTTACGGTAAATGGGGGCTGTGGGCCTGTAGACCGATATCGTCCAGGTGGAAAGCGAGGGTATTCCGACGCCGAATGTGGGAGCTGCTGTTTCAAGGCTCAGAGGAACGTCATTCCAGTCCTGTAAGCGAAGTTGGAGTGTCCTATGAGCTATGCGGTGAGGTGAGAATCGTGCGGCAAGAATATACCTCTCCGGTATTTTGGGTGATGGCTCCCTTGTAGATGAGGGTAACGGGCTTCTCTTTGGTGTCCATATCGACTCGAATATCATACACGGCCGACCAGGTAGCGTTCCTCACAGCTACGCAGTAAGATCTGTGCTTCAGAATGCAGACAGGTATGCGACACGTCGACCATGGGCTCACCGTAAATCAAGGTAATCTCGACTTCCCCTTCCAAGTTGGCAAACACACCGATCACAGCCTTGAGTGCGAGCTTCTCGTTTTGCTGGGGGCCCGACAACACTTTCTTCTCCTCTTCGATTCCCTCTTGCAACCGTTTCTTCCGCGCGTTCAGTTCAGTGATCTTGTCATCGAGTTTTTCAGCCGTAGTGTCGTAGTGGTCAACGATGGTTTGCAGTTTGGAAACGTCGATGTGCTCGGCTTTGACACTGTTCATGTAGGTTTCGAGGGAGGCAATGGCATTATGGGCGCGCGTGAGGGCCTTTGTAGTCTTGAGCATCTGGGCCTCGAGTTCGTCGAGTTTGGCGGAAGACTTGGGTGCCGGAGGAGCTGGGTTGTGGGAGATGGTCACGTCGTGGATAGTAGCTGAACCTCGTCCTTCGACTCTGGATGCAGTACATACATTATTAGTCACGTCTTTACAGCGACTAAACGAAAGTTCGTACCGGAAGGACTCCTGGTCCATAGCAGAGGGAAGTCCGGAAATGGTGACCTGGTTCTGGCCGGTCTTCACCTCAAACTTGAACACACGGGTGACTTCCGCGCGCTGCGAATACACAGAGACGCCTGTAATCTTGCTATCTGTCTCAGAGACGAGTTCAACAGCGTTGACCGCCTCGAATGGCGGGGGGTTGGACTCTGCGTTGTCGACGGTCATTGCTCGCTGTGATTACGTGTATACGTAGAGAGTGGGGACCCAGTCCCGCAGACCACTGCTCCATTTATGCATTCTCGTATGTGACAGCGGGCTGTGCAAGTGTTACGTTTCTGGAAAGCGACGTCTAGATTCAGCCGTTCTTCTGATTGTTGGAGACTGGTGCTGTAGCCTGTGGGAAGAGTGCTGTAAAATGCATTGTCGCCTGTGTTCCACCGTCATGGATTCGCAACTTTGTAGTCCTCATCTTTGCAGAGCGTTTGGTTGTCAGAAACAGCATTAGCGTCAAGGAGAGAAAAATAACGCTCGCGTCAGGGACAGCCTAGCTGCCAAGACGTACCTACTTTAGGGCAGGCAATTTCGCGTTTGATGACTGTGACGACAGTCGCTGAGAATGACCCGAGGCCTCAACACCGAGTCCTGGCAGATGTAGGTATGCTTCATGCAAATGACGGGTAGGATAACAGGAGTCGCCAGAGCACCCAAGGCGCCATTTGTACAGAGACTTCCGCAAGAGCCGGTGCCCACTGCCCAAGGGTTGCACGCGCAAAATCTAAGCTGAGAGATATCAAAAAGTATCAAAAATACTCATACTAGACGGAAAGCAAGCAATTGGCAGCTGGTATTCAATGTACGATAAAAGAAGAAAAAAACTCAGAAAACTGGGTGATCATGAAATTCTACCACGGCAGCAGTGTTTATCCTTGCCAGACGGCCTGAACGATAGCGTCAGAATCAGAAATAAATTATAATTGACGACCACACTATATCACTTACCGGGCCAGGGTGAATATAAGTAGCGGGAGGGTTGAGAATATCGATGTCAAGTCCCGGCTCCTATTCACCACAACCATCAATCTCGACAGCGTAAATCCACAATCAAAGCGTGCCTCACCAATCCAGTGTAGTGTCCAGGGACATTGACCAAAGGTCCGGGAGTACCATTTCCATCGTTGGCGACATTGATCTGAGCGCAGGACAAGAAGAATTGGACTGTTCAATATATGACCGTATTAGGAAGGTGAAGTACCAATTCCAGTAAGTGGGCCGACACGCGTCAGTAGAGATATGAAGGGGAGTGAAAGGTCAGCACGTACGAGGACGTCCGACAACGTTGGTGGCATGGATCGCAATATTCTCAATTCGGAGAAGATACTGGCCGCTGGGAAGGGACTGGGGCAAGTCGAACTCGAAGTGGGTTTGGTCTGCGAGAGGTTAGTCAGCGTGCCGGTGTATCAAGTTGATCGTTCAACTCACTTGTAGACTCGAAGAACATGGTGCGGTCAGGGTTGACATGAGCGGTCCATTCCTTGATCTAAGACAAGCGCGCATGAGTCGTCTCCACCGGCTGTCACCTGTCCTGGTACGAACCTTAAACCAGACCTGGCCATCACCATCCCAATCAGCGACATCTACACCAGTCGGGGCGCGAGCCAGAAAGATGTTCGTGATCTAGATTACACATCACAGTCTCAGCACCTCGCGTATACTCAGAGAAATGTAAATACCATATACTTACACTTTCATGGTACGCCCCAATCTGGCCTGGAAGCGTCAACGCTTTGAACCCGACCCTGTTGCTTGTGGTGAGGTTGTAAGTCTGCGTCACCTCCGTTCGGGCGACATCGTTGCAGCGTATGGCGGGCTGGTTGATATCGCCCCAGACCTATTTGTCGTACAAAACGAGTTAAGCAACAGACATAGCGATGACCCGCGGGTTCGAATACGCACAGGACCGTAGAGAGTCTTGTCATAATCACTGTTATCGGTTCGGCGAACGTATTGCCACTCGGGGGTTTCGACACCGTCGACGATGAGGATGGGGAAAATATCTGTAGGGCATTCGTTTAGAGGTCAGTCGCACTATAAGGAATCCTAAGGCACTCACAATGGGCCGAGGCGAGAGCCACGAACGAGGTCAATGCAAAGATGGACTTGAGCATAGTGATTTGAGATGGGGAGTAAGGGACGTTGGAGAGTCTACTCGAAAGGTGCTTGTAGTGGTAGGAAGCTGGGGAGAGAAGAATGGAGCTGGTTGTTTGAAGAGTTGCATCCACCCCTCACCTTTTATACCGTTTCTGCGAGGGTTGCCCATCTCGGATTCTCCTTCGGCAGATTTGCCGCTCGGTGGTAATCCAAACGGTTCACGGGCTATAATCCCCTGACGCATCACAGACGTCGCGAAAGATCCTATTTCTCTAACTCGACCTTCCATAGATCGTAAGCAAAGCTGGTCCGGTGAGTAGCTTCGAACCGCAGCGTTCCCGAGTGCGTCGGCCGAAGCAAAAACCAAAAATCCTGGCTTTGCACTGTGTAGGTAGCCTGGCTGGGTGAGGATTGACAAAGGAATCCTTCGTCCGAATTGACCGCCAAAGAACCCAAGGGCGCCCGGAGATGCACGGAGAACAGAAAAGATGGGCGCGCGCCAAACCAAACGTTCAGCTTCTTTCATTGCTGGGTAGAGAGCTACCACCGTGCCTGGACGCCTTGGCACGGGGATCACTACACCGGTTGGTAGGTCAGGAGGCGAGGCTCTGGAATTTGCACACGTTGGATCATGGAAGGCCCGAAAATCGCTCCTGCTACTCAATGGAATGGTAGAGAAGGGCGCCTACTTCGAGCGGCTTAATCAAACCGCGAGTTCGGAATGACCAAGCGTTCGAGTGCTGGAGCTTCAGGATTTCTTTCGCATGGGCGAGTGAGATGGAAGATATGAAGATACATTCTTGAGATCATACATGGGATTTATTACGCCTCCCCTCGAAGAGTTCGATGCAACTGGCCGCCATTAGAGACCACCCAACCAGCCACCAACCACTTCACACCACACCTCCGGGCGATCGACCATGGGTAGATGCCCTGATCCTTCAACAGCCTTGTATTAAGCCCGGCCCCACTTATCCGCCAGCCCCTTCAACCCTTCCCCGACCTTCCCGTTCCCATCCAAGCTCCCAGCGGCGAGCAAAACCTTCAGCTCCTTGCCCTCAAAAAGCCTACCCGGTACATCCAGCTTCTCCCCCGTCCAATCCTCCAACAAATCATACGACCCCAACGCCCTCGCTCATTCCACGAACCCTTCAACAGGTATCTCCTCGACCACCTTCCTCACCAACGCTGCCCTTGAGGGTGTGAGTGGCGAGGCAGGGGGGAACCATCGAGGGAGCGTGACATCGGCCAGACGCGACAGCCCGACGCTCTGAGTGTCGTCCAATCCTGCTCCACCGAGGACAAGTCCGACCCTCTCTTTCCACGCATCTCTATTACCAGCCGGTGTTCGAGCGGAGGTGTCGCATGCGATGATGGCTTTCGTCTTGCGCACGGTGGTGTCCGGGCTTCCGCTCGATAAGGGGTAGCTGGCACCAAATGCCAGGGCACATGCCCCGCCCTGCGAGACGCCAATCACTGCATGAATGGGCTTCAGCTCCTTCGAGTCGCCGACAATGACTTTCTTGATCTCGTCCGGACGAGGAGATTCTGTACATCCCGAGCAAGGAGTGGGATAGTCGAGCGTCGGGCTGAATCATTATCGTGATAGCCAACACTGTCGCTCGGACAATGGATTGGGTGGAACTTGGAAGAGTAGAACGCCCGTGACCGCGTTGAACATGCAAGAGGATGTTATACCGGGGTTGGGGTTTCTCGCCGGAAGCATGGAAGTTTTCATTTTCATCAAGCAAATAGGGAACAATCCATCCCCACACCTTCGTCGACGTGAGCAGAGCGTTCGAAAGGACGATCCACGGCGCATCTTCTCATGGATGCCGCAAAGTGACAGCGTAAATCTGGTGAGCCGCTTTGGACTTTGGGAACGAAGGTAGGGTGACGCTATGCTCGGAGGATAAAGTCAGAGCCCATACGTGATTTACATTTGGTCCCCTTGTGAGCGTCGTGAAAGGGTCGGGGTTTTATAACCTTGTTCCTGCATAGATATGGGGGCCCATGGGCATTGAATATGGTCAACCTAATATATAGAGCAGATGGAGACATACTTGACTGATAGATCCCTCGGACAACCTTTACAAGTAGAGACTACATTGGCTGAAATAAAAGTCGACCTTGAACGCAGGCGAGTTGGAGCTGCTTCTAGCTCTGCAAGCGCTGTTAATCAAAATTGAAGTCCTTCAGCTCGTCCCAATTCGGTAAACCAAATATCTCTGGCAGCCGTTCCCAAACAGCTTCCTGGCCCTCCGTTACGCTCTGCTTGGCAGTAATCGAGCAATTTTGACAGACGGCCTGAGAGAAGCTATTCATAGCTTTCGAGCTGAACGCCTTTTGCAGCTGGACCACAGGGGTGAATAGGTTTACGATTAGTTTTCGATACTCTGGTTCGCACCGGGCAGGGCTCGTGCAGGCGCTGTGATCGGGCTCCCAGTGCAAGATGCAATCGAAGATGTCGTCTCGGAGGGCCTGACACAGCTTCTCCTTGCCCATGATAAGGGCCCCGTGCATCGAGGTTGAGATTTTCGACACATTTCCATCGGCAGCTGTCGTTCCAGTCCACAGCATCTCCTAAGAAAACGAGAATGAAAAGCGATGATGGAACTATAGAGACCATTCGGCTTACCGGAAAGTCTGGTCGACACATGGTCGACAAGAACAACTGTGGTTGAACGGTCTCGAGGCGTAATTCCATTACGAGGTTAAATAGATCGGAGAAGGAAGAGGTGTCCCCAAAGGTTGCCCACATGACATGCCTATCGGCTTGGGCGGCTGCATGGTGGAACCCGTATGGCCCCCTGAAAAGGGACCTAGTTGATACCAGTGGGAAAGGGACCTTCGACCATGATCTCGGTAGTCTGCCATCTCGTATTTGTGGCCCAGCCGCAGGAGGGCCGCAACGGTGTTGAGATGGGGCCGGGTGTTCTCTTGGAGTCGATACCTGTAAGCGTAGTTCTTTGGTTTAGCGACAAGGTCATTGATTCGAGGTGGTAGATGAAAACCCACTGCACGCCGCGATACGATATCCACAGCAGCAGTTCCCAGTCCTCTGCCCTGTCCCAGAGCTGAACGACAGGGCAGCCTTCAACAAACTCTTCCCCTTCAGGAGGTTGTGGAACCGAGAACATGTCGTGAAGGATGGGTGAATGAATCGCGAGGACGCTCTTGTGTACTCGAAAACGGGTGTTTTCCACTTGAAGGATGATGTTTCCGTCGCTGAACCAATACTCAGTGGAATTTACGACCTGTTCTTCAGCATTGCTGTCGCTGAGATTTGTTCGCCGCCGTTTGGCTGATGGAGGTGCTGGCGAGGCTCTCTGGCTAGTTCCAGACATGGTTCCGTCGTTTTCCGAGCGCCTGAAAGCAAATTCAAAGGTACAATATTGGAGGGAAGGACGAACAAGAACACCGTTTTGAAATTTGATGACCGGCGCAGACTCATACCCCTCGATCACGTGGCATGGTTCTTTAGCGCCCATTGATAGCCATTGATTTGCCAATACTATTACCATGGTCATTACGATGATTACAGAGTCCAAGGGCGACAGAGATAAGCTGGAACATGCATTATGGAGGATTATAGGCAACGTCATAGTGGTATACCAGTACTACTATATAGTAGGTTCGAGTGCAAGCGGATCCTGGCCAGTCAAAAGTTTAAATCCTTCTGACATTCCCATGGCGGAAGCCCAAATGCCTTAGGCAAGAGTTTCATCATGGTATACTGACCCTCCGTCACAGTCGCCTTCGCCTCTGCCAAGCAGTGTTTGCACAGGTCCTTCCCAAAGAGGTCAGGATCCCATGCTGTAAGGATGTACCCGAGCTGGGGGACGGGTGTGAATATCTTGCAAGTAATTCGGAGCTTCGCTTTACTGCACTCCTCGGTGTCATGACAGCCCGCGCTGTCCAGATTTTTGAAGAGGTAAGAGAATAGGTGGGTCTGCATTTCCGCCCAAAGCTTTTCGCGGCCCAGAGTTAGGGTTGGGTGGAGGCTGGGTGAAATCTGGGTGGTTTTCCCAGTTGCGCTCGTGGTACCACGATACAGGATTTCCTACAAGAGGCACATGTTTCAGCAGAAAGTACCAATGAGGAGCCAGGACTGTAGAGTACGCACGGGGAACCCGGGATTTTCCACTGTATAGAGAAAGAGTCTTGCTTGTACCGTTTCTAATCGCATTTCAAAGGAGAACTGGACGAGATCCGAGATCGAGAGAGATGGCGAGAGAGAAAAATTTGGAGTGGAAAGGCAGGCGGATCGGATTAACCTGATGCCTTCGTTCCTGCAGTGTGGCATGTCGTATTTGTGGCCAAGTCGGATCATCGCGAAAACGACTTCAAGGGGTGGACTTGCTCCTCCGTTGAGAAACCTGGACGCAATCCGGAGCCGCGGTTAGATAAAACTAATGAGTGAAAGTGATAAACAAAACGCACAATACCGAGGAATAGAATACCCTGAGAATGGCGTCCCAGTCCATGGCTGAATCCGACACAGGAACAACGGGACAACCCTCCACCGTCTCGGTACTCGTGTCATTGGTACTGGGCTGGGGCAAGGAGAACATGGTCGAAAGTATAGCAGAGTGGTATGATAGTACGCCTCTGTGAACGCGAAATTGGACCTTTTCTGCCTGGATTATTACATTTCCGTCGTCGAACCACCAGGTCTTCGCTCGTTGTATCGGCTCACTGTCCGGGCTCGCCCCATCTGGTCCTTCAACGCGCTTTCGTTTGGCTAGGAGAGACAAAGATGAGGATCCTGTTTGTTCAGACATATCAAGACCGTAAACGTCAAACGAATGGATACGAGGGTGAAGGGGGTTCAGGTCAGAACGCGTGGGGACGTCACTTCTCGAGCAAATGAGATCACATGACCACTTTAGGGCAAGCATTTTGGCGTCGACATCAGGCAAGTTCCTCCGCAAACGAGCTGTGAAGAGTAGAACGGATGTGGTGAGCGTGAAGAGTGCTTGCTCCTCTAAGGATGGTCGTTGGGTGTATATGAAGAAAATGTGCCTGTGAGGTAATATCAATATGTAGAGCAAGGATTCAGCAGCGGAAGATGAAGGGGAAGGTACACACCTATGGGCGCCGCTGTACGATGAAGGGTTAGGCTGTAGGCACACAATCGCTGCTTGCGTTCTGTTTTTGAGTTCGGGGTGTAGGCCGTATCCGAGGCGCGCGAGTTGAGCAGGCGGCGAGAACATGATATTTAAAGGGAAATTTGTTTTATTTCTGACACTTTTCATAGAGGAAGGCAATAATGAACCAGCAATCGTACTATACACCATCTAATAATAAGTTCTGGTGTACGGTCATGGGTAGACACGAGTTAATCCCTAGTTTCGAAGTCTAGCACCTGGGAGGATGCCCGACGACGCTCGAAGCAGTCTTGAACAATGCGATCTCCCTGTTCCTACGAGCAACCAAGCCGGGCAGAACCTGGCCACCGGCGTACTTCCATCGAGGAAGCTCCTCCTCCGCAACCTTGTTCGGGCTCTCTCCCTTGTTGAGTCGCGAGATCAAGGCAGAAGAGGCGGTGTTACCGCAGCCAACGTTGAAGGCCCACGAAACCAAGGCACCGTACTGGTTCTCGTTCAGCCTGATGGAATCGTTGATTTGGTCGGAGATGCACTTCTGGAAGGTCTTCAAGTCGGTCATGAGGAGAGAGGTGGCCTGCGCTTCGGTCAGGGGGAAACTGTATGGGACCTCGCTGCATCCCTTATTCTTGCAGAGGTGGCCGTATCCGACCGTGGGGAGACCGATTGGATCGGGTGCAGGGGACCTGACGAATCCTTCGGAGTTCTTGATTTCCTGGACGGTGCGGGAATTGACCGGGCTGTAGGCGCAGCTGCTAGAGGGGATGCAACACCTGAAGTTGGAGGGACCGGGGCAAAGGCCTGTCGGAATTATCAAAGGATCAGCAACTGATCGACAGAATACGTCGGATGATAACTTGGTACTTACCGACGAGGACGTTGCCGCTAGAACAGGTGTTGGTGAAACGGCAGGTGCCGTTGGTACTGCACTTCTTGGTGCAGCAACGGACGTTGGCAGGATCGTTGGGGCAGAAACCGACAGCGTTGGTGCCACCAGCGTTGGCACAAGCCGTCGTGGTGATGCAAATACCGGGCGTGCCGTTGACTGAGCAGGGATCGTTGATGGCGCCTTGGACCGAGACGGTCAAGGCGAAGACGATGGTGGAGAGGAGAGCAATGGGCTTCATGATTTGGAATATGCGGAATATGCGATGTCGATAAACCAACTGGTTTGGAGTTCGACAGTAAAAATTCTTGCATTTTATAGTCGATTTATGCGCCTTGGCGATACACGTCCAGCATGGTTGTGGAGATCGCTATCTTTCCAAGGTAACAGCAGACGGTGAACGTTTTTCATGAATAAATATTCTCCATCGCAGATCTGCCAATCAATGCTTGAGCATCACAATGAACATGTCTTCGAGAAGCACCTTCGAGGTCACCTGGCAGTCGAGAAGAAGTCTAGATGACGGGGATACCGGGTCTTCACAGCCCTGAATGCAGACAGAAAGAGGCGATAGCCGCCGATAAGTCGGGTCTCCAAGAACGTTGAAAGCGAGCGAGAAGGTTGGGACACACACTGCGTACGAACTGCAAAGATCCTTGTCAATTTCGCGGATCTTTCGCAGCGGTGGGCGCGTTTAGGGCGCCATCGAGGTCGGGTCTCACCTGTATCAACCACAGAAGGAGGCTTTCGGTTTTTCCGCATTCGTGTGTGCGAGCCTCGCTTTTCTGCGACCTGTCTGGCTCTGAGGTCCTAAGGACGAGATCGTATCGCCCAAGGTTAAGTATCTCGGTGGTTGTGGGATAGAGGGGTCCTTAGATTTTTGCAGGTTTGCAGTTTCCAGGAGTTGCGAGTATATCAGAATTCCAGTCATTCCCGATGCACATTTGCACAGCGACGAAGCCCAAATCAACGATGTCGAATCTGAGGGAAGTCCGAAGTCCAGCGGCGGAGGGAGAGGTGTTGGCGATGTAATTTCGAAGGCTTCCCGTAATATCAGTCCGACTCTATTCACACAATCCGGACCTAGTAACTTTCGGGAGAGAACGAGAGATTATTGGAAGACGAGGAGAGGGCGCTGCACACGCCAAGGGATAGTGTCGGTGTTTGGTTCTCAAGGGAAAGCCAAGCAGAGGAAACCCATAGCATGATTATTGAAAGGCTTGTGGACGTCCTTACTCATCAAATTTACAGACGATTCAACTCGGTATGATGGAAACGACTACAGCGCTCCTGTGTGCAGCAAAGTAGATACAACGGTGAGCCACGCTCGAGATTTTTTTCAGCGCTTGCTGACTAGAATCGGAACTTCAATTGACTGATGGGAATGTGACGCGCGAAGAGCGAGGCGCAAGCACCGTTCTTTCCTTCTGTTCCCCAATTTCAAGTTTACATTTCGACTTTTTGGTCGTGAACTCAACTGAAAGTCGGGTGTAAATAAATATGAATCGCTACACACATAGTGAGCATACAAGTCCGATTTCGAAAACATCTGGGACTGATTTATTTCTTCGGAGTCGTCTACTGGTCCGAATCCCATCGCAAAAGCTCAGACATTAAGGCTCTTTAGAATGAGATTTCTATCTCTACCCACCGAGCGAACATGCCAACCCGGTGGCTAGCCTCTTATTGGTCTACCAGACCCGCTGCTCGCGCCTCCAGATCATACGCAAAAGAATGGCTGCACAGCGCGGCTACCTCCATGGAGGATCGTCTGGCGCTAGTAGCCGGGCTGACATTGCTCGTAGCTGGGACATCATACGTTCTAATGACTCTATCCAGGTCGAAGCCGACGCTAAGAAAGGCTGGCGTTAACCAGGCCGTCACAAGGGAGACTGCTTCGCTTCACCATATGCATCGAGTCTCCGCAAGAGCAGGTGAGTAGGTTGTCCTGATCCCAGTTCACCCCTTGACGCTTTTATAGTGATCTCCACCATCGCGTGCTTATCGCTTGCTCTCTTGTGCGTGTCCATGCCCTACTTCTCTGCCACTGAAACGCCAATGCGAACATATTTCACGCGCAACGGCGTTGAATTCTTTACCACTGATACCCTGGGTCCCGAATTGCTCCTCCGGCATGAACCCTTCTGGACCATGGCGAGATTGAGACGCCTTATGCCACCCGACAAAACTCCATTCCTCCTTGTGTTCCAACAACTTTCCTCGACCTTCAAATCGCTTCTACATAAAATCGACGCTGAGCTCTGTCCCTTCAATCTCGGACCGATGCGGGTGAACACGCTGGCGGTGATATGGAAAGGAGAGGTTTGGTTGGGAGCGCTAGCTCTTTCTGGGGCATTGGACTGGCTTATTTGGATGTTCCGTGTATTTTCGCTCAAGCGACCTTCCCGCGAAATTGAAGACGGAGAAAGAGATATTGATGATGGTGATGCCGTCGATGACATTCGGGGCGAGGGTCTTGAGGTAAGTGACTCTCCCTCTCGAGCAACCTTGACGCGGTTGCTTAAATCAATCATAGGACGATCCAGACATCTTTTCCATCAACGGGGACCTCTCCCAGGCTATGCATTCTTTCTGGGTCGATCACAACTTTCTCAAATGGCTCGGATGGCCCCTGGTTCCTGTCGTATGGGTTTTTGGGTTTGCAAAAATGCATTCGAATTCAACGGTCAGTCGGATCACTGTGGGTCAATTGTTATTGAGTTGTAAGGGACGAAAGCTAACAGCCACCTGTAGGCCGTGTTTTGTGCAAGGCTTCCATCGATGGAAGAGTGCCTTGCCAAATTGCTCCGTATACACAAGGCGGATAGCGTATACAACGCTGGGTCCAGTACTGCTTCGCCGTTGGCGACACCTTCACTGTCTATAGTGCCCGCTTCCCCCGAGCCAGGCGCCATGGTCTTGTTGGACCCGCAGTCGACTGTAATGGAGGAATTACTCGATTCACTGCGACATAAGCTAGCCGAACAAGTGAGATCAGATAGTCCTTGTGACGGTACCGGGGACTAACATCCCGTAGGAACAGATCATTGAGCAGCAGCGGGATAGAATTGAGAGACACTACGGACTATGCTGGAAGATGGTACGACTGCGCAGCCTTCACCAGAAACTCATCTGACTCCACGGCCTCGTTCGCAGCATGAAGAATATTTGACTGAAGTGAGGATTCCCCGACCCGCTCCCTTCTTTTTGATTCATTGTGCACCTTCAGATTGCGACGCTGCGCTCAGAGATCCGTGAATGGAAGACCGGTCAAGCCTTCGACTCGAAACCGAACGGAAAAACACCACAGGATGATGCCCGGCTCCTCAATGAATCCGAAGACAAGGCACTCGTTGGACCTTTGTCTTCGATGGAAATTCCTCATCCTGCCGTGGGTCCCAATCTTTCCATTACTTTCCAGGGATAGACTGCTGATCTGGATTCACAGAGCGACAGCACAGTCTCGCCATCCGTGACTGTGATTTTCGACCCCAGCGAGATGCCCAACGACACCATGCTCTTCGACCTCTCTTTCGGTCCCAGGACAGCGTCGGTAGCGGAATCTCTAAGCAGCATAGACGACCCCTTTCATTACCCTTGGCAACGAGGCTCGTCTCAAGCTTCATTGGATCTCAGTCAATTATCTGCCGAATCTCCGTCCTCAGGTACGCCTTCTGAGTATACCTTGAAATGGAGGGGCAGGTCCGCGAGTTTGGGTCCAGAGAGATCGCCTTCGCTGGGGAGTTATCCCAACTCATCGGAATGGGTTGCTGGGGTGCGTACAAGGATTTCTATTGAACCTTGCCTGTTGTACTGATCATTCCTCCCGCAGCTCTGTGAAGACCTTTCGATAGACTTCGCGCAACCTCCCAAGAAGGATTCGCCTCGTCGTTTCGAGGTTCTTCCAGGTTCTGAGTCTTTCATCGGCAACTCTAGCTATAACTCAGGTCCTACGGTACGCCTGTCGCTCTCATTCAGACCATAACCTGATCTTCTTTTCCTAGCCGTCGGGGCACATCTCAAGGCGATTTGGTGGTATCTCCATGGTCAATCACATTTCACCAGCCGAACCCGAATTCAAAGCCAATCAACTCGAACTCGAAACCGATAAAGAAAACAAAACTCGCGTACTCGAAGAAATTGTATCATAATCCAGTATATGTGTCACGGTGCTATCGAATGCAATCCCATCTCCCAAGACAAAACCGATTAGCAAGGGGGCGGGTGGGCAATAACGCTCGAAGCAGTCTTGAAAAGCGTGACCTCCCTCGCCCTACGAGTGACCAATCCAGGCAAAACCTGTCCGCCAGCCATGTTCCACCTGGGCAACTCTTGCTCAGCAACCGTATTCGGATTCTCACCCGCATTCAACCTCCTAATCAACGTCGACGAAGCCGTGTTCGTACATCCGACATTGAATGCCCACGATACCAGCGCACCGTATTGGTTATCATTCAACCTGACGGAATCGACGATGTCCCGTGCGATGCAGTTCTGGTAGGTGCGAAGGTCGCTGATGAGGAGGGCGTGTGCTTGTGCTTGGGTGAGAGGGAACGAGTAGGGGACTTCGGTGCATCCTGTTCGTTGGCAGAGATGGCCGTACCCGACGGTTGGGAGACCGATTGGGTCTGGCTCAGGGGAGGCGACGAAGCCTTCGGAGAGCTTGATTAGATCGAGCGTGCGGGTGTTCACGTTTGGCGCTGTGCATGAAGAGCCGGGGAGACAGCATTTGAAGTTCGCTGGGCCAGGGCAGAGACCTAGACATTGTGATAAGATTGTATGGAGAATGCAATATCAGAACGTTTCCCTCAACGGTATCAGATGGGATGTGCTATCTGACCTGTCAATGTGTTGCCACTTGCACATGTGTTCTCGAAGCGACAGATGCCACCGCTGCTGCATGTTTTAGTGCAGCAACGGACGGAGGTGGGGTCGTTGGGGCAAAAGCCTGCGGTGGAAGTACCTCCTCCAGCGGAGCAGGTGGTCGTGCTCAGGCAGACACCGGGAGTGCCATTGACGGAACAAGGGTCGTTGATGGCAGCTTGGACGGAAGAGGCGCCCAAAGCGAAGGCGATGAATGCAGAGAGGATAGTTCGTTTCATTGTTAACAAGAGAAGGCAGAAGCAGGAGTTCGAAGGGGCCGTTGGGGACTCTTCACAGAAGCAGAGTGGGGTTCTTATAAGCTTTCCCCGCTGTGTTCCTAGATAGCAATCTTGGCGGGAGCGGGGAAGCATGGTGTTGGAGACATGAAGTGACGGCTGTAATCCATTGCGGCGGTCTCTTGCGAATGGGTACTGTCACATCGAGGTTTCCGCATGGAGAGTTATCTGCTTTCTAAAGCTTCGCAACGTGCGTCTTTCTTCGGGGCCCCTATTGTGCGTTCCATTGCAGATTGACAGTGTCCACTTGCTGGATACTGGCAGATAGTAATCCGAACAAGAGCTCCCTGGAGTGCTTCAAGGCAGGTTCAAGTGTGCCATGGAACTGTCATATCAACGGAAGAAGCTAATGGAAACAGAGAGCAAACGGACGAAGCGTTCTGGACTGTTGAAATGCGGATTGAGACTGATGAAGAAGACTTGAGGCCGGCATTCGTGGTGGGGAGAAGGCTATCGTTGAGTATTTACAGCCTTCAATATGATGACAGTTCGCATATTTGTCGGATCTCCCACCAATAAGTAGCCTCTTTACATTTACAGTAACTCCCCCGAAGTGCACAGTCTTTGAGTGTCTCCGATCAGAGAATTTCAAGTTCATTTCGATAATGGCAAAGGAAGCGCCCAGGACGGCATGGTTACTTCTTGCGGCTGGCAAGGGCTTTGCTCTTCTTTTATGCCAGAGGAATAGATTGGCGCCCGCGGATCGAAGATTATTAGGAGCAGGACGGGCGGCAATTGGTTTTGTGAGGATCGGTTTGATTGTGGTTCTCATACTTTATACAAGGCAAGGCATTCGAAAAAATAGTTTATGGATGTAACTAGGTTAGCCGTTAGGTGTTTGAAGAAAGGGTTTCGTTCGCCCTGTTTCGTCAGCCTAGCAGCCAGTGCCGCCGGTCCTGTCTCCGCATCGATCCACCTTGGGGAAACAGCACTTGAAGTTGGCGGGGCCCGGGCAAAGACCTATAAGACAGTACATTAGTGCTCTGTGACTTTAACTCGGGGGTAAAGTAAGAAACACTTACCTACGGCGGTGAGGCCAGTGCGACACGTGTTCTCGAAGCGACAGGTGCCACCCTGTCCACACTTCTTGGTGCAGCATCGAACGTTCGCAGGATCCTTTGGACAGAAACCAACGGCGTGCTGACCGCCCTGGTTTGTGCAGCTGGTGGTGGTGAGACAGATACCAGGTGTGCCGTTGACCGAGCAAGGGTCGTTAATGGCGGCAGAGGCCGAGAGCGCAAAAGCGAGAACGGCGGCGAGGGAAATGGCTTTCATGGCTGCGAGTTTGGGGTGGTTTGGGCTGAGTAGCAGCCGGCGGTAATACTTAAGTACTCTCGTGCCATCTTGGCAAGACAGCAGTATTGAGGCCAGATCCCGTCGCGGAGGGGAAATAAGGACGATGGGATTCCAAGGATTGACAAAGATCTCGAGGAGCAAACATGTTCTGTCGACCATATGATTTTCTCAAGCGCTTGAGAGCACTTTTTCACTTGCTTTCCTCTCGGTGCCTGATCGATACCACCTCCGGGGGGAATGTAAAGCTTGGGACGTGACCGTCAAAAGCCCCGCTACTCCAGAGTAGATCCAGGCTAAGGCTGAAGCACTCGAACGTGACCAACGGTAACCGCAAAGCTACGAAAAACATAGCATCGAGAAGGTAACCATCATTTAAACACAGGCTTCGAAAAAGTTCGCCCTGAAGAAGCGCAGATAGCTCGGATCTGCAAGGAATTATAAAGTCACCGATAAGCAAGTAAGTAGTACCCTCAATTGTCCGAATCCGGTTGGAACGACTTCACCTGGACCTGATAGACGCCGGCGAATGTGAATTGATCATGATGTTGATCTGAGATCTGAACGTAGGTTGTAAGTTCTTCCATTCCAGCTCGTGCCACTCTCTCCCCGAAGACCTGCTACTTACCTCGATTCAGACGGTTTGATTCGGTAACAAAGGCGGATAATCGATGCCGTGGTAGATTCATGCACCCACGAGAGCTTGGGATCCTTCCCCAACAGTCCCCAACTCGCTCGTATCATGCACTTGAAAATGGAAGAACATCAAGAAACCCACACCCAAGGAAAACATACTTCTTTACTTCTCATGGTGGCAGCTTGTTTTTGTGCTTTCTCAAGCAAGTTCGCCCCACTTGATTACTCTTCAGCGGGGTGTGAGTAGTGGTCGTGCAGCACAACGCCATGCATGACCTGAGCCGCTCCCAAGCAGGGATCAAGGCAAACGAAAGGCAGCGAGGGCAGCGTCAGACAGACTCCAGACATAGGATCCACAAAGGCTATTATATGACTGTCTTGAGAGCTCTGAATGTTTGAGGAAATTGCCTAAGTATTGTCAAAGCCCTCCCGCCCAGTGTAAGAACGACTATCCAAAGAATTGAGTTTGCTTCTGAGGCCAGCGCAGCGGTGATGTAAATTCCTTCCCAGATTATACTTGATTTTCAATACAAAGGGGCGGATCCAGAGATATTCGCCGAGAGAACCGCGCTTATCCTTTCAGTCGACAAGGTCGAGAACCCAAAAATCCAAGTCCTCTGCGGGTCATCCGGGGATCCTGTCGCATCCTGAGAGCCGTCGAGTATAAATGTCCGTGGATTTGTCATTCGGCGCGCGAACCCCCCAGGGACTGGGCAGCCATGCAGTTGGTCTTCATTTCTGTTGGCGAATTCGAGGTGGAGGAAGGAAGCAAAAGCTATTGTCAACTCCGACTCAATATCTTTGGGCTATAACATCCGAGCATCCCGGCCCGCAGAGGCTCTCCGAGTCACATCTCCGCGTACACAGTCCTGCGATGTTGCAGGAACCGAATGTCCAGCTTCAGGTGAGTGGCTTTGCAATCCAGGCTTTGTAAACTCACTTTGAGCTCACACCTTTCTGTCAAGCGAGCAGCTTACAATTCATGATAGCACGTTCACTGCTTAATGACTCAAAACGTCCGGGAACATACCGGCATTCTCAGAAGGATGATTAATCCAAATAGTTCTTAAGCTCATGGCTCATGGCCAATGTGTATCCGACGAGCGACGGCCGCCTACACCTTCTTCTGTACTTCCATCCTGTTCCTCCTCATAAGGAGGGCAAGTTCCAGTCTTGAGCCATCCGACGAGCGACCCGCTAGAACGATGCAACTCAAGCAGCCGGGAGAAACGTCTGCCTCGCAAGTTGACCTCAAGGACGAAAACAAGGCGCAGACACCGTACAGGAAGGACTTTGGGATCCTATTCGTGCCCAAGAATGTCCAGTTCGATCCTGAAAAGCCCTTCCATTGGGGTATGATGCTCAACATTGCATTCGGACTTGGGAGCATGTTTAGTGAGTTCAATTCCCTTTGGGATACTATCCATATGTTACTAACTGTGTCTCACAGCGGCTGCCAACCTGTACTACTGCCAACCTCTACTAAGTTTGTTGGTCTTTCCTCAAGGAACAAATGAAATTGGGCGCTCATTGCTTTCCCCTTTGTAGTTCAACTTGCGGATTCGTTTCATGCAAGTTACGGAGATGTCTCTAGGTGTGCCGCGGTCCTCCCACATTGTTTGCTCTGGACTGACCTCCCATTCAGAATACCTACTCTTGTACAGGCAGGGTAAAGCCCGTATCTCACTAGATCCCCCGATCCACACTAACCATTGACTATGCAGATACGCAGTGGGACTTCTCTTTATAACCCCACTGGGCGACCTTGTCCGCCGGAGACAGCTAATCCTCCTCCTAGTAACAACTTCCACCCTCCTTTCCATCGGCCTGGCCGTAACATCCGACCTCGTTGTCTTCGAAGTCATAGGCTTCTTCGTCGGGGTGTTCTCCGTCACCCCTCAAGTCCTCCTCCCACTCGCCGCAGACGTTGCCCCCGAATCTAGACGCGGAACCGCCATCTCCGTCGTTCTCTCCGGGTTGCTAATGGGCGTACTCATTGCCCGAGTCCTGGCTGGCGTGATAGCCGAATACGCATCCTGGAGGGTGGTGTACTACATGGCAATCGGAGCACAAGCGTTCGTCCTCCTCGGAAGCTACCTCATCCTCCCCGACTATCCATCCAAGAATAAGCATCTGACCTATTGGCAGATTCTTTGGTCTATGGGGAAGTTCAGTGTAACGGAACCAAAGCTTATTCAAGCGTGCCTGATCAACCTCGCCTCTTGCGCATGCTTCAGCAACTTCTGGGTCACGCTAACCTTCCTTCTCGGAGAACCTCCGTATTCATATTCCACGCAAGTCTATCTCCTTGTTCCCTTCTTTTACCCAAAAACTGACTCTTCGCCACAGTCTTGTGATTGGACTGTTTGGCTTGATAGGCATGGCAGGTGTCGCGTTTGGTCCGTTCTGGGGGTACCTAGTCGATCGCTTCGAGCCCTGGTACGCAACCCTCTTCAGTATCTTCCTCGGCCTCGTTTTCTTCGGCGTGCAACTGGGCGCGGCTGGAATCCATGTCGCGGCTGTCATCATCGTGGCCTTCGGGTTTGACGTCGCAAGACAGACCATTCAGATTTCGCTGAGTCAAATTATCTTCTCGTGAGTGACAACTTGGATTCCGATTTGTAGTAGGAGCCCTTCTGACTCGCGACTTCTAGCATCTCGGCGGAAGCTAGGTCAAGACTGAACGCGGTGTTCATTGTCGCGGTTGGTTGTTCCCGTTCCTGACTTAGACTTTCATGTCCTAACTATCACGAGATAGCTTTTCATAGGTCAAGTCATGGGAACTTCAGTCGGGACCAAGGTCTTTCTAGACTACGGTTGGCGAGCCAACGCGGGGCTGAACATGGCCTTGATGGGCTTCCAGCTCGTACTCTTGCTCCTCCGTGGACCACACTGCCAGAGATACACCTGGTTTGGATATGAGGGAGGTCTAGAGTGGAAACAGGATAAAGACAGGACGAAGGTGGAAACGCCTGTAGAACCGCAAGAAAACGCGATAGAGCAAAAATAGATCTAGACAATCCAATACGTTCGGTTTTCTCGTGATGCAAGGCTTCGAATCGCGCATGGCATTGGGAGGCTTAGGGTACATATCGAGTCCCGACGGGTTAAGACTTAAGTCGAGCACTGATTTGAGAGCTTGAAGAACAAAGAAAAGGAATACCATTCCAAACACAAAAAGCGCAAAAGACTACAAGCGGCATACGTATACAAAAAATCACATAATACACAAAAATACTTTTTCTGCACTCTTTTTCTCGATGATTACTGCTGCTACTAACTAAAAAAAACCGATTGAAGTTTGAATTTGAACACGCAACACCTGGAACGCTTGACTTACTGCGGCGGGTGACTGACGGACTGACTGACTGAAATGACGATGAAAACTAGAGCTAGAGACTACAACCCCGATTCAGCTATACTTAAGAACGAATTTGAAACAGCCTGGTGCAAGGAAGATTTCTGATACAAGGGGGACAGGCTGAACGGGAAGAAGGGGCACAAAAAAGCATGGATGAGCGAGGAGGGGGCAGCATAACTGAAAATGAAGCCCTCCGACCCTTCAAGTTGCGATGATTAAATATGATCAGCCGTTCCGAGTGCGTGAAGAAGGATTAGAGGGGATAGAGATGGAAGGGATGGACTGCGGCGACGAGGAATGGAATAACAGTGTGCGGATGGTGTATGAAAGCATGCGGATAGTAGGAAGGACGGAAGGAAGAGTGAGTGTGCGGAGAGGAGCCTATGCGGAATAGTCGATGGATGATAGTGAGATCCACTGAATTGGGATATATAGCGATGCATGGAATGGGGAAATGGGAAATGGGAATTGAATTGCCAAGGATGAGAGCGCAAGAGATGAAGCAAAAAAGAGTCCGTTTTCGCGTGCTGAATTATGGGAGTGAAGGATTGTGGGGGTATGACGGAGGGTAAAGGTATGGTAGGGATTACTAGGCCGATGCTGTGGCCGACTCGGTTTTGACACCCTAAGAACAAGGAATTTCAGTACACAGAAGCGGATTGGGGGAAGGGGAAGGTACACACCGTCGACCGACAAGCAGGACAATTGTTCTTGCCAGTTTGCAACCACTTGTCCACGCAATCCTTGTGGAAGGCATGACGACAGTTCATAATTCGAATGTCGTCTTCGTGGTCGTAGTCGTCGAGACAAATGAGACACTGCAGAAGATTCACATCAGCATCATGCAAGAAACTTTTAAGACAACAGGGACACATACCCTCTCGATACAATTGTACGCCACTCGTCCTTCATCTTCGTACTGCGATAGTTGCCAAGGCTTGATAATCTCCAGACCGGCCTTTTCGATGTCTTCCTTGGTCACAGTAGGTGCTCGAGCATGGCCGAGCATCTCCGCGAGTTCCCTGTATCCACGAAAATCGGTTAGCATCATTTCAACCTTACCAAGGACGGATGAAGAAACACGTACAGCAGAGCTTCAAAGGACTCGAAGTTCTCCAACCCTCCAGTAACGATAGCATGATCTGGAGGATAGTACCCGCCAATCACATAAATGAGGAACGTCCTCGCTCCGGAAGGCGGCGCACCATGTACGTGGCTAGCAGCAGACCCAGCGAGGGACGCTCTCCGCGAAGCCGCACCACCACCAGGAGCAGCGCCCGCAGAAGCACCCGTACTAGTAGGAGAACTGGCAGGCGATCTCACACCCCCATCCGTACTATTCCGCACAGCCTGCCGCCTCGTCCGCCTCGAGCTCGAGCGGCGCTGGGCGTCAAAGTACGCTTCGTCCTCCTCATCGTTCTCATCCTCGTCGTCGTCGTCGTCAAAGTTGATGGGTGGGTACCCGTAGGGATCGTTCTCGATTTCCTCGTTCGTGTATTCGTAGCCGTGGTGGCTGTAGAGGTCGCGGTAGCGTGGTGAGCGGGCCCATGCGGGACGCGGGTCAACGGCGGGTGTGGTTCTGGGAGGAGAGGTTGAAGTGGTGTTGTTGTTGGTAGTGGTGGTGGGTGAAGAGTTGATGTACCCTCCGCCGAAGCCGCTTCCGAACCCGTAGTCATCGTCATCCTCGACGACTTCCCGAGGAACGGAACGTGCGCTTGCACGGTCTCCGTCTTCGCTGGCACGGCGGGGAGCAACGATGTCCTCCGAGGCAGTGCTGAGTGGAGAAGGTCCAGTGGACACTGTAGACGTGACAGCAGGGACGTCGTCGTGCCAAGCCGCGGTGACAGACTGCAGACCGACGACGATGACTGGGACAACAGTCTGGCCTGGAGGGGGCGGTAGGAAATTAGGGAGGAATGGCGTCGGTCCAGAGTTTTGCGTGGTAGTCGTGGTGGAAGGCGTTGTCGCTGGTGTGGCGCGAAGAGCACCAGCCGGAGGGGATGTAGGAGAGGGCGCTGTTGTAGAATCACCCGTTCCGGACGTAGGCGCGGTGCCAGAAGGCGCCCCGACGATTCTGGGTGCGGTGATGGATGGGAATCGGTACAGCCTCCACCAGTTGATCCTTCCCGCAGAGTCCATTCGTCCAGATCCTCCAGCCGTTGTCGAGGGGGCAGTAGATCCCGGACCTGCAGGCTGCGTTGAGCTGGACGCACTGGCGTCGGCAGGCTGTTCTTGCGACGTTGATGGCGTCTCAGCCGGCGCGGATGAGTTTCCGGACGACGACGACGGACCAGCATTGCGCTGCTCTTCATCGACTGTGGCCATGGCACGAATTGCCGCTTGCTCCTCGTGCTGCTCCATCACTACAATTGGAAAAAAGACTGTCAGTAAAACTTTGAATGAGCGCACGGGTGTACTTACGAGCTTCGAGCCGAGCAAAGATGTCGTCTGACGCATCTTCTCGTTCCTGTGTCTCCTCTTGCTCTTCCTCCTCGTCACTGGAACTCGAATCATCAGAGATGTCCTGCAAGGGAGGCATATCATCATAGTCTCCGTCTCTGTCCTTGCGCGACCCGCCCTGTTGGACCGTGGACTGATCGTCCTCGTCCTCAGAATCTTCTTCAACACCTCCCAGCGTGACTCCAATGCGTCTGCGGGGAACATCTTCCTCCCTTATGGGTTCCCCTGTTTCCGAAACCGAGTCCGACGGGGACAGGGATGGCACAGGCGAAGTTGACCTTGAACCCGATGACGTCACAGTCGTCCGCGAACCGCGCTGTCCATCGACATAGGTCACGGTGGTAGTCGTTTCATGGGCTTGCTCGAGGAGCTCTCGTCGGCGGCGTCGCTCTTCCTCTTCTGCCGCTGCTTCTTCGTCGGATTGGCTCAGCGCAACCCGTAGATCAGCCTGCAGATCCACGAGGAATCGGTCGAAGCTGCCTTCAGGTGGGAGGGTACCTTCGCGGGTGGTTGTAGTTGTTGGCGAGGATCCATCAGTGGAGGGTGGGGTGGTGCTTGAGGGCTCCATGGTGCCCAACACGCCGAAACCGGGAGAAGATGGGGAATTAGGAGAAGTGGGGGAAGGAGTTGCTCCACCTGGCGCTGTTCCGTTCAGACCCAGGCCGATATTGAATGCCCGTGCCATCTCGGCCAACATTAGCTCCCTTGTATCCGTCACTTGGTTGCTTGAAGAGTTGGCTGCCATGAGTCCAGCAGTTGTAGTTGATGCACCCGATAGCGACGCGGTGCTTGAAGGAGGATGGGCAGGCGGGTTCGGTCGGAGGCCTAGGCGTTCTCTGATTGTGGACCAAGCTTGACGCATGCGCTCAGCCCTACCAGCGAGATAGGTATCGGCAGTCGCTGTGACCGGTGCAGAGTTGCTGCCGTCGGTGGACGTTGTCGATTCCCCGTCTGTGCTTCCATTGGAGCTGCTATCGTTAGAAGCGGCAGGAGGCTGCTCCGCTGAGCCTGTGAGAAGAGAAGCGGCGGTTGCTGCAGCAGCGACACTGGAAATAGAACAATCGTGCGGTTAGCCGGCGTTACTCCGATAGCGAAACGGGGTACTACATACCTGAGTAGGGTCCCCAGAACATCGATGCTGCCTGGTGAGATAGCTGGTGTGCGTGCGCGCTCTCCAAACACGCTTTCAACGGGAGCTGAAGCGTATTCCTCTGCTTCCTCGGGCGTCGTAACCCCGGTGCTGTTATTGGGCGTTGAGGACTCTTCTGAGCTGGACCTGGATGAGGAGATCGAGGCAGGACCGGGAGGAGCATCTGGAGTTCGAGGGACGCCTCGCGTGATGTTTTCGCTGAAAGGCACAGCGGAATCGTTTCTTGTTACATCGGTAGTGTGTACAATACCTTGCACAACCACAAGGGTGCCTGGAGGGGGGAATGCACGCGGAGATGGATTTGGTGCTGTAGAGTTCGTTGGTGCTGCCGTCGTTGATGAATGAACTGGTGGCGTCGGGGTCTGTGCTGCGACAGGTGTTGGTTGTGGTTCAGGCACGGGTGGGTTCTGGGCCGGGTTGGATTCATTATCGTCGTCGTTTGCTGTGTTGGCTGGTGATGACTCTGCCTCGAGCTGTTCCTCAAGCCATGCAGTAACAGTTTGGTGACTGGAAGGCTGATGGTCGCTGCCAGAAGGTGCTGGGTAAGGCGTTGAAGGACGATCTGAAGGTCTTTCCTCTGGATGTTCAGAGTCTACGACATCTTGGGGGATATCTTGTGGATACCGCTCAGGTTCCTTGCCCTTGTCCGACAGTGGCGTAGGCGCCTGTGCTGTTGGCGTCGCTGTGGTGTGCTGAGCCTCCGAGTTTGAACTCTCCTCGACGACTGGCTGAGGTGGAGTGAACTCCATAGGCGACTTTGACCATCTCCTCGAACTCCTCCACGATTTCCGCCTCTCGTTCAAGCTTTCAGCCTTGTCCTTCAACGACGTCGCCCGAACAAGGTTCATGACGCTTTTGCGAAACGACGAGCGCCGAGAGTTGCGTGTGGAGATGGGTTCCGTCGGCGTTTCCATGTCGCCAAACTCGTCAGGAGTCGATGGTGGTATTGATGTCGATGTCGAGGCTGCAGGCTGCTGTCGTTGGTGCTCGAGGTGGCGAGGTTGCGTGGTTCGACTTGAGGGAGCCTCTGGCCGCACTCTTGAACTTGACTGACCCATTTTATAGTAGTGTTAGAACGGAAAAAGCGAGGAAAAGAACGGGGAATTTGTGTGTGTCAAGTGTCAGCGAGGAAGAAGGCGCAAAGGCCACAACTTGACAATTGGGAATTGTCAGTTGTAGGATTGATAACAAGAATAAAAGGAATGAGTGTATGGGCTTCCTTGAAGTCCTAGGATCCCCCGATAAATGTTGGGGGACGCTGCTGAGGACGACGACGAAGACGACGGTGGTGGTGGTTGCAGGACAAGTCTGATCGCCTCGACGCTGTTGCCTGCGATGACCAACCCTTGCCGTTCGGAGTTTGTAACTGCCGCTCAATAAACACAGCCACCCATTTCCCTCCTCGTACCACACACACCACAAAAGCTGTATGGAGACTTGTATTTCTGCTTCAATTATTCTAGGTTACTAACACAGATAATCACGTCTGACATCTACACCCTTGACGCTGTGAAATGACTGCTCGAAACCATCTCTGATGGTTATCGCCCCTGCACACCACCTGGCAGTGACCTTATTGCTGTCCTGCGTCAATTTTCCAAAAGTGCTGAGTCAAGAATGCCGAAGTCACGCTTTTGAGAAGCTGGAAGCCCATTTTTCGAAGCTGAATTTAGCCTGACGTTCGAAAGGAGCTTCGAACGCCCGCGACGTACACGCGAAAGTCTGTCTAAACAGAGGCGGCGTCTCGACGCACTAAGCCCTTTAAGTGAAGATCGAGTGGAAGAGAAGGGGCAATTTGTAACGTGACAATGACAAAGCGCAGCCGTGCCTACACAGAGAGGGAGATACACAGCAGCGTACACACAGCTATCTTGAACCCTTCACTAGTAATAATAAGCAATGAATAGAGAGGTATGACATCTCCGTGATATATTAGTCCCAACAAATTTACCCCACACCATATTTACCCACCCCTTCCCGTCTAACATTCAACAAAGGTCAAATTGCCTCTCGTACATGTAAGATAAGCGGTAAGCGGGTGTGCCATTGCCGCGATACGCACTTACCCGGATACCCGGATGCCCGAGTGGTGGGATGATCGATTCGTCGGAGCTCGAGAGGGTGTGTATGTTCTTGTGACACTCGCGATAGCACGTAGGATAGACTATACAGCGTGGATGAAGCGTGTATTAAGCTTCTTGTGCACCCCGTGGGTTACGGGTTTGAATCCTGTGACCGCTTTGGGCGGGGCATCTCCCGCGATTGGGGTGTCGTTTCTCCGCGTCCATGCTTGGTAGAGCCTTCGATGGGTTGAAGGGACTTGGGGTGTGTGGTACTTGGACCGTTTGGTACTGGGGCTCTCACCAAGACCCTCGATGATGAGTTTCAGGCTGGGACAGCCATCGATCGTGGACGCCCTCAACCTCGACGTCTCTTGCTGCGTGGCTGCTGCGTGGTCTGCCGAGTATGACGTTGGTGAAACGCCTCGCAGTAGATATTAATGGTTAGACTGCGTTGGTCGAGGGTTCTCTGCTGGGAGCTTAATTTCGTCAGCTGGACTCGTGGTAAGGCGCAGCGGGACCGACGACTTGGCGCGTTGCTTCGAGCAATGACGTTACTTTCAAGAAACGCGAGGGAGTTATCGCCAAGTTCGCTTTCTACCGACGATACTACGAAGAAGTATATTCTTGATTAAACAAAGTCACCTACCGGCGGTTTGTCATCTTGTTAATCGAGTCACGACCCCGCGCCCAGGAATAATGATGCGTGAGCCCTCGACTTGTTTACAAAACCTACCCCGAGTGCCCGAGGGAGTAGGTCGTTCCTGGAGATATATCGGCATAGAATACCGGCTACTTAGAGGCTTATCGACATACGTCGACAGGGAATGACCATGTATGCAGTCGAAGATGAAATGTAGGGTTTGGAATGAGGGGAGTACGAGTATGTATGTCATCATAGTAGAGGGTTTCGCTTCATACTCGGTATTGACATCTTCACAGTGGGACAAGTTATTCTTTATAAATACTTTTGTCGCATTGAGAATGACACGCGCCGCACGGCGCGGAACAATAGTCCCAGTCCTAGTGCCCATGCAAGGATCGGTTTACAGTCGTCGGCACAGAAGCCAAGTTGAAGTCTTGGGATCATGAAGCAGGCTCCTTCCTCGAGCGCTGGAGGCAGGAGCACGAGACATTGCGGGTAACTCAAGTCGCATCATTGGCTCAGGCAAGCGATGATAAGCCCACAAATATAGTTGAGGTGGCAAAGGTATGATCTCCAGTGCCCCAACTACTGCGAACCCACCGATCTAACTATGTCAGCCTCCGGAAGGGCGGACGTGACTTTTGTATCAAGTGGCGTCGGTTTTATGTCACGAGGCGTGGAGGGAACACCATTTCATTAGATTTCGTTCTATTGACCCTTATCGAGAGAGGAGTGAGAAGTAACCATCTAAGTACTACTTTCAATTAGACAGGCTTAGGGCAGTTGGTGCAAGTGCAAGTGGGAGGATGATGGATGACGGAGCTGGACGTCTTGAACAAAGTAACCTCCGCTTTCCTTCGGTTAACCAACCCCTGCAGAACCTTCCCCCCAGCCTTATTCCACTTGGGCAGCTCCTGACTCGCAACGGTATTCGGGCTCTCACCCTTGTTAAGCCTCGAAATGAGCGCCGATCCACTCGTATTCCCGCACCCCACATTAAACGCCCACGAGACCAGCGCGCCGTACTGGTTCGCGTTGAGCCGGACGGAATCTTTGAGCTGGCTGGAGATGCAGTTTTGGAAGGTCTTGAGATCGGTTTTGAGGAGGGAGGTGGCTTGGGCCTCGGTTAGTGGGAATTTGTAGGGGACTTCGCTGCAGCCTTTGGTTTTGCAGAGGTGCCCGTAGCCGACGGTGGGGAGACCGATTGGGTCTGGTGCGGGGGATTTGACGAAGCCTTCCCATTGTTTGATGTGTTCGACGGTTTTGGAGTTTACGTTGGTGCCCGCGCAGGTGCTGCTTGCGGGGAGGCAGCATTTGAAGTTGGAGGGGCCGGGGCAGAGGCCTGGAGAAGGAGATCAAGGTTAGTGGGATGTTGGAGAGGATGTGAGAGAGAAGGGACTTGCCTGATAGCGTGTTTCCGCTGGAGCAGGTATTGGTGAAGCGGCAGGTACCGCCGCTGCTGCAGCTCTTGGTGCAGCAACGGACGTTGGCGGGGTCGTTGGGGCAGAACCCGGCGGTGGAAATTCCGCCCGCCGACGAGCAAGCGCTCGTGGTAACACAAACGCCAGGCTTGCCGTTGACAGAGCAGGGGTCATTGATGGCGCCTTGAACGGTGGCGCTCAAGGCGAGTACGATGGTAGAGAAGAGAGCAACTGGCTTCATGGCGGACGAAATGGGATGCGAGTCCTGTCGAGTTACGAGCAGAGATAATCGCGTTTTTATAGTCGCGATGTGCAGCTTGGTGGGAGCCTAAGATGGTAGGTCGAGATTGCTATCGTACCCAAGGTAGGATCGTCGATGGAATTGAGGCAAACCGCATGGTTTCTGAGGTGGCTTTTGGCGACCGCCTGCATAGGATTTCTCCGTATCAGACCAGTTGATGGTCTCTGGATCATGGTGAGGATAAAGTCCATGACGATCAGGGTACCCAGTTGCAGTGTCGGAGAGTGTCGGTTGCTGAAGAGAGACTGGATCGAGGCACAATCACAGAAGTTAAAGCGGAGGGAGGGTAAGGCGGGGAATGGGCAATGATGGATATGCCCTTTGGGCGTTTTTCGAAGCGCCTTGAAGATCTTTGTCAATCCATCTAATGTCTCGATGGTGGCATGTCGCCGTGTTCAGACGAGATATCTCTTGCTGATGCTGGTCACTATGTGATTTTCAGCTGATAATCGGAGACTTTATTGCGCGTTGTGGAGGAAGTCGAGGTCACCTGAAAGGCCTGGAGGAGGTCGATGGCCTTTGGTCCCAGCTGTTCCTGGCGGGCGAAGTTGCCTCTCGCTCTCACGTTGGGCAACGTGCGACTGAGTACATAGAAGAAAAACCCTTGAGATGCGTTGCATCAAAGGTAGGCAAGTAACTGGAGAGCCAACGTTGGAGCTTCAGATAAGATGATCAGCTTCACCGGTGCCAACTAGCACATTGTGTAGGAAACGTTGACAGTATCTTGTCGATGTCACATTGAGTGCGTTGCCAATACCAGTAGTCTTGCCCGTTTTGCTCGACATCATTGTAGTCTTCAGCTCTCCCACCATGGAACATATTTCTTCCCCCAATTCCCTGATTTCCGGGACTTATGGCGGCTGGTCAAGGGAAAAGTGAAGGTTAAAAGACAACCCGATGTCGAAGAGCCATTGGCTTTTCCCGATTCGGTGTGGGATTTTTCGACTGAGTTTCCCAGCACCCGCCAGGATCCATTGAGCCGTGGTTTCGACAAGGTAGTAGTCAATGGAGTTAGGGCTGCAGTCGTAGGGTTACATGCCGTACATGGCTTGTACATGACCCCGGCCGCTATGCATCTTTGATTCGCATGAGCGCAAAACATTCGCGTCGGGCCAGGTTCGAACGAGAGGTGCACCAAACCGGGATAGCTTTCCCACCCCTGTTCATTCCCGCTGGAAACGGATTTCCTGGACGTCTGACTCTTCTCCCGGTAACGACACAGCAATGGCGAGATATGGGCGCCGTCTGGGATCGCTCACAGCGTTTGAACAGCGCCACTACAGGGCCCACATACTGGACGCCTCTTTCCATTGCGTGTAGTCGTTATAAATCAGTTTCACTGCTCTGCAGGCAATCTTACTCCACAGCTGGACCAGCGCACAGACAGAGACTAGCTGCACTGTAGAATGGCCCCAACTACACGATCCGCTACTCGCTCGATGTCCGAACGACAGTCGAACCGTTCGAATGGCAGTACTAGCTCGCTGCCATCGACTTCGACCAGAACGACTGCGACTTCTCGTAGTAGGCCGAGCACCGCACTCCACAACTCCTCTCACCGTCAGGGTCAAGTCTTGATTTCTGGAGGCCAGCCTCCTCGATATGCTATCGACCTCTCCCAGGCCCCACGCGACCGTCATCGCGAAATATGCAAAGCCTTCAAATCCGAGATCCTTGCCCTCTCCCAGCTGTACAACTCCACCCTCGAGCTGTTCGGAGCACTGGGCAGGTTCATCGCGATGTTCGCGAAGGTGTTGTTGAGGAGGGTGTGGTCAGATGAGGAGACGGAGGAGATTAGAGGGATTGCGGAGGAGAGTGGGATTCCGGTCCATATGGTCGTGGCGTATAACACGTTTTTGGACTTGTTTTCTGGGTGTGTTAGTGGGGGTGTAAGGGAGGGGAGTGTGGAGGGTGGGAGGATGCTGCACTTTAGAGGATTGGATTGGGATATGGAGCCTTTGAGGGATATGATTATCCAAGTTGAATATGTCAGGGAGGGGAAGGTCGTTGCAAGGTATGCTCCAGACTTGGTACCGTCGAGCGAAAGCTGACCATGTGTGGTTGGATAGAAGCGTCACATATGCTGGGTATGTTGGAAGCTTAACGGGCGTGAGGTGCGGAACATTTCTCCCTCCGCTCTCCTTTACTTACCAATTAATAGGGAAGGACTCTCAATATCGTTGAATTACCGAGCAAGAATCATCTCGTCCAAGTCCGTGTTCGCCCACCGTTGGCATCAATTATGTCTTCTTCTGGGCTTCCGACAATCCATTTCTAGTCAACTACGCACCCTCCTCCTTTCTCCAGGACCAGCACCGTCCCTCGACCATATCTCGTCAACCTTCCAATCGAACCACGCTTCCCCTTCCTACTTGACGTTCTGCTCCCCCGCAGAAGTTATGGTGATAGAAAAAGACCTGAAAAGTGCGACGGTGCAGAGGTCGGATTCGTTCCTTGCTGTTACGAACCATGACGCGATGATGGAGGAGTGGGACGAGGGTGTGTGGAGAACCACGGTGAAAGAGAGCGGGCTTACGGATATTGGAGGGATCATGGAAGATAGTATCCAACGAAAGCGATGTGTTGCGGGGATGTGGAAGGAGTGTAGTGGCGGACTGGTGACTGCGAAAGGGTCGGGTATGAGTGGGAAAGAGGGTGGAGTGTCGGTGGAGGATGTGAAGAAGTGGTTAAGGACGTATCCTGTTCGGAATGAGTGCACGCATTTTTCGTGTATAATGGATCCGGCTGGAGAGGGTGGTGGGTTGGTTTGGGCGGAGACGTACGATGAAAGCGCTTGATGCGGCATGGTCGTAAAGAGCGTACAATGTGTAATCGGGTGAAGGAGTGCTAATATCATGGGATTTATTCAGGTATTCGTCTATTGGTCAACCCAATATGAAGGTGAAGGATGGATAATGCCATAAACAGTGACATTGACGACTACTTTAACACTTGGGAGGATGATGGATGACTTTCGAGGGTGTTTTGAACATTGCAATCTCCCGCTTCCTCCTATTGACCAGCCCCTGCAAGACTTTCCCGTTGGCCTTATTCCACTTGGGCAACTCCTCTTCCGCAACCTTGGCCGGATTGTCACCCCTGTTCAACCTCGCAATCAACGTCGAACTGCCCGTTGCCCTGCATCCAACGTTAAATGCCCACGAGACCAATGCGCCGTACTGGTTCTCGTTCAACCTGACTGTATCTCGGAGGTCCTTCGAGATGCAGTTTTGGAATGTCTTGAGATCGGATTTGAGGAGGGAAGTGGCTTGGGCATCGGTGAGGGGGAATTTGTAGGGGACTTCGGCGCAGCCTTTGGTTTTGCAGAGGTGCCCGTAGCCGACGGTGGGGAGACCGATGGGGTCTGGGGCGGGGGATTTGACGAATCCTTCGGAGGATTTGATTTCGCGGACTGTGCGTGCGTTGACGGTGGTGCCGGGACATGGCTTGGAGTCTCGGGGCCCCGGGAGGCAGCATTTGAAGTTGGAGGGGCCGGGGCAGCGACCTGGGATTCGTGGTTAGTAGTCTCGTCACTCGGAAACGAAAGCGGACCCCCGAGGAGTGGGCTAGTCGTAGTAAAGTTACCTGAGAGCGTGTTTCCGCTGGCGCAGGTGGCGGTGAAGCGGCAGGTGCCGCCGTTACTGCAGCTTTTGGTGCAGCATCGGATATTGGCTGGGTCCTTGAGGCAGAACCCTGCAGTGGAGGTGCCACCGGCGCTACTGCAAGCGCTTGTTGTGATGCAGATACCGGGCTGGCCTTTTACGGTACAGGCGTCGTTTATCGCGCTCTGAACTGTAATAGCCAGTGACAAAAAGATAGCCGCGAATAGAGTGGGATTCATATAGAATGCAGGAGTATCGAGTGAAGGAAGAGATGAGTGATGGAGGACTGGGATAACGAAAAAGGCCACTTTTATAGCTGGAAACAGTCGGTTGAGATGTTTGGACAGTGTGCTTCCAGAGATTGTAAATTGTCCTGACTAAGATTAAAGATATGTGCTTTAGAAGACATGTGTGTGAGAATACGGGGAGAGAATAAGAGATATAGTTAAGCGCCTACGGGAGTTGAAGGGAGGGAGGGTGGAAGAACACACGCGTAACCAAGTGCGAAAGATGCGAAAGTCATTATCAACAGTCGTGAATGGGCACAGAGGATCCTTGTCATTTGGCTGATATTCTCGTTGATATTGGGAAGAAGTAGTGGTAAACGATGTCAGGTTTTCGGTACGTTATGGACCGGATTCAGTCCTTGAGAATGTTTCGCGCGGCCTGAGCCTGGGAGGCTGTGGAGGTGATAAATTCTGAAAACTATCTCGCTTTTGATGGAATGAAGCAAGCCAGCAACTTTGATTTCCTACCTTTGATGTGTCTGCTTACTGGGTATAGGGAAATTTGGAGAAGAACGGGAGTAGGCGCCCAAGAACTCTCTGTGATCGGGCGAGACGACTACCAATGATTGATTTGACATGTTCTTCATCATGGACATCATCTGTTTCTGTGAACAGGCAGTTAGAGAGAACGTTGGGAGATTCAAATAAGTTCTTCTGATGAAGAAGGTACCACAGAGCGACCGGATATACATAAACATCCTCGGGCGCTAGGAGTGAGAATGGTCTGATTACGTCATTGGGCGCTTACTTTTCAACGCTTCAGTTGGGTGGGAGTATTTATGCTAGACTTGGGCTGACGACCCAAAAAGGGACACTCACGCTTAATGGTCAGCAAGGGTATAACACGCCGCCTTACAAGTAGTTGACAGTGCATAAGACCGCTCTGAAAGAAGTCGAGTGAACGAGAGAGTTGCGCCCAACCGCGACATTTGTTTGTTCTCGAAGCTTAAGCCAAACAGTCCGGGCCCCGTTTGCCAATGCCTCCGCGAAATCGTTTTCTACCACAACTTCCTCCGAAAACCAAAATGCCCCACAAAAAAGCTAAGCGCAGTGCGCGAACGCAAGACAAGGCCCAAAAGTAAGCCCAGGAAATCTATTTCTGATCAAGCAGGAACTAACCAATTCAAGAGGCACTGATTGGGCACCAGGGAAAGATTCGATAGCAAACGAGGCCATTCCTAAATCTGCGCAGCGAATTCTCAATGCTGTCCAGATAAGAGAAGAATTCAAGGCCAGGAAACGAAAGTTAGAGGAGGAGCAAGAGGCGAAAGCTAATGCGAAGAAGAGGAAGAAAACAGAATTGAAGATTCTTCCTGGAGAATCGATTCAACATTTCAATAGGTGCGTGTGTCCAATTGAATGGTTTGGATGTCGAGACCTCATTGAATATCTTCTAGGCGTGTGGAGGACGACTTGAGACCTCTCGTCAAGTCGGCTATGGAAAGCGGTCGAGCTGTTGTACGCAAAGCTTTGCGAGAAGAACAAGAGCGTAAAAAGGCCAAATCGAAATCAAAATCGAAATCCAAAACTCCAGAACCCAGCGAGCCTCCGACTCCCAAACCTGCTCCTCCCAAGGATAAACACGCAGACCGCCCGAAAGAATTCGCCGTTGCTTCGACATCAGCTCCTAAGCGGCTCAACGATATCGCACAGGCTCCCCCAGAACTCAAGAAGCTTCCTCGGGGCGCTGATAAGCTGGTTGGTGGGACAAGCAGTAGCAAGACAGACGGGGTGCTGTCGATGGCGCAGAAGGCGATGATGGAACAGGAGAGGCTGAAGGCTATTGCGAGGTATCGAGAACTCAAGGCCATGAGGAGACCGCCACTGTTATCGGAGTCGGCGAAGTAGCAGTCGGGTTTTACTGGGCTGGTGGGGCAACCCTCATGGATAACTTTACGGCTGCTTTGGTGCGAGGACCTCGGGTTGGGATGTTTCGTCCATGTGAGCCTCGTGCATTCCCAATTCGATCTGTTTGTGATTATCCGTCGTTAATGGATCGCTTTCTCTCTCTCTATACAGAGCTTGTCGTATCTTTTGGGTATGAATGAACTATGTTTCTGCTCGAGTCGGAGCCCGCCTTTCCAATGGTTTCTGCTTGCCTAACGCCGATCCCTGGCATCCCATTGGTCGTGGATATGCCCCACATGTGCTCGTTTTTGGTGAGCCAATCGCTAGTCAACGCATCCCAGCATTGTCTCCTTGGTTTCGCGCGTCTTTTGCCCCGACTCAGCCTAGTCCTGAAATGATGAATTCGGGTTCCTGTGCTCTGCTTTGGATGCCTCGCGTCACCTCAACCAATGTTGCACTCTGCATGTCGGTACGAGCATGGTCCGCTCGTTATTTTTGGCTCGAGGATTTGGACTAACCTACCAGATTATAATAGACCTGTCTTCCGTGAAAAGGACAAAGGAACTAGGGATTGCTTCCCGCCGACCGATTCGCATCGACGCGCTGGCCTTCCGGGTTCACGCTATCCTGCCCCAGCATCAATATCTTTCTTCAAGTTCTATCTTTTCCTTTTCCCTGGTCAACTAAGGTCTATGGTTTGATCATTTTCAAGTAAGCATCGTTCGCCAAGTAGGATCACCCGTCGGTCTCATTCGCTGAGTTCAGTCATCAACACCGTCTTTCCACGAGCCTCCGACCCTGTCATCATCACCTTTGCTTCGTATGGATAAACTTCAGTGACTGGTTCATTGCGAAGAAAACGTGAGGTTAAGCATTATCGCATGCCCTTCCTGCCTAGACCCAGGAGAAGGAAGTTGGATCCCTGGTTACGGCTGATGATCGTCCTGATTTGCCCCATGGCCAGTACTTCACGATGGCAAACTGACAGCTGTGAGTGTATGTCTCGTCGATTCCATTCCATCTCCATCCGCGGCACTACAGTTACTTACCCTTCATTCATTCCAGGGGGGCTTGGAAGACGCATTGGTTCTGTACACCCCCTTAGTGATTCATACAACGGTTCATACCGCACTCTATGGACCTATGTCCACTCCATGAATCACGGTCGTCTTCCTTGCTTCGAACAAGGAGACCAGCTCGCTGGCTTTGAACTTTGTACCAGCTCCACACATCGACCTTTACCCAAGATTCTCCTCGACATATACTCTAGGTTTTGCTTTTGCTTTTGGTCGTGGGTCTTCCGGTCCGGTTGTCATTTTCTTTTCGGAGTTGGTGCTCACAGATCTGAAGTTCAGGACTACCTAACGTCAATGCAGGTCAATCGGCTTTGGGCCTCAAGATTTAGTTTTGCTCTGCCGGCCCTGTGGTCAAGCCGGTCCCCAGAGTCTCTTCTGCCAGGCTCGAAGCTCAAGGATCGAGAGTTTCGAGGCGGTTCTTTCGTCAAATCCCCGGTGTACTCGTCATGAACCTCTCTGCCTCCTCGAGTCTGTTTCAATTCTCGTGTGGGCTTGTGCATCGCGGACTTGTGAGGTTTGTCCTGCCGCCCGGAGCGCGAGCCTGATCCAGTCAGCCCCGGTATGTTATTTTGTTGGCTTCGTTGCTCTGTTCTGACCAGGTCTTTGGGTGATAGTCCTCGCACCCGATGGGGTAGGTATAATCAGACTGTGAAGACTGAAGAGGACCCCTGGTGGCCATGATCAGGACTCGTAATCAGTTTCTTGAATCAGGTCTGTTGGATTATTGGCGCTCGACTATTTTGCCCCATTCAGGAGATAAAGTCGACATCCAGAGTACTCTAAACTTAGACTTCTGTCCCAGAACAGATGACGAGTTGCATACCGTCTCCAGGGAAGGTGTGGTTACCCATCTTCATTAGATTGAACAAACTAACAGATCACCGCACAACCAACCGAGCCGCTCCCTCATCACCATCCATCCTCAAGGCAGCTTCAAGTTTCTGACGGGTTTCCAAAGGGTAGCTAATAGACAAATGGAGCAGCTCAGATTGGAACCCTTCTTTCCTCTCTTCCTTTCCTTAATGTGCGGCAGCGAGCCGGAGAACGCCGCGCGAAGATCCTTCGCACTACAGAATTCCAGAGGAAGATTTGGCTGTGCATCATGTTACCAGTCCTGCTCAAACTAAAACTCATTCCGCCATAATCGTCGGTCTCGACCCCTTCGACCACCTGAAGCGAGCTTTCCCTTTATGCAGGACTTGGTGGATGTCGCTCTCCCCGGATGGCCACAATCGAACCCTGCCGAGCTAAATGTCGACTCTAGTGCTTATGAAAGTCCGGAATTCGTCCTCTCCGCGGTTATAGTGGCGCAAACGGCAACTACAGCTTCTCATAGCAGCACCGTTTAAGAGCCCTGGCCTATAGCACAAGTGAGTCATCGTCATTTAGGGGCTACGCTGAAGGTGACATATCGTTTCCGGTCAAGCTTTCTTTGACAACGGATTATCGGCTTTATCATATCCAGGAAATGTACAGCACAAATGTTGCTTGCCATGTGTTACCATCCCGACAAACGCGAATTAGAGCTCTGCTGGATTGGAGCTTCCCCAGCGGCTGTTGGTGTCGCATAGGTATGAAATGAAGTCGTACGTAAGTGAGCTGTGCAAGTAACCTTTGGGCGAGCGGAATTGGGATTGGTTGGGTGTTCTGACGTTTCTTCCGTCCGGTTCTCTGCGACTCAATGATTTCTGTTCCCAATACTCATCATCAATCATCCTTTCTCGACAGGTAAAGCCCGGAAATGGAGCCGCCGCTTCTTTACGACTTGGACGCTGTCTATCCGCCCACTCATTTCCACAACCGCGGACCATACTCGACGAACCCAGCGAAGGGACCATCCCATCCCACCAACTTTTGGCTCGATGAGTTGGGTCGAACTTTGACTGCTTGACTCGTCCGGGCGCAGCGAAGAGTGGACAAAGGGTGTCACTGGATCCCAAAGTTTAAGCTAAACCTCGGCCTTCAACCTGGTATGCAAACATCCTTCTCGAACAATTCCGGGCGCGGGCACACTTATGAAAAAGAGACGATGGTTCCAATCCGAAGAATTCCGCCGCTTTGCTCTCAGGGCATTTTTCTTTTTTGCCCTTGCCTACCCGACCGACCCAAAACGCAATTTATCAACGGAATCGAGAATATCGAGTCAGGAATGATAATTGGTTTCGCTGTGCTTCTGGTTTAGAATGTGTCCTTTCCATTTGACTGACATCTTTTTCCGATGGTTCAGGTCGGGCGACGGGAATTCGATTGTTCGAGTGATAAAATGGGGTGTGCGGGCGATACCCGTGTAGAGCAATGATGGTTGCGTATGGAGAGACGAGACATTGTCGCACGCTTTAAGGGCAAGAAGCTCATAAAGAGAGAGGAGACAAGAGCCATCTGGATCCGTGATAGACTGACCGGCTTCCCTGACTGGCTATCGTCCTGACGGCTCGAAACGTCGTTCTCGCCCAATCATCCGCGCTTAACGGACCCACCGACTCGGACTCTGCCCCCAGCCCGAGCCAAGACGAACCAGTTCTGGCAAACCCGTAACGTAACGCGAGCGAACTCTAGAGTAGTTGCCTCAGGTAAGCACACCTTTTTGCTCCGTTCTTTCTCGTTTTAAAGTAAACTAAACCTTCGATCTCTTCGTGGCACCCTTTTTTGATCTCGAAGGAAGAGGCTAAAGAAGGGGGGTTGGCTGTTGGTTGGCTGGAGGGTTGGGGTGCCTTGGGTCCATGGTGCTACGCTACTTTGTTGGCCGCCCTTAAAAGCCAAGTCCCCTTCCTGAATAAAACTGGATCCTCCTTCCGGCCGACGACACCTTTTCTTCCCTCTCGCCTCGCCTCACTCCTTCTTGACCGCTTTGACTGCTCGACTACTCTGCCTGACCGCCTGACTACTTTTTTTGACTGGATCTAGGCCAGAGCAAATAGATTCCGTTGGGGTACACGAGGGAGGTTCAATATAAGTCAAAAGAAATCTTATATGCGATGCCCGACGTTGAGAAATATGCAGCTGCCGCAGCCGTCAACCGTCTCAGCAACTTCTTTTCTGCCTCCACTCCCCACAAAGATGGCGGCGGAAAGATGGAGGACTTTGAGCTGGCTTCTCACCCTCACCATTCGCCTCCCCATCGACCTGCCCCTGCCCACCACAAAATTCTAACGGACCCAGACGATTCGGTGGACGCCTACGAACTTCAGCACCCTTCGTCGTCGTCGCGCAAGCTTCATACTCGGCCGAGCAGGATGTCGATCGCCTCGAGCTTCACGGACGTGCATGCCCCCTCTATGGCGAGCAGCCACACGTTGCATAATAACGAGTTTTATGGTAGTGCGGAGAATGGTGGTGGGAGGTGGTGGTTGAAGCCGACGCTGGCGGTGTGTGGAGCGTCGTTGGCGCTGTTCTGCACATTTGGGCAGATGAATTCGTTTGGGACGTATCATTCGTGGTATTCGAGGCATCAGCTTGAGCATTTGTCCCCGTCCAAGATTTCGTGGATTGGGTCGTTGCAACTTTGGGTGTTTTTCTTTTCGGTGCGTTTGTTGTCGTTCGCTTACCCCCTCCTTTTGTGGCGTTGGTGATGTTTTTGTGTTATTCCGAGGGGAGGGGGTGTGATGGATGGGTTTACTGAAAGCTTATGTTTTATAGGGTGGTTTCATCGGACGCGTGTTCGACTCGTATGGACCTAGATATTTGATGCTCCTGGGGTCAGTGCTGTACGCAGCAAGCGTAATTGCGACTAGCGTTTCAACGCAGTACTACGAGTTCATGCTCTCCCAAGGGCTGCTGTTCGGCCTCGCGGTGGGACTGCTGTGCGTCGTCTCTTCTTCATTCCTTGCACCTCGTAACCCTTACTCATTTGTTTTGCATTTCTATTGCTATTCCGATCGGTTTTGGTTGCATCGCCATTGCATTCCGTGGCGACACACATGTTTTGGGTGTGCTTTTTTTTACAGCTTTTATCCATCCCTTGCAAGCGTGTCTACGCATTTCCTGAAATACCGGGCTACAGCGCTGGGTATCGCGGCTGCTGGATCGAGTTTCGGTGAGTCATGTCCTTGCTGTTCTTTTGTCATTATGCGTGCTGTACGCCCCTGCGTGCAGTTGTGTTTTGATGATACGGAGATAACACTGGCTGACATTTAATTATTACCCTTCCGCACACCTTCTCCTCAAACACACGCCCCATATTCCGCGCAAAACACGGAACCAAACCCTGATACGACATACATCCGAATCCGAATCACCCAACCACCCAAACAGGCGGTGTCCTGTATCCCATCGTCCTACAGCACTCGTTCCAATCTGTGGGATACGGCTGGGGCGTGCGCGTCTGTGGCCTGATAAGCGCCCTTGGGTGCGTGGCCTCGGCGTTTATGGTTACTACCAAGTACCCGCCCCAGGGTAAATCTATACCCTTCTTTGATTTGAAAAGTATTTTGGATTTGAAGTTTGCGCTGTTGGTTATTGGATGTTGTTTTGTTGCTCTTGGTGAGTGCCACTGCTTTAATTTGGGGTTGTGGTTTTAGGTGGAGGTGGGGAGGAATTCCGATGGGGGTGGGTGGGCGCTTGTTTTACTTTTGGGTTGTTTTGGATTTGGATCTCCGAGGTTTCGACGCGAAACTATCATAGAGATGTGCTAACAGATACCTCCGTTCTCCAATACAGGTCTCTTCGCACCGTTCTTCTTCATTGTGGAATACGCCCGACACCTCTCCATTCCCAACACAACAGCCTTCTACGTTCTAGCAGTCATGAACGCCGGCGGGGTCTTTGGACGAATCGCCCCTGCATACCTCTCCGACCGTGTCGGGCGCTTCAACCTCCTCTTCCCCTCTGCCCTGTTCTCGGGCTTGTCGTGCCTTGTAGGATGGTTTTGGACGAAGGATTTAGTTGGTGTTATGGTTTTTGCTGCTGTTTATGGGTTTTGGTCGGGGAGTTTTATTAGTTTGATTACACCTTGTGTGGCGCAGATTTCGAACCTTGGGGAGATTGGAACGAGGATTGGGATGTTGTATACTATTATTTCTGTGCCGTGAGTGGTTTTCTGTTTGGGGTTTTGGGTTTTGTTCTGGCTTTTTGGCGTTTTGGTGGTCGCTTTTTTCTTCGCTTTTGGGCTTCGGGGTTCTCGGGCTGGAGTGGTAGCTCATATTCCCTGGACATCGGGAGGAGATGGCTGCTGGAACATCGGAGACTAGGGGATAATCCGTTGATGGATAGAGAGCAGGATCTATCGTCCTTGTTCCGCCGTTTGGGCTATTATTAGCTTTCGTTCTCTGTTCCTTTACTCCCACCCTCTCCGCTTTCAACAAGTACTGACTGCCTCTCTCCCTCCTCCCCTCGCCTTCTTCCATATCCGTATCCGTATTCATATTCACATCCAACCTCCCCTCCCCTCCCTTCATCCATCCCCTTCCTCTTTCCTCGTCCAACAGATCCCTAATAGGCGGTCCAACAGCCGGCGCGATCCTCGGTCTCCAACATGGTTCGTATGTGGGTATGATCCTCTATTCGGGGTGTACGGTTGTGCTTGGTTCGGGATTTATTTTGGCGACGAGGTTGGTTATTGAGAGGAGGTGGGGGGTTAAGGTGTAGGGGCAGGGGTTGGCGATTGTTGGGCGTGGTAGGGGGAGGAAGTGGAGGAGAGGGAAAGAGGCGAGGGGAGGGAGAGGAGGAGGGAGGAAGCGAGTAGAAAAAAACACATTGTCTTTGACAGCGCTGGCATTCTTCATTGCATCTCAGTTTATATCTTTCTTTTCTTTCTTTCTTTCTTTCAAAATTTCATCTCTCGCACTGACTTCATCGACTCCTCTTCAATTTTTTTCATTTGATCTTACTTCATCGACTTGACTTGGACTCTTGGGGTCGTATTTGTTGTATGTACTTGTACTATAACCTATGTACTTAGCTAGCTTGTAGTTTTATTTTTGTGTCTTGTGAAATCGTGTGTTCGTATCAGTCAGTCAGTTTATAGAGTTTGTTTTTTAGACCGTGACCTGGAGCGTAAGTTATCGGCTATAAAGAACTCAGTACTGAACTCGGCTACATATTCGGCTCGTGAGAGCGCGCACATGGGCAGTCCATCCAGGTTCAGACAATTTTGTCAAATCGACGATCATGGGAAGTACATATGAAGCAGGTTTGGAAGTGGGCAACGGTTGGAGGAAGAAGTAGCGCCCTGATCTTGACAACTACTATCGTTTTTGAACCCACGGCCGAAGAGGATTGTGATGATGGGAGCTAGGTCTCGAGGGATTTGTTTACCGGGAAACATCGAGTGGGTTCTTTTGCATCGGATTCGGAGGGAGAAGAGGAGGTGGGAGTTGGGTGGGAGGGGACGCGGGGACGCGCGTGGAAACGTTGGTGTAATACTTAGACGGTTGGGGCAGCCGAGACCTGAGCGCTGAGCGTTGAACAATCGTAGCATCGGATTGCGAGAACTGAACAATCGCGTCAATCAGATAAGCACAGCGGCGGCGACGAAGACGACGACGTCTCCTCCCCCCAAAAAGGTATTAGATCGTGTATGGGTTGTACGGGGTGGGTTGTAAGGTATGATGTGGTGTGGTGTGGAAAGGGGATTGTGGATTAAGGTAGGTGAGATTCTATGTATGTATGTATGTTGTGGTTGTAGTACTACGAGGAGGGGTACTGTGTGAGCAAGATATCGATGATACCGGTGCATGATTCGAGGTGATTTGTGCCTGTGACCGCGTTGGGGTGGTGGGCAGGGGTGGTAAGTATTGTTTGCATATAGTAGGGTAGGGGTAGGGGTAGGTAAGGTGGGTCGATAGGTTGGATATGGACCTGGGTTTGTGGTTTCAACTTTCGAGAAGGGGAATTGATTGGGCGGTGGTAACACCGAGGGTTGTTGGAGGGTAGTTGGGGGTAACTGGTAACCGGTAACCTTGAGAGTGCTCGTGAGCTTCGAGGTAGGGGGTCGGTGGTGGTATCTTAGAAGGTTTCTTCCTCGTCGACTGCGGCTTGGGGATCGGGGACTTCGAAGCCGTCCTGGAGTAAGGGAGAGTGTGTGAGATGGGCGATGGATGGGTGAGTGGGTTGGTTTGACGCACCTCGGTGGAGTAGAGGATCTTTTGGATCCTCGTAAACACTTCTTGGTCTCCCTGCTCCTCCTTGGGCAGATCAAGTTGCTCCTGGACGAGGATCTCGATCTCACGCAACTGTAGTATACCGGTTCAGGTCAATCCGCGGATGGGGTATGTTAGATGGCGACGGCACCTTTTCGAAATAAAAGTCGCGTTCCTTCTCGAGGCCCTCTAGTTGTCCTGTGAGTTCTGAGACTTGGTTCTGGAGGTGGACGATGGTCTCTTGGGACTGGGCTGAGCCTGATCTGAAGCCTCCGAGTGGGGTCCTGCCGCCTGCGCGGGCTCCTCCTGCGGCGAGGCCTGCGCCTGTGCTGCGGGAGGTCGGGACTGGGGCCACGGTGGCTGGTGGTTCGAGCGGGACGCCCTTGCGGCGTGCGACGGCGTCGTAGCCTTGGCCTCCGTAGTTGGCGTCCCAGAAACGTTTCATCCATTGTAGGAATTCAAGGTTGTCCCTGGTGGTAATCGATTTATCGGGAACTGGTTAGGGAGAAAGGATGTAGACGTACTGCATTTTACATTTGGTGAGCTTCTCTACTGGGATGGGCTAATAGAGTTTCGTTAGTCATTTTGGGTGTTGTGACGTGGAGAGATGGTAAACGCACTTTGTCGATCTTCTTGTTTTTGAAGAAGGTTTGGAGGACTTTGTAGTTGACGAGGAACTCGTATTCGTGTTTGGCGTTCATCTTTACTCGGTTCATTGGCACATCGCCTGTTATCGACGCGTTTAGGTTGATTTTAGTGTAAATTTGGTTTGAAAAAGGGAGAATACGGACCATAGATGGAGTCCATGATCTGGCAGTAGGCACCTCCGCTTCCACATTGCTCGATCTTGGTGTAGTTGATCTGGAGCAGCTCGTTGAGCCAGGCGAGGAGGTCTGTTCTTGAGGCGGTCATTGTTGTCGAAGGAGAGAAAGTGTCTGGGCCAAAATTGGAAGAAAGTGTGTTGTGGCAAAGAGACAAGTTGTCGGACGAGACGGCCTTCCCGCCCTTGCCTCGCGGGCCCATCAATTACGTGATGTCAGCAGCCCAAACCTTGTCTCTTTGTCCACACCTTTTCTTTTGACGAGTATCCTGTCCTCTTTGCGTTTGGCGTTTCTGGGTCTCTCTAGAAGCTTCGAAACGTGCGTTTCTTTTGTGTTTTGGGATTTTAGTCATGCTGGAGGACTAAGGGTTGTTAATAGAAACCATATTCTGGACCCTGCGACTCGGTGGTTCTGTCATTTAACGCGTCGACATCGACCAGTAGCCTTTCTGGTGGCACAGAGACGTCTATCGGCGTCGTATAAGGTCTGAAAGGGGCGAGGAGGACATAGTTCAACATTCAACGGCCTTGAAAGCTGCAAGAAATCGACGATTGGATCGTCGGCGTCCCTGCCAAGCATTAGACGCCCTGTCCTCCATCTCTGCACCTCAACGTTCATCAAGCATCTGTCTTGGGAGCCGCTTATCCCAGGTCAGGACTATGTTGTTGATGCTTGGGCTTCATCTGAATACCAGGCGTGCTGTCGTTTCATAGGCTAGGTCTGCCCCAACCGACCTTTGACTCTGCCAGTTCCGTGCCGCTCGTCTACTAGGGTCTGCCAGGAGGTATTCGCGTGGACTGGTAAGTTCGATTCTCGATTATTAATAGAGGACGTAATGGATGCTGAACCGTTTGAATAGACAAAGGAATAGTTGAATTCATTCGGCTTTCTCGGACGACGTTTTCGTTCCCTCAGGAAGTGACAGATTCGTTTACGTCACGCGAAGCGAGTCGGTCTTCAAAGGACTATACTTGGCTACGAAGGAGGTGTTCTGAGAGCTCAAGTGGTGTATTGAGGGTTGTATTCTCAGTGGTGTTCTGAGGTTCGTTTATCGAATTCGCGATCTTGTGTTGTGTGGGAGTTAACTGCTTTCCTTTTTGTATAGGGAATTACTTGGGTGACAGTGGTTATTGACGCGTCATTTGGACTTCTGGGAGTGATTTATATCAGTCTTTCAGAGGTGGAAGCGAAAAGGTCTGTTTTTGTATTAGTTTTGCTTTGGGCTTTCTCGTGGCTTATGGTGGATTTTGGTTTGAAATATGGCGGTGTGTGGTGTAGAAGCTGTCCAGTAGAAGCCAGAGCGTTGACACAGCGCTAGAAGACGATAGGAGCAGTCGGTCACATAGCCCACGGGACGAGGGAACGATAGGGCTATTTATACCGTGCTATAGATTCTAAAGCGTTCTTGGCGTCTTCGAGGTGAGTTAGTTCGTTTGTTAGAGTACATGACGTTGTGTGGTTGACGCTTGGGTTTTTTGGTTGTAGAACGCCGATACAGCAGTACCTTAACTTGGACAAGACGACCCTGGGTCTGGAGATTTGACCTGCAAACGACCTACAGGTTCGACTCTTCTCTCTTGGTTGTCCTGAATGCTGTTGATGATGATGCGGCGCTCCTACAGACATTGCATTCGTCACTGAGATTTTTTGGGCGGTTTTTTACCCCGTTGCTTCGAAAGTCGAGAAATAAGGAACCAAGGAGTGGTTCGGTGGTAGGTTTAATACCACCCTTCTAAATTGTTGCTTTCGTAAGGTATGTATGCTCTCTTCTCTCGTGCCCAACCAATCCCATCTCTTCCTCACGCTTTTTCCATCCAGCGCTCCAACTACGACACTACAACTACCCTACACCAAAACCAAAACGAAACCCCCACCCCCACCCCAAAAAAACAACCACAGAAAAACCAATATGCCCAATACATCCCTCTCCCCCGAACTCTGCAGCCGCATCGTCCAATTCGTCGACGTGCGGCATACGTCGGATTTAGCGAGACTGTGTACGGTGTCAAAGGTGTTTTTGAAGGAAGCGGAGCCGAGGTTGTATAGTCAGTTGGTGTTTGGGGATCCGAGGAGGGCGGTTGGGGCGTTGAGGAGTGTGGTGGGGTCGGAGAGGGGGGTTGGGAAGTGGGTGAGGGTGTTTTGGTTTGTGTATGAGTGGGGCGTGCAGGGTACGTATGGGGGGCAGGGAGGAGGGGGACAGGGAGGAGGGAGTGGAGGGCAGGGAGGGCAGGGTGGACCCCCGCCGCTTCCGAGAGGGTTTTGGGAGACTGTGAGGGCTGCGTTGAAGAAGATGACTGGGTTGGAGATGTTGGTGTTGTATGATCATACGAGGATGAATACGTGGGTTCTTCGATGCTCCGACGACGACGCCGAAAGGAAAGGGAAGTGAGGGAAAGGGGGTGTCTTCCGTTCAAACTCACACAGCTTCGGCTCCGGTTCCGTTGGGACGCGAATATCGTTTCGTTCGTCCGGCACCAGCACAATCTGGAACTACTGCAGGTGGCGGATTTCGTGGAGGCGGAGACGGAGGAGAGGGTTGGTGTGGGGAGGTTGGAGAGGTTGAGTGTGGTGGAGGCGCATGTGAGCGTTGCGGGACAGTTTTTGGAGGAGAGAGGGAGTCGGTTGAGGAATGTGCAGGTGTTGGTGGATAGAGGACATGTGGGGGTTTTGCTGGGGCGTGGTAGTGGGAGTGGTGGTGGTGCGGGTGGGGGTGGAGGTGGTGGTGGTGCGGTTGCGAGGCTACCGAAGGGGTTGAGGGGGTTGAGTATATTGGACTTACCGGAGGAGTATGCGGTTGAGGTCCTCGAGGCTGTTTCGGTGTCGTGTCCGGAGCTTAGAGCCCTAGGCCAGTTTCCGCTTCCTATTCTCAAAGTACGTACTCCCCACTCTCTTCCATCCCTCATCGTTCCGTTCACTGATATTCCCGCGAGCAGAGACATAAATTCACAGCGAGCCTAATGAGGCTACACTACCTCCGGTGTATCGAGGTTGATTTATCGAGTTGGCAGCCGATGCCGGTGGCAGGTGCGCAGCGTGCTTTGGCGGCCGAGTTGAAGACGTTTTGTCCGAGTTTGAGGTGGGTGGTGGTGTGGTTGCAGCATACGAGGGTTACGTGGACGTATGGACAGAATGAGATGTGGGTGTATAGGGTGGAGGGGAATCAGTGGAGGGGTGGGGGCAAGTTGTGGTTGAAGACGTAGATGTTGTACATAGACTATGTGCAAGACCTTTTTTGGAATTTGAAGTTTTGTATATTAGATTAAAGGTTTTGGCAGGGTAGTTGAATCCATGCGATTTTTGTGGACTCTGGTGGCAGATAAGCAATGGAGTGGCTGTGTTCCTTCATGGTGCAATCTGTCGTGAGCCGCCGGTATGACCCTAACTTGATCTTTGGGCCAATTCGCGCGCTCCTGGCAGGTTACGAGTCCGTCCACGAGAGGTGCAATGTGGATGGCCCTCGTTGGCGCACACCTCCGGTGCGCTCATGCTTGCGGCCAGAATAATGCCTCTTTTACACTAGAATCATTGTATTTTCTCATAAGTTATTTAACAATATGATAGAAATCAAGTTACAAGTCTCATAACAAATTATATATATAGTAGACATAAATGGTACCAACAGGGATTGAACCAACAAATTATCATACACAATTAAAAGAAATGGTGCCACCTGGGATTGAACCAGCAGCCATCTACTTCATATGGAAGATTCCGAGTGTTTTGATGGCATTACAGGAATGTTGTCACACAATGTGTTAATCGAAATGGACTGACCACCATTACAGTGCTTTGCAGAATTATGTGCACAGCGAAAAAAATAGTAGCTTCGAAGTGTGACACACCGATTACAGCAGTCACGCTTTCGGGATCAATAACGCGTTCAAAGTGCAACGCGATTTCGCTCTTCAACGCAACTTGCATTGTGAAGTATCCTCGAGCGATTTTGCCCGCCTATGAAAGCTCATCTGCGTCTTTGCCCTCCCACTTGGCTTTGAGCACCATCCAATGGCCCAACCATACGTCCACAGTCAGGAACCTTATTCATCGGATTACAGCGCCTTGTCTCCACTCGCATCAAGAGAACTCGAGATGGGACCTGGCCGTTACACTGTCAAAAAGGCAGCAACAAGGAGCTGTACGCATCTGAATGGACGATAATATATCCCAAAGCACATTCTATCAAAATGGTATGCAGATTCAAGCCCAGTGAGAACCCCGTCGGCTCAGATCATGCCATGCGTGCTCCCAGCGCGTCAAGGGGATTGCCCTCGGCTCAGATGATGCCACATTGGCCGCGGGCAACTTTTTCATTTCGAACCACCATGTCCACACACAATCCTCGCCGTTATTTTCAATATTCCCCACATCCGTTTCTTCCTCTCGTCCCAGAACCGCTCGTACCAGCTTCGTTAATCATGTATCCGTATTTTCGTGAATAACACACTGCACACGGCTTTGGACCACTCGATTTTTTCCTCTAAATCCCCGCTTTTCCCCTCTACTTGCAAATGTGCCTGAGGCTATTCCACCCCAGCCCACAGCCGTACCTCAGCCAGCACCAACACCTCAGCCAACTGAATCGAGGACCGAGTCAGCAGTCGGTAAGGCTGAGCACGAGTCAGCCCTACTTGCGAGTACTTGCAAGTAGACCCGTGGGAATACTTGTGAGTATCCTGACTCGCGGATCCGAGTCACCCGTGCCAAGATACTCATGTGAGTCCGAGTTTGGGATTTTGGCCTATGAGTACTTGTAAAAAGGCCTTAAACAAGGCTTTCCGGCCCTCTAGTGCTGTATATCTGCTTTAAGTAGAGTCTATCTAGGAAGGAAACACTAAACAAAGGTATATTGATAAGTAATTTAACAGATTAAAGGGCATACAAACCCTTGTGTTACGACTTCGGGCAACGAGGACTTATTGTTGCCAACAGTCGTTCTGGAGTTCTGGAGTTCTGGAGTTCTGGATCGAAGTTCTGGTTCTGGAATCAAGTTCAAGAGGCCTGTCGCCTATCGCAGACAGAGAGGATCGAGCTGAGAGCGATAGAAGTCCTGGAGGGAAAGTTCTCGATAACAGGCTGAGGAATATCTACTACAGAGAGGCATTATTTATAGTAGAACTAGTGAGCTATCGAGAGGTTCTAAGGAAAGCGAGAATTGGGATGAAGGGTATGAAAGCGACGAGTAAGGAGTATCGGTGAGTGCAGAGTACGAAGGAAGCGGAAATACGAAAGGTTCGGAGGTGCGAGAGGATCAAAGAAGCGAAGATAGCGGAATAGCGAAGAGTATGGAAGTCCGGAGACGTCGTAAGAGCGAGGATAGCGGAACTACGAAAGGTATGGAAGTCTAAAGGGTTCGGAAGATGGTAAGGTGAAGTTCATAGAGGAAGAGAAGTGAGGGAAATAGAAGAGTTTGTAACAGTACCCCCTTCGTATGCCTGATGCTCCGCATCAGGTGTTCAGGTTGTGCTCTCCTTCATCTCCCCATAGATAGTCGTCGTAGTCCCCGTCGTCCAGGAGCGCATTGTATTGGTCGGGTGAAGTGTTGCGAGGTGTTGGTCGGTAGTCGGGACACCACTTGGAACCTGAGTTGTGTCCGGGTGCGTTCTTGCCGCATAAGGTGCATTTGTAGGAGTAGTGATCGCATTGCCAATGTCCGGTTTTGCCACATTCGTTGCACCTATGACCATCCCTCTTGCGTAATTCTTTCTTCGACAGAGGTCGAACCAAGCCGTCAGGCTCAGAAGAAATGTTGCTTCTGGGGACCGATCCGGAAGCCACGGTGGAAACTAATCCGTGATTGCCAGAGGAAGAAGGTACGGGGGAAGTGAGATGGACTCGTCGACGATCGAAAGCAGAAATGAGTTGGGCTTGTCCAATGGCATTCTTGAGTTCGTCGAGGTCGTGAATGTCGTGAACAGCTGGTATGGCCCCTATTTTCATTTTTATCTTATCTTATCTGTATCCGCCATCAGCAAAAGTGCGGATTAGATTTATTGTAATTTAAGCAAATGTGACTGAATGCGAGTATTCAAATTTAAATTGGAGGGAATGAAATGTCAATGAAAGGAATCCAAGTGGAATGGATCGCGATTCAAGGGGCCCAGGTTGAATGTGAGACGATGCAAAGTCATACATTCGACCCTTCCCCAGCGAGCAGGTGGTTCGAGTATCGCTGACCACGCGAAATTAAACATGAAGTTCTAGGACCTTTGAGCAAGAAAGTGTATTAATGACTACAGAACAGAGAATAGAAATACATTAGAATTGCGCATAACCACCAGCGGAGAGCACCAATTCCTCCATTTCAGGCTCATCTTCACCGTCTCCGGGACGACCATCATCCTCCCCCTGCTGCTGCTGCTCCCCACCCTCCCCTTCTGAGCCAGATTCATCCTCTGAAGAGCTTTGACCGTCGTCTGGGTTGGCGACTGCTACCGAAGGAAGGAGGGTTTCTTCGTGGTTGGCAACCCCTCCCAGGAAATCGGAGGTGGCAGCATCACCGCAGCGGCTGGCTGTCGAAGTCGATGGTCCTGGAGAAACGGTCACCATAGGCTGGAAGCTTGTCGAAGTATTCTTATGACCGACACCACCTCCTCGAATGCGCATGAACATATCTCGATCCACAAAACTGTTGGGTGGGTCAGAATCAACAACTCCGTTGCTTCCTGAGGGGACAAAACACGTACATGTTCAAGTAATATGCACAATAATCTTGAGACATCTTCTTGGGGCAAGCAATTGATTTCCCGAGATACCGAGACGTTTTCCAAGGCTGAACGTGGGTATCAAATGGCACCCACGGATGACGTCCTGCGGGTCGATGAAGCCAAAGGTGTCGTTGTCGTTGGCGGCATCCAAGAAGCGGAAATGTGGGAGACGGCGATGCTGGAACCCGGCGGGGTACGAGGTATCTCAAGTCAACCACCGCACCCACAAAAATTCCATCTTTTGCGGGAGCCGAGTTTTGGACGCTGGGCCGACATGCCTGATATTGGCATGGTAGACGCCAACCACCTGCGCGACCCAATACTTGGGGGTGTCTGGATCATCAATTGTTGGTTCATCGGAGTCGGGAGCCTTCAGGAGAACATTGGCGTGCGTGTGGGGGTTGATCGAATCTTGCATCCGACGGAGGTCATAGGTGAGGTAGTTCACCCGCAGCACCTTGTGCTTGAAGACTTTGTTTCCCACAAATTGGATGGTGTCGCGGTCAGCCCAAGTGAACTCTTCTTGCTCGGATCCTGTGAGTCGTCGAAGGAGGTGGTCTTTGAGCTTTGGGATAAAGTTCTGTAAGGCAAGTAAATGATAACGCGTCAGAGATCACATTACGGGTGACAACTGTTACAAGAACTAACATTGAGGGCATCGTCATCTGGATGCGATAAGACAAATGTGCGTAGGTCAAAGGAGTGGCGCACACTAGCGGAGACATGGTGATGCTGGAGAGGGGAGGTTTTCTCTAATGGCTCCACAGCTTCAAAGGGCATGAACGCTGGTGAAAGTACCGGATCGACAGGTTGGGCGACCTCCACAGGCAACATTGTGGACAGATCAGTGGTCGATTGCTGGCCATGTTGTTGCTCTCGGGCATGTATGTTCTGTAAAAGGCGGTGGCGCTGTTCATGTCGTGCAATTTGAAGGCCGAAAGTTTTCCGTTTGTTCGTTCGCGCGTAGAATCTTTTGACACGCTTGTGTTCGCATTCGCCCTAGAACAGAATGTAAATACTGCCTTGGTAAAACAAATAAATTCAAATTACTCACAGTCTGTGTCGTCCACGAGTCCGCCGTGCCATACCTCCCAATTGCTTCCACGTAGTCGGCCAGGGCATGTAGCTTATACGTGAGCAAAGGGAAGTGCTTGATCTTGGGTCCACCTTGAGCAGCTGTCGCTGCTCGACCCTTTCCCTTGCCTTTCTTGATCCTAGCTGCATCCCTTCGACCTCGAGCCGCCTCCTCTGTTGGGAGTTCCTTCGTCTGGTACCCTGCTGCGACCTTGTTCAGGTAAGTGCGGAGTGTGTTTCCTAGGGCTTTTGTGGCGTCCTCGAGCAGCGCGAGCGTGGAAGTTGTATGCAGTCGGAGCTTAGCGAGGGCCTGCCACGTTGCAAGGACAAACAACAAATCTAATACGGCCGAGTTCTCAGCACGTCGTGGCATCAACCCTTCGAACACCGGAATGGCGCACTATTGGGGGTAAGCATGGTTAAATCACTTCAAAGGAATCCACTTACCTGGAGGAGATCCTCAAAGTCTCTCGCGGCCAGTTTTGACATCCCGGAGACATTGTTCCCAAAGGAACGGATGGTTTGGCGGCCAAATGTTGGGATGTTTCGATACCTGTTAAAGATGGTTAGCATGGATAAACTACACTGGATAATTGATAGAGACTGACCGCAAGTTCATCATTTGGATGACATTCCCACCAACCGCAACCAAGACTTGCAGGTGGTGGATGAGAACATGTTTCCACACCCCTAAGTCGAACTCGTGCAGTATGTCGGGTATGAGCATGGAGTAGAAATTGAAGCCGTGGGGGAATAAATGTTTTGAGAATGTGTTCTGACACAAATGAGTCAGGAATACCGAAAAAGAAAACAAAGGATACACATACCCTGGTTGGTGTCCACGATTGCCCAAATAGCTTGTTCTCAACTGCTTGTGATGCTACACCGTCTCCATCTTCAAAGATCCACCTGTGGACGGTCTCAATTTCACTTCAGTCACCTATGGAAGCCTATCACGAAGATCATATTAATTTCTTCGCTTCCAAGGGTCATGTGACCCCCCTTCCCAGGAAGCTTCCAGCCCCTTCCCACCCCAAAAGAATTCCAGGAAATTCCACCACCAATCCACTTCCAGCTTCCGCTTCCACTTTGGAACTTCCAGTAGACCAAACAAAGGGTATCCACTTCCAGTTCCATTCCAGCCATCAAATGTGACGCACTCCAAAATTGATGGGAAGCCAACCTGGAAGCTCCAAAATATTACCATTTTCCGGAAACAATAAACATACATGATCAAATCAAATTCTGATTGACAATGAGTATGACATCATTTGTTCCTGTTCCTGATTGTTGTGACATCACGGTGCCTGATGATGTCAATCATTGATATCATTGATTAACTTCCATCATCAAAAGCCAATCTTATCTTAATTAGTGTGATGTCATCCTTCTCCTCCACCAGTATTTCATCCATATCTCACTCATTTCTTCGCTTTTTTGAGTAATTCTTTTTGATTCAAGTGTGAACCATCATTGGCTACAGGTATATATTATATTTGTATATACTCAATGATGAATAGATAATCAAAATTCGACCTTTTCAAGCATTGACACTATTATGACACATTTTTGGTGGAGAATATGGATATATCTTCCTCATTTCTTCACCTTTCTTCTTGGAATCTTCATTGAAATAATCTCGAAATATGTCCACACATATACTAATGCACTTTTCCCTTGATAAATAGACTTTACCCCACCAAGAATTACAAAAACATGCAAAAATGCGCACCAATAGGATGAAGTTGAGAAAACAACATTAGCTCTTTAACTACATAATATAAAGCCCAGAAGACTCTCTATACAGTTGTATAAACCTGTTTCATCAGCTTGGAATAATGATGCAACCTCTCCAAGACTCACCATTAACTTCTCCATTTACCCAGTAAATTTCAATGTTTTTCGCATTTTCACCTATTTCATTATGTATATTGTCCCATACAAAATATACAGATTCAAAGCCTTGATTCATAGCTACTGAACCCAAAAGACTGCTTGAGAAATGACCCAGTGTGTCCGGAGATATGGCAGATATACCATGTTTTCACCAGATGATCCAAGTGATGTTGCATCAAATGTTGACATGCACTCCATTATTGCTCATTTTCGGAGTTTTCAGACCATATCTCTGCTTCTACTGGGCCGATTTCCGAGATTCAAACAGTTTCAAAAAGCGTTAAATGCCTCCTCTTTGATGGTACCGCTCAATAAAATTTATGAGAAGTGGAACATACTGGAAAATGCGAAATACATGGATAAAATCGCATTTTAGTGATTTCACTATTGCTTTACTTTATACCTTTCCAAAGTCAATAAGATGTATTGGATATATCTCTCAGTCTTATTAAAATGCTTTTGTAAAAGTCATGAACTGTAGGTATTACATTAAAACAGTGAAAATAAGAAGTTCTATTTTTATAGGAAAATCCGATGTTTTAGATAATTTTAGGTGTATTTGTGGTGTTTTTGGAAGAGGCAGATTAATATAACAAGTCTGTAAACCTTCCTTAAGGCTCTACAGCAGAGTTGGTGCAATTACATCAAAAATTGGGAGAGGTACTATTGAAATACTACACAAAAGAGGGACAAAATCAGGAATAAGACTATTATTTTCGCTTTTTCAGTATTAAGACTGGTTTCTATTGGTTTTTAAATGTAATAGAGAGTTCCCATTGTAGTAATAGTAAATGAATCAAAAAGAATTCCTGAAAAAAGCGAAGAAATGAGTGAGGTATGAATGAAATACTAGGGGAGGGAAAGGATGACATCATACTAATTAAGATAAGATTGGCTTTTGATGATGGAAGTTAATCAATGATATCAATGATTGACATCATCAGGCACCATGATGTCATGATAATCAGGAACAGGAACAAATGATGTCATACTCATTGTCAATCAGAATTTGATTTGATCATGTATGTTTATTGTTTCCGGAAAATGGTAATATTTTGGAGCTTCCAGGTTGGCTTCCCATCAATTTTGGAGTGCATCACATTTGATGGCTGGAATGGAACTGGAATGGAACTGGAAGTGGATACCCTTTGTTTGGTCTACTGGAAGTTCCAAAGTGGAAGCGGAAGCTGGAAGTGGATTGGTGGTGGAATTTCCTGGAATTCTTTTGGGGTGGGAAGGGGCTGGAAGCTTCCTGGGAAGGGGGGTCACATGACCCTTGGAAGCGAAAAAATTAATATGATCTTCGTGATAGGCTTCCATAGGTGACTGAAGTGTCAATTTCTTCCTGGCGCGTGTTCATCATCAATGCGAACATGTGCACGACACTGCCTGTCGATGTGGGTTCCCATTGCGCCAATGTCTTCCTTTTTGATCAGACAGCGAGGGCAGGGGAAGCTTCCGAGTTGTCGTATTGTCGCAAGGAGGACCCTGAAAGAAAATCAGTCACACAAACATAAATAAGAACGGTAGAGACATACTTTTCGGGGTAATCAGCTGAATAAGTAAATATCCTGGGGAAGAACCGCCGTTGTATCCCATCAGCGCACTCCAGGACAATGCCATCAGTGTAAGCCTTCATGAAATCTTCTTCACTCAGGATAAGGTCCCATACAGCTTGCATGAGCTCACGCCTGAGGTGTGTGATGGTGTCCTGAGAGGCGGTTAGCCCATCAAAGTATTCCTGGTAAATATCCTGGAGGTTATCAGGAAGCTGCGACAGGAAATTAGAAAAGTGTATTGAATTAAGAGTACATAGTCAGCAACTTACCGATGGCATATATGCGATGTGATCCTTGCCACGGACATATTTGGATTGGTTGCCGAAGTAAGCATAGATTGGTCAAAGCGATGCTGTCCCAAAATTCGCCAGATGAGTCGAGTCAGACCAGAGCATGATGGCGGCTACACATCGTTCGAGGTTGCAGCTGGGGTCCGGAGGAAGAGATTGGATTTTTTCATGCTCTTCGAGGAATGCATCGGAGTTGTACAGCTCGGTGATGACACGTTCTGGGGTGACTCGGGTGTTTTCTTCCAAAACATCTTGAAGGGTGTATAGTGAAACCGGAGGGCTGAAGGATGCGCAAATGCTGAACGGATCACGGAGATGAGGCTGCGATGATACACCCCCTTGACTTCAAGTTTGGGTGCGTCGTCTTCTGTATCATGCTGCACCCTCTCCGCCGGCAGGGAGATGAAAACTGAAGAGGCCTTCCAGCCAGCCTCTTCGTCAAGCTCGTCCTGGGCGTCATCAAGCCGGCGTAATTCCCGTTGCGCGTTGAAATCGCGCAGGTCTTCAATGTCAAAGTCGGGGGCCAAAAGAACGTCGTGAACAAGCTTGTCGAGGTCGTATAACGATTTGGTGAGGCTACTGTAGAACCAATGCATGAGGCGGAAGACCGATGCATTGAGGAATGGCGCAAAAAAGTTTTGGTTCGCCTTTGAAGTGAAGGGACCAATTCCTTTCCACCATTGAATGTCGGTGAGGCTACTGTAGAACCAATGCATGAGGCGGAAGACCGATGCATTGAGGAATGGCGCAAAAAGGTTTTGGTTCGCCTTTGAAGTGAAGGGACCAATTCCTTTCCACCATTGAATGTCGGACTGATTCTGGGAGGTGGAGAGGTTGGGGGCATCACATACATCGTCAACAGTGAGTCCCTCGTCTGGGTCGCGGGATGGAAAAGTTGTGTATTGTCGATACAAACCGAACTTGTCAGGTTCAGTCTCGTAAATTTGAGGTTCTGGAGTCGGGGAGTGCCGCTCCTCTGCAGTCGGTGGTGTAACACTCAGTAAAATCGAAAGTCGTGTGTAAGTCGAACTGGAGTCAAACCTGGGCTGATTTGACTAGTTGCAGGTTGTACTGACTAAACGACTGGTGCCGTAGTCCGACGGTAGTCATTGCCGTGCGTATCCATCATTAGTATTTTGTAGTCACTTCATTGACTAATCTTCGACTGTTCGACGAACTCTGGCAGACTAACAAAATACCACAGTCATTGTGTAGTCACGTAGATAATTCACCCAGTCCAGTTAATGTCACTTCGTAGTCCCCTCTTTCAATACATTGACAACTCACAGATATATTAACTAAGTTACCACAAAACAGTACAGTACGGAAAGCGGAATAGGCAAGTCAGAATTACGAGGTACCCTTCTTTCCCTTTGAACGGCGAACAGCAAGCATAGCCTTCATTTCATCAGCGGATGGAATAGTGTCGGACGCTGTAATTGTTTCGATGTAGTCTAAACCAATTATAAGTGACCAGGTAAGAATAGAAGGGATGAGGATTTAGACTCACGGCTTTTCTTGGGTTGTTTTACAGTGCAAACAATGTTATTCCTCGACATCCACGCCTTCATCTGCTCGACTGTGAGATTCTGAAATATGGTGAGTAAAATCCAAACAAAGCAGGTAGGTAGCCATACCTGTAAGGCACTCAGAATGCCATCCCGAGATGAGAGGTCGGGTCCACTGGCGCTGGTGCTTGCACTATTTCCACCTGGTGGATCGGATGGCTATCAACAGCAGTGTAAGCACGGAATTTGAGAGAAATAGAAAAACAACTTACAGGGGTGGGAGTGATATTCCAAAGTGTTTCGACGACACGATCAAGATATGCGTCACAAACAAATGAATTGGCAATAATTTGCCGCTGGGTGCAGAGATACCGAGCAACTCTGCACATTCGGATCGTGGCAGCGATGAGGCGACTGGCGGTGTTGACAGAACCGACATCCCCCCAAGAACCCAATGCAGTGCCGAGTTGCAGGTCGCCGGCAGTAAACTGACGATGCCCCCAGCTTTCGTTGGTGTCGTCCTCCTCGAGACTGGGGTCATTCGGATCGGCGGTCTCAATGCGCTGGATGAGGGTGAGAAGGCTGGCACTGGGCTCGGAGTCGGCGGATGAGCTTGCGGTTGCTGACGACATCTGTTGAAGGCGTTCGATGAGCTGTACACCAGTCTTGATTGAAGGAAAGTCGGATGCGAGGGCAGTCTTCAAGTTTTCGAGCGAGGAATTTACCTGGATACCGCTGATGTCGATAATGGGTGGTGGCGGCGTCGACTTCTGTGCTGCTTTTGATTGGGATTGAAGCCCAAACACGTCGGCAATTTCGTCTAGTAAATGTGTGAGTAGAGATAATGAATAGTGTAAGAATGGCTTACCTTCGACTTCACTGCTATCTGGGCGGAGCCTCTTGGCGCTGTTCTCGTTTTGAGAGTCCGTACGAGTTCGTTTGCTTCTGGAGGGCGTTGGAGGCGGGGAAGGTGAATGCGATTGCGATGAAATTTGCTGTAGAGCTGCAGGGGGCGGGGAAGGTGCTGCAGGAGGCGGTGAAGCCAGCAGAGTTGCAGGTGCCGAAGATTGAGGACGAGTTCTGGGTGTTACCATCTCGTCTTCGTCATCGGCTGCGTGTTTGGTGCCAACTTTCGATGTTAGGTGTCTTGAGAGCATGTGTTCGGCCTTCCAATGCCCGGCACAGAGCCTAAGGACGGGGTGCATGCGCTCGAGCTCCGAAACCACACTATTCCACACAACTTTGAAATGGGTTTTATACCAGGTCATAGTCCCTTGGACCAACTTCGATCCCCGGCGTCTCTTTGCTTCGGATGGCGGCTCGAGTACGTGCAGATTTGAGTTGCATAGTGCAATGACATCGTCCTTGATGGCCTTGTACTTCTCCTGCGAGATCAAGGAGCCGTCGCGTTCTCGGAGTGCAAATTGCATCAAAGGTCGAGATGGATTGCTTTTCATTGACGGACTGAGAATTTCGTCGTTGGCGCAGTCCTTCAATGTCCAAAGGACGCCTACAGGTAAGTCGTCCGGTCGATCTTCTGTTCCACGGACTGGGATAATCTGAGGCATTGTTGGCGCATGTGGAGCTTGTGAAATTGAATCACTGGGCGCGAGCGACGTGGTGCAAGAGGAACTAGATGCAATAGAGATAGATCTGTTTTCTGGTATGTAAGAGAGACCGTAAAGATTCAAGAAACAAGGAGAACGTACCTGGGATATGGAGAGTGAATACCCCGAGAGAGATTTGCCTCACACTGGCTCCTCAGCTTCCTGTTCTCTTCCAAAAGAGACTGAATCATCTTGTTGCTTGAGAGGAGCTGAGAGTTTGCCTCTTGATAGTCCCGAAATAGCTTCTTGACGTGCTTGTTTCGGACTATTTCTTCAAATGGGAGAGTTTCAATGGGCGGTTGGTTGAGCTCGTCATATTCGCTGGGAAGGAGAAGTCCAGACGAACGAGCAAGAGGGGAGTATGAAGATGGAAAATTGACATTGAATGTGCTTGAGGTAGGGCTGCTGGACGGTAAATAGGAGGAGCCTGTGGCCATTGTTGTTGTTCGAGCAAGTCGCGCCTCGTTCGTGCCACGAATTTCAAGTTTACCAATTTAGGAAGCTCTCACACTCGGTTCTTTTCTCGGTCGCTTATTGTCGTCTCTTGTTCCATACTCGCACCACCAATGGTTCAAGCCGCCTGTTTCTGCTCTCAATGCCCACCAGGAGTCTTGCGCAACTCCCGTACAACTCAATCCCACCTTTCTCACGACCAAAAATGTCTAGAATCACTGGAAAACTGCCCTGATGTTCAAGATAGCGATCACCAAGCAATTGCAGATAACCATATGCAATTCCTCCTACTCTGCATTCAGAAGACGGCCCAATCACTGGACGATATTGACGTAGGGACTCCGGATGAGCAAGATATGGACCCAGGTTTGTCATCTGTGTTCACAATTTTAGCAACTGATAAGCTTACCATCCAGCCAAAAATAGCCCGAATTTCGTTACAGGATCCAACGCCAAATCAGTTAGATGGGGAAGAGGATTGTGACGGGAGCTGGGATGGGGAGGAGGAGGTTGAGATCATGGGGTTTAGCGCCAGCGACGATGGTACCGATGAAGAACCTCAATCTGAACTGGACTCGGGGGACGAGAGCCCATCCACAGTCGACACCTTTCCTATCCCAGACACCATGCCCAATACATTCTTTTCACGTCCATTATGTGTTTCCCGCATTCAAGACGACCTTCTGGGTGGGTATACCCCACCTGAACACCCACCTTCAGCCCCTTTCTCTATTGATCCCCTCACCGATAGCGAGCTTCTGAGCTTGCAGCACTATATGGCGTGGCGAAGATCGAATGGGACTGTCAGGGCATACAACGAACATCGCTCTGTTCTTCAGAATGCCACAGGGGCTGATATCCTATCCCTTGGACTTGCTCGAAAGCTTGCTGCCCGCGTCTGTCGCCTCTACCCTCAAACATACGATATGTGTTGGAAGAGCTGCATTGCATACACCGGCCAATACACCAATCTCACCTCCTGTCCCTACATCCCCAGCAAATCTAAAGAGGCCTGTGGAGAGCCGCGCTATCATGCTGCGCGGACACGCAGCGGGAAACTGAAAGCAGTTGCTCAATTCAAATCTCTTCCCCTTCTAGCAACCCTCGAGGCGATTTTCGCAAATGCAGACACCTCCCGTCTTGTTCGGGAACGCGATAGCCGTCTGAAGCAGATACTTTCGCTCGTAGCACGAACACGAAAAGAAGACCTCCGCAAACTACCTCAATATTCCGATTTCAACGACAGCCAGATCCATCGCCTACACCACAGGAAGATGGGTATGTTTACCGATGAAAGGGATATCGCTTTTGCGCTTTCCAGCGATGGAGCTCAGCTTACAATGAAGAAGCAGTCCAATACTTGGATACTCATCCTCATCCTTCTCAACCTCCCGGCCGAACTGCGCTGCAAAACACGTCATGTTATCGTCAATTTTGTAACACCAGGGCCCAACAGCCCAGGCGACATCGAGTCGTTCATGCGACCGCTGTTTGAGGAGCTGGCAAGGTTAGGCGAAGGTGTTTGGATATGGGATGCTATCGACTCGTCCTATTTTATGCTTCGCGGCTATGCGACTATGATTTTGGGTGATATGCTGGGTTCAGCGAAGATGAACGGGATGGCAGGACATTCGGCAGTGTTTGGCGATCGCTTCAGCATGGTACAAGGCGCTCGGTCAAGTACTAAAAGTGGATCAAAAGCACAGTATTATCCTATCGAACCACCAGAAAACGACACCTACAACCCCACCAGGCCCAAGTCTTACAACTTATCCCAGCTACCTCGGCGAAATCAAATCGAATACTTTGCGACATTGGCAAGACTAAGTGTTGCTACTACGAAGAATGCACGAGCACTTATCTCGAAGGAGACTGGAATTAGTCGAATCCCCCTATGCGTTGGGAGCAAGGCCTTCATCCACCCCGTTTACTTCCCTCTCGACCCTTTCCACCTTTTCTACGAGAACTGTGCTCCATTCATTTGGGATATCTGGACTGTTCTCAGCAAGCCTGGAGAGTCTATCCACATACCTCAGACGAAGATCCAGCGCTTCGGTGAATTGGTCGCACTCGCCGTTAAGACTCTCCCTCCCAAATTCTGTGGCCCAATTCGAGATCCTCACCTTAAACGCCAGAGTCAGTACAAGGCCTACGAATGGATGGCCCTTGTACATTGGTATATCCTCCCCATTGGTTTGGAACTCGAATTTGATTTCGCTGTCCTCGAGAACTTTGCAAACTTCGTACTGGCTGTTGAAATTGCAATGACGTTACAGAAGCACTCGGAAGAAAGCCTGGAGCTCCTGGAAGAGACAATTCATGCCTTCCTATCGAAGTACAAGTTCCTCTACGTCTCCAACGACCCAGAGAAGATTCAGCGCTGCCGACTATGCATCTTCCAACTGGTCCACGTACCGATGCATATACGTTGGTTTGGGTCCATCCGGAATGGATCTCAGGCGACAGTTGAACGTGAAATCGGCATATCAGAGCATCAGATCCATTCGAAGAAGGAGCCATTTCAGAACTTGGTCAACATCGTTGTCGACAAAGAGATCATCCGCATAATCGAGCTCTATTACCCCGCGCTCGCTGCCACATCCCCAGACCCGGCCACAGTTAATCAAACCAAGCTTGTACAACATGTTTACCTCAAGGTATCGGAACGCGAAGGTCTTAATGACCATTTTATTGCCATCCGAGCGGCTCTCGGACTCGACCCGAATGCAGATCTGTCGGAATGGGAGATAAAGAGATATGGGAAATTTCAGATCAGGTCCGGAGAAACACTTAGAAGCAAGCTTAGTGAGTCTCAAAGACTGGACTCCTACAACATTGGTCGACTCTATCGATGGTTTGAAGTACGTACAGTCGTTCAATCGTTTTCTATCCTTCTAAGCTCATTATTCAGGCTTCTACCTCAATCCAGAGACCACAAACTGCCGGCCACAAATTCGGCGAGGCACATGCGTTCTACTCACTGAAAAAGGGCAGAGAACAGAAATCGTTTGTCGTCTACACACCCTTGCTGGAGATTTCCACTCCTCTGAAGACTGTTATACGTGGAAAATGGCCGTCTTCGCATACTGTCTTCGCTATGGAGACCGAGAAGATCAAGACTCTTGTCGGCATTTGGGAGGCCGAGTCTAGGAATGTCTATGTACTGCGGAAACATCCTGGTCTTGAGATGCTTCAACCATCTCAGTGCGGTCTGCAGGGAGAGATGGAACAGGAGTTCGACGAAGATGATCTATAGTTGAAATGTTGTACCTACACGACTTTAACCTGACTATCCGAAGTTCTATTTGATATCCCCGAGGGAAGACAGATCAAAGTAAAAACATATGATCTAGCGTTGACTACGTGCATAAATTTCGCCACTTACCGGACTAGGCCTGACTTCCGATTTTACTGAGTGTAACAGGTGTTGTAGGAGACAGTGTTGGGCTCTGAGGGTTGTTCTGTACCCCAGCAAGTGTAGCTAGCCCGGTAGGAGGTGGCAGCGAATCAATGACGGGCTGGGGAATACGTTGTCCCCGAGTTGACCGTTGTGGTCCTGGCTGATCACGCCAGTCGGGGATGGGAGGCGAAGGCAACGGTGACCGTGGGGGTGTGGGATCCCTGCAGGGCTCTTCAGGCGCCTCTGGGACCTCTGGAAACAGTCCAGTGGGTGCGCTCGATGGCCTGGGCTCCTTGTGGCTCTAAAATACAGATTAAGAAACAAAAAATCATCGTATAACTATGAAAACCCTACCTGTTCTTCAAGTTCCTGACGCTTCTGCGCCCGTTTTTCCGCTGTCCTCTCCTGGAACGAGCTGAGATTCTTTGAGCCTTGCAGTTTGAGTTTGGTGCATGATCTGAGATGATGGGTGAGCCCGGTTTTTGTACCACTGAACTTGCAGTATTTTGCAGGGCATTTGAAGGACATGAAGACCAGTAAAAATAAGAGAAAGTAAAAGTGTTTCATTCTGTTAGATTAGAGGGACATGGTGGTGGGGAGGAAGGCCAATACGGGCGCGACACGCGTGCGTGCTGATGCAGGTTGTGCTGGCCACAGATTTTGCACCACGGGAATTTTTGAAAACAACTTTCCTCCTCCCCATTCCTTCCTTTCCCCCTCCCCCTCCCTTCTCTCCTTCCCTAAACAATGTCCGCCACTGCTGGTGACGACAATCGTGCATCCTCCGCAGATCCTGAAGACGACAACCCCTCTTCGGAGCTCGCCGACGCGCTGGAAAGAGGCAAAATGTATGTGATCTCGGGGCTAATAGTAGATATATGCGCTTACCTTTTCTGCTCTAGTGACAAGGACGGGCCCCTTGAGCGGTTTCGACGCGCCGCTCGGTTTGTTGTTCGCCACAGCAACCCATTCGTCCACTTCACGCCGGTTCTTGAGCAAGGCCTCCGCGAGGATGGGTTATGTGAGGCCGACGAAGAGGAGGAGGATGAGGAGGATGAAGAGCTCGATGAAGCGGCACGCGAGCGGTGAGTTTATATTTTTCAATCCTCTTTTGTGATCCTGACAGGCATATAGGATCCAACGATGCAAAGACGAGAACCGTGCCGCCTGGGCGATCCTCAAGAAACGAGTCTGGTCATTCTCCACGGACATGGCACAGATGGGTGGCAGGTGGGAACTCATCCTGGAACTCGGGAGGTTGGTAAGTTATCCCGCCTTTGGAAGAATCTAGGTATATGCGCTGAATTATGTGCCCAGATGACGAAATGGGCCGGGAACTTGTCCAAACGCTCCCAGCACCGACCGTTCCCGAGAACTGGCCTGAAAATGCACCACCACCACCTCGAGTCCTTTCCCCTCCCATTCAGCCAAAAGCCAACAAATCGCTTACACGTGGCTTCCTCCACGACCAAATGGCGAGGTATCTCTGTCCTGCCAAGTACCTTCATCAGTTCGAGTCTGATCCCGAGTAAGCTTTTCCTTGGTTTCCACCTCACCTGTTCACAGCTTCCGTTCCAAGCTGGACAACGGCACTATCTCCATCTCGGGAGAGGAGTTCCTCGTGTTCTATTACCCTCATGGCGAATTTAAACCCGACGATCTCGACCACATGCTCCTACGCTCCCCCTTCATCATCGCATTCTGCCGCCATATTTTCACTGGCCCGACATCCGCTGTCAACGACGACGACAATGGCACCCTATCTGGCAAAGCATTGTCCAAGCGATGCCACGCTGAGAACGATGGCATGAAGGAGGTTGGCGTCACACCAGAGAACATTGCTTATACCGTCGTTCAGGTGGTTTTTCTTTTTTCGCCGTCCGTCCATCCACTGACTTTTTTTTTAGTGTGTCCATTTCCTCTCAGCATCAAACAACTGGAATGAAGTCTATTCAAATCTCGACAAGCAAATCATTTTCCGAACCATTCTTGACATTTTCACCAATGCCGGGAAGGATTCCAGATGGTACAAGGATACCATTGCTTGGTATAACCAGTAAGATTTCCCTTTTTTTTATGATACAACTTTACAAGCCTTATATTTTTTTGTTCAGGCAACTATTTGGGACTGCTGGTGCCGCTACGGTCAACAGGGCAGAGAGTGATCTTGCGCACCTTCGTAGGCAACGCCAGGAGCAGCAGAGCCTGTCTCCCCCTCGTTCTCGCCCAGCTACTCCGGCTCCGCCACCCCCTCGTTCTCGCCTCCCAACTCCAGCTCCGCCACCCCCTCGTTCTCGTCCCCCCACTAGTATCCAGCCGAAAAATCTCTTTTTTACGGTAATTACCGCGTTTTAGAAATGTCTGTTGCCGGAAAAATGCCCCGGCAACTTTTACCATGCTATATACCCTCGATAATACCGTAAATGTCATTATTTACGGTATTACCGAGAAAATCGCTTTTTTTCGGTAATACCGGGCGACAGTTGCCTCTCGGTAATACCGGAAGCCTTTTTTATGCTTCGGTAATGCCGGAGCATCGGTTTCTAATCGATCGGAATGCGAAATTATTGATGGGATTGATTATGTATCAAAAAGCCACATTTTAAAAGTTATATGTCTACTCTTATTTTATTATGGCCTCTCGGGGCAACATCTGATAAGATTAGTGTGCACCCGGGGTGCCCGTTAGGGTTTGGGTTAGGTTTAGGGTTGGTTAGGGTTTGGTTTAGGGTTGGGTTTCGGTTAGGGTTCGGTTAGGGTTGTCACAAGCATGCTGATGATGCTGAGTTGCAAAATGCGGACATCAGATTCTGTGCATGGACCGAGTCCTAACACAAGCCTTGAGGGCTCGGCCTTAACAGGGAGGTACTGTTAGGGTCTCGAACATCCGCCCACATCTACCCACAACCCACCAGCCTTGACCCACACTCCCCGCACAGTCTCACATGATCCCGCATGACTCCGCACATCCCCGCACTCACCATCATCTCTCCGCATCCCGCATCTCCCACATCTCCGCCACATCCATCCCACTCCTGCACATGCGGACTCCCCGCATGTGTCCGCTCTATGGATGTCCGCATCCGCAAGTCCGCATCCGCAAGTCCGCATCCGCAAGTCCGCAGCCCGCAAGTACCAGCGGACCGACACGGCCCGCAACTGAGGGCCGGTGCGGACCGCGCGGAGAAACCTCGTAACCGCCCTCTAGGCGCCCAGACTCTGCATGTGACCTCTTATACTTCTTTATGACTCCATTCTCTGCTTTACTATTGTTCTTTAGAATCGACTTACTCATCCCTTTCGCATTCCGCGGTATTCCGCATTTCTTATGACTCAGTTTCTTCTCTTGTCCCAGACTTGTCCCAGAGTATATCCAGAGTATCTACAGATATATAAGCTAGCTAGATTTCTGTAGTAGATACTCATCCGGAATCTCGAATCAGACTTATACAGAACTTCTCCTCTGTCCAGTCTTGAGCCTTTCAGGCTTGCTAGAGCTTTCCGCATACTCCGCATATCCGCACAGTGTTCCTGAATTCCGTTCCGCAAGGCTCTCTCTTCTCTCTCCTCGTCTTCCGCCGCAAGGCGCGTCTCTCTCTCCCTCTCCTCCCCTCTCCTTTCGGGTTGGACCATATACCACCAGCGTGGGCACAACGCAATACGTTGAGGCCAAGGTCCCTTCGACTCCGCAGACTCCGCAGTTCCGTAGAGTCTAACACTGGTAAGGAGATTCTCTGGCTTCGCCACCTTCTGGGGGAGCTTGGCTACCCCATCACCACTCCCACTCGCCTCCTGATAGACAATGCCAGCGCTGTGACAGTCAGCAAGAACCCAGAGCACCACGGACGCATGAAGCACCTCGACTTGAAGTTCTTCTGGCTCCGTGACACTGTGGAGTCTGGTGTCATTGCTCCAGTCCGCATTCCTGGCACAGAACAGGCTGCGGACATCCTGACCAAAGCCCTGCCTGTGCCCAAGGTCAAGGACTGCTGCGCTCTCCTGGGTCTAGTGGATGTCTCAACTGCCTCAGTCATGGGGGAGTGTTAGAATTTGTGACTTTGGCACTTTCCCTCGGTCGATTGCCTTCATGTTTAGTATCATTCGAACCGACCTTTTACGCTCTTTCGAACGGTACCTGAGGGACGGAAATCCGCCCCACTGGTTACCGAGGTATTTACGTTTTACTTCGTTTTGCTAACAACTCCGAAGCCAAGCCCCGGATTCCTTGGCTTCGACCTTGCTTGTGTTCTCGCCTATGCGGAGTTCCCTCTCCCGCCATTTCATAGTCCGCAATTGTGTTATATAGTCGCAGCATCATTCCGGAGTCCCTCAGTGCTTTCCTCTCACTGCTGGACTCCAGGTATGTGCTCCCTTTGAATATATCAGTGCTTTCCTCTCACTGCTGGACTCCAGTTCGCTGATTTAACACAATCATCTTGTCTTCGATTGATGAAGACCTGTAGATACTACTCAATCTCCTGGTTGATCTGTTCTGTCTGACCATTGGTCTGGGGTTGGAATGCCGTGGAGGGGTTTCCTTCGATGCCAAGGAGTTTCATCAGATCCCTCATGAAGTTTAAGACAAATTGTGGGCCTCAATCACTGATTACTTTTCAGGGAAGTCCATGGTATTTGAACACATAGTCCTGGAAGTGCTTTGCTGCACCTAGTGACGAGAGCTCCACATTGGCGGGCATTGCCTCTATCTTCTTCGAGAATCTGCAACTACTACCATAATGGCATCAAATCCTTTTGACTCAGGAAGGGGCCCAATTAGATCAACCAACACAATCTCCCATGGGAGAGAAGGAACCTCGTTTGGCTGTAGTGGCGCAGCTGGGGCAGTTCAGCGGGGTTTAGTCTGTTGACACGCACATCCATCGAAATAGGTTCAGATGTCTCCCTGGACTGGGGCCACCAGTAGTTCCGAGTGATCAGCTCCTGAGTACGGTATCCGCACATCCATCGATATAGGTTCAGATGTCTCCCTGGACTGGGGCCACCAGTAGTTCCGAGTGATCAGCTCCTGAGTACGGTATCGACTGGGATGTCCCGATACTGGGGAATCGTGATGGAATCTGATGATGTCCTCTCGGAGCCCCTTGTCCTTTGGTATGTACACCCTGGCCTTAAACATCATGAGGTGTTTGTTGGATTTGATCCAGTCTGGGTCCTTCTGCAACAGAGCCTTGGCTACTGCCTTGTCTCTCTTCCAAGAGTGCTTGACCCATTCCAAGAAGTTGGCATCTGGTCCTGAGACACCCTTTCTTCATTATGGTTGGTCTGAATGGCTAAGATCGCTTCTGCTCGGGAGTTCTGGACCTGGAAGTAGGCGAGGAAGGCCTTAGCGAAGTTGTTGGGATGGATCGAGGCGGTGAATAGGCATGAACCAGCACGAATGAAGCGAAGTTGCGAAGAGGAAATGAGTATATCCCTTGACCCGGGTAAGGTACAAACAAGACAGCAGATTACTCCGAAGCTCTGGTACATGCAAGACTCGTGATAACTCGACTGGCCTAGAGGCTCTCCCATCTACAACAGGCTCAAAGACTGTTGTGCCCATACCAACAGCATAGACGATGCTGTGGTCTGCCAACTTGACTGGAATGCGACAGGGGACATAGTTCCGCACCCAGTGACGATGGGTCATATGACACCAGCGTGGGCACAACGCAATACGTTGAGGCCAAGGTCCCTTCGACTCCGCAGACTCCGCAGTTCCGTAGAGTCTAACAGATTTGGTAACAGTCGTCCCGGTGTGTTCGACTTTGGTTTTCTGTGAGCACCGGCGTGTGTCTCCTTGGTTTTCTTTGTGTATTTTCTCGACTACTCAGTAGCGAGGAGGTGGTGGTACCCTAGTCCTGCTAGTGGTCTGTCTTTGCACAACTTATCACTTCGCGCCTTGAGCCTACCAGCTCTTGTTTTACCTTACCTTACCTTCTTACCTACTGTCCACCCACTCCCGTGCACCCCCTTCGAACCATCGCATCGTCAAGAGTTTGTTTGGTTCTAGTGCCTTTCCTACATACCGTCATACCTTTCGGGTGAAGTCTAGCTTCATCTTGACCTTAGACGTAGTCTTTGGTTGGGTGTAGAGGATCAGCCTTTTCATTTCTTTTACTTCTTTACCTTCACCTGCCGGTGTTATGCCTGAGGGTCGTTTAGTCCTCCGCTGGACTAGTTCTAATCGTCTGAGCGAGCATCTCGATAGATGACTGTTAAGCCACTAAGGCACCGTGTTCTTCATAACCGGCGGTCATTTATTCTGTCATATGAGTTGAGACCGAGCCCAGAGTCGTCAACTAAGTCGAACTCCAAGATCAAATCAAAGAGAAGTTGAATGTAGTATATACTTGATACCGTATACCGGCGGATTAAGGATATACACTTAGGGAAGGACAGGGGTAACCCCCGGGTAGCCGGACACCTACCCTTACCCCCACCCCCCAAAACCCCTACCCCTGACTGAGGGGTAGGGGTAGTACCCTTACCCCCCAACCCTGAGGGTTTTGACCAAGGGTTTTAAGTATTTTGGCACTAACCTTCAGTTATAGTAGTCTATATGGATATTTTTATGTGCTATATCACACATACAGCAGTTATTTAGTAGATACAATACATAGATGTTGAAATAAATAGGTTTTGTTTTGTTTTTATCAAAACCCTTACCCCCGACCAGGGGTGGGGGTTTGGCCAAGGGTAGCCGGAGACCTACCCTTACCCCTACCCCCGCTCTACCCCTGGCCTCTACCCTGGGGGTTTTAAAACCCCTTGACCATCCCTATATACACTGAGCTTGCTCGAAGATCGAACTACGGTAGTACAGATTTTGCACGAAGTCCTTACCGCCGGGAGAGGTTACTATCCATGGGAGTGCAACGACCTACTCTCGTCGACTAAGAGTTTAGTAGCAGAATTGAGGAGCCGAAGTCATTTGGTATAGACACCCATGTCTACCAGAAAGGAAGGCACTACGAAGCGCTGCGGTCGAGAGATCAAGTGAAGGGAGCGATAAGATAGAAGATAAGATAACCAGAACGATGGAACCAGGAACGGTTCA